TTATTTTTTAATTAAATCTTATAGTTGTAATACTAGAATAAAGATAATATATTAAATTTTTTCTTAAAAAAGATATCTATTAGATTATAGTATTATTTAAGAAGAATTTTTTAATCATATTTTTTTTACTTGTATGTGAAATCTTTAATTTTTTTATAAAAATTTTTTAATAATATTAAAATAATAAAAATCTCTATCTCTAAGTTTTTTGGATATTATTAGAAACTAGTTATTTTAATAAAAGCTATCTCTCCATAGAAAAATCTGATTAGAGTAGGTTTTAGTTTAAATTTTAAGATTCTAAAAAAAAGATAGTATTAGTAATTTTTTCTAATTAAGTTATATTTTATTTTTATTAAAACCTTGTACGGGCTGCTTTAATTAATATAAAAAAAATTAATAATAATTATAAAGATTTTAACTATTTATCTTCTAATTATATTTTATAATTTTTCTAGACTGTGTTTTGTTGATACTTATAATTTATTAAAAACTATTCTAGAATAATCTAAGAAATATTTATAAAAAATCTAGCTTTTATTTTATTCTTTAATATTAGCTAGCTTAGCTAGATTAGTTAGTAGTTCTAGTAATTTAATAAGATATTATATTTAATAAACCATATTTTTCTAAAGATAGTATTATATTTCTTTAAATCTAATATAAGAAAGAAAGTATTCAGGAATTAATAGCTATTAATAATAAGATTTAATTAGATTATATATATTAAATTAATAGTTTGTTTTCTGTTAAAGCCTATAATAAAGGTTATCTTCTTTAAAAATAATATTAAAATTTTAAAATATTAGGCTAATTTAATAATAAATTAAATATTTATTATTAAAAAAATATTAGCTCCAGAATTAGCAAGTATATAAATAAAAATAATAATATTATCTTTAGAAAATAGAATAGTGATTATAAAACTATTATTATTATTTTTTAATAAATTTTATAAATTTATTATATTTATTTAAGCTTCCAGTTTATTTAAAATAGAGATTTTTTCTAAATATTATTTTTTATTAATTTAGGTTTTTCCACGGGAGCTTCTCGAGTTTTTATTTATATAATTTTTTTTTAAAATATTCTTTACTCTTATAACTAGATTTCTTATAATAAAAATATTTTCTATTTTTTATTAATATCTTTTTAGTCTCTAGTTCTATACTAGAAATTTAAGTTAAAGGTTTAGAGAAAATACTTATAGTATTTAAAATAATAATAAAAAAATAAAATATATAAGATTTTATATAATCTCTAACTATTATAAAGTTATTTTTAATATATTCTTTAATTTATTTTTTAATTATATCTATAGAGTTAACATATTACTTTATAAATTTTTTAAAATCTTTATTATTATAGCTATATACAATGAGATCCTGAAATTTGATAGAGAGTTTACTATAAAAATTATTTTTTTAAATATTTTTATTGACTCTAGTTTCAATGGTAAGATAGTGAAAGATTAAGATAAAGATATAAAACTTATTTCTAATTTTTATTTATAAATTTAAGTACTAGCAACGGGCATTATAAATTTTATTAAAATTAATAAAAATAGTTTTTAAATATTTAAATATATTATTTAAATTAAAAAAGGGGTCAGTGACGTCAGAATAAAGATATAAAATAAAATATCTTTTAGTAATATTCTAATATTAACTAATAATATATATCTTATATATAATAAAAATACTATATTAATTAGTATTAATTTTTAATTTTTACTATATAGTAAGAGCCCAATCTTTATAAATTAGATTTATATTATTATTGAATAAAGAAGGATCTGGAATTTTTATAAATTTTTTTATTTTTATAAAGATATTTTAGTTTAAATATATTTATTATTATAAAACTTACATAATAAAGTAGTTTTATTTTTTAATAAGATATTTAATCTTCTAGGCCTACTAATCCTACTGGTCTAAAAAACTATCTTTTTTAATTTTTAAAATATTAAAAATCTTTAGAAAGATTTTAAAAGTCTACTTCAGATCTTTCTTATATTAGTTATTAAATTTAATTTAATTAAATCTATTTTTCTAGTCTGGTTCATCAGGCAGTATTATAAAAAATTATTAATTATTCTTAAGACTAAAAATCTAGGTATTTTTTCTAGCTATTTTATTTATTTATTTAGTTAGTTAGGTGGGTTTTTTAGCTGTCAGATATTACTAAGAATACGGGATAGAGATTGTTAATAGCTTAGTAGAAGCTGGCTATATATAATAATAAAAAAGAAATAAAGAATAATATTTAAAATTATAAAATAATTATTTAATATAGTAAAATGAGGTTGTATCAGTGCTAATTATTCTAAAACTTTAAGTATAAGAAAAAAAAAGAAAAATAAAAAATATTATAAGTATTCGCTTAAAGAAAATAATATCAAAGTAAATAAAATAAATATAGTCACATGATTCTGAACAAGGCTGCTGTCATATTAATCATGTAGACTTTGTAAGCAAAAATAATAGTATAATAATTATAATTAATATTTATTTTTATTTTAATCTAGAAGATAAAATAGCTTAAATCTAAATAATTACTTTTAAACTTATTAAAATTAGATAATTATTTAAAAAAAATAAAAATAAAAGATTTAAAATTAATTAATATAATTACTCCCACTAGAGAAGTTATAGATTTCTTAATAATAAGTTCTAAAATTAGAATAGAAGTATTAACTACTAGTATAATAATTTATATAACTTTAATATATTTTATTTAAATTTAATCTTTTTTTTTAATAGCAATTTTTTTTATAGCTAAAATATTAATTAGCTAGTAATTAATTTTTATAATTTATTAGGTTTAGTACGCGGTTACTACATTCCATATATTAAAATCTTATTATAGGCGGTCTTACTTATTAATAATTTTTATAATAAAGATAAAGATTTATTTATAATAATTATATTATTTTTTAAAATATTTAGAAATATATTAAACCAATTTATCTACTCTATTAAAATTAATTAGAGATTACGGGATAATAATTATTTTATAAATCTATTATTCTAAAGAAAGAGCTATATAGTATCAAGATACAGGCTAGTAAAGATAATAAAATAATAAATTCTAATAGATAAGTAGGATTTGGATAATAGTAATAACTAAGATTTTAATTAAATATTAAGCTGGCTATTAGTCAAGTTATATACAGATTAATAAATAAGACGTAGCTAGAGGCTACGGACGGGGTTCAGGAGATAGGTAGCTTTTAACCATATCTAGAGTCACGTGTTGGGCGGTAAGGCTTGGTAGTATTTCTCTCTTTCCAGCTGGGGAGGTTGCACCGTGACATAAGCTATATAAAATTAGTTAAATTATTATATTATATAGCTACTATAGCTATTAAAAATTAATAATTAATATAAATTAATTATTTATAAAATTATATATTAGTTAAATATATTTTGAAATTATTCAAAATTAAATTTATTAATAATCTACCTATTTTTGCTAATACTAATATAGTAAGACTTCAGATAAATCTTATATTAAATTAATTAGTAATACTACGCTATAAATATAATTTATAATAATAAAATTAGTTTTAAAATTAAAATTTTAATAATTAAAATTATTTATTCGTGATTTCTAAGCTATATATATTTTATTTATAATTCTTATATTTTAAAGCTGTAAATTATATATATAATTAAAATTATTTTTATTTAGGATTTAGTTTTATCTATATTTTAAATATCTTTATAGAGAATACTATATTTTTAAACTATAGAATACACTAATTTAAACTATTTTTAAATTAGTTTAAAGTTTTTATATTTAATATGTTGATAATTATACTTTAAAATAAATTTAAATTATAATTTAAAATAGTATTTAATAAAGTAATCAATCTAACATTCTAAAATAGATTTATATTAATTTAATTTTATTTTTCCTAAAAAATAGTTTAGCTAAGAATTAAATATTATAGATTTTAAAAGATAATCTATAGTATATTATATTAATAAATTATTATTTTAATATATTTTTTTATTAAAGATAACTTCTTATAATTAATACCTCTTTAAATATAAAATTTAATATTATTTAAATATTTTTTAAAAATATTAATCTTAATATTAAAAACTGCAGCGCACACAGTTTTTATAAAAAATTTTCTATATTAAAAAACTTTAATAGTAAAAACTATATATTTATCCTTATGAATTATATTATAAAATACTAAGAATCTAGGTAACTTGGTGATCTAAGCACATTTTTTAGTTTTAAGATGGTTAAGGTGGTCGAGTATGTTGAGGATTTTGGTGAGGGCTGGCGCGGCCGCTGGTTCGGTGTCACGCTGGTTCAGTGTCCGATTACGTTAACTTCTAGCCTCTCAAAGCCACTGGGTCCTCCATACACTGGCCAAGAAACACACGCATACTCGATACTGATTCAACCTCAATGAGGCCGAGACACGACAAGTTTCTCGCCTAGTTTCCAGCTCAACCCAGCGTTACTTCGCATTCAAGCTCTTTTGTGGATATCTGCCACTCCCAGTATTCCCCTCCAGTGTCAAAGAGGCCTTTCACTTGCTCATTACCATACAATGTACCTGCAAAGGCTTTAATTTTCTTGTATATGCCTATTTCACCCAAACACCCTTCATTCGGATAATAGTGTGTTGCGCCCCAAAATACATCAGCTACCATCTGGCCTATGGCCAAATAGACAGCACGCCGGGCTATCTAGAGCACCGTTCAAAGTGGTTCTTCGCTATAGGTACTTGAGCCCACCAAGGCGCCTCCGTCCTCTGGTGTTTTATGCATTTCTTCGTTGTTACTTAATGCCGACCCATGGATAGGTTCTCTCAGTGAATCGGCTGCGTAGTGGTTTGCTGCTCCTCGCATTCCAAGCCTCCGGCCGCAGCCGGAGAGATTTATTCTGATAATCTATCCACAGTGCCGAGTATGAGCCTGGATCGCCACGGGGCCGCTACATGTAACGATTCAAATGGGCAAGGTGCACCTCATAAGATGACTCAACTCCCAACCTCCGGCCCTGTTCAGGTATGGCTATAGAAAATCATCATCTACACCGCCAAGCTCACGACTGTCATCGACATCAAGGATAACTTCCAGGAGGACACTCCAACTTTCATCAAGAAGGCCAAGTCCAGAATAGCCGAGCCTATCGTTGCTGCTTTCATAGCTGGAGGTGTAGCAGGCGCGGTATCCAGGACAATTGTATCGCCCCTCGAACGCTTGAAGATTCTCCTCCAGATCCAAAGTGTTGGTAGGGAGGAGTACAAATTATCAATATGGAAAGCCCTCGGCAAAATTGGACGAGAAGAGGGATGGAAAGGTTTTATGCGCGGAAACGGTACAAATTGTATTCGCATTATCCCTTACTCCGCTGTTCAATTCGGCAGCTATAACTTTTACAAGAAGGTAAGCCGTGTCTGATGGTTCATATGGTTGACCAGGTATATACTATGGTCCAACAATTGAAGAGTGGATAATAGATTGGCAGTGAAGAACTGCTGGTTTGAAGGTTTCGTTAACGTAATCCTTCATCTAGTTCGCAGAATCTTCACCAAATGCCGAGTTGCCAGCGGTGCATCGTCTTATCTGTGGAGGTGCTGCCGGGATCACCTCTGTGACAATTACTTACCCTCTTGATATTGTTAGAACTCGGCTCTCTATTCAATCAGCCTCATTCGCAGGTCTCAGTCACCGAGAGGCCGGGGAGCGGTTGCCTGGCATGTTTACAACTATGGTCTTGATATACAGAAACGAAGGCGGCATCGTAGGTCTATACCGCGGCATTATACCTACTGTTGCTGGCGTTGCCCCTTATGTCAGTAATTCTCGAATCTCTATACGATATCACCCGTGGCTAATTATGACTAGGTCGGGCTCAATTTCATGACATATGAATCTGTTCGCAAATCCTTGACTCCTGAAGGTGATACAACACCAGGACCACTGCGCAAATTACTCGCTGGCGCCATCTCAGGAGCAGTGGCACAAACATGCACATACCCATTGTAAGTTTTATGAAAGCTGTCATTGTTATCACCGTCCATAAGAGCTGATACGGAGGCCACTATCTCAGCGACGTCCTTCGGCGGCGCTTCCAAATAAACACGATGTCTGGAATGGGCTACCAATATACATCAATCATGGATGCTGTGAGGGCTATTGTGGCGGAAGAGGGGTTGCGCGGATTGTTCAAAGGCATTGTGCCAAATCTTCTCAAAGTGGCTCCCAGCATGGCTAGTAGTTGGCTCAGCTTCGAGTTGACCCGGGACTTTTTAGTGAGCATGAACGAAGATAGATAGCAGACATACCCAATTTTCTCGTCTTTCGTCTCCTTCATCTCAACACATATGTCTGTTGGAAGTACAAGATTGGACGCCGGATATGGGACACAGGTAGAAAAACTGACGAGGGAGAGGCACTAATAGAAATCGGGTTACACATCTTCTGACCGTTGCCGCAAGGGTGCGTTTAAACGAATGATTGTTGGCCGTAATTGACACCCTACAAAATTATAGTAGTTTTGCAACAAAATTAGCTATGTGTGAGCTGGTGATTCCATAGGGGAGCTACAGCCAATATGTTAAAAGAATATTAACCTAGATGCTCATGCAGACAAATGGCTGATAAAAGTCATTTAGTTAGATTGGTGTATTGGTAGACCAAGATTTGTGGTTCTGGAGACGGTACTAGGCAGTAGGTATGTATAAGTGGATTAGACTAGCAGGAGAATAGGCGGGGTAAAAGTGGGAAACATATCGACACATTATGGATCATGAGGCTGCAATAGATATGTAATCCCGTTACGGAGTAGATAGGGAGGGTACTTACGTAGTTAGATGAAAACTAGAAAGGTGCGGCCCTGAGGAGAAGCGGACGGGGTCAGCTAAAACCCTCAGCAGTACGGAGTACTACTTTGTAAGTGACACCGAGGTCCAATGAGCAGAGATTGCAGAGAGAATGGATCGCTCCACCCAAAACTATAATTTATTTTAGTCCAAACTCTTAGTCTGGCATCTAAACGGGAGTTGCTGATTCAATGAATGGTTGATGCCTTGATTCTTGGGCGTCAAATGGCTTTGGTTACCGAATAAGGATTAGGGTAGGGCTCAACCCGCACACACCGTGCATCTGAAAATCGTAGATCCAAAACCTCACCAGCTTCACCTTGACTACGGGTGCGATAGCCAGCCAACTTTCAGGTGTCCCATTAATATCAGCAGACATGGGTATGTAAAAAGCATTGTGGTGGTGTCCTTGATTTCCAGGAAGCTCGCGATCTGCCTATTTCTGGGCAATACCATAAAATTTTACTTCTTATCAATGAGTGAGTACTAATACTGGAAAACAGGTATCGACTTGGACCGCCACCATGTGCGCGGCACCCATCGCAAGGCGCCCAAGAGCGAGAACGTTTACCTGCAAGTCTTGGTGAAGCTCTATCGATTCCTCGCCCGTATGTCTTTGTTTCCCCTTGGGTCCGGCCGATTTTAGCCACGGGAAACTGATCTGTGGTGGTTATTTCACAGGTCGCACGGAATCCAACTTCAACAAGGTTGTGTTGCGCCGTCTTTTCATGTCCAGGATCAACCGCCCTCCCGTTTCGCTTTCGCGCATTGTGTCCAATGTGTCCGAATCCCACAAGGGCAAGACCATTGTTGTGATCGGCACCATCACCGACGACAACCGCCTTCTTACCGTCCCGAAGTTGTCCGTCGCCGCTCTCCGTTTCACTGCTACCGCCAGAGCCAGGATCGAGAAGGCTGGCGGTGAGACTCTGACTTTGGACCAACTCGCCCTCCGCGCCCCTACCGGAGCGAACACGCTTCTTCTCCGCGGACCTAAGAACGCCAGGGAGGCAGTCAAGCACTTCGGATTCGGGCCTCACAGCCACAAGGCAGGTTTCGCCTGATACAAGGAGAAGAACTAAGTAACATGCTAACTTCTAGCAGAAGCCTTACGTGCGCAGCAAGGGACGGAAGTTCGAGAGAGCCCGTGGACGCAGAAGGTCTCGCGGTTTCAAGGTCTAAGAGACCCTAGTGAATTTGTGTCCATTTACTGTATCGGGTGGCGGTTAACCGCGCTCATGAGGATTGCAAATTGAATTTTATGAGTCCAAGCGACTTCACGGATGCATGTCGCCCCAACCTTTACTAGATCGCCCGATGCAAGACTGAATATCACGAGGGTCCGAGAGGAGCTTGGTTGAATGAAAATGAAAACGGAGTTAAATTACTGAATGCCTGAAAAACTTTTCATTATTTTCTATTTATATGTTACAGTGGTAGGCCTTTATGTTTCCACCGTCTACCACCTTCACCATCAAAGTAATCGCCCGCTCTATGTCCATCTCCGTAGACGAGATATTTGTAGATGGTCAAGCCATCTAGTCCCACAGGTCCTCTGGAGTGAATCTTATTTGTGCTGATGCCAACCTCTGTGCCAAAGCCATACCTCATCCCATCCGCAAATCTTGTCGAAGCATTCCAAAAAACTCCGGCACTGTCGATGCTGTTCATGAAATAGTCCGCGGTAGACCTTGTCTTGGTCAAAATAATATCGGTATGCTTCGAAGAATGGGTATTGATGTGGGCAATCGCTGCATCAACGTCTTGACCCGAGGCGGATGCAGGTATCGTTTTGACTGCCAAAATGAGATCCAGGAACTCGGTATTGTAGTCGGAGTCCACTGCATCTACAATTGAATCCATCTGTCCAGCGCCCAGAGCTTCTCTTAGTGCACTTTTAGACAATTCATCGCACCTCAAGGTAACCCCCTTCGCCACCAGAGCCTTGGCAACGGCAGGCAGTATGGTTGCAAGAACCCTTTCATGTACAAGCAGGGTCTCCAGAGAGTTGCACGCGGCCGGATAGTCTGTCTTAGAGTCCACAATAACTCTAACACATGTTTCCGGGTCCGCGTCGTGATGGATATAGGCGGAACAAAGACCGTCTGCGTGGCCTAATACTGGGATTTTCGTGTTGTCCTTGACGAAGCGAACAAGATCATTCGACCCGCGAGGAATGACCAAATCGATCAAAGAGTCCTGATCCAACAAGGAAGAAATTGCATCCCTCGTCTGTACGAGCTGGATAGACGACTTGGGAACTCGGGTGCTTGATATGGCTTCGGAGATCACAGTGGAAATCGCCACAAAAGATTCGCTTGATTCTTTCCCGCCTTCTCTGCTCGTTAGCAGTGCATGAATGACTTCAGAGGATGAGATAAAGGACCTTTTAAAATAGCTGCGTTACCAGACTTTATAGACAAGGCAGCAATGTTTGCGATGACCTCCGGGCGTGCCTCGAAAATTATCAATAGAACCCCAATAGGGCAACTCACTCTTTCCAAAGTAAGGCCATCATCGAGAAGTGTCCTCAGGGTAACGTTTCCAACTTGGACAGGTCAGAATAGACACATTGGATCAATTCGACAGGCTTACTTGGATCATGCAAATCCCGCACACTGAGGATTCCTTGCAACATATCATCATATTTTCCCGGCCTGGATAGATCAAGCCTCTTAAGAATACTAGGATTTAGATCGCCATTTTCAGCAGCACGGCTCGCCGACGCAATATCCTTAGCGTTAGCTTTAAGAATGGCATCCTTGTTCATTGAAAGCCCCTGGTAGAGCGCCGTCAATGCCTCATTGCGCTCATTATTAGACAAGACCGCCAGCTGGCGAGCGGCCAGAGACGCAGTGTTTGCGATTTCAAAAGCCGAAGATTGTGTAAGTGACATTTGTAAAGTGTCAGTATAAGAAACTGGAAGACTATGCAAGGAAAGAATGGGACGGGTGAGGGGCTGCAAAGTTAAGTACAGATTATATAATCACCCCTTACTATTTACATAACTAGTACATACCTGCGGAGTACGGAGTAACTATGTAGCTTGGAGATACTCCGTACCCCGCGAGCGAGGAGCACAATGATGTAATGATCAGTGTGAGCCCATTGCCTCTACTCGGTATTATTATGATTTGGACTGTATCACATTTCATTGATTGATCCACAGACTATCTAGTATGAACGAGCTCGTGTCATGCTACACATCTACATGTGGTAGTTCTGTACCAGAGTCATCCGGCAGACTACTTACCGTACCATGTACTCCCGTACTAATAATACTATTACTGGTTTGTATGTTCCCTGTATGAGGTAATTATTGAAGGGCGTGCTAACCTCAACCACTCTTCCCCACTTTCTACTTTGTCTGCGCCCAGCAAGTAACAGTCAAGATATCATCATACACCAAAATTAAGATGGCAGAGATTCTTCTGCACCTCACAACGGTGTCATCTCAACTGCAGGCTCTCGACGATACATCTGACGAAAGATATGACACTGAACTCCGTGACCTGATTGCATATATCAAGCAATTCAACAGGAATATTGATAGCCAATATCTACTAGATGTAAGCACTGCCGGGATTCTTTAACTGATAGGGAATAAGAACTTCGTCACCTCTGATTAAAGAGCCTACAAGTCATGCTTACAAATATGATTATTCGCCTCGCAGAATCTCAGTCCATCACAACACACACTATCCTATTTAATTATTCTCAACCTTCATATTGAGACCTTGCAAAACCAGACGAAGAACAGAGTACCCGACGAGATCAAACCCGGGAATGACTTGTGGGCGAAAGCTGTCTATTTCCTTAGGTCTTTTGATCCTATCCAGGTCCGCTATGCTGGTCATGAGTGGCGCCAACTTGTTGAACTCATAGGACAATCTGCTGAAGCTGTAGCGAAGGTAGGCTGTACTCTCATAGTGCACACAACCATCTGGCTATGTGATTAACCTGCAGCAGCCGTTTCTAGCGGTTCAAGTTATCAGGGAAGCCCTACTTCGACTCGACTCATCTGGAGTCCTCACATCAGTGCACATTACTTTCCTCAGACTCTCCCTGATCTCGAGATCATACAGTCATGCTTTGCCTATTCTGGAGAAAGAGATGTTCAGGTTCCCCACTAGTTCAGGGCAAGCATACCGCAAGCATATCGAACGTCCATTATGTTCCGAGGATACCCTTGGCGACACATTCATTTCTGACGCGTCTGGGTTCTCTGCAAAGCTGACATACAGGGACCATACGAGTTTTTTTCTTTATGGCGCAATGATCTATATGGCACTTAAATATTGGGATAAAGCGTTACATTTGCTGACCATTGTGATATCTTCTCCGGTCAATGACTCTGTCAGCAAGATTATGGTCGAATCATACAAGAAGTGGGTATTAGCTAGTTTGCTGGGACATGGAAAGGTATTTCATTCTCAAGTTCGATATCCTAACCATCGTGTTTGAGACTGACATATGTATCTTTTCTAGCTAGTTGCACCTCCCAAGATAATCTCTCCACACGTTCTGAAAGTGTACCAGACATTATCAAAACCTTACGCGTCTTTGGCTGACGCTTTTGAGAGGAGTGATTTCCAGAGGTTGAGAGCTGATATTGATTTCGGTCGGTCAGTCTGGCGTGCTGTAGGTCATGAGTCATGAGGGCCCTTGTTGAAGTATAACTTATACTAACAGACCGCCAGGACAATAACGAGGGCCTCGTCTGTCAGCTATTTCGTGCCTATAATACATTCCTAGTACTCAAGCTAGGTAGAACATTCTCAGCTCTTACTACAGCGGATGTGGCACGACGCACGTTTACTTCCCTAGCATCCTCTGCGAATGTCGAAGAGTTCGTAGCGTCACTTGTAATGTCTGAGACTCTGGGCGCTACACTGGTACATTTACACCCACACGGAAGTGCTACAATGCTTCGATTTTCTGCGCCGACCAAGCTTGTCTTCAATAAGGAAATTTCCATGCGGAACCGATTGATCGAAGGGGGTCGAGCGTTACGATTTATCGCAAATGATGTGGATCAATGTAGCAGCGAGTTGAAGCTGGGCAATGAAAATCTTCAGCTTTTGTCGAGAAATCAGAGATGGTCTGATACTTCGGGTAAGGGTGGTGGCGATAGTGTTGGAGAAGCGGATGGTGGTCTGGACATCGAGGAAGACATCATGGGAGATGCTACTTGAAGCACATGGCAACCTTGGTCCTTGATAGGGGGCTAATTCAGAATAAAGCCTCGAATACAGACTCTAGTCATCATAGATTCTACGGTACTGTCCCGGTATACACTATCTGTCGATTTTTGTTGGCCGGCCTGCGTGGATCATCCTACAATTGCATTTGTTTCGATTGATTGAGTGATTCTTTGCCCTGTCTTCGGGATTTCTACACCTTGTAAAAACGATCTTGACTGTCAGCCAACGCATTGACCTTATCTGCCTTTAATCTTCTTCAGCCGTGGACAGGGGCACAGCTTTTCGTGGAGCTCATGTATTCACATATATTATTCTGCATCATGATAAAATATACTCATATGTTTTATCAATTAAAGTACCTACCCACATTTACTGTTTTTAATGACAACTACTGCTTGGGGCCTCGAGTCTGCACCTATGGCTAAGCCACCCTACATGTCATTGCCAGTGGCATAGGGGGGTAGCATATACTCTGCGCTGGGTGCTTGTCAAGAAGAGAGTTTGCGAATAAACATCTCGTTTGCGGTAGTCTGCGATATGGGAACATCTCCGAGACTGTGACCTCAAAGGCTTGGTAAACAATGTAGACGCCGATCATCTTGTCAGTATTGTATATAGATATTGCAGACCGCTAAGAAGCACGTCATATTTGACTTCGCAGTCAGCCCTAGGTCGTGGACTTTCGGTGCAATTTTGCGCAACCAAGAATAAGTACTCCGTACATGATGCCAAAACCCCGAAGTTTCACGCAATACCTTATCCAGGTCGAGTGTCCTGACCCCTAGCCTTCCTACAGAGCATCTGTGACATCATAAAATGACACACATCTTCGTCAGACCAGTAGCTCAGGTGACTAGCAATACTAGCAATCATCGATATATCAAATGTGCCCCTGTATGTGAAATTAGCATCTAAATGTTTGAGACTGCAGTTAGAATTAAAGGTGCAAGCAACGGTCTTACTCTTGTATGCTATAGTCGACCCTCCCATTGGAGTTAAGTGCTCTCACTTTGGCGTCTTCAATCAGGAGCTTCTCTCCGTATTGGTCATTTCCCAGTGACTCAGATGGGTTCTCTCCTCTGGTCTCTGAGCCCCCTCGCTTCCCACGGCCTCCGGTCCTACGATAGCCTTCATAGAGCGTTTCCAGGTCCGAGTCGATAAGAGTAGGGTTTCTAGCATTCTCTGTCTTGTGGAGAGAACCAGGACTCGAAGCCACTGGCCGTGTTTGCTGAGCCTGCAGTGTAGAATTTAAGGCTTGATCGGAAGAAGCAGTTTCCGACGTAAGGCCAAGACTGCGGTTAAGCAAACTGCTTGCCACACCGGATGTGAAATTAGTCCACAATGATCCCACGCTTTGGCCAAACCGACTGCTAATCATTGAAAGGCTCTGCCCTGATGCCGTCCAAAGTCCTCTTTTGACTGACGGCAATGGCTGTGGTTTGAGAGACGACATTGCTGGTGATATGAGAGGCTCAAGACGATAGCTAACTGGATCGGAAGGATGGAAAATATTGAACAGCTGTCGGCATTTCGGAGAAGACACAGAAGTATGCTGCAAAAGCGTCTCTTTTTTAGCAGACTGTACATTATGGCGCACAGAAGGGCTAGGTGTCGACTTGACAGCTACAGTCTGCCCATCAGGGTAAACTGAAAACTTCCCATCTCCACCGGCGTTCCCAATTTGTCGCCCAGCAATAGTCTTCCCTTTGAGCATCTGGAATAGCGCTATTGGGGAGCCTAGACAGAACAAATCTTCACATTCAAAGCCCAAAGAATCACCCTGGAATGCTTTGTGACCCGAGTCATTATGATCCAAACGGGAGGTGTCAGGCGACTCCGAATCCTGCTTTTCGTGGCAAAGGATATCAAACAGAATGGCGCTACCAAGCGAATGCCCACAGAGACTTACAGTGCCCCTGAAAGATGGGTTCCGTTTCTTGTAAAGATCCAGAATCCGGTTACACTCCTGTTTGACTATTCGAGAAATGTGCTCACAGTATGCACTCTGGTAAAGAAGTACATCCATGGCTAAATCAGAGATGAGGTTTCGAACTGCTGGCACATTATCAAGCGTGATATCGGACAAGCTAGGATACGAGATATCACCCGGGCTTTCCGCATCGCCCAGATCGAACTCCATGCGGGGTTGCTGCTCTTTCTGGTATGGAAAGTCAAGAAGATGTCTCCAGCACCTGGGATAGATTAGCTCTGCATACGGTATATCATACGAAAAGGTGTGAAAAGAAAGAAAGAAAAAGACCGTAAGAGGCTCAAATGTACACTGTAGACCCCCCCCAAGCATATAAGATGAAAACCACTTACACTGGGAGAACCTGAGTGCGGCAGTTTTCATGCTTGTCTTCAAAGTCGGAGTTGAGCGCTTGAAGATCAGGGGAGGCCCTGTAAACGCTCTTTAGGGTTTTGCGCAAAACATTTATGTCGTGTATAAAGTTAACACTTTCTAGTCGCATGCTAAGCCGCTGACCTATTCCGTGAGTAACAAGAATCAAGTGATCGATTTCCCGATCTTTGTCCTCAACCTTCCTGGAATCCTCCATTTCTTTCTGTTCTTGTTCGCGTGCTTGTTCCTCAAGTTCAACCATATTCGGTTGCGCGCCAGTCAACGGAATGTGCTGTTCCATCATTGGATTTGCCTCAGCCGGGGCCTCATCGCCGGGAATTTGATGATCAGATGTGGTGGTTTCGGAGAACTGTGGTACCCGCTTGTCCTGAGGTTCCTCAGGCAGTATATCAGGATGGTTATCCACGGATGTTTTCATTTCAGCACAGACCTTGTCTGATGATTGCCTCTGTTTCTTGGATTCGGTAAACCCACGAACAAGTTTCGTACCTGGAACGCCACCGAGCTTCTGATAGAAAGTTGTGCTCACGCGAGACATAAAATCATCGCTCATCAGCAACGCCGTCGAAGAATCCTGATAAGTTACTATGGTATTCATATAGGCACCAAATAGACGGTAAGGCTCAGGCTCATTGCCAGAAAACAAAGTTGCATGTCCAATATTCTCAGCGTCATTAGATGCAGTGCTAGACCCTGCAAGCAAAGTAAGCCTCAAAAAGCCCGCGTCATGGGACCATCATTAGTCTCACCATCACCACTGTCTCTTACTGAAGTCGGAGGCTTGGAAGCATAGCTAGGGCTTGTATATCGCCATGGTTTCGACTTGAGATAGCCCTCTTCGAGTTGGGTAGCTAGGTTTTCTTCACAGGGCTTTATCGTGGACCCATCTTGGAAAAACCAAGTACCACGACGGACTTCATAGATGGGACCTATCCAATAGGCCGGGCTGAGCTCCCTTTGTTCAATACTAACATCGAAAAGCGAGTCCTCATTCACAGGGACCTTGGTCGACTCGCGCGAAGCTTCCCTCATCGGTCGGTTGTACGGCATATGTTTTTCCTCAAAGTCCGCCTCCAGAAGTTCTTGGAATGCGTCCTCTATAGCCTGGGAGTCCCTGGAAGTGAACGGAACAAACTTTTTGGGAGGCACCAAGGGTTTTGAATCGCTCTTATGATCGCGGAGCCCTGGCTTCCATTTAGGCGAATCCACTGCATAGAACCATCTTACTCTTAATGGGGGACAGTCCTTTGGATACCGGCGTAGACTTAACCCATGTCTATGTGTGACTGTGTGATCCTCTCCTCGAGAACGGGGGAGGACGTCTTTCGTATCGTTGATAGGCTGCTGGGGCGTCGTACTTCTAGAGGTATTCCACGGAGAAAGAGCCCCGAAGAAGGTCCCCTTCTGACTGTCCTTTGACATTAAGCTCGCAAGAGCCCGGTATGTCAGAGCGCGAGCCAATGCGTTTGAGGAGAAGGGTGGCAAATAAATACAATGACTATCGAGTCGGGGATGAGCCGTCGGCACAAGAGCGGCCTGTATAGTCAAATAGTACGGCGGAGCCGGCCAGTATAAGAGGATGAAAATATGTTGGAAGCCGGAGGTTCTGGAGACGCAAAGGTTCTCTGCCGTTGTTCTTTTCGCACTGGTATCGTTGTTAGCGTGTTGCTGATTGAAAGCATCCAGTAGGAATGCTGGCCCACGAGCCCGAGGTATCTTTGTTTCGTATGAAGAAGCACCACTTAGAAATCTCCTACGACAATTAATTGATGCAGGGATGCAGGTAGCCTTGATCAGACACTAGTCGACCGGGACGTATCCAGTAATGCAGATAGTTAGTCGGCTGTTGACGGAGCATTGCTACGGTATGTACTCCGTACCCCATGTCTTCTGATAGTGGCTTGGCAGGCATCGTCATCGTGTACAAATGGGTTACATACATACATACGGAGTACCTACCGCCGAGAAGCTAAGTACAGAAGCACAACGAAGCTGATTGTACTCCACCCTTGCGATGTCACTTGTTGCCTTTCCATCTGTAGATATACATATACAGGATGTACTAAGAGTGCAAATTGCAGGTTCCCTTATTGTCTTCTGTATCGTATCTGATTGTATACGGGGTGGCTGAGCCTATCCCGTCGGTACTCTGAGTACAACTACCAGGTACTGGCAACCCCCACCTTGTTTTCCCCACTTACCCAGTAGGGGAAAATAACGCAACTACCTACCCAGGTGCCTAAGTACACCGTGCTTATTATAATAGTGCCTAGCACTTAAGCACCGTCAACTTCCTCTTGCACCCTTCTCTCATACTAATTACATCATCGAACCGGTTGCCCCTTCGACACAACTACTATATCATTGCTCTTGGCCAACTTCCAGTAATTTGGTTGACAGTTGCTTGTCAATAAACTATCGAATTGCTAGCTGCACTCCAAAGGAACCGAGTAAACCTCCTGAGAAATGAACGTGATCAAGCTTCAAAGGTATGAAAAGTGCACCCATGTCAATAGGGCTTGCTGTCTGCCAATAACCCTACTAATCCCACCATGCAGGAGATTTCCTCAGTTCGAGCAGTCGGAGATCTTCACTCTTCAAGATGCATTTCGGAAGCTGGATATTGACGACAAAGGCTCCCTAGACGAAGCCACTGTGATCAAGGCTACTCAACAGTCAGAACGAAAGCCCTATGATGTCGTGCGTCAGGCGTTGAAGGAAGTTGAACTCGACAGCTCTCGTCGTGTAGAGCTTGAGGATTATGTAGACGTCAGTACACTAGTGTTGATGTTACCGACTCCTTTGATTCGAATGCTAAAATCGTCTAACAGCTTATCTCTAAACTTCGCTTCGCACCGACGCAGAATAGCGCTGTTCCAACTTCTACGCAAGTGCTTTCGGGAAATGGAACCGGTCCATCTCGGCATGTCTCGAAAGGTAGCATAGGAGGCAAAATCCATGTTCAGGGCTCCTCAGCAAATGTAACACATACCATCAACGAGGATGAAAGGACAGAATTCACCAGACATATCAATGCTGTTCTGGCGGGTGATCCAGACATTGGCCACATCTTACCTTTCCCTACCGATACATTTGAAATGTTCGATAAATGTAAGGACGGTTTGGTGTTGGCGAAATTGATCAACGATAGTGTTCCGGATACAATCGACGAGCGTGTCCTGAATAAAGCCGGAAAGAAGATCAAAGAGCTCAATGCGTTCCACATGACTGAAAACAACAATATCGTGATCAACTCAGCTAAGGGTATTGGCTGCTCTGTTGTGAATATAGGAAGCGGCGATATTATAGAAGTGCGCGAACACCTCATTCTTGGTCTGATCTGGCAGATCATTCGTCGGGGCCTCCTTGGCAAAATTGACATCAAACTCCACCCTGAACTGTACAGGCTTCTAGAGGAGGATGAAACTCTAGAACAATTTCTACGCCTCCCCCCTGAGCAGATTCTCCTGCGCTGGTTTAACTATCATCTAAAGAATGCCAAATGGGATAGAAGGTATTCCGCACTCCCCTGTCTTGCCGTCTAAAATCGAGGAAGAGACAGTACCAATTCAGAGAGAGGCATAGGGCTGACTAGACTTTCTACCAATATAGGGTATCGAACTTCTCCTCGGATGTCAAGGATGGTGCAAATTATACCATCCTCTTGAATCAGTTGGCACCAGAAACCTGCTCGCGATTGCCTCTTCAGACGCAGGACGTAGTTCAGCGGGCAGAGCAAGTCCTGACAAATGCAGACAGGTTGGGATGTCGAAAGTTCCTGACGCCCTCCTCTCTAGTTGCAGGGAACCCTAAGCTGAACTTGGCTTTTGTGGCGAACCTATTCAATACAATTCCAGGCCTCGACCCGATCACCGACGAAGAAAAGCTCGAAGTCGAAGATTTTGATGCAGAAGGGGAAAGAGAAGCCAGAGTCTTCACCCTTTGGCTTAACTCGCTCGATGTACAACCGGCTGTTAATTCACTGTTTGATGACCTTAGGGATGGAACTATATTACTGCAAGCTTATGACAAGGTGATCCCTGGTAGTGTTAATTGGAGACATGTCAACAAGCAGCCAGTCTCTGGTGGAGAAATGATGCGTTTCAAAGCAGTTGAGAATACTAATTACGCCACCGAGCTCGGGAAGCACATCGGCTTTTCTCTGGTAGGTGTACAGGGCGCTGATATCACTGATGGTCAACGTACTCTCACCCTGGGCTTGGTTTGGCAATTGATGCGACGAGATATCACCAATACTCTTTCAAACTTGGCTAAGCGTATGGGCAAGCGTGAGATAACAGACCCGGAGATGATCAAGTGGGCAAATGAGATGTCTCGTCGTGGCGGCAGATCTTCGTCGATACGCAACTTCAAGGACCAGTCGATTGCTTCAGGCCTTTTCCTCCTCGATGTGCTCAATGGCATGAAGAGCAGCTACGTCGACTACGATCTTGTAACTCCTGGTCGGAATGACGATGAGGCTTATGCAAACGCTAAGCTGAGTATTAGCATAGCAAGGAAGCTGGGTGCTACGATCTGGTTGGTACCTGAGGATATTTGCCAAGTGCGTTCCCGCCTAGTAACCACGTTCATCGGTAAGCTTCGAGAAACCTCAACTCTTGATCATCATATTAGAATGTGCTAACACTATTCAATTAGGCTCCCTCATGGCCACATACGAGAAGATGCAGTGAAGCTCGACAATGTCGGTCGTTAGCAGTGCACCTCTCCCTTTCCTGTTTAGTCTTTTATGTGCAATTCATATTGTGTCTGAAGTATCTGTGTGCAGTAGTCTTCGATTCATGCAATGACAGTTTGCTCTCAAAATCGCGTTTTTGGCTTGAGCGGATCGTAAACAAAAACTCTGAGAATCTGAAATAGTATTCGTTGATTTGTAGGTATTTCTATGGACCGTTTCCTACCTAGGTTGACGGCTAAGACTCCCAACTAGCCTCTGCGAAATTCATTAAATCGACCAGTTAGAACATGAGCCAGTTTATACGGCCCTAAATGTAGACTGATATAAACCGCAAGGTGAATAGCTTAGGTCAGTCAATACTTAGTCTTTTCGCCCCCCCCTCCTACCTTACCTTTGCGCGCCCACCACAACCTTGCAAAAATATCATGTCTACCCAGAGAAGCTACATATATCTACGAGTCGTTCTCGAGGCGATGTTGCAGGAGATGCATGAAGTCGACCGGTCGAGTGGGACGGGGAAGGTCAATGATTATCGACTTATATTAGAACGCGAGGTCAAGACGGATAACGGATGGATGTTGATCGTGACGAGTGAAAGGACGACACAGTCTGGCGGTACGATAAGGAAAAAAGAAAGGCCCGCTCGACGTTCGTTCGGATATGATTCGAGCTGCTGACCATGATAAATACCAATGTTGAACGACAAAACCAATACCCCAACGTCTCGTATCTTTGCGCCACCGCATCGAGGGGTTGGCTTTTCCCCTTCCTCCCTGCTAATGAACAGTGCAACTTGCAAAATTATGGCAAAGAAAAGCACAGAAAGAAAGATTAAATATGGAGACATGGAGCATTGGAGAGAAAAGAAAAAAGCATCAGGGAGGATAAAAAAGTGTAATGGAGGAGGGGTGGGGGAGGAGGGGAGGGGGCCCGGAAAAATGTGCCAGTATTCAACAGCGATAGAATGTAACAATCATCCAGGTCGATCACAGGTAGTGCATGTAATAACGACTAAAGATTCATGTCCTAGCGCTTAGGCCCTGACTTTGGCCTAGCACAGATATGAAGTCTTTAACCGGATTTAGAGTATGTGGTCTGATAGTTCATGGAGCCAAAATAACCTACTCGGCTGTATCAAGCTCATCATGAGCAGAGGTCAAGGGTTCTAGGGGAACTGGGTTGAAGAATTAGCGATAGGGAGCTGTGGTTATATGCACCGATGAGCAAACCTTTCCTATCTTCACCGTTGGGTCCATTCTCACGCTCATCCTCGCGTCGTTCGCGATCATCATCACGGCGCTCTCTGTCATCCTTGACATCGCGGTCTCTCTCATCGGGGCTTCTAGAGCGGTCACGAGAACGTTCACGGTCACGGTCGCGGCGGTCATAATCGCGATCACGACGGTCATAATCGCGGTCGCGACGATCGTAGTCACGCTCATGTCGGTCATAATCCCGGTCATACCTGTCTTCCCTACGGGGAGAATAGTCGCCACGTCCACGTCTAGGAGAAGGCGAACGGCCACGGCGTGGTGGAGTACGGTCACGCCGACGGTCACGGCCAGAGTCGAAACGCCAAGAAGCAGATGGAGGAGTCCGTGCCCACTTTTGAAGGTCAGTCCAGCTATGGGATTCCGATATGTTCCTCTCTGCTTACCTCAATTTTCAACAAATCGTCGCGGCCAATTCGCTTGTTATGCATTTCATGGTATGCATCATCCGCATCACGGCGACTCTCGTATTCCACGAAGGCAAAACTTATGTTATGAGCAATGAATATGTACGAAGCTTAGTTGAACATACAGTCTGCTTGATGGGGTACGCGGTGCTGGGATATCACACCGGACAAGACGTCCGTATCTAAGACATTGTTAGAAGCGCCCCATACAAAAATATTCATTAAAAGCACGGTGCAAGGCAATTGTGAAAGGAAAACTCTTTCGGAGGGGAGCCCCTTCAAGGAGTTCCCTCCGAGGGAAGCTGATGAAACATGCAAATCTCCATTATATCATAACATGATATAGAGAGCGGCTCCGACGTCGATTTAGCGAGACTCAGCCGAGGTGAATTGCGAATATGGACACGGATCGTATGGTCATGGTAGCGCGTAGCAATCGACGAGCGGCACGTACCGTTCGAATTCGTAGGCAAGGTCGCGAGCTCGGGTCCCGTGCCCGAAGCCGGTGACATAGAGCGTAGTGCCAGGACGAGACATTGTATGTTAGCCAGTGAGCGGCGAATGTTTGAATGGTGGGCTGATTAAGGAAAACAACAATGGTGGAGTGGGAGTGAGTAAAGTAGAAGGAATGGTTAGAATGCAAGGAAGCAAGAGCCAGAGACAATTCAGGAACTACAGCTAAGCTTGTATGCCACAAGCGAAGTACCGCTGGGATGCTCTTACTTATTACATAATATCTGAGTCAGTGCAAAGGGCTCCGTACACTTTTTGCGGCTAGTGCTAGGTGTGTTATGTTCAACTTTCAACTTTGATATTCAGGCTGTGGAGTACAGTACCTTAGGGCTAGCTATGCTAGTGGTCAAGTATAGCTTATAGATGGACCTCGTAGTTTTGATCTATGCATACTTCACAGCCAGTTTTAGGTTACTAATTGGTCACTACAGCAATCGCAATTTGCTATTTTTGCAGTGGCAGTATCGAGTTTATAGTACGGACTACCCCATAATGTGACCCCTTTCAACCTTGTACAAATCTACATATATTGGGTATAGAGTAATATTAGACATATTTTATTCTGACATGATCTTCTCTATTCGTACTTCTTGAATGTGGTTAATTATAAGAGACTCACGGGTAGCCTCTACAGGTGCTAACCAGTTGGAAGTGTAACCCCATTACAGCATCCCGGTGTACGGAGTAATTGTCGACCAACGAACCACTAGTACCTAGATAGGTAAAGAACAACATTACGTACTCCAAATAAAGCACGCTAAATTGGTCCTTTAAAACCAAATCTTTTTCCCCCTCACCCTGAAAAACCTTCTTTTTTCAATTACTCTGTACTCTGCTTCAAACTGCAACTGATATACGAATATGAGCTTCGAACTACAGCAAGTTCAAAGGGTTTGGGAGGGTATCCGCACAGCCAGTCCAATTTATGCATTTCTACTCGATGACATTGACATTTACGATGCTACCAAAGGTGTTTTCCATGCTAGACTGCAGGTCGCGCCTCACCACCTTAATTCGAAGGGTACCTTGCATGGCGTATTTTCTGCCTGCGTAACTGACTGGGCGGGTGGTTTGGCAATTGCATCATGCGGACTCGACTCCACAGGAGTCAGCACAAACATTCATGTCAACTATCTCTCTACAGCAAAGACAGGAGACTGGCTAGACATCGAAGGTCGCGCTGACAGAGTTGGACGGAATCTAGCTTTCACAACTGTGACGATTTGCAAGATAACTGAGTCTGATGAAAGGACAGTTGTTGCACAGGGATCTCATACCAAATACATCAAAACACGATAACCCATTACGCTCATACAGCTATGGAAGGATGGCATTCAGACTTGGAAGGAGGACTCGAGGGCACTCATTGGACGTTCATACAACCGCAATCATCTTTACATCTGGCATGAAGCGCATATACTTTGAATGCTTGATTCACTCGGATAGCGGAGAATTATTCCATCCTTTCTTGCTTTAGATACCTTGTCTCCTTGGTGATGGAGTAAGGTAATAACGGATGGGCATATACCCATGAATTAGATTTACGTGCTAGGAGAGTCCACTTTAGACTGCAGTGAATATCTATCGTACATTCCTCCATATAGATACTCAAAAGATCCCATTTTGTCTGTCACTTCAGTACTCTGTATTATCTAGGAGAATAATCCCAGCCTTGTTCGTGTTTCCAGTACTCGGCAGGCTCCCCGCACTAAGGTGTCATGAGTTCAGTGACCGGACTTGACTAAGAAGTCGAACCGTTTCTAGAAAGACGCTGTGCTCCAATTTGTGTCTTGAAGATATGCCATGCGCTTGCCTGGAATTAAAACTGAAGGCCCTCAACCGGGGCACAAGTCTCATAAGCGTCCTTACAATATTGATTTGCTTTTAGCAATATCTTTGAAGAACGTGCAATCAAACTACAATTTGGGTTGGTTATTTAAGGTGCAGCAACCCCGAAATAGTCAGCTAAGAAAGGCGTATGGAAACGGCATTGACCTTAGTAGGCACCCCAGCTCCTATTCATATTGAAGCCGAGCACTCCGTACGGAATACTTGGCACCACTCGGTAGTAGTTTTCTAGTATTCCGTCCCCGTGTCAAGTATTAGGTAACCAGAGCAGCCATTGAAGGTAGTTAACATCACAGCCAATTTCCTACCTAGTCCTTAGAACTGAGTCATACAGCGGAATTATTTATAACCTCCAGCATCACATTGCGGTCAATGCAACCATTTTATGAAGACAACCGCCATGGTTGAAGATTCCGTCTGCGTCACTGAATCGTCGCTGTCCAATGAGTCCGAGGGAGCCCGGACTTCTCATACAAGCTCCATGGTGAGTAGCGAAGACCAAGCGGCAACGAATAGACCTGGTCTTGTGCAACCAAAGGAAGTCGTTGATCTTACCCTGCAATTTCTGTCGACGTCTAGCAATGAGGCTCTTCTGTGCGTCTTCGCATGTTTGTTAGGCGCAACATTCGTCCTTTTTGGAAGACTTGGCTTGCTACTGATTGGGATCACTAGTGGTGTCGTCTTGCATGCATCGTGGGAAGGAGCTGATTATGACTCTATCGACAAGCCCTTAAAGACAACAGGTCCGAAAAGGAGGGAGCTCGCACTGGATGTAGCTGGCAGACTACTCGACTGGCCCAAACGCGCGGCTCATGGATTTGATGTCGGACAGAATAGCTTTGAGCAAATCTCGCCCGAGGACAGTTCCGTCGATATTGATTATTCTACCTTAGGCCCCGTGACAGCGGCTGCCTTAAGATCAATGACTGATGCAGTAATGGCGGATTATGTGAAGTAAGCTTTCACCTTTACAATGTTTCGTGCGCTTACCAGACCTTAAAAGCTCCTGGTCTAGAGCGATCTTGCCATCCGAAACGACATTCCCCCTCTCCTGTCGGAAATTGTTAACCGGATTTATCTCGTCCCTGTCATCGCATCTTTCTCGTAAACGCCCTGCTGACACCTTGCTGGAACTTCTGACTAATACGTCTTCCCTAATCATCGTGTTCCTGAATGAGCTGTCTGCGATATTCGAATCCGTTGAGTCCTCAGATCCGCCAGAACAGGTTGTTTTGCGTTATCTAGAAACATCCCCAGGGAGTGGTCTAGCGAATATCTTAGCGGAAGAACAACAAAGGAAGAAACTCAATCTTATAACAGATGACATTCTGTCTAGCTTTCTGGACCCAAATGTCTATGGATGCCCGCTTTTGAAAAACTTCATCCGCGAAATGTTGGCCAGCGTTCTCTTCGAGTCGGCTATTTCAAGTCTCTCGAGACCTGAAATTATTAATGGGTGGATCATATATCTCCTCAGTGAAGGCAAGTCTGAAATAATGACTGCAATAGACGCTGGCGTTGAAGGGGCCCAAAAACAAGGCGTCGCCGCAACCAGGTTTTCTGACAACGTAAACTACCTTTCATCAAAGGCAGTGGGTGACGCGATTTCGGACTCCAGAATCACTGGCAAAGACATTCAACACGAATCCACAGACGTCGACAGGGCAACGGTGGAAGCCAAGATAGAGGCCAAGCGTCTCAGTGACATGATTGCAGTGCATGAATTGCGAAAACAAAGCCTAGAGAAAGCAATACAGGACAATGTGCGAAAGGATGTGGATGTTCGGGATCACGGTGAAAACAGTTTGCCTGCAGACAATAAAGGGGACGAAATTCGGTTTTGCGAGCAGTTACATGGTGATACAGGCCAAAGACACACTGGAAATGAATCTCAGCCTCGACTGGAAGAAGCCTCTGGGTTGCCTCAATCGCCGCATTTCGGGAACTTCTCCCCACTGAAAGCGTCAGCGGAGCCATTGACTCTTTACGGTGCATCCATAACGGTAGAAACCGACTCTGATGTCACAGGGAAGGGGCTACTTCGCTCAAAACCGACGTCGAGTTACCTGATCCAAATCGAACCTATATCAGCACGTTCTACGGGTTGGATGGTTTTCCGGAAGTATGATGATTTTGAACCGCTCCACGAAACCTTGGAGGCTATCTCGAGATTGCACAAGATCCGAACATTCGCAGAAGACCACCCAATTGTACCTCTGTGGAAAGGCCAGACGAATTCGGATTTGGCCAAGAACTTAGAACGTTATCTTCAAGGTGCTCTTTGCCACCAGTCTCTGGCAGAAAGTGAAAGAATGAAACGATTTCTTGGGAAAGATGAACACCTCGGATCTGAATCCACCAAACCTTTCAGCAAAGCTGGATTCCCCTTCCCAAGTCAAACCGCACTTGGGAATGTAGGAAAGGGAGTTTTAGGTGTGTTAACTAGTGCACCCAAGGGCGTATCAGAAGGTGGAAAGGCCGTCTTGGAGGGCGTGACAGGGGTGTTTGGCGGGGCCATCAGTAAAAAGCCTTCACCAGATCTGGTTGCAGATGATAGAGTCAGTCCTTTTGATTTTTTCCCACATCAAAATGAGCCGATCAATCTCGGCTCTCCGGAGGAGTTCGAGGATTCTGCAAGAACAGCGACCGCGCTCGGGTCGAAATGCCCTACGCAAGACCAGCCTCCTTCACCGAAAATAATTGACAAGCCCGATCTACTTGTTGAGGAAACGAGTTCAGAAGCTACTAAATTTACAAAGGATCTTTCAATGCTTATGCCTGAAAGTTCAGTCCAGACTGCGAAATCAGAACCTATGACTCCTTCACACGCGCCTTCCTCCCCTGGGCACAATAACCCAACCGACCTACCGCGTGCTCTCAATGGGAAACAGCAGGTTTCTCATGCAGGCAAAGGGCAGGTGCCAGGCGCTGGATTAAGTGACCTCAAGAGTCAAACCAGTCCTATCACGCAGGAAGAGACCCGTATAGCAGTGGAACTCATATTCGCGGTAATCAATGAACTATTTACTTTGTCTTCGGCCTGGAACATACGTCGAACTCTATTGAATGCGGCCAAATCGTACATTTTGCGGCCCGGTAACCCTCATCTGGAGACGATCCGTGTGCTACTACAGGAATCAGTGATCGATTCTCATACATCGGATGAGGCAATTGGGTTATACCTCAATAAATTGCGAGAAAATTCCCTTCCAACAAGGACTGAACTAGAAAACTGGCCTTCTCCCCCGGATGATGTTGAAAAAGAACGCCTGCGAGAGACAGCTCGCAAAGCCTTCATCCAAAGAGGCCTACCGCAGGCACTTACAAGCGTTATGGGGGCAAATGCCAGTAAGGAAGCTCTAGGGAAGGTCTTTGACTGTCTTCAGGTTGAGATCGTTGCTCGGGGATTTGTATTTTCTCTCATCTTGCAGGGTCTGAAGGCAGCTATTCTCTAATATCGTACTATCAAGATCAAGGATAGAACACTGGAAGGATTTCCTTTCCACGAACTTTATGAAATTACGCTACACGGTATTGATTGTGAGCACGGACAACTTGAGCCGGCATCGCACATGTACATTGGCATAGCTGTCCCTCTCTATTGCTTCCTAGTCTTGTACTATTAAACTTTTTGATTATTGTAACTCTTTGCTGTGGTGAAGATACTGTTTTAGTGTGAATAAGTTAGCTATAACAGCCGAACCTGAGTCACGTGATATTACATATGGTAGTGAATTAGTATAAGACCTGTTAGCAAGGCCTTTGCAGCGTGGGTAATCCTATTACTTCTTCTGAGAGACTCGGTCAATAAGCTACTTACTCTCGCTTCCTGCCAGGTCATTGAGTCTCCGTCCTTGGTCATTTTTCAATTATGCCGCTCAGGACCAAAAAGCGCAGCCCAGACGCTGAGAGTGATCCGATGATCGAGGACGGCCATCCGTCGACGAAGAGGACAAAGACCAAAGTTCCTAGGGAATATGGAAACCTCGGTTCTGTTAAACAATATGTCAGAGAGGGTAAATTTGACTCGAATGGCGACCGTTATTGGGAAATATCAAAAGCACGCCGTGTGACCGTTTCATCTTTCCGAGGAAAGACCATGGTCAATATAAGGGAATACTATGAGAAAGATGGCCATGAGCTTCCAGGGAAGAAGGTGGGTAGCTTTCCCTCTATTGAATCACCTGTTTCGTGCCTCATCGTTTGCGCAGGGGATTTCTCTTCCGATGGATCAGTTTTCCTCCCTAGTGAGCTTGCTACCTGACATCGAAACTGCTCTTCAAGAAAACGGGGAGTCAATTTCTCGACCGAACTATGCTAGTGGTAGTAGGTTGGATGTTGACAAGGATGGAGAAGATGGCGACCCGGGTGATCTCCTAGACGCAGAAAACTCTCGCAAGAATATCGAAGCGACAAGTGAGGACGATAGCGACGAGTAGGCATACTCATCCAAATAGGCAGCCCAGCATCTGTTGTTAACCACCCCAATCGTTCCAAGGCAAAGAGCCTACTTTTTACTTGTTTTTAAGATTCTGCAAAGGTACTGTTTTTCTATGAGGTCGTCGCCTTGCTATTATGCAGAGTTGAACACGAGATGATATCTCTATTCAAGAGGTTGACTATCTGTGATATGAAATGGTATCTTGCCGAACCTTCTTAGCCCTGCGAGAATTGAGATATACTTCTACTCTGCTCGCATCGTGTCCATATAACTTGTGCCACTTGAGATCTTCGTTTTGCTATTGCTTTGCCTCTTGGTCGTCTAGTTTTAGTTGCTTTAGCATCTTTAACGGGGCCAACCTTATTGCCAGTCTTAGTATATATGAGTGGTCTTGTGCAGCATACGAATCTTAGAAGGAGACATACACGTGATAGGAGGCAGATGTGCTGGCGGCAGACAGACAAAGGTCCCCCTACAAATCCAACTGAAATAATACCGGATTCTAGTAAGTATCAATTACAATAGTGTCAAGTCATTCCATGCTATTCCTTCATTATGTGTTCTGACACCCAACAAGGCTAATATAATTTACTAGCCTTGTAGTCAACCGTGGGGATACAGCTGCGACGGGGTCAAAAATTAATGCGAGGGTGTCAGCAACCATCTAGATAGATATGCTGCTAAAGACCTTGTTTTCCGGTTGACATATTATTCTTACGTTGCTGCTGGTCAGCTGGCGCACGTGTGGGTTGCTTTGAGTAGTCAGAACTCAGAATGCACTAGCTACGGAGTACTCCGTAGTGGCCATACTAATATGGAGCTGCGGTTTCAATTGAACGGGTTACCGTAAATACGCGGTAAGTACGAAAGTATACGGAATACTGGATACTGGATATACTAATTCCAGCTCCATACATAGCGTCACTTGGCGCCTGAGGCTAATTGTCGAAGAGTAGCTTTCTACTTCGTTTATGAAAGAAGAATTATCTAAATTCTGATCCCATAAGCCGTTATATTAGTCAACATCAGTGACTAGTTAACTAATATCTTGGATCTTATATAATAACTAAGTTCTTAATATAGTCTTATCGAAAGTTTGGTGCTTAGCGAATCCATACCTAGTGAAGGAGTTCCCGTCATATCGGACCAGAAAATGGAACACGGATGACGGAACACATAAACCCCCTCCCCCTTTTCCAGCTCTTTCTCTAACACTACATCTTAGTTTGTATTATGCATGGTACTCTAGTACGTTATATCATTCCTTACAACCTTGACTGCTTAAGATTCTCGATTTTGTCAATCTGGATGTGATGATTTGGGGTCTGACCTGTCTTATCCTTTCAGTGACTTGGCTGCTTATCAAAGAGAGTGCTGGTGGTATGTTCTACATAGCGTCTTTGAGCTACGCTTGGGTACTGTTACCAAGAGAGCTAGAAATTTTGCCTATTAGTTACAATCATCTACAAGCTGCGCCGTTGGGCCTGTTTTACCTGGTAGCTAATAGACAATTTATCTAGGATGTTGAAAGTCCCCTTCGTGGACTCCAGTTTCGAGTCCGAGCTCAATACCTAGTCACCAACTTTGCCAAGTTTCCTATCAGCAGACACCGGCCAAGAAAAAGCCTCCTAGGTGATTGAACTACTTTGCTTGTCAATTAACATTCCTGTACAAATCATCTGCCTGCTGCTATGCACCGGGATTGAGAAGGTCTTCATGATTCTGAGAGAAAGGATGTACATGCCTTAATCCTCAGCCTGCTGTTTGCATCGACGATACATTATGCCATAAAGAGAACGCTCTTACTAGGAGAGTTGGAGAGCAAGAGAGCTGACAACAAGTTTGCATGAACTTTTTCAGGTTACAAAATTAGCCGGAGCATACCAACCTCCAGTGATTGAGGAGATTCTGTTCCCTAGTCCAGTCGCATTCATCAATTCACCAGACGTGTTCGCAGTTGCGACAAAGGCTCGTTTCAACACAATAGGCCCTCTGCTATTCCATCTGGTTACAGAGTCTCTCTCTCCCACTTGACCACGGACAAAGTTGCCTGCAATACTTTCCCTGCCCTCAATCAAACACAATCATACAACCGGAGAAGCTGATTTTTGGCTCCGCACCTGACGAATCAGCCCCGCGTTTACCCGCCAACTCACCGCAGGCTATGTCGAAGTTGAAAGAATTAGACGGCGCGGACTATATTTCCAGACTCGGTTCAGTAACACCGACAAAATCTTCTTTGTCGCAGATTGGGAAGTCACTAGGCGGACCGGACGGTAACCATATCCGGGAGGGACTTGGCAGTTTGAACCGCTGGTCACAGTCCACAGCATCTAGCAGAAGTTCGCCAGACTATTATCGTCGACTCAATGAATCTCGAGTGTCTAGATCCCCATCCCCGTCCGCCGGTCATGGTGACTACAGTAACGATATTGAGGGCTTGACTTCTAAGGGTCGCATGGCCCCGGAGACGAAATTCGAAACGCATGATTGTCCCCAGGTGCTAGGAACGTCGAATAATGATGACCGACTGCCCAGACATAACCCTTTTCAATTATCAATTGCGTCAAGCCATGGCCTTTCACCACCATTCTCAGTCGACGTTGTAGCTGGAGCAACAACACAAGGGATGCATCCGGCATCTTCCGAAGTTGCTAGAATACCCCCCAACTTGTTTCAAAATCCCTGGATGAAGGAGCACGAGATTAAATCCAATTTTGATCAAAAGTCAGGTGGAGACAGTTCTATTCGCCCCATCATAGAGGCACACAGTCCACGTGCACAAGGTCCTGAGGCTTCTCTCGAGGACAGTCCACGGTTATTTTCTGGACCAGAAAATGGCCAGGAGAAGAGAAAGCGGGGCCAGTCACAAAAAGCAATGCTCTCGAAAGCGTTGCAGAAAGCGAACACGGCCGTTCTTCTCGATAACGCGGCAAATTTTGAAGGGGCCATGGAGGCTTATAATGATGCGTGTCAACTACTACATTTGGTAATGCTCCGCAGCGATGGAGGAGAAGATGAGAAGCTAAAGCTTCAAGAAATAGTGAGTTTTCTACCTGAAATCACGCTTCTGTCATTCCTAAGACCCAATTCTCTTAGCGAGATACATATATGATACGAGTCACTGAGCTACAACGTATGGACTTTTCTTTCCGCGATTTGGATAGTAAAGCCCTCCCCGAACGCCCGCCTAGCCAGGAATCGTATGGCGAGTTATCTCATTCAAACCATGACGACAGGATAGAATCATCATTCGGGGAGGAACCTATCTCTTTGCAGCGCAGCTCTCATGCTCGGCCGGTTGATTTGCCAGAAAGGATAGCGCCTGATTGGGATCGCACAGAACGTCAGTCATTGTTGCCCTCGCTGCTAGGTGACAGTACTCAGATTGCAGCCGAATCATCCGATTCAAACAACCGCTTTCTGGCTGGAGCATCGCGCGGTATTTTAGAAAATGAGTCTATGGGTGCTCCCGTGTCAGAGTCCCTAGTTTCAGGAGTGGATACCGCATATGGTGCTGTCCAGTCTGATCTGTCCTTATTGAGCAACCATGCGAGAGATGTTAATGAATCAACGTCTTGGCTCGATACTATTGATGAATCCGGTGCATCTTCCCCGGCCTCTATGCACTCAGAAGCGTCATCGCTATATTTGCGGCATAGGAGAAGCTTCCATCCGGCTGTCGGCACCGAGGCCGAATTTGATGCTGCCCTTGATGCTGCTGTGGAGGCTGCGTATGATGAAGGTCTAGAGCCAGCGATGGAGTTTGGAGATGACCGTGACAGCAATGACATCGTGGCAAATGCTCGGAGGAATGTTGAAATGGCGAAGCAGAAAGTAAGGGAGGCTGAACGGGAGGCTCAATTAGCATTAACACGTGGACGAGAAATGCGGCGGATACAGGAACAGACAGCGCTCGACAGTGTCAGAGGGCTTGAGTTGGAATACCTGGATGAAGAAGCAGAAGAAGAGGAGCGCTTGCTAGAGGAAATGACTAGAGGCTATGTGATGGACGATTTCGAATTCGGCATTCAGTCAAAGTCTGCTCTTCCCCGCCAGTCAGGTTCGGGCACCTTTCCCGGAAAGATGTGGGAGAGCCTAAATAGCTCCAACGCCATGACAGCTTCTGCAACTTTATCTCCCCTAACGGAAGATGGGACCCTGTCCCTAGCCGATGAAAAACCTCCCGAGCCTAGCGTGTCACCCTCTTTAGGCCGTGACGCTCTCTCGGTTTCGACGAAGCCAGCGCTTGGCCCGATCTCAGCGCCTAGTGTACGAGCACGAAGACTGTCTAGCCAATATACCACGGAACTGAAGATCGAAACAAATACGGACCCGCTAACTTTCCGACCCCAGCCAGTCCCCAAAGATGAAATGGCGTCAAGTTCTGGTTTCCATCAACAGAGCAGAACATTGGGCCCTGCTTCTGCTCTACGATCAGCTTCTCACCCAAACAAACGGAATGTCTCTGTTGGGTCTTTTAACGAGGACCCTTCGGGTAACGCGGGTCTGGAAAAGGTCTTTTATCGCGACGACAACGACCCTGGACCGTCGAAACTTCCATCTCCGACCCGACCCATCGGTAAAGTGCCTTCAGCTCCGGACAATCTGGGCAAACTCAATACAGGCCTAGCATCTTTCCGGCTGAGAAATGTATCGGTTTCGGGACCTGAGCCATCTGCCGAATCGCCCAATACTCCGTCAAGCAATGCGTTCCCTGCCTTCGATACGCACAAGGGACCGATGGCTGCTTCGATACAAACCATGCCTACACCAACCGCTACTAATATATCTGCTAACGGCTTGCCGAGTGGAGGACTCAACCTGTTCGATAGCCATATACATTCGCCCACAAGTCCTGGATCCCCTAATCTGATGGCCGCTGATGCCCCTCTTCCGTTGGAGCCATGCCCTGAATCGTTCCTCCTGCGCCCGTTTTGGCTAATGCGATGCATATATCAGACAATTTCCCATCCCCGTGGAGGCTATTTGTCGACGAAGCTGTTCATCCCACGAGATGTGTGGCGCGTTAAGAATGTGAAGATCAAGGCAGTTGAAGAAAAAGTGTCAAATTGCGATTTACTAACAGCAGCATTACTCAAGCTAGCGAAGGTTGACACTTATGATGCCGATGCTGTTTTGGAGGAAATGCAATCATTGGAGGGTGTTCTTGACCAGGTGCAGATGTCGCTGTCCAAGAAGATAGGGAGTGAGGTTGGTGTGCAGGGAGCCATGCCGCTCTTCAAATCCGCTCAAGCTTTCGAGGATACAGCAACTCTCGATGCATTACCTTCTAAGCCTTCGAATGGCCCGAGTAAGTCTTATCTGACTTCCTGGCGCAAGTTACGTTCCAAGAATTCCGGGCTTGGTGCTACGACCTCGTTGCCCGCATCGAAGGATTCAAGTAAAGACAATTTGACAATCAATACCATCCCGATGACGTCTATGCCCGCTTCACAGCATTTGAGGCGTAGTACGTCCCAGTTGCAATACAATGGACCCAATAACTATATGGGAGCTCTAGCACGGCTCTGTGATGCGGCTCAAGTACTGGGTAAGTGCAAACCGGCCTCTTTTTTAGATCATCTTAGCAGTACTAATTTCAGCTTTTCAGACCAAATTGCTCAACAGGTTGAAGACCCGGGCCTCAAGCACTCGTCTCCGACGTTAGTCGGTCTGGAATTGAGCACTCGCCATGCTGCAGAGTTCTTCGGATTCTACATTTGCCGGTTTGCTCTCAACGATATCGGCATGATGCTTGATAAATTCATTAAAAGAGGCAGTGAGTGGGTACTTATTTGACGACTTGGATTTCGTCATGTATCTTCGAAATTTGTCTTTGCCTTCCTAATAAAACCCAAGACGTGAGGTCTTTTACACTTGTTTCTGCTTGTACACTGTTTATTTTCTATAGTAGTTTGCGATAGACTTAGTCGCGGAGTATTCTACCATTACACTGTTTCTGGGAGAATGGTAAGCCATGTGCATATCTCATGTTTCCACCTCAATCCGGATCCACAATGTGCACCTGCATGCTGTGTTTTACGTACGTGCAACTAACGGACGGTGGGCAAGGTTCTCTTCGTGTTATATCATATCACACCGACTAAGAGCGTGTAGGGTTGGGAGCCTGCAAGCTAGTTTCCCTTCAAGTTTGCCCTGCCTGCCGATGCAAGGCATATTTGACGCCTCTTTTCCGCATCACGAATGATCTCAGCAGATAGCTTTAGGCTTGGTGCAAGCCGCGCATACCTGCCAACTTCTGCTATGACGCTGGAAATTATCCTGTCCAATCGAATTGTAGGAGGTAACAGTAATGAGAGAGCAGGGGACATGGTTGCTCCCATTATCAATAACGTCTGAGAGACCATGGAAAGGGCCCCTTGCCACAGATATGGTAGGTGGCCTTCGCGATGCCTACCTATATGCTCGAGTTGATTCAACGTCGCTTCCAAGCACCGCAGGCAGCAATCCTTTACCGTTGGGTCAGCGCATGCATGTTCGTTTTGGAAGACCGCTAAAATATAAGGCCGATAAATAATCGTACGGCAGGCGAAGTACCGGAGTCTTAGTACGGTCTGAACGGGGCTTGGTGCTGGAGCCCCGGATAAAGGAAAGCGAACCGGTTGCGGAAGACCCTCATACCATTGAGAAAGCTGGAAATCCAGCTCTGAGGCGATGGGTCCGAGTGATGCGAGTGTCAAGATACTGTCCTTTTGGTAGAGCATATGACTGACCCTGTTCAGCAGCCTTCTTAAGGCAATTTCAGCCAAGAAATACCAGAGCTCATCATGACCGATCATCATGTCTACTACTTTGTCTCTTTCTTCGTCTTCTTCATCGTCCTCCTGTTCAAAGCCGCCTGGAAGGTCAACGAGCTCTTCGAAATGCACAATCCCCGAATGTGGTAGGTCTAGTTCCGCTAGCAAATCGCTTTCGAACAGGAGGGTGTTCCAGTATACTCTTGTACCAAGTTCCTTCCATTGCGCTGGAACACGAGAGGGGTTGCCAAAAAGCAATTGTAACTTCATGCTAGCATTCGACAGCAGCGTCCAAGCCTCAAGGGGCCTGACCATGTAGAATAGATATGCAGATGCTAAGATGACGCACTGTGCTGCAAGTACAGAGTTGCGGGTCATAATACCCGGCAGAAGGCACCAGGCAGCAGCAAAATATGGCAGCCCTGGTGGTTCCTTGTCTGGAGAAAGGCAGGATATGCTCCCATATTGACTTGCACAACCCAGTGCTAAAACTAAGAGAACAACACAGCTTTCTGGCCCTTTCTGAAAGTCCAGAGAAAGAGCCGTTTTGTAGTACCCCGACCATGTCAGTGGATTGACACAAGCGTACCACACATTAACGCGTTCGAAGAAGAACCGGGCGTGCGTGAACGCATTGGATAGATCTAAACCCACGGGGGGTTCGATCCGGAGCGGCTCACGAGCCATTTCCAGCTGTAGGAGGGTATGTGGATCATAGGGTACAGCGACCAGCTCTCGGATCAGAGGCCATTGCAAGAGGTGTAAAGCAGGAGTGGTATGTACTCTCGGCATAGTTGAGATACTTGTTGGTGGGTTTGCCCACGAGCCAAGTCCCACCGCAGTCGCCCTGGCCGGCATGGCAGCAAGGTTGGACAAATTGGCTACAGTATCATCGCCTCCGAGACGAGCATGGGTGGCAGCCGTCGAAGAATCCGAGGATAGGGGAGAGTGGCTGGTGTGGTCCGAAACTTTCGATTGGAGTAAGCCTTCTATTCTGTCCAGCTTCTCGATTATCAGCTTGTCGCCGGCATCTAGCTTGATACCCGGCTCTCGATAGACACAGCCTGCATCCAGGTCTACACAGAGCTGACATCTTGGACGGGCCCCATTACATCTCGTTTTTCGTAGACGACAGATCTGGCACTATCAAAGCCCTCATTTTCAGCCAACAGAAGCGCATGGTCGCCGACATGGGGTGAAAAACAGAGAAGCGCGGGGACCCAACGTACTGCTATAGTGGCGCGCCTTCGGGGGTACTCAGTGCCTTCCGAATTGGTACGCTTTTTTGCTAAGTTTGCGTCAAGAATGACATCGCTGTTCATCTCCGGCGGAGGCATGGTTCCAGCTACCGGAACATGCAGAGAAGCAGAGCCTATACAGACTGTGGATAGCTTTGACAGTGCGAGGTCAGCAATTCTGGTTGAATCTCACAGAGTCAAAGAGGGGGCACCGTGCTTGATACTTGGATGGATCGACGGCAATTCAGGATATAGAGAGGTGCGTGGTGATATAACTCTAATTGTGCAAACGAGACAGGCTGCCTACAGGTGTTCAACGTTGTCCAGTCGAAGATAGCTTTTGTGAAATGCGGGGAAGAGGTTCCTTACCTACTTCGGCACGGACACTAATTACCGGCCCGTGGGTTTCTATATCTAGCAGGTGCTCGATACTTTATGAGCGTCTGGAGATGCCTATCTCATAGCATCCTTCGTGATAGTACATAAAGCTTTCTTCGTCTAGATTAGTGTACATACATAAGTCATCATCTTGTGAGAGCCAAGTCTACATATCTCGCCGAGATTCAACAGACCGGACTCCAGCTAAGCCTGAGTCTGCGCGGCTGTTCTTCTCTATACTGTTGCCTCGCTGTGGGTTGGTGGTAGTGGCCTGCCCATCACCACTTCCCCGTGTATTGTAGCTGCTGCTAGCTGTATCATATTGGTGAGCGGAAGACCCTTGGCCGCCGTCAACAATGTTTTTGGACCCGATAGCAGAAGAATGGGGGCCGTTGTTACCACTGTTGCCAATTTCAGCATGGGGATCGAAGGTCTTGGTAGTCGTCGGGCCGGCACTGCCAGAGATAGGGATAACACCCGCAATCCCATTGACCTTTTCTCCCGTGATATCACTATCTTGGGTTCCTTCAATTCGCTCCCCCTTTCCCTTGTTTGCACCTCGTCTTTCATCATGACCCCCCTCTATGTGAGGGCCGGTCTTATCCTTAGCATTGCTCGGTTGGGATTTGGCTTCCGTATTAGACACTGGCCCTCTGGTGCCATCAGACAAATTGGCAGTTTCCGGGATATTGTGCTGGGGCGGGTAGGAGGGCAAAGAATGCTGAGAGTATTGGCCCCCTTTGTCGTGGGGATATTGTCCCTGACTTGATTTTGTAGGACTTTGGCTGTAGGAGCTAGTTGGAGAGACACCAGAAGTATGTCCATGCCGATCATCAGCAATGCCACGACCAACCGTGTCGACAATGCTGCTGGAATCCGAACCATTTCCCGGTTTGCCATAGGAGTTGCTGCCGGTATTGTTCACGGAGTTGTAGGAATCTATGTTACGGCACGAGTCTGAAGCACGTGTGCCAAACGTATGCTCCGTTGCTTCAATGTTGTAGGAGGGATCATCGATCGGGTCCATGATATTGGCCATTTTGTATAGCTCAGTGAATAAAAATAGATTTATACGAGATTTCTGAGAAGAATTATGGTATATGGGAAATCGAGCCGGAGAGGTCGTTGCAAATGCTCTTTCAGATGCCTGGCAATGTCATGGTGAAGAAGGGGGGTTTAAGTATACATGCAGTCCCCATGAGAAGTGGGGATGACGTAGATGTAGACAGGTACTCTCGCACTATGGTGATTGATGCTCGCTGGCCCTTCAGGGACAATGACGTATATACAAAATGGTAGACAATATGTAACAAGTACTCCGTTACGGATAGATATCTAGACTTATTCACCAAGGCTACAGCATGCTGTCATAGCCCCTGAGGTAACTTATCGGCATTGGTCAAACGAGCGGAGTTGCATGCACACCTCTCCACAAAACCCTGGAGATGATGTCCTCTGTACATCATGGCCCACTATGAATCAAAGAGCCCCGAACCCGACAGTCGAATTTACCCTCACCGTTAAAGGCTCAATTCTAGTCCCGTGACTGTTTAGAGAAGGGGCACTAAATACGATCCAGAGACTACACACACAGTACTCCATCATAGTACTATTATCCTGTATAGGCGTGACATAGTAATAGTACTACTACTATGGACTGTAGTTGTCGACTGAAACCCCCAGATATATGGAGTACCGTTATAGGTGAGAAACGAGGATGGACAGCATTAGTACGGAGTAGTGAATAACCCCGAAGTACGAAGTTACCTGACGTGGAGGGACCCCACCCACACGGTGCAGGTCTCGGGAGCCGGCGCGCGTCTTCTCACCAAAACAAGGTGACGCGCAAATGCTTCCGTGGTTACCTAGTGCTAGCTGCTAATACCATGGTCCATATTGAATTTCACTGATCACCCTGCAACTCCTCAATCAGACCTAAAATATCGTGATCTCTCTCTCATCGTACGCATAACTCCCTACTCACCTTTCGGTAGCACATTGTGCCTGGCTCGAAGCTAAGGGGGATATCCGTAGGCGTTCCCTACACCAAGTCCTTCGCCATACGCAGGCTATCTTCATTACTGGTTGAAGAGGACAACGCAGAAGATACCAGCTCACTTGGCTCAACCTCGATCCGCTTCTTACGGGATTAGGAGCTTGAGAGGCTCGATTCGAAATATGCCGAGGCCGCCGACAAAACGCAATCGCTTGACATCCAAGGCTCCACCAGCCGCGGAACAGATTCACCAACAAAGCTCAGGACGACGTGGTTTATCATCAACGGATGATCCCGATTCCCTGGCGGATACAGATCAGGCCATCGGAGTTTTCTCAAGCGCCCAGGCCTCAGACATCCAACGGCAATTGAAGAACCAGACACCCATGGCTAGAGCGCAAGAACATGCGATCGAATCATCGCCCATGGGTGAGCGTGGAGCCACAGGTAGTCGTCCAGTTACAAGAGCTCGTGGTTACTCGTCTACCCTTTCTGTTGCTGGTCGAAAGGGCGATACGGGTTCCAAAGTTCCAGGTACTCCCGCTTTCGAAAATTCGATATTGAGTAATTTTAGAAGAAGGCCCCGCCAACCTAGCATCTTGCAGATGATGCAAGCAGATGACGATTCTTCTGACCTCGACGACGATGTTTTCCTCGGCAGTTTGAGTCCCGAAGACGAGTCTACCCCCTTGAATCTTTCGAGGGGTAGGTCGCTCCTGATCGAGCAAGCTGCGTCGCCATCGGCGTCACCTAGTCTTCAAACATCATGCAGTGGCGCATCGCGCAAGCGAAAGCTATCTACTGAGGGGCTACAAGTACATCGATCTGACCCGGAAGTCATGGAGCAATCTCCTGCTACCTCGCCTAGTTCGCACGACTGGCAAAACAGGCCTAGGGTGTCTGTGGATCATCCTCAAGTCCTGAACTCTCCTGACACATTCAGCCAAACTCTGGCGCCGCCTATGAGCAGCAGCCCGCCACTCAGCCCGATACTTACTACCTCGATGCCCGAAATGGCAAAGCCGAAACGTAAAGACAAGCCCGCTGAGCTGGCCACCAGTAGAAAGATGATCTTACCGACGGCAACTCTTCAGGACAGGTTGCTACCCCGGAGAAACCGCCCGCAACGTAAACGCTTCGGTACGAGCGGTTGTGAGGCTGCCGAGGATTTCAGTGATGGCTATCGTTCCGCTACTGGGGATGATGATGATGATGAATTATACTACCTTCCGTCCAGGAGGCCGTCCCGGGCACAGAGAAAACAAGCAAACAAACAAAACCCCGCGGAAATTACCATGACCGCGCAGGAAATGCAAGAGACAGCAGATAGTGTCGGGGTCCAGACAATGGGCGGTCAGCATTCTCCTGCGCAGCCAGATGCCACTGCAGACAAGCTCCCACAGCACGTGAAGGGAGATAAAAAGATGGCATCCGGACCAGGTTCGTTGAAAACCGCGAATTTTGACAAGAAAACTCAGCCAGTCGATACATCACCATTGTCATCACCTTTGTCATCTCCGCCAGATTCAGATATGTCCGAGTCAGAGTCTATGCCAGAGCCAACTTTGGACAGCCATTTTCTTAGTGAAGAATTGATGCTGCAGGCGAAGAAATTTGCAGATGTTGATAAGTGGCAGTTAGATTTCGAAGACGTGGTTCCTCCTGACAGCCAAGGCAGTGATGCCTTCAGATAGCCGATTAAATGTCATAGATTAACGTGGTTTAGCATGCACCGATCTCGTTTCGGATCTGATGGAGTTGGCCGAAAGAAAATAGGAAAGAATGAGCTTTTGGGCTTTATAAGTACACGATTCCCGTATCGGTTCATTCAAGATCGAAAATTTCAGCGAATGGTCAGATGTGCACTAGTAGTCAAGAACCTGGTACAGAGTACGATACCCAGGTGCCCAGTAACCCAGATAAAAGAGTACCCTACACCTCCCGACGAGGAGATAAGTAGAGCGACGATAGCCGGTAACAAAATTGTCCAAACCGGACCCCGCAACTTGACCCCGCCGCAACTTCTTCAACGTCTCCGATATTCCTCTACAGCCATTCAATACAAGGCCACATTCAGAGGTAAAAGAGGAAAAATAGAAAGAAAGAATAGCCATGACAAGCTTGGACTCCATTTTAGCAGGCAAATATCCTGCCAAAGCCCATGCCCGCCGGGTTGCTGAGCGCCTTGAAGCGTGCGGCCATGGCCGGCATGGGATTATCTATCTCGAAGCGCAGAAAACTCGACTGATAGAAGACAATGATGAGGCGATGCCCTTCAGGTACGGCGCTCCCTTCTGAATCCACTATGCCTCCCCCAGTATCACTTGATCGCTCAATGCTGGAGAGGCTAACCGATCTCCATGGCCCAGACAACGCCGCCCCTTTTTCTATTTGTCAGGGTGCCCGTTGCCAGATTCATACCTGATTTACAATATTGGGGCTGATAAATTGACATTATTCATCCCACCAATTGACCCTGAAGACGTGATTTGGTCGGGTCTCCCTATGTCTGTTACAGAGGCACTGCGACTCTATGACGTCGACCAAGTGCTGCACACGCCCGAGGTGAATGCTACTTTGGCCGCCATCGCCTCGGATGGTGAGGGTAAATCGGTTGCCTTCGCAATCGAGGGCCAAATTTCGGAAGGAACCAAGTTCCATGGATTTCTTAAAACCAATACTTCGGTATTAAAGGGGGTCATTGAAGACACGCGTGTGGTCAAGGATATGTATGAGGTTGCGCTATTGAGGAAGGCGAATGACATTTCTGCAAAGGCACATATCGCAGCTATTAAAGCATCCAAGGCCGCCACTAATGAGCGCGAGATTGAGGCCGCTTTTATCGCAACGTGTATTGCCAACGGCGGTCGTGACCAGGCTTATCACCCTATCGTTGCATGCGGTCAGAATGGGGCCACCCTCCACTACGGAAGGAATGATGACGGACTGGCTGACCCAGTCACTAAGCAGAGGAAATCAAGTGTCCTCATCGATGCCGGGGCGGAGTATCGCACATATTGCGCTGATATCACTCGAGTTTTCCCTTTGGGTGGTAAATTCACCTTGGAGTCACAGCAGATTTACAACATTGTTCTGCAGATGCAGACGGAGACTATTGCAATGTTGAAAGAAGGTGTACAATGGGAGGATGTACATGCACATGCCCATCGTGTTGCAATCAAGGGCTTGCTCGGACTAGGGATCCTTCGTGGCTCTGAAGACGAATTGTTCGACAAGAGAATTAGCGTGGCTTTCTTTCCTCATGGTCTTGGGCACTATCTGGGAATGGACACTCATGACACTGGAGGTAACCCGAATTATGCTGACAAGGACACTATGTTCAAGTATCTCCGCGTGAGGGGCCGTTTACCTGCGGGATCAGTTATCACAGTAGAGCCGGGCGTAAGATCTTCCCTCTTTTCATCATCTCATCTCTGCGGAATGCTTGCTAAACTATTCATTAGATCTACTTTTGCCGCTTCATTATCGCACCGTTCCTAGAGTCTCCTGAAACGAACAAGTATATCGATACCGAAGTTCTGGAGAAATACTGGAGTGTCGGCGGTGTACGCATCGAAGATAATGTTCACGTCACTCAGCATGGCTATGAAAATTTGACAACTGCACCGAAGGCTATAGAAGAAGTGGAAGTTCTAGCCTCTTAGTTGTTGACCTTTGTATCCAAGGTCTGAGGTTATAGGAGTTCTTGCCCCAAGGGATGCAATGCATGTAATGTCCTATGCAACGTTACTTTCAACCACGTCCCATCAAAACGACACATGCATCTTGCTACTGAAGTCTAGTAAGAGTTGTCCTAGAACAGTAGCTTAAAGCCGAATAAACCGCACAAAATATTACCCGAAGTGAGAGAATACGCCCTTTAAACGGAACTAAGGAAACTAGATTAGGTAGTAACCTAAACCTAAAATCTGCGCTAGGTAGTATAGTACAGTGTTTGTACGGCAGCCCTCAAACCGGGAATAGAAAGGACCTGAGGATTGCTCGAGAGAGTGGCAACTGACGTCAGGAGATCGATAGCGGTAGACTGTGAGGGCCTGCGGGATATATTTGGGCGCGTCTCCACGTAGTGGTACCACGAAACACCCCTTTAGTTGTCCGCCTGAAGCCACGTGCCGGCTGTATAGGTAAGGTGCATGGTTCTGTTTGCTCTGACCCAATATGGGGTCAATAATCTCAGATAGAAGCCGCCGTTTGCTACAAACCACTCCTCAGTCGCTTCCTTCCGCTTCCTTTCACAGCAGACTCTGACTCGGCCTTGTCCTGGGCACGTTTCTCCTTCTGGTCGAGAACGAGGTTGAGTACATCGAAGCTAAATTGGGGGACCTCGATACATAATTTGCGGAACTCTTCTTCAGCTTCATGACGCAGGACGTGACTCCTCAAGGCCCAGAATGTCGCTATTGGCTTCCGGATGGTAACGTCATCAACTGGCGTGTTCATATAGACATAGCGGGCATATGCAATCTCGCCATGGGATGTGCTATTGATGCGGTGTATTTTCGAGTGTGCCAGGGTCTTGAGCGACGGGATCCCCAATCTTTCAGCCAGTGTGTATACTCGCGCATGTTTCAATAGCTGTTTCCCACTATCGTCTATTTCTCCCAAAACTGCTTCTTGTTCGGTATGGGATTCAGATTGGGAGGCCGAGTAGTCGCGGGTATACTGGAATTGGAGGAAATAGCCAAAAGCCTCCACATTCTCCTGGGGAAGCTCGATGCGACGCTATCGAGAGTCAGGAGCTGGTTTCACAGGACCATGAGGAAGTCGAAGTGAGACTACTTACAGGGTCCGATTCTCCAAAAGTCGTGACCTTTTCTGCTAGAAAGGGAGACTCCAGAAGCAAGCTCTGGTGTGCTGTTAAGGTAGTTTTCGTCTCTCCTGTTCCTACAACAAGTTCCACGATAGGTGATCTCAGGTAGCTGAAAGAACGTAAGCCGAAGAAGCGTCCAGAGAATGGAAAATACAAAGCGGCCTTCGATAATTGGGGGGAAACGGGCCCTTACTCGAGGAATTGGAGGCCAGGATTCCTCTTTGGAGCTGCTAATTTCGGTTCTGGATCAGCTGCGCCCGCGTCTGGCAGAACGATGTCTTGAGACAAATCAGCCTGGCCTTCATTTACTGCACTAGAAGCCGCGCTCGCGTTCACATCAAAGCTGCTCGCATTCTGTGTATTTTGCGTGTTCTCTTTCTCCGCGTTGCTACCGTTTGAATGGCCCTCGGGCGCTCCGACTTGGACCTGAGGCGCGTCCATGATTTCGGATTGCAGCTAAGTATTCGAGCTCGGACGCGGATAGAACCCAGGATGTCCAGTCAACGCAGCTCGGGTGGCAAGCAGTGAGTTTTCGGATGTGAGTGGACTTGAACTCCACCAACAGAGGCACAATGCCTCAAAATAAACAGATGAGGATCGAAGTTGGTAGAGTGTGTGTAAAGCCGGGGTAAGGAATCTTACAGGGACCACAACAGTACTAGTAGTAACGACGTACATATCTGTTTGTACCTTGTGTAGGTCAGTAGTACGGACTTGGTAAGGTACGACCGGAACCTGAGCTAGACAGGACAGGGCTACAATGATGCATAAAAGCACAGCATATTCTGAATGAATGAGTTTAGCGATAAGGATATCCAATGAGTCAGGCTGTGGCAGCTATCAAACTGGAAAGCATATCCTCAATTGTTTGTGTATCGGCTTTTATCATTTGAGGAGTGTGAGTGCCAGGTCATTGCTCTGTTGATTGGTCGTATCCACACAAGAAGTGCTCCGTACTCTGTGTATGGACTCCGGGCGTGCTCCGTACCTGCATAACCGCATGGTACGGTCAGGTAAGCAAGCACCTAACAAGCTAGCACCTCGGATCCCGCAAGACACAAGGTATGATAGTACTGAAATCAATAGAGAAGGCAGTATGGATTTTGGCACTTGTCTGTATTGTTATTTATAAGGAATCCGAAGGACCAGGCAATCACTAGTGTAGGAGTTGTGCTATAAATTGGTTACGAAGCATACCAGCTAAAATTTACGCGTACGTCGTACAACCCAAGAATCTAAACCTGACCTGCGTAACATTATCATACCGTGCAGTCATATGGCGCCATAATACAATATAACATACCTATAACTGATTAGCATTCCGCAGTGGCTTCTCTTATCAGCCAGTATGGAGTATCGACGGAGTTCCTGAACACTGGAGCCATGATTTGACCACACTAGTGGCCATCCTCAAAAATTCCTACCCAGATGAAGTAATATTTTAATTCTTTTAAGGTGTGGTGGTTACGAAAACACCAACGTAGATCACCATGAAGCTGTGGGGGTTGGAACCATCTACATAGGCTTTCTCTTCGCACATGGTACGAACCCGAGGCTGCTGGGCTTGGACTAGGGATAGGACGAAGTACTCCGTAGGCCGGGTGGTATCACCGGGTGCGGGGCTCGCAGCTTTGGAACATGAATGTAACAGAAATTAAGAGAAGTCCAACTTGGGTACGGACCCGTGCCTTCCGCCCGCAAAAGTCGGATTGATAGGATTGTGGCCTAGTCCTGAGGTGGACTAAAATCCCACTCCAATAAGACAATAAAAGGACAAGACAGAAAAGTTTTTCTTTTACTCATCCGCCTTATAAGAGCGACACATGCTGCAGATTTCTCCAGCTCTACTCTGGCGGACTAGCTTTCCTCGAGGCCCTAAATTATTTACCGGTTTGAAGGCCGACCTTAGCTCTGCGATCCAATTTCGGGGGTCCGTTCAATTACCCCAGATTCACAGACGTAGCATGGCGACTAGCATCAGGTCCCCTAGGGATCCCAATACCCTCAGCAACTACAACGATTGGATCTGTACCCATATCACCGCCAGATTTGACATCCTTTTCGACCAGAAAAAGCTCGTGGGCAGTGTCATCCACAAGCTCAAGTCAGCTACCGACGGCGACTCGCGGGAGATCATCTTGGACTCGAACCATGTGGCAATCGGCGGCGTCACCATCGATGGAAAGCCGTCCAACTGGGAGCTCCTTCCTCCGCTCGAACCTTACGGCTCTGCCCTGAAGATCCAGCTCGAACAAGGCGTGAAATTGAACGAAACGATCGATGTTGAGGTACCTATATAGCCGGAATACTAGGCCATGCTTCTCCTCGTTGTTGCTTGATCTAACATCCCGGACGATCAGATCTCTGTTCAGACCACCGAGAAGTGTACTGCACTTCAATGGCTGACTCCGGCCCAGACGTCCAACAAGAAGCATCCATACATGTGTAAGTGAGCTCGTCCCTCTTTCTCCACCCACATTGTTTGTGACCTACCTTCAAGCAGGACGGGTCCACGGAACATATTGGAGCGGCTGACAGAAGCTACCTTTAGTCTCTCAATGCCAGGCTATCCATGCGCGGTCCATCTTCCCCTGCCAAGATACGCCTGATATCAAGAGTACCATCGACTTCAATATCTCGTCCTCTCTTCCTGTGATTGCCAGTGGCTTGCCAGTCCGTGATGCACTAGGTGTGCAGTCAGCCGAGGGCAAATCCTTGTATCAGTTCCATCAACGCGTCCCGATTCCGAGCTATCTCTTTGCTCTGGCCAGTGGGTAAGCTTGTACACGTCTGTCCCTAATGCTTCACACTTGATACCTGACTCACCAATGATAGTGACATCTCGGAAGCTGCAATCGGACCCCGGAGCGTTGTGGCAACTAGCCCTGACAAGCTGCAGGAGTGCCAGTGGGAACTCGAAGCAGATACGGAGAAGTTTATCGGCGCGATTGAGGTCTGTGTGCCATCTAGTGCAATAGTTCTTTTTCTGACCCAGACTTAGAAAATTGTCTACCCTTACGCTTGGGGCGAGTACAATGTCCTGATTCTCCCACCAAGCTTTCCGTATGGAGGAATGGAGAATCCGATCTTCACCTTCGCCACGCCCAGTATTATCTCCAAGGTTCGATTCGAGAAGCTGCGTTGGGTAGGTAGATTTTGCCTGGTACTGACACATGCCGTTAGGACAGGGAAAATATCGACGTCATTGCCCATGAACTTGCACACAGCTGGAGCGGTAACCTCGTGACCAATGCATCGTGGGAGCATTTCTGGCTCAATGAAGGCTGGACTACCTATCTCGAAAGGCGGGTAAGTTTGTTGTTCCCGATCCTTCTCGCTGGCCGAGGCGAGTACTCCTTAGCACATGCTGATCATGCTCCAGATTCTAGCTGCTGTGTCAGTTCTATATAAGATTATTGCCGCTTGAACCAATTACTGATCAAATCACAGACATGGCGAGGCGTATCGGCATTTCTCTGCCATTATAGGTTGGAAAGCGCTCACAGACTCTGTGGAGCATTTCGGCCATGACCATGAGTTCACCAAATTAATTACGGATCTTAAGGGCAAGGACCCAGATGATGCGTTTTCAAGTATTCCTTACGAAAAAGGCTTCAACTTCTTGTTCCATCTGGAAACACTTGTCGGGAAGCAGAAGTTTGACCAGTTTATCCCTCATGTATGTTCTCGTGTCTCGCGAGCAAACTGCAGTTGCTGATTTGAATTGGCTTTATTAGTACTTTACCGTGTTCAAGGGGAAGTCGCTAGACTCCTACGAATTCAAATCCACTTTGCTGGATTTCTTCCGTTCCGATGCTGAAGCGTCTGAACTACTGGACTCTCTTGATTGGGACACGTGGTTCTATGCCCCCGGGTTGCCCCCTAAGCCCCAATTTGACACATCGCTTGTCGATGTTGTTTATGAGCTTTCTCATAAATGGAAGTCTCTTTCCGATACCTCCTTCAAGCCGCAGCCGAGCGACATTGAGGGATTGAGTGCAAACCAGATCGTGGTCTTCTTGGAACAGATACTCCTTCTTGAGAGGCCTCTTGCACCCGAATCGTCGAAGCTTATGGGTGAAATTTACGGACTCGCCAAGAGTGAAAATATAGAGGTCGCCAACTTGTACTTCCAAGTTGGTCTGAAGGCTGGCGACGAGAGTGTCGTCGGGCCGACAACGGAGCTATTAGGCAGAATTGGAAGGATGAAGTTTGTGAGACCTTTGTAAGCAGCTCCTATGACTGAAATGTTATTATACGGCACTAACGAGGCGATCTAGGTTCCGGAGCTTGCAGAAAGTCAACCGTCCAGTTGCAGTCGAAACTTTCGAAAAGTACAAGGATTTCTATCATCCTATATGCCGAGCCATGGTTGAGAAGGACCTCTTCGGAAAGAAGGACATATAACGATATTGGCAAGTTCTTCGGCTCCCCGACTCTTCGACTCGCGCGTTCCTGGGATGTGCTCGTCCGGGAAACTTGTTCATTCTGGGGTTAATTCATATTGGATATGACCCAACGGGCGGGGTCGTCTACGCTCATTAGCCATCGAAGTGGTAGTGAAGTATGCAAAAACGGCCATGCAAATATGTTGATGGCATCATAGTAATATGTTACACTGTAGACTGTAGGCAAGAGCGTATACGAAATAGCAGGCAGGCAAGAAAGCACTGATAATTAGCCGCTTAATTGTAGTATTACCGCTGGCTATTGACCATCTTGCGGTCGACTTCGGAATAGGAGAAAATCCCCGGTTTCCCACTCTTTTGGCGCTCTAATTGGAAGACCAAGTCGGCCTCATGTACTTGAGAGAGCTCGGAAAGCACTCTTCGCATATATGCGACGACCTGAGCTATCTTCGACCAGTCCAAGTCTTTACCGTCAGGTGCAGTGTGGCTCGCCTTCCACAGGTTTCTCCAGACGGCAGCTCCCAACACGGCATCTCCTTTAATGAGGCCTTCGTCGTAGGCAGCTAGAACACCGCGCCATTGAATGAAAAGATCCTTGAGGAATTTATTCCGAATGCCACGGCTCGCCAAGCCATGGAGTACATCCATGCGGTGTTCGGCATTATGTGAGAAATGATCAATCAGGTGCCGAGAGTAGGTTTGAAGGCTCTCGTGCGATGGCAACGCGCGCAATCGAACCGTCAATAGGTACATGTGCAAAAATGTCACCTGCGACCAAGTAGAAAAGGTAGGAACGAGGCCCAATTCTGCGGATGCGTTCGTCAGTCCCGCACTCGAGTAAAACCCCACCCACGAGATGATGATATCAAGGAACACAAACCTTCATACCACCATCCTTCGCCTACTCCCAAATCTTCTCCAGCGCTAGTCTTAGGAACTTGGGCGCCCTTCTGAGACAATTGAGGTATTTTGTAGTCTGCTTGGTTGGAGCATGCCTCAAAGAGCTTCTGGGTCATTCCGTAAGCAACATAGGTCTCAGCTGTAGTACCGGGGCGTGGTGCAATTGCTCGAGCCAGCTGCGAAGAATTGCGACGACTTTGTGCATGAAGAGCGAAGCTCGAGGCCACTGGTTGTTGCTGCTGACTAGCGCAGTGGCAAGGGACTGAAAACGCTGGAGGGCAAGTTGAAGGTAAGAGAAACCGGCTGGTTGCTTGCACCTAAGAACGGGTGTTCAGTCAGGCAAATTCCCTCCATTGTTCCTATCGGGATGTGAGGCCATACCTGGGGTCTCGGGCATTGAAAATTATAGAAAGCGCGGAGCGACAGATTCTTCGGGCCTGCGGAAGGCATCGTTATGAAATATGAAGCCTGTAGCTGCTACTTGCTTATGATTGATTTTGACGCTCGTCTGGATTCCACGGATCTTTCAAGAGTATCCTCGAGATAGATGATTTCTCGATATCTGGGCACAAGATTGTAGCTACTCCATACTCCGTACTCCGGAGAAGTCTAGAAGCCGGCGGGATCAACGCTGTTTGCACTGTTTGCACCCATCCATTCCGTGTTTGGAGTACGGAGTACATCACATGAAAATACGTACCTACCAATGCAGGGAGCATGTTAAGGTGAGAAGGTATCCGGGTATGAACATCATTTAGGTAAGAACAGTGGCTATCATTATGCAACGATCTGACCCAAGGCATTCACAGAAGGACAGACTATAAGGTTCTTTACTCCGTACGGCCTGATCCATTGGGTCGGGTATTGACACTACCAGTGTAGTGCCGTCATATTCAATTAAAGCGAATTGCCGAGACCCTGGGCGATCTTTTTCTTATCGAACCCGCTTCTCTGGTAGAGGCAATCGCGGCAAGGTCATGGCATGTGGTGACACATGGCGTGCGCTTTTCTATCTGGAACAGCGCTGGCATGAGCTGAGTTGAGTGGCATCGAAGCTCCTCGATGCACCGGAATAAGCAGTCCATGTCTATCGTTCTGACAGATAGAATGGTTGTCGCTCTCATCCCTTGGGTTGATCTCCCTACGTCTACCTGTAGGTGAAACGGTGTTGGGGTGACACTAAGGCCAGGGGTGGTGAGTAACCCCAAAATGGGCGTATTATTCCTTGAGTGTCACCCTCTCTAGACGTTTCTCGACAAGCGGAAGTATTTCCGAGAGTCTATTAGGATCTCTCATGACGGCAGGCACATCGTCTCGCGTTGTTGCTAAGGTCTTTCAACGGATCAGCTCTCTTGGCTTCCGAACTTCATTCGAGTACCTGGAACTGATGAATGCCAGCTTACCTGTCTTACTGCCTCATATTCAGATTCTCTGGATTGGTACTCTCTGATGATCTCCATTTCATCAAAGTCGACATAGATCCTTGTGTCCCGAAGCCGAAATAGAACGTTGTCTAGTCTCATGAAGAACCTCGCAAGTAGCAAAAGTCTGGATGGCATAACTCGAATCTTGCATGATAGCATAGTGATACCGTTATCAGCAAGTTCGTCCTCGTAAAGTATAACATCGTCATAAAACAGTATAGGGTCCGGTCGCTTCAGGAGTTCAATAGGAATGGGCTTTGTTGTTGCTACGAATGGCCGACTCCCAGGCTTGACTGTGCCCGTGTAGTCTGTGGTGTAAGACCAGTCAAAAGGTTTGACAATTTCTTTGATTCCTTCATGAGTCTTTTCCCTAACAGATAGTCAGTCGGCAACATGCGCAACAAAGTGCCCGGGATAGCAATCATGGATGGTTTAGTACCTGCTTTTCTGCCACTCTCTGGAGTATGCGACCTTCAGCATCGATGTTCCGGTTTTGTCCACGCGATCTAAGGCATCAAAGGCGTTGAAGGCCAATCCCCACCGACTCTGCTCATGTTCGATTGCCACGAAATTGTCGCCAAAGATCATCTCAGGAGGGGCGATTCCTAGTGCTTTCGTCATACCCTCGATTGGATCCGCTTTGAGTATCGGCAACTTCTGAGTGCTGATCTTGAATCCCTTGACCGTAACGGAGTTGGGCTTCTGAAAACTGGGCGCGGTGGCAGTACACGCCATACTTGCTGACGCCGCGTTGCTACGTGAAGTCATGCTATGATGCTGGATAGGTCAGAAGTAAAGATGAAGGGCCACCCAAATGAGACGTCAATATGGAGAGTATCGAAAGACCAGAAAGGGAGAGATGTCACTTGGTGGCTCTCCGACATGCATCGTCGCTAACCTCCATGCCCGCCCGACGATAGATAGATGCCATGCCCCGCGGTACCGGAGAAAGAAGCGGTCCGATCCGTTGCTGGGGTGATGGGTCTAGGAACCAAACCCGATAAACATCCGAGCGTTGCTGGACACCTTCCAGGTCTCTTCAACCTTATTAACCACCTCCTCCAGCTTCACTTTTAGACCATCAGTTCCTTTATAGACATTTCAGCCCCGAGGATGGCTTTGTAAAGGCACGATAGTCCGCTCAATAGTCCACCATTTATTGACACCCCCCCACATCGACAACACCCGTCGCCTACAATCTTCCCCTATGGCCTCCAAGACACTGGAAGCGCGCCTCGAGCGCCTCTCTGTCAAAGATGAAAACGACACCGGACATAATGGCAGTGGCTATCTAAAGCCAAAGGTACGAGCCCTAGAGTATGCCTTTAGCCGCAAGCTGGCCTGTTAATGCCATCCGTCAGAGCTCTCTATCAACAGCCATGTCCCATTCAGGTCTCGGAAATGGGGGGCAGTACAACGCCTCTAACCGGTCTAATCTGCTCAAGTTGGCTCTGCAAAACACAAATGAGAACAAAGTCAATGCGATGAACGTTGGTCCATCCCCAACCAAAAGCTCCCAGAATACTCTACCCAGCCGTAACCTGGATGAGAATGGGGAACAACGGCACCCAAATCCACTATATGACCAACCATCACCCAAAAAGCTACATCTTGGAATGTTTGAGATCGGGAAGCCTCTAGGCAAAGGGAAGTTTGGCAGAGTATACCTGGCCAAGGAACGGTCTTCTGGTTTTGTGTGCGCGCTCAAGGTCTTACATAAATCTGAACTGCAGCAAGGTGGAGTGCAGAAGCAAGTCCGCCGAGAGATTGAGATTCAGAGCAATCTCCGTCATCCGAATGTCCTCAGGCTCTATGGTCATTTCCACGACAGCAAACGGATCTTTTTGATTCTTGAATTTGCCGGCCGGGGGGAGTTGTACAAGCACCTTCGAAAGGAACATCGATTCCCTGAATGGAAGGCTGCTCAGTACATTGCTCAAATGGCTGCCGCCCTAAAATATCTTCACAAGAAGCATGTCATGCATCGTGACATCAAACCCGAGAATATCCTTGTTGGTATCCACGGCGAAATCAAAATTAGTGACTTTGGTTGGAGTGTACACGCACCGAATAACAGGAGGCAAACTATGTGCGGAACATTGGATTACTTGCCCCCCGAGATGCTCAAGCCGGGCTCACAGGACAACTACTACAGCGAGAAGGTGGATTTGTGGAGCTTGGGTGTATTGACCTATGAGTTCCTTGTTGGAGAAGCTCCTTTTGAAGACACCCCTGTTATGACCCAAAGGCGAATTGCAAGAGCGGATATGACAGTCCCCTCTTTCGTGAGCCCTGAGGCGAGGGATCTGATTAAAAGGGTATGTTGGGATCTGGCGTCCGAGATACAGCATTTACTAACATCTTGTAGCTCCTCGTTCTGGACCCAGAGAAGAGAATCTCTCTCGATGAAATCCAACGGCATCCTTGGATCCTGAAACACTGTGTTAAGGAAGAACGCACCATAAAGCGCAGTTCTGGTTCGTCCAAGGAACCCAAGGCATAACTTGTTTTCCATGCATTTCAGGCGCTTTGGTGTTTAAAGGTGCTCTTCAGCCATTCTCGGTCTTTCTTCCCCGGCTCTTTAGCAAGTGGCTCTTTCAACCTCCCTTTCTTTTGTGTGGAGTTCAACACGTCGGAGTTCCTTCTTATGGTCATCTTTCGGCTGCGGCGTTTGGTTCACTGGGTCTATCAATTGGTATATCTTTGCACGTGGCACATCGAATATAATACACTTTAGAGCTTGATACCGCAAGGCTGCAATGCTCTTAAAAGCCTGTAGTATCATCGGTATATCTCATCAAAAGGGCGGGTGTCTCTAAAACAGCTGTCCCATACTTCGTTTACAACTTTTTGCGCGTGGGCTTCATCTTTGCATCCCGGCCTTGCGCGCACGGACAATACAGCTCTTCTTCTGACGCATTCTTGGTGTTGTTGTGTAAACTTCCATTGGCCCCTTCGGAAGAACTCGCGTGCCCATCTACATTCCCCGCTAAGGGAGCTGGCTCGAATCTGACTTTGGGTCAGCCGATTTCTTGAGCGCTAACCGGTCATCGTAGGGGAAAGTTGATTACCTCGGTACAAGCTGCGTGCCGCAGATTGTTAGTCCAATCAACCTTGAATCTCAAATGATCATACGCATGGACCATTTCATGAGCCATGGTATCCTCTAGGTGTCCTTGGTCCTTCATTTCGTTCGCGCAAAGCAAGATTCCATAATCAGGATCGAACCCCCCGGCTTTTCGATTGGTACAGCGGCGACAATACATGTTATGGCTAGAAAGATCCCCCCCAAGTTGTCGAATGCTGTCGCTCATAAATCGGATTACTGGGCCTTATAGGTGGTTTTCTTAGCAATGATTCAGACTCAACGCCTAACCCCCAGCCCAAATAAATTCTAGTTAGAGAAGCAACTTACTGAATTGTAACAGATAGTCGCGCTGGTCCTCACAACGTTTACAATCTGCGGCCTCATTTCGAATGTCACGGGCAACACGAAATTGTTCTTTCCCTTCATCTGTCATTTTCCCTGATAGGATGGAGAAGATATTGCGCCATTGCGTCCAGGTATCGTCACCCGGTATAAAGCCGGTGTCTCGTTTGTCAGGTTGCGAACTGGTACTGGAGGACCCTGGGTTTGACATTTCGCCTGGAAATCAAGGGACAGGAAAGTCAGCACTGTGAACTGATCATAGAAGAACCGCTGCGGAAAGATTGCCTAGGCCAATTCCGCCGTCAGCTCTCCGCATTGGCGGTGAACCGTGGGTGGTGGCAGAAAGAAATTCCCCGGCATATCGCACACGTCTTGTGACGGCGGACGGTAGCCGCCATCGGGCAGTACACGGCCATAGATGCCCGATCATGCTCCATAGATTAGCGCAACCAGTCTGAGCCGATTGTGCCTGGGTGGTAGGCCAAATCTTGCAATCTGCTAGTAGCGCCTTGAAATAGGTGGTTCCGACTTCCGGGAGCTATATATTTGACCTGTTTAGAGCTCTTCGCAATGGCCTCTCAACGCCTCACCATTGTCATCAAACTAGGTACGGAGTACATCCAATTGGCCTGAACATTCATTCTGCTCTAGAGAGAAAGAAAAAAACCACTGATCTGAATTTGTGCTACAAATAGGGACGAGTTCCATAGTAGATGAGAACACACATGAGCCTATACTATCAATTCTTACCTTGATCGTCGAGACTGCTGCCAAGCTCCATCGTGACGGCCACAATGTCGTGCTCGTGTCATCCGGTGCTGTCGGTGTAGGTTTGCGAAGAATGGATGTTGAGGAGAGACCGAAATACCTCCCCCGTATACAGGTACCTTCTAGATAACGCTACCTATCGCTTGACTGTGGTGGCTAATTGGAGGACTTTAGGCCTTGGCTGCAGTCGGTCAGTGCAGACTGATGAGTCTTTGGGATGGCCTATTCTCGCATCTTCGCCTTCCAGTAGCACAGATACTACTGACCAGAAACGATATTGCGGATGTAAGCCTTCACTTCGGTTCCTTGAAGTGCATGTTGCGCCTGACCCGGCATAGAGGACACAATATATCAATGCCCAGAATACCTTCGCACAGTTATTTGACATGGGCGTGATTCCAATTGTCAATGAAAATGACACACTCGCTGTCTCGGTAGGTTTTCAGAGCCTGGGTCGTTATCCTCAAAATATACCAGGCTTACTCCGTACAAGGAAATCAAATTCGGCGACAACGACACACTGTCGGCAATAACCGCCGCCATGGTGAAAGCCAACTACCTGTTCTTGATGACGGATGTCGACTGTCTGTATACTGCCAATCCTCGTAACAACCCCGATGCGCAGCCCATTGAGGTCGTCACGGATATATCATCTTTGGAAGCCGATGTCTCGTCGGCCGGCTCCTCCTTAGGGACAGGTGGAATGAGTACCAAAATTGTGGCTGCAAAGTTGGGAACCAGTGCTGGAGTGACCACAATCATCACCAAAAGCTCAAAGCCGGGAAATGTCCACGAAATTGTCAAATACCTTCAGCAAGCTCAACAAGAAACTTTAGCTGACCCGACGACCGAAAATAACGACCACTCGTCAATCTTGCATACACCGCCTCCGCTACATACACGGTTCATTCCGTCGGAAACACCAATCCAGTCTCGATCGTTCTGGCTCCTTCATGGCCTGAAACCCCGAGGTACTATTTATATCGATCATGGCGCCTACAGTGCTCTTCAAAAGAAGGCTGGCCTGCTTCCAGCAGGCGTTGTAGGGGTGGAAGGCCATTTTGGCCAACAGGAAGCGGTGCGTCTGGTTGTCGTTGAAAAAATCTCACCGGATTCTCTGAATGGGGAATTTCTTCATCACGGCCAGGAGCCGAGGGAAGTCGGACGTGCCCTAGTGAATTACAGCAGCAGTGAAATTATTCGCATCAAGGGCCACAGAAGCACGCAGATCCAATCATTGCTTGGTTACGCAGACAGTGAATATGTCGCTCTTCGAGAGAACATCTCTTTCATACGAAATGATGAAAGTCCACGTCATTGAACGATACCTGAGCGCTTACGGGGAATTGCGGCTCTTTGGGTCGACAGGTACCATTGATGTAAGCCCCAATAGCAGGGTCACCCCGTCGACATACTGATCCATCAAAGTAATGTCATTCGATATCTATTTGGTAGCTAAGCATATGTCTTTCCTTTTCCATTCAGCTATTTCGCCACTGCTGGACGAAAGAGGATGCGGAACGTTTAAAGAAACGGACGATAGCCTTGAGCAAACAAATGGAAAGAGGAACAAAACCAGACACAATAGAATTGGATAGGGTCTTGCTAAGTAGTTTTAGAATGTGCCATGCATGAATTGTGCTTCTAGTAAGTCAAAAGGGGGAAATAACAAACCAGGACCACTTTCGTTGAATATAGACACAGTACTGATGCAAACGAACATAAATCAAACATTTCATAAGTCCAGGTGCACACACATGCCCAACTCCCATTCCGTCAGCCTTTGAACGCCAGTTGCTGGCCATTATTACAGAATGTGATCAGTGAAAAAACAGGACATATGCCGATCGGAGAGGAAGAAGTCCTAAATCGATCAACGAGATGTTCCTGACTGTCTGGGGCCTTAGAAGTCCAAATCATTACACGACCTAATCCTTCCATCTTTCTAAAAACCGCTTCATTTGCATGTCTTGAGAACGCGGTGCAGGGGATGCCTTTTGTTGAAGAAACAGGAACAATTAGTTCGATATTGCATCAATATGGGGTAGAGGTAAGGAAGAGGAGATCGGTAGAAGCTACACTTACGGTGTTCTCGATGCTAACCACAGAGTATGTCTCAGAGGCAGAGAGTGTAACCTGAACGGTAGCTGCAGGTAGATAAGTCGTAGCGATGGTATACGGACTCGCTGAGAATTGGGGGGTTGGCGACCCCGCAGGAATCGTACTTCCAGGCTTCTTAGCCATGGGGGCGTATCTCGTAGGCCCTGTCTGCAACGGATATGGAATTGTATAGGACCCTACCATTTGCCTCTTCCGCAATTCCTCATGTTCTTCTCCCTCATTTGCAGAAGATCCAGGAGAGTGCAAGGCAGAATGGATTCCATGTATGATGAGTGGTGAGAACGAGCCGGTCATGTTCGTGAGCGTGAAGCGATCTGAGTAGTTAACGACCGAGGCTTCAGGGCCAGAAGCGACCATCCTCAGAAAGCTGCATAAGGCGTAACTGTTAGCAAGGGACGAGACCTTGCAGTTCCACGGAGCCTGTTGTATGTTCTGGGAGCTAAGTATTGGCCTTACTATGCGTTCTCATCATTGCCACCAACGTCCGGATCAATCCTCAACGAAACCGAATTACCCCTAGAGAAAGCGGCGTTTTTGGCAAGAAGAGCCACATCCTCCTGTGTCGTAGCCGGGATACTTAGTATGACTTTGATGAACAAGCGGCATTAACAGGGTACCTACGTAGGATTCCGGTGTGTCTCCGCCTGCACAAAGATAGAGGTCGTATTGTACAAGTTCAGTCATCCGAGGTAATGCGCCAGAGTCCCTCCAGTGAACAGTAATGACATCGCCAGCTCTAATGACCGTGCCGGTTGTTGGGTTGATAAACTCCACATCCGCAAAAGCAGTCGAGAGGAACGATAGTACAAACGCTAATGTGCGTGCAAGCTTCATCTTGCAGGAAGTAGTACCAGCGCGACATAAAACGAATATAGAAAAATGGTTAGTATAGCCAACAAAGGGCCGTAGCAGAAGCGAAGGGAGATGGCCGAAAAATGGAATGAATGGCAAGAGACTGTTGACGCCCTCCCGTCACCCCCTGCAATGCAACGGCATGCTTGGAACCTGGCCGTGGCACGGAAGTATATACATAGTAGTACCTGGGTTACCCAATCGGGAGCGGAGGCGCACGTGCCTTGGCTCAGGCAGTCAGGCAGTCAGGCAAGCACACCCCGTCTACTCCGTATGCCGTAGTACTTAGTAGTATCTAGTCGAGGCCCGCCCGTCCGAAGGTGGCATGATCCGCCTGGCCCACCGGTCGGTTCGCGGTCACCGCTGCAATAATCAACAACCAACAAAGACACCTTTCGAATGTCAGCAGCCAGCTCGGCTTCGGAAGGAGGTGCACCACATATACCAAGTCTATTGACTTTCTGATTCAGACGGTGATTCCAGCCAGCTTGGGCGACAAGAAACACAAGACGTTCGGCGGCCACGGATTGGTATCCCTATGAATACTGTTGTTGCTCTTTCTCCTCATGAATTACACTATACCTCTTACCATTCCTCGGTTAAGTGAATACCCTTCATACCAGTCTTATCTATAGATTGATTTAACATCTACGGATTCACGTGAGCATTCGGAGAAGATGCATTCTCACGGGGATTGGACGTCTGTTGAGGGAATAGCCACTAGCTTGCTTGACGGCAACCCCATTGCGATTGCTGTCACGCTCTTCATTGCTTTTGGCCTCCCTGTCCTTCTGCATTTGATCTTCTACCAGACAGTTGCATCTCCGCCCTCCAGCAATTTCTTACTCCTAGGCCCCAGTGGGGCCGGCAAGACCGCGCTTTTAACCCTGGTATGTCCATCTCTTCGTCTCTCCCAATACATCTCTTTGGTGTTTCTTTGTGGTCGTTCGCTTGTTATAACCGCTACTGATCATCTGATTTACCTTTCTTTGTCTGCAATAGCTGGAGACTAAGTCGTCGCATCTTGCCCGGAAAGACTCTCGGCTTACACATACGTCGCAAACGTCTACTGTAGCTACTATCAGTCTTCCCGCGTCGGTCCCCACGGCTTCGAACCGTTACCGCTCTGTCAATGACACTTCCCTGAAGGATGTATCCAAGAACCCAGTCAAGTACCGCCTGAGAGATACCCCCGGGCATGGAAAACTACGAGGATCACAGGGACTTGCAACGCTGTTATCAATGTCGGCATCCAAAGATGTGAAATCTAAGTTGCGCGGCGTCCTGTTCATGGCCGATACTGCTGCTCTTTCGGAGGCCGAGGCGCTGCGAGACACAGCTTCTTATCTTTATGATGTGCTCTTGATCCTTCAGAAAAGAGCTCTTAGGAAGGGCAAATCTTCAATGAAAGCAGCCTCGGAGATTCCTGTTCTTGTCATGGCCAACAAGCAAGATCTCTTCACAGCTTTGCCACCAGGTTCAGTGCATGAAAAGTTGGAGGCTGAGATTGACAGAATTCGCAAGTCCAGGAGCAAAGGTCTCATGGACGCTAGCGTTGACACTGGGGCTCATGAGGACGAGGATGATATTCTAGGCAGCACCGACGCGCGCGTTAAGTTCACCTTTGCAAGCTTGGAAGATGAGATTGGAGTGACTGTTGACGTTGTCGGTGGCGCCGTCATAAGTGATGAGGAGGGCAATCTTGGTGCCGGTGTCAAGAAGTGGGAGGAATGGATCGGCCAATGTCTGTGAACGATGGCCCTACACACCAGCCGGACTATTGGCAGTGCGATAGGCCATGTCCTGAATTGAAATGAATACATAAAATTCTTGGATATACAATTTCTAATGATTCGAGGCCGTCCACATTTCCCCCGTGCGAAACGGTTATCCTAAGCAGGAATGGAAAGCTTCGGACCGTGAACGTAACGAATCCTTAGTCAACTATGACTTGATCATGGTGTGAAAACAGCGAATACATCTGCAGGGGCTGCTCTCATGCTTTTGGTTGTCTGTTGGGATCTAAGTGCTCTGTCACCTTGACGCCTACCCATCCCTCTACGCAATCAGCGGAGTGTGGCCTGAGTAAACCATACAAGCTATGGATCAAAGCATGGGGCGATGGGAAGCGATGCAGAGGAGAGAATAGAAGCCACGTACCCAAAGCTTACGGGCAAGCAACAGATCATCAGCAACTTCCGTGGCTGCGCATGGCTTGACAATAGGGATGTGGTGTTGACATCGATTGCCGACGGCCGGTATCTTGTCACTTGCAGCCAAAATACATGGCGGTCGCGGCGCTGTCCTGAGTGCTTTGCCTACGGATGGAGATAGTGTGAAATATCGAAAACCCGCTCCCAAAACCCTCCAACATACTCATTCCAGGCTTTCCATTGCTCTGTGACAATGATTTCCGGATATAAGACATTCACCTTAATATTGTCAACCCCGGGGTCATCTTGCTGGAGACGACATCAGATCTCTTTTGCGGGAGGATATTCCCCATTTTAGAATGGTTATAACGCTATATACCGCTGATATTAGGTGAGTGTGACTTCGGACGAGTGAGCGTGTTGAGTTGATCTAGATCTAGTTCAAGGCATAATCAATTAAGAGAGGAACAAGTCACGACAATCCAGGCATGTGTTTAAAAATGGGCAGAAAAAGTGTGACCGGAACCTGATGGCCAACGCAGTTGCCACAAATAACATTTCCACATTCCAGGGCGACCACCCGTACTTGGACTCAATACCAAGGCCCGGAGACAAGATCTAATCAATGGCTGATGCCTACAGCAAGCAGGGCTACCTGAGATGAGTGGGGAATGAATGTTATACTACCATTGCAGACGAGTATATTTAGTCTCTCAGCCACGCGCTTGACCTAATCGGCAGCGTCTTTCACAGCGAAGATATTTGCCAAGTTGCATTGGAGCAACACGACCCTCTTGTCTTTTTGGCCCAGGGAGATATGACGACGCTGCCATTACTCTTTTGCTGCTAGGAATTTGTTGTTGTTCCTAGCAATTACGATAATGAGTTGTGTATGTTGTACATGAGGAGCCGAGTGGTGACATCTGGATTTACTTAATATATATCCTGTTTCAGAATCCACATGTGATGTTGTGATATCGCGATTCTCGTCATATGCTGGGCCATCGCTATAGAAAAGGTGGGGAAGTTCTTGCCTGTCCTAATGCTTTCTTGACTTTCCTGTTGACTGCCATGTTAGCAAGAATGTCTGTAAATCTCATACTATGCCGTCTCTGATCCTTGTAAGCTACTCCCGCTACTTGATGGGAGATTAGAGTCCCGATGGGAGATGTACCAGAGCCACCTTCTCGTCCAACGGCGGTATGTCTCGCAACGGGTAAAATTCTCTGTAGGTGAATACGCCCGGTATTCTGGCTGCGTAAAAGTATGCAAGAAAGACGGATTCTTGTACATGATTGAGTCTTCGCGGATGCCGAAATCAAGGCTGGCGATTTGACTTGCAGAACAGCGTCCCCCAGACGTCACCACGACCCTCAGCTACATACGTCATACCAGAAGATGTCCCAAGATATAAAGTGTCTAATTCCTCGTTGATCGGGAGTACCTGAATTGATCATCATTGAATTCCTACCACCTAGCAAATTGCAACATTAGCACCATGGAATGAAACTCTATATTATGAAAAGGTGATATTGGGCGTTGAGCATCCACCAAAGAGAGCAAACAAGAGACAAGCAAACTCCCAACAAAGAAAGCCGCCAAACAAAGATACGGATAGTTTCGGTGTGAGTGACTCGATGCTAATTAGCTGATGCGCCATTCTTGTTATTGTGGAGCATCCAGGTAAGCAGATCGACCTTCGTGGCCACTGCAACCGGCCTCATTGCTCCATGCTCATCCCGTTCAGTGACAACTGCTGCACTGTTCCATTCGAGGAATCTGTTGAGGACGCTCAAAGGCGTGTCCATAGTGATCTCCACAAATTTCCGATCCCTGATATGGGGTTTCGCGTTATCGCGTCCGCTCTGATCGACCTGCGAGCTGGCAAGCCCCATGTCTCTAGGATCGGTGACAATCTCGGGGATCTTGCTGAAATCGAACATAACTTCCGCAACGGGGCTCTTCCCGGTAGCACGTCCATGGGTCAGCCGGCTGAGAACATTGCCGAGGGTAAGCAGTCCGACGAGCTTCTTCCCAGAAGCTGCAAGCACCGGAAGTTGGTCGAATCCTCTGTCGCGCATCATCTCAATGGCGACCTCACAGGGAATGTTGGATCGAACTGTGGTGATCGGCTTCAAACGCAGAGCCTTGACTTGCGAGCCAGTAAAGGCATCGCTCTGCGCCTGCGGCTGTAGCGTTGGGAAGGACGTGGGCACAGGTGCCGATGACAGGAGTCCATTGGCAGCCAGCCAATCGTCGTCAGCAAACTACAATAAGTTAGAAGAATTTATTTTAGGAAGCAACAGGGGAAAAATGCACCTTAGTAAGGTAGCTTCTAATGCTGTCAGGCAGAATAACGACAACCACGTCATCTTTGCCGAATCTCTGGTCTTTCGCAGCTTGCACCAAAGCGGAGATAGCACTTCCACTACTTCCACCAACAAGCAGACCTTCTTCGGCAATTAACCGCCGGGAGTACTGGAACGACTCCCTGTCAGCAGTCTTGTACCACTTGTCGACTGCCTCCCGGTCCAGAACCTGGGGGATAAAATCGTATCCAATACCCTCAACCTTGTAAGGCTCGTTCTCGTGCTCCTCGTTCAATGTAGCGGGGAGAGCCAGAATTGATCCATGAGGGTCGGCTGCAATGACTTGAATGTCGGGGTTGTGCTTCTTGAGACCACGAGAAAGACCGGTGATAGTTCCACCAGTGCCCGCACCGGCGACAATCGCACTGATCCGACCTTCTGTTTGAGCCCAAATCTCTTCCGCAGTACCGAATTCATGAGCAAGCGGGTTGTTCTCGTTGCCATACTGATCCAGGATATGCGCGTTTGGAAGCTCTTTCTCAAGGCGCTTCGCAACCCCTATGTGAGATTCCGGGGAATCAAATGCTGCTTCGTTGGGAGTACGGATAATGGTGGCATTCAGCGCTCGCAGAACTGACACTTTCTCGGCAGACATCTTCTCAGGTAGAGTAATGATCGTCTTATAGCCTGAAGATCCGACATTGAGTATTAGCCAACCACAGTCCGAAAGCCAACCTCAACTAAGTGCCAACCAACCTTTCACGGCCGCAACAAGAGCTAGACCAATGCCGCTAGCAAGAGGAAATAAAAGTTAAAAAACTCCTTCGTATGTTTGAAAAATATGATTGGACTGCATACGTGTTACCACTGGTAGGTTCAATCAGAGTATCACCGGGCTTTATGCGCCCAGATCGCTCCGCTTCTTCGATCATGCGCAAAGCGATCCGATCCTTCACGCTCCCGCCAGCATTGAAGTATTCGAGTTTGGCATAAACAGTAGCTTCAATCCCCAAGCTACGGGGAAGTCTGTTTAATCTGACCAGAGGAGTATTCCCGATATGTTGAGTGATCGTCTCAAGGGCCACGGGAGGGACGGCCGGGGTGGTTATCGTCGACATTGTGGTTATCGGACGAGATTGATCTGTGTTGGATTGGAACGTCGTATGATTATCGGACAGTGGAAGGTAGTTGAAGCAGCTACCCAGCTATATTAGGGAATTGAGATGCAAAGAAGATAGGATAAGCCGGAGGGGGAAATTTTTGGCAAGGCAAAAAATCTCGTAACAGATTGGTGGTATACCCCTCCCGACGGTAACCGTTGGCCACCAACCGCATTCGCCATATTGCTCGACTTGAGGCATTCTTGCATAAGCACCACGTGATCCCAGGTTGATCTGACATGTGAAGGTAGATAGGTGAGTGTATGCGACTCGTCAGACATGCTCAGGTGCAATAGTTAAGTATCATTCCTGCACAGTAGGGCAGTAGGATCTATCTATCTAGATAGCGTGACCTCAAGTCACTTCACCAAGATTTAGCTTCTTCCATTTCTTCCAGGACTTGGTGGAGGCATGGTGGGTAGTATGTATATTCACCACCAATCAGAAGACTGGCTGCACCACTACGGTGTACCTCCCATAGTAGCAGGTCATTGAAATAGTGTTCATGACGCATGGCATACATACCTCTCTGTCCGCTATGGTGCTATCTTTCTTAACAGGTGGTAACAAATATTAATCAGTCCATTCCAGTGGTAGTCCTAGGATGGCAGAGGCACTTGTGCCTAGACTATACTAATGCAAAAGCGGAATTATGGCTAGCAGCATGCTGCTTGCGTAGCTGAGGCCCGAATGCAGATTCTCCCCGGAAGCGCAGATCACTTGGTCGGAGAACCGATCATTGTGAGGACACCAGTCTCAGAATATCCATTTGGCGCCAATCAAGCCTACACCATAGATTCTAGGCATTGATCGCAATGTCTTTCGTGTCTCATCGGTTGGTTTATGGGGAGGATACTCATGCCTTCACCGGATTACCGTTGGGGGTTCAACTCGAACCCAAAATAAGTACTCCGGAGATATGCTCCATACCCAGGCAGAAAGAAGTGGCTAGGCTACTATGGGCCCGACCTCCCGTACCCAAACAGATGCAGTGATTTGTTCTTTCAACAGAGTACTGTAACTGAGTTCCCTCTCACGGGCCGTGAAGCAAGCCGGTTCTGATTCACCAGGTAATGTTGGCTATGTTGGCACCTTTACCGGTACGTTCCCTTCTACATCACCCCCTAATTATCTCATCTTTCACTATTTTTGTTCGCTGAATACTTGGCTTTTAGGATTTGAGGATATGATGTCCTATTCTTTTCACAGATCCAGACTTGCACACCGAGTATGACTGACCGGGTGTAAATTTCCTAGGAGAATCTAAGCTTATACTGAAGTACCTAGGTACTAGGTACTACCTACTACCTAGATGTACTCCGTACTCCCGTACGGCAAGAGAGTTAGTTCAGTACTGTTAGACAGTTCGGGCGCCGCCAAGCTAGACCGTAATTTACCGCTTGGTCTTAACCCACCGGATGTACCCACCTGGAAGCGAGCTGCAGGATTCGACACGAGTCAATCGTGGCTGTGTATTATTATTATGTGAACAGTTCTCCCTCCCAGTGTTCACAGCAGGAAAAGCCGAAGAAGGATAACACTATTGTCTATGACAATCATGTCTCCCTGCTGCTCATTATTATCGCGACAGGGTGTAACATGCTTAGCATACCCACGAACAGGCTTCAAGGCATCCATGATCCAGGCCGACTTGCTGGCATTCGATGCCTCTGGACAGGGAGCCTTTGCAGCCAAGATGCCGGAGCGCCACCACTCCATCCAGAGGCTGATGCTCATAGGCTTGCCAAGACTTTACGGCTTGGACATCGATGTCTTGACAGTCGGGACGGCCTAGGGATCGCCTCGGTTGGAAGGATCGATTCTCCTGAGTACCCAGATGATCTATCGATACTCCGTATGCTAAAATTTCTACCCAGCGCGAACCATGAGGAGGATAGCGGGCGGCGTTGCGTCGTGCGATATACGCCAATCAGAATGACAGCGATCATGGAAAAGGGTACTACTAGTACTATGGAGGAACTGCCATTGGGAACTTGTCCATGCAGATGGTTGCAGCCCCAGAGATTCCCCTCGTGTCTCTCGTTCTACTCCAGGGTCAGCATCTGCCAGCACAGACAGCTGAAACCCTTGTCTGGTTGGGATATAAATCCACTGTCCTTTATCTGCCGTGCATAATCTCCGGTGACCGTACATGTTCCATGCCCTCTATTTTCCCCGTCCTTCTCATATTCTAATACTATCCATGGCGTTGGGTTTCAGCCACTAGCTGGTCATGTCTATGTATATCTGTGTCCATTAGAGCACGCGGTTCAATCACCCTCATCTGTGTGTCCCTTCACATTTTGTTTTACTCTGGCCTTTGTTTTTGAGTTTCTAGCTTCATTCCATTCACCATTTTTATCTTATTCCTCTTCCTCTTCGTCGTCCTCATCTTTTTTCTCTTCTTTTCTTTCCTTTCTCTCGGTTGTTCTCTCTCCAGAGCATACCTCGGGATATACAGTCTGCGGAAGCACTTACGGCTGGCTTCGAATTAATTCTCTATCCGACCAACAACACCGCCTCCCACGCAATGGGGTCTAATACGGATAGCGTCAAGGCGAGCCTGAACTCTTCACAGAAAGGCGAACCCCGACGAAATGACGGATTATCGATGCCGGATTCCATTCGGTCGGCGGAGAGATTGCAGAGTGATACGCTATTACCAACGCACAATGAGAAAAACCAGAGACGCCAACATGGGCTGTTTCGCATCGATACCGCTGGAGAGAGTGGGCGGACTGGGATTCATCCGGGCCATTTCCTGCGCGTCTGTTTTCGGAGCACTTGTACTCTATCCATGCTGGTAAATGTTCTCTGGCCTTTTGTCCCAGCTGCAATTGCCATTCATTTCGCCCGGCCTGACCTCCATGTCTGGGTATTTGCTCTTAACTATATCGCAATGGTGCCTTCGGCGAACTTGCTTGGATTCGCGGGTGGAGAGCTCGCAAAAAAGTTACCAAAAGTATTCGGTGTCTTGCTGGAGACAACCCTTAGTTCGGTTGTCGAGATCGTCCTCTTCATGGTCCTGATTCATAACGACGAAGGTGGCAACCTGATTCCGGTTATCCAGGCCGCCATCCTCGGCTCAATTTTGGCGAATCTCTTACTCTGCCTGGGTCTATGCTTCTTCTGTGGAGGCATTGGGCGTGCAGATCAGTCGTTCCATGAGGCCGTCAGCGAAGTAGGCTCAGGGCTCCTGCTAGTCGCAGGGTTTGGCCTCCTAATCCCGAGTGCTTTTTATTCAACTCTGAAAGGCAATGCATCGCATACGCATGTACAAATGTCGACGGAAGACTTGAATCAGTCTACACTGATCATCAGTAGAGCCACAGCCATCATCTTACTAGTGGCTTTTTTGATGTAGGTTCTCACTCTCCGCAGCACTACATCGACATGAATACTTATTACTTGCCTTAGGTATCTGTTTTACAATCTTCATAGCCATCACAGTATCTTTGACGAAGTGCTTGAGTTCGACGAGCATCAGGATGAAGATCGCGAAAAGGAGATGAAGCGGGCGAAGCTTACACTAATTGAATGTTTTATTGCCATTGGAATCTCGCTCGCTTGTGTCTGCATGTCGGCGGTCTTCTTGGTGGAAGAAATAGAGCATATTGTGAACGAAAGAGGCGTATCGGACAATTTCATGGGCCTGATTTTAGTGCCTCTAGTAGAGAAGGCAGCAGAGCATTTGACTGCTATCGATGAAGCTTGGTAAGCACACCCCCTAGGGCCTTTTCGAGCATGCCCGCATGACTCGCCTTTGCTGACTTTAACAGGGACAACCAAATTAACTTCGCACTCTTTCACTGCCTTGGTCCATCGATCCAGACTGCGTTGCTGAATGCACCGCTGGTAGTCCTTGTGGGCTGGGGCATTGGCAAGGACATGGGTCTCGATTTTGAGATATTTATGATCGTTCTGGTTGTTTTATCCATCTTGGTGGTCGGGAACTTTCTTCGCGATGGCAAATCCAATTACTTGGAGGGGGGCCTATGCGTCCTGGTCTACGTTATTATCGCCGTTAGCACATGGTACTATCCTCAGATTGTGCCAGAAGGAGAGACCGAAACGTAAAAATTTTTGCTTATTTAATAAAAAATATAGTACCCTGTGTATCATGAAAAGGTTGCATTTCCATACCAACGTGTTGAGGCTGTTAGTTGGGTACGAGTGTGTTCATTAGTAGTCAAATGGAACTTCTGGGTGAAAAGACAAAACCCACAGCACTAATGGACGACCTGCTTTTCGATCAATATGTAGCAGCATAATCACTGTTATGCTAGTACTAAGTTCGATGTTGAAGTGCTTTCCCCGGTAAGGTTGTCCTGAGGCATCTGAGAAAGTTGCCGAGGATAAACATAAGCAAGCAGCAAACAACAGTAGATCCCGACTCCGCTCCGGGAGGCAGCGACAAACTTCACTACGCCACGATCCAACCAAAGCAACCCTTCAATGGACCCATCATCCACCGTTATCTATGCACTCAGAGATCGCGGAATCCCGTTTAGGCGAGACGAACTTCAGCCAGTCCTTAGCAATGGGACAGATGGCCCCAAGATTGCGAAATGGCTGACAGAGCATCTCACCACCGACACTTTGCTGTCACAAGAAGAGCTCATACTGTATTTTTGACCCATCTAGAAAGTAGATCTGTCCCTATCGCTAATTACTATACTTTTCCATTAGGTATTCGAAGCTTGAGAGTTCCGGCGCCTTGCAGGGCATTTTGACCAACACAGAGTTGAATGCAACTCGTCCCCTTCTGGATGATGACCTTCGACGGGCGATTGAAACACTGGGTGCTTCTACGGCTGCAATACAGACCCAAACAGACATGTTAACATCACAATACGAGAATATGAGTCGACATGGCCAGTCGGATGAGGACCTGGGGCTGAGACAAAGTAGGGATCTAGCACGACTGCACCAGAAGCATAAGTCGGGAAGGCAGAATCTTGCTGCTGCGGTAGTGCTTCCTCATCCCTGTTCGGTTACAGAGATTTGCTGAGTGTATAATGCAGTCTAGTGATCTAGCTCATGCTTTGGATTCGGAAATGAGGAGTGTATCGGAGCAAGCCACAGCAGAGGCCAAAAGAATACTCTCCTCTCTGACAGCTCGATTCAAGGAAGACGATAGGTTGATCACAGACTTGGAGAGACTCGCCTCCGGAATTGAGATTACTGAGCAAGATGAAACTAATGCGAAGCAAACATCGGAGCGAAGCGCTGCTCTTGCCCAATATGTCGCTGATGAGATACAGTGCCGACTTGATCGATTATATTTGGAATCTTTACAAGTAGACTCTGTGGAAACACGAGCTGAGCCAGTACCGCTCGAGGAGGAAGCTCTGGTGGCACTAGAAAAAGAACTTGAGTCTCTCTATCCCGAGATCGACATACTGGCGGAGGTGTCTTCAAGACAGCAGTTCGCCGAGCCTGTGATAGACGAGCTACGCAACCACCACGGGAAGTTGCGCATGGCTTCCCACAAAAGATTGGATTATGTGAGTAACCACATGCTTTCGTAAATTCGCTTTACTGACGCGCACTAGGTTCTGGATGTTGTCTCAGAGATGACCTTGTCCACAGAAGATTTGATCAGGTGCCTGCAGGACCGGGAATCTTTCTGTGGAACACTCGAGGCTATCGCTGCTGCGCATCGATCGGAGATTGGCGATTTTTTCTCGAGCCAGCCTAATCCCAGAAGAGAATCACTGAGACGTGCCTTTGCACAGTCAGCTCCTAATTCTAATTCGGAGCAAAAGTGCAATACTGCGCTCCGTGATTTGCACTCAGTGGCGAAGGTATTGCGCCGAGTAGGACTATCTCTAGACTCCATGCTCCATGCAGAAGGGGTCGATGGATGTTCGAAAGCTTTGCAAGAGAAGCGGCAGCAGTTGACCGAGGGGCTGCATGATCATGGCGTCGCTGCAGATTCACCGCTAATGGCTGGTTTGCTTCCTACAGATCGGGCAATCCGACTTCTTTCCACATGCTTGCACGCCGATTCAGAATTTGAGACCTCCATTTCGAACCTGGACCACCAGAGAAAACTTTCCGATCTCGAGGATGATTTGAATCGTATGCAAAAGGGCTTAGAAGGACTCGACCTGTCCGTGCTTCACAGGCGAGATAGAGGCCAAGATAAGTTCGTAGAAAGATGGGGTTCAAAAGGGCTGAATGAGTGATTTTCATCCGATTTGCGTGAACATTCGGAGTAAAATACTACATAGGCTTGTATGCCCAAATAGTATGTCATTAATAGATGTATGCAGTGGGGAGGTGACAGGCACCATATAGCTGGGGTCTTCATGTATGATAATGGCCAAATCAATCCAGATGATTTTTTTGGGCAACTATGTGTGTAACTCCAGCATTTTTCCCACACACCTTATGATTCTAGGCTCATAGTTCGGAACGAAGTAGGTGATCCGTGCCTTCCATCCAGTGGGAGGTCGTGTGCAGCGGATGATGGTCTGTTTTGGGGAGGTAATAATAGATCAGGTATCATGTATGGTTGGGTGTGACCGGGTGCACTAATATCCGGCTAACTCCATTTATCACCCTCACTTACCAGTTACTTGACCTTCTTTTGCCAATGTATGTGTCTGTTGCAGGTTCCTTTCCACCTCATTCATGGACCGTGATCTGGAGGCCTCGTCTTTCTTGGTGCTCGACCAAGTCATCCCCTGTTCTTACTGACCGTGCAGTGAGTCGATCTCCACCACAGGTAACGTGAGCCACTGATAGATCGCACAGATGGTTTCTAACTAGCAGGCCAAATCAAGCATTGCCGTGTTTAGCCTGCCAGGCCTTTACCTTTCAGTCCCTCAGCGCCTGACTACGCATCTGCTTCGACTTGTATCTGGTGCGGACATATTAGTATCTATTACATGCTGGGCTCCGTCCCGACCATGCGACACCTATCTGGGAAGTTAATATTTGCCTGTAGGTCTAGGGCTATCTTCCGCATTCTCACCCTTGCGCTTCCGACAACCTGCAGGGTATCGCGATGAATGGGCATAGCCCATCGACATTTGCGAGCCTCGCGGAGGCCTCTAATACAAGCCGTTCACCGAAAGAAGACGAATCAGACCTGATGTCCAATTGCACAACTGATGTCTTCCAGATTTCGCCAACGGCTGCGCTGGAACTACTATGCGCAGGCATTGAAATGCTTGTGAGGTCGACCGCAGAAGAGGCGAGCCATTGTCAAGGAGCTACCGTTCCTGTTCCCGAACTCCGGACCCAAGGTGACAGTATATCCAGCGGGGAATCTACACCGATAAGGGTCACTGGACTACAATGTTCATCGGCGAGCTATGATGAAGTGGGCCGCCATCTGAAACAACAGAGTGTACTCTCTAAGAGGTTTCTTTCAAGACGCGTGCCTCCAATCACGCTCGAAAACTATCTGCTGCGTGTGCATCAGTTCTGCCCCATGTCCACAGGGGTCTACCTTGCGGCAAGCATCTACATTATGAGGATGGCGACTGCCGAACGGGTGATAGTGGTTAGCCGAAGAAATATGCATCGCCTGGTGCTTGCTGGGCTCCGGGTGGCGATGAAAACATTGGAGGATCTCAGCTATTCCCATAGCCGGGTCGCCAAAGTTGGCGGTGTGACTGAGCACGAACTGTCGAAACTCGAGATCAGCTTTTGTTTCCTGGCGGATTTCGAATTACGAGTCGATGCAAAGATGTTAGCCGATCAAGTAAGACTACTCCAAGGGATAGGTCCTTGTGAGAACCCCCCTCGTTGAAGCCTTGACATGAATTGTCATGTCAAGACGATGTCGCCAATTCGACTCCACATTTGGCGGCTGGTTTTGAGAGTCCAACGCTTGTCTTGGGATGGCCTTGTAGTTCTTGAATAGGTTGGAGAGCTACTCTGCAAGGTGGTCGGGCCTATTGGGCAGATTGCGGGATACAAGGTTGGATCGAGGCCGTTCAACATGGGGCGTCTCCTTCTCCCAACTGCTATTTTGTCACAAGCAAACCGGGCTCAGGAACGTTTCGCGCACCGGGTTTGGCGAGCACTCGCGTGCACGTATCACAATGCGGCTGCCTAACAGCCCCATTAGTTAGCTACTTAAGGTAGTACGTTTGTCCCAGTTGGTTCGCTAGACAGGTTCGCTGAGTAATCCCTGTCAGGGTGTGGTTCACACACTCGTAATGAATGGGCCTTCTATTCTCATGGCGATTTTGCACATCGGGTTTCCAAGAGCGTATTTGCGGTCCCGGGAAGAAATCCAGATTGTAAATGTAGAGGCAACCGTCGAGCCGACCGGTGGTGAAGGATCCACGTCGCAATTGTCGGAGTGGATGGATGGATGATCCGTCAGCTTTCGGGAAGGGCGCGAGGCTCATCCCCCGTCCCATGTCGTTAGCGCCCCATCCCCCGGGGCTGGTCGTCCGCTGCGCCATACTACTTACTAGTACGGCGCTCAGCTGTCCTTCCGCCTCCATCTTAATTGATTCGGTCTTTTTCTCTTTAGCACAGCCTTGAAGCCCACTGCCTTTTCGAAGAGGATCGTCCGGGCTCCAAGATATCCTACCCATTTCGCAATGCTCCTTTAGATCGGGCTCGGAAAGAATACTTGGCTGACTCGTCAACCCTCCACGAAGGCTCCGACCACGTACTTTTCGCGACGACTTCTCTCTCCCGTCGGTTGAGGAACAAGCGCGCAAACCATAGACTGAAATGTCTTCTGCGACTCCTTCAACCAGTCTGCAGAGCAGCAGCAGCTCTGCTGGCCTGGGACCAACTCCACCCTCCGTGCCCAGCGGCAAAGGCACCACCACTCCACCGAAATTGACCCAGCAGGATGCTACCGTTGAACTCAAGAACATGAAACCGGAACGTGGTGGCGTCAAGGGCTCAATTCCCATCGGGGAGGATATCATGCAAATTGCCCGTATAGGAGAGATTGCGGTCATGCAAAAAATGTTTGATGAGAAGAAGTTCCACGCTAATCATAAGGACGAAGAAGGGATTACCCCGTTACATGTGCGTATCAACGATATCTCGTCTTGCACCATGGCCTGAAGCCGCTTTCACGGACTATGCACTGATAATGTTACTCCCTCCATCTAGTGGGCTGCGATCAACAACCAATATGCGATGTGCAAGTTCCTGCTTGACTCGGGTGCTGATGTCAATGCAAAAGGAGGAGAGTCCGTGGCTACGCCCGCAATGTGGGCAGCCCAGCGCTGCCACTATTATATCGTACACCTATTGCTTCAACACGGCGCCGACCCTCTTCTTACCGATGTCCAAGGCTACAACATTCTACACCTGGCTACCATCGATGGAAATGCCTTCCTGCTCGTGCTCCTTCTGCATCAAGAGATTTCGGTAGACGTCACAGATCAACAAGGCCATACGGGTTTGATGTGGGCAGCATATAAGGGATTCCCCGCATGCGTGGATCTGTTTTTGCGCTGGGGTGCTAATGCAAATGCTGTTGATGACAGCGGTCTGACCCCCCTGCACTGGGCCTTGGTCAAGGGGTCATTGCCTTGTGTCCAGAAGCTCATAGAGTATGGCGCCGATAGGTTCGCAAAGACCAGGGACGGCAAAACCCCAGCGACCGTTGCAGGCGAAATGAATACGACACGCGTGTGGTATCGGGCTCTGGACGAATGTGGCTACGACTTCGATGGGCACACAAAGGTTCTTCCCTTGGGTTTGACGCCCTGGGTGCGGAGCAAAACTGCCATGTCCAAGTTCTTCTTCTTGTGGCCCTTCTTGATGATCTTCATGGCACTGTGGATTCTCAGCCACATGGTTGTTTTCGCTGCCGTCCCGATCATGATTGCGACGACTTACGGGCTGCAGTGGCTGGCGCAGAAGGTCGCCAGCCAAAGTATCTCTGAGTATAGAATACTTCAGAAGACGGTAGGTCAACGATTCCCCTTGCATTCCCATTCTTTGTTCATCACTGATCCGCGATCTAGCCGTACCTGTCAGGCGTCTTTGCCGGGTCTCTATTCTGGGTCGGTGTGAGATATGTTTTCTACGTCCTACCAGGTAAGGCATCCCTTATAAATGAACATTGTCGACCGCCGCTCGGGACCAGCACTGACAGCCTTCACCTAGCGACATATACTTCGTCTCCAATTTCGAATATTTGCTTCGCTCTCTTCTTCTCATTGACAGCTTACTTCTATTTCACTGCGATGGTTGAAGACCCCGGCTTTGTGCCGAAACTTGGCAGCAGGAATCAGCAACGAGCGGTCATTGCAGAGCTCTTCGAGCAGTGGAAGTTCGACGAAGAAAACTTTTGCGTTTCTTGCATGGTCAGGAAGCCTTTGCGAAGCAAGCATTGCAAGCGTTGTGGACGCTGTGTTGCAAAGCATGACCAGTAAGCCCTCGACTGGCAAAGATCAAGAGTGCCCGCTGACCATCAAAACAGTCATTGTCCGTGGATCGATAATTGCGTAGGATCCAACAACCTGCGTCATTTTGTATTGTACATCACCTGCCTCGAAGTGGGCATTATTCTTTTCGTGCAGCTTACATACTCATGTAAGTACCAGGTCTCTTATCACCCGGGGGAAACACTAATGAATTTCCCAGACATCGCCATCTTGCCAGCACCTGTCAATCCGACGTGTAATGTTATTAACGAGACTCTCTGTGATTATGTGCTTCGCGATACGTTTACCCTCGTCCTCGATGTGTGGGTTATCATTCAGCTGGTCTGGGTCACTATGCTTTGTGCTGTTCAGCTTGTTCAAATTTCGCGGAATCAGACGACCTATGAAAACATGCGAGGGCATTCGATTGATCGGAGCTACCCAAGTTCTCGTGCCTTTGCTTCGGCTTTGGCGGCTGGCACAACCTCCTTCGAGGGTGCCGGTCTATCCTCTGCTGGACAGGGCCCGAACCCAGCTCTTGCGCATGGTGCTGCGCACAGACACGGAAGGGGCGGCTGTTTGCAACAATGGACTTCTCTTCTCGGCATTGACACGTTCTTTGCTACTGCACGAGACGGGCTGCGAGATGGTCCACGTGCTACTCGGGCGAAGAATCCTTTTTCGCGCGGTGTTGTCACCAACTGCCGGGACTTTTGGTGCGACCCAGCTCCGTATTTTGGGCAACGGGAGGCGGGATCTGGCATGCTCGGTGGTGAAGTAGTCAACTATAATCAGATGTACGAGATGCCGTCACGTATGCACAGTGGCGGAAGATACCGAAGCCTTGCCGACGATGACCCGGAGCAGAACGCTTAAAGATATCTCGCCCTAGTGGTTAGCAAGGCTTATGCCATGTTACCCGAACGACCATTTCGCCCGTGAAGATGTTTTGATCTTCGATATGCGATCTAATGAATGCCGGATGAACCTTTTGCTGTGACGATATGTTTGACTGGAATAGATGGTCCCAGATGGTGTCGTTTCCTCATGCCCTTACATTATCTTCCTGTATTATCTTTTGCATATAAAGATCATAGTATATTGGTAGATATTGCTATTTTAGCCCAGCGAATCTGAAAGACTTACAGACCTCTAGCTTGGCAGATCCGTCGAGTGACGTTGATGATAAATGATTGAGGAGGATAGCACCACTCTGCTCCAGTAGCAGTGGCTGAAAGCAGTTGTTTAGGAAGAACTCGTCATCCAGGGCGATGCGAAGTGGCACATGGAATCAAGATGATGGACGGAAATCAAAATCAGTGCGGCCGTATGATCCAGATTATTGGTAAAGATAGAGAAGAAAATAGAACAAAAAGGATGCAAATTGTCAAAGTTACTACCACGCAGACCGAAAAGGATATACCCTTTCTAGCTACTGGTGTAGAAGGAGGTACAAGGATGTCCCAAGAGAACAGAAAAAGAGATATGAAAAGAAGAAACCAATACCTAAACCAGCCCCTCCTACTCATCCCCAACCACAGCATTACAAATAAGGAAGTCACCACCCTTGACAAAACAGCCATGAATGGAGAAAAGAGCAAGCGCAAGCGCAAGCGAAGTTACTCCCAAAGTGGAGGGCATGGCATGGCATGGCATGCATGGTTCAATGTTCGCACAGGCTCGTATATACATCGTCCATACAAACATACCATACATACACCCTGTAATACCACATACGGAGCCCAACCAAGCCAAGCTTTCTCCAAAGCTGAACAAGGCCGATATCGCAAACACATACGAGTCATCACTTACTTATTCCTCGAATATTAACTATCTCTCATTTAGGTGTTTTTCTGCTTGGTTCTTATGGGTCGGTCAACCGCTTTGAAATGACAATGCCATGAGGGAAAGAAGAATGGGTGAATGGGTGGTTGGTTGGACCGTTGGAGACCACTGCGACACAAGCCCGTTATTTAATTCGTTCTGGTCTTAGATTTAGACCCAAAGTCAAAATGTCACGCTAAGATCTTATCTCGGCAGGAAGGAAGGGATGGAGGGAGGGTGATGCGTTTCACTTCCATCATGCTTTGTAATTTTTTTTATTTTTCTTTCTTGCTTTTGGTGGAGCGAATACGAGGCTTCGCTACTTGTCTTAGTATAGACTGACGAGAGATCTGCGAACGCAATGACAATACATATCTCTATACCTCTATGTCCTATGCGATATTCGAGTAGTAACCACAATAACCAAGAACAGAAGATCCCGAAAGACAAAACCCGCCAGCCCAGTCCATCCAGCATGATTTAAGTTTCCCGTAACACGAAGCCTGGTCAGTGGGTGGGGCTCAGTATTTCCCCGGTGGTTTGGTTCCCGGTGTTTCATTGGATAGGTGTTGGGTTATGGGTGGGTGGGTGAGTGGTGGCATCCATCTTTCTTCTGTTTTTGCTCCTGAAGTCGGAGGTTGGTATGCCGTATGGAGCTCTATTCATTTATATTTCATGGGTCGTCGTGGATGTGGACTGACCGCTTCGCTAATTTGGGGTTGGTTTTCATCTGATAATAGATGGGTTCGTGAGTTGAACTGGGGGGAAGGGGGGGGGTTACTGATTGATTAGGGCATGTCCGAGGGGTGCTAGTGTGCTTTTTATGCAAATGGGGGTGGGATTATTTTGGTTTTGTAAAGGGTGGTTGTGGAGGGAGACCTACAGTACGTCTGTTGGTTAGTATATTTACATGAGTTGATCGGTGAATTTCTGGCGGTACCTGATTCGTGACTTCACGGATGAGTTCGAAAACCCCCAACTGCGTTGGTTGCAGATCGATCGTTCGAGAGTAGTTGCCTACATAAGGACCCTGAACATCAGTACCTGACATAGGTAGGGTAAGTTTTGCTAAGTGAGCGTCTCTGCATCAGAATCTCGGGCTCAAGCTACGAGTAGTTACCCGTAGACCGGGGTTGCCACAAGCTCAGTCGCAGCATGCTAACTTGATCTGTACATCTGCATCAGAGAGTGGGTTGGTACGCTGCCGGCTAGTGCTTGAACCTGCAAGATGCGTGGGGAGAGATTGAAAGTCTGCAGGAGCGGAGAGAACCCCCCAAAGAGACCAATGAACCGATGATTCCGTTAGGCAGGCTAGCCGAGTGCCTTCTGCCTACTACAGGCCACCATTCTAGCATTCTGCAGCCGATTGGGAGCCTGCCCAAAGCTGCCGGTATTTTATCATTGGATGGGAGTGGGATTTGCATGATAATAATAATGATGGTGGACATGTCACTGGCCCAGACCTGAATGGGATCAGCGAGGGCAACCAGCCTAGCCTGTTAGTGCTTGGAATCGAGTCTAGGGGGTCGGTCGACTGTCTCCGTCTCAGGTCGCATACATCCGCGCGTACTTCATAGGGACTAGTTACATCGCGGTGGTCGAGAGCACCAGTCGGAGCGATGATAATCTGCAGGTTTAGGTTTCTTAGTTTTTTATATGGCAGAAGAAAAGAATCGACTATACGAGGATTCTCAGCAGATCGTCCTTGATTTACTAGTAATGTGAGAATGGTGTTACAGTCGGGTTCTAAGATAACCCCAGAGCAAGGGCGAGGTCAATTACCTGACCGATCTAAAGATTTCTCTAGTAACCCCCAGGGGGAAAGGTGAAAGGTGGTCAGATACTTTAGTTAGATTATTATTACGGCAGCAATTCCCCCATGGTCTGTCTGATCACTGCTGCCACGGAGTGCTTCCTATCTAGCCGGGCCGGTAGCAGGGTTTTTTTTTCTCTTTCTTAGTATTTCCCTCACCTAGGGGCTTGGTATTGTGGGAACGGAGAAACGAAGCGGGGCCGCTCAGAATTATCAATCACTGATCGGGTTGTTACTTAATCATGGCCCGGGACTTCTCGTTGGATGTGTTTCGGAGAATCAATTTCTCGTACTGCAGGTATGGGTTAACTCCGAAAAAATCCCTCGGGAACCGAGACAGGGGAGGCGGGTGGCAGGCGAGGTAGGGGAGTAGGGGCTAAGAAAAAAAAAAAAAGACCGAAGTGAGTAGCCCGTATACCCATTACCGAAGCAAGCGTGTGTGGGAGAGACCAAAGATCAACCTGCATGGTGCTTCATCGTAATCAATCAGTGGGTGGGTCCCCCCTCCACCCAGGGGGTCCCTGGCAGCGAATGGGCGTGGAGAACGGGACGCCCAACGGAAAAAGAGCGCGCCTGGCTCGGCGATGGGCGCAGTTGCGGTTGTGGGATGGCGCCATCAGATAACGAGCGAAAATTTTTATCTGATTAGATTATTGGGATCCCTCCCCGACCCTCAACCTTGGTTGAGCTTCAACTACTGAAGCCCACCCGCGTCCTGTCCTGTGCCGAGTTAATTGGTGACAATTGGATGCCATGGATCCCTTCTCTGAGATGATTGTCTCCTGTTTCCCCCTCTGGTGCAGAGTCTCCAGGTCCATTCATTGCGTATTCCTGGCGGCGGTTAATCCGACCAGAGCCAATTAGCCTGTTCGCTTGACGTCAGCGGGTCTGTGCTAGACCAGGCCGTTTGTGCGCCCAGCCCACTTGTTTTCCCTCCCAGGCACACCCAGTCCTCTTGCTGTCGGCTACTGGCGCATGTCAGAGGGCGGATAAAGTTTAAGGAGAATAAACAAGCATAACAGTCGCACACTGCGCCATGGACATGACTTTCCAGCACAATCAGCGGTGAAAACCGATCATCAGGCACTTGCCGTATTCCAATCTCTATTCGTTGTACAATTCCAACTGGCTATGTGATTCAATGCTTGGGTAACAAGGAAATATGATGATGGGTAGTAGTAATAGCAAAAAAAAAAAAAAAATAGGTAATGAGACAGAAAGATGAGCACAGATACAGTAAGTAGATCATCGCGCCAAGGTCCAACAGTGTCCCTACCATTTTGTTTGGGGACATCCTCGTTTCTCATCCATTCTTATTCTCAGAAAGAAAAAGAAAGGTCCGCTCCAGCACCAATCATCACGCGCCTGGGAAGCGGACCCCTGGGTTTCCGATCCGGCAAAACATTTACAGCATAGCGCGCAACTTCGTGGCCGGCACCGTTGCACCCGCGAGCTGCTCGCCAAAGATCGACTCCACCATCTCTCCACCACGAGCTGCCAGCACCGACAGAAGACTGTCACTCAGACCATGAGTCTTCTCATTGCAGCCCTGGAGCCAGATTCCAGCATGTGCACTGACTTTGCTGGCATCCATCTCGACCCGGTAATCCCGACTCGGCGTCCATTCCTCCTGGCCCGCCGGTCGCAGGTGCTGCACGTTGCTCAAGAGCTGCTCATGTGCATTGCGGAAGTAACCCGTCGCCACCATGAGCGCATCCACCTCCAATGTCTCCTTGCCATCGCCCACCAGGCTATCCGACCCATCCTTGGCGGACCTCACGTGGATCCGCATCCGACTCTGGGGTCCGTGATGTTCAACTCGCGTGATCTTGCGCCCGGGGAGGATCCGATGTTGCCATTGCCGCTCGTCGGGGTTCTTAACCCTCTGGACGTACATATCATGGAAGATCTCCTCAATCAGCTCCAGCCGAACCACACTGTAATTAGTGGCCTTGTCGGCCTTGAGGGAACGCTGGCGCTCGGCGGAGGAGAGGTTGTAAAACTTATCGATGCGCTCGGGGTTGAAGACTTCGTTGACGCTATGCTTTTGATTAGATGTGAAAAAAAGGCGCAGGAGACAGTGTACTTACAAAGGCGAGTCGTCACTAGGCCGCATGGCCGTGTCTCTCATAATCAGGGTTGTCTTCGAGTTGGGGTATCGCTTTTGCAGGTCATGGAAGATCTCTGCCGCACTCTGGCCACTTCCAAGGACGGCGATGTTGTAGGGGTCGCTCGGGTTTTTGAGCAGATTGGGCAGGTTGGTGCAGTACTTCGACGAGTGCATAATCCTGGCGTCCTGGGGAAGACCCGGGGGCATCTTAGCTGTGCCTCCAAGCGCGACCACAACCTTGCGCGCTCTTCTTGCGGAGATCTCTCCTGTCTCAACGTTCCGGGAGCGAACAGTGAAGAAGTCAACCACTGAGCTGGTGGGATCGGTCTTTCCAGGGATCACATCGACCACCTCCTCCCCATAGGACACGACATCGGAGAACTGTTGCGCACACCAGCGCATATAGTCTTCAAACTCCAGGCGGGCGGGGAGGAATGTTCCCAAGTTTGTGAAATGGATCAGGCGATCCTTCTGGTGCAGATAGTTGAGGAAGGTGAAGCTGCTGCGGGGATCGCGGAGGGTCGCGAGATCCTTGATGAACGAGATCTGCATCCTTGAGCCCGGCACCAGCATGCCCGAATGCCAGGCGAACTGCTTTTGGCGTTCCAGGAAACAGACTTTGGGCTGCGAGCCAAACCCAAGGGCCGACTTGTTCAAGCAGGGGTCCAAAGCATCGTGCAACGCAATTGCAATAGCAAGAGAAGCCGGTCCAAATCCCACACAGAGAAGATCGTGCAGCTCATCCTTGGGAGTAGACTTTAGCCGCGAAGGCTCCCGCTGCTGCTTGAGGGGCATGTTGCGACGGCTGTGGAAGCTGACTTCGGGCTTCCGTACCACAGGTTCCATTGATGTAAGCTAACGGATGGATAGGGGGAAGAGGCAGTAGGGGAATATGAATGAGAAGGAGAGATAGAAGTTCCGTGCCCAAAGGTCGGGGGATCAGAGGAGACGGGGCGGAAGACGCAATAATGATGGGATTCTGAACGAAGGTGGGAGAGAACCGCGGCAAGTTGGTGGGAGCGATGGTCGTAGTTATATGCCCCGGTGGATAATCTGATGGGGGGCAGTAGCTTCGAACTTAGTAGACTCTGCACTCAAATGTGTAGAAATTCGAAATAATTGAATTTCCAAACGAGTAAATAAAAATGTCATAAATGAAAATAAAATCCTAAAAGGGAAAAAAAGGTAAAAAAAAAAAAGGCTCGGCGCTGATGCCCTTTTTTTTTTTTTCCCCTGCTCTTTTTTTTCCCTGAAGCAGCGGATCCCGTTAGAGACGGTTTTTTTTTTGCCAGGCCCCCGAGCAAAGCAACCGGCCGTGGTTTCTTCTGACAGCGGGCCGGCAAGGGCGTACTTGATAGGCACTCCTCGGTTCCACCACCTGTCCGTGTAAAACGTGGTTGCTGCTCCTATTTACGTACTGTCTGGTCTCACATTAATGCCGGAGGACCGATCATTGCAACGGAGATGCAGAGCATCAACACCATTGAAGCCGGTGTCAGCCGGTGGCTTTGAAGGAGGGGATTGATACACCCTGAGCGTCGACCTTGGACTGAAATGTGGGATGTCTCATACATATATGATATAGGACGACCGCGGTAAAATCCCAGGCAGGTCTGGTGATTTCCTCGGAGATAAGATGCTTGATCAAACCCACGGTGTAGGGACTAGGGAGCAATACCGACGAGCCAACTGTGCCAGCTTGGGATGCTGAGGATCACGCCACAACCACCCTCACGGAACATAGCTCGGCGATGCGTGATAGCCTACCAACGAATGATCCAACGAGACCTGACAAGCAAAGCCAACAGACGACAAGCAAGGCCACCTACCTAACTACGGAGAACTTACGTGAAGTCTCCGACCCCCGAGAGCCGACCAGACCAGCAGCCCCGCAGTATTTTCCACTGCACAATGCAATTATCCTGGAAAGTGGGATGATGGACGCTTAGATTAGATCCGCAGTTGCCCGATGTCGGGAAATTTAACTGGGCTGAAGGGCTCTAGCGCGCCCCTCCCGGTACCGGTATGGTATTGACGCCCAACTTACAGTACCATGTTGTACCTCCCTCTTACCTCCACTTGCCAGTTGCGTACAGAGCTACATCCCAGGTACCGATTAAGCTTTTCCTGGCCTCAAGCAATACGTATCTACATACAAGTAATGCTGCTGCTCAGGCATTCACACCACACTTCCTCACCAGTTCTGAGTGGTCACGAGCTGCCCATCCTCGGCCCCTGCAAACCTTGTGATGGCGGCGGGGCCCAAGGTTAACATCCAGGGACTATTCCATGCAGTGGAAACATTTCCCGCTGCTCTTCCATGTCGGCGATCCATGGTTAATTTTTGCTGGCTAGCCGACTTCGACAGGAGTTATCGCATACATCTACTTGTCCCACATCTGCATGCAAGATCGCAACCCGTACCAGGTGCAGCCAGGTCCGCTGACAATTGCCTGCGATCCTTCTCTTGGAGAGCCTCCCGTGTCGATATCCCAAAGGTCACAATGGGTAATTGGCAATACAGGAGTGGTCAGCGGTGCCTATCCTTGCTAGTCGCTCGGACGGTGGTCAATCTCAGGTCCAGCCTGGATCTGATTGGGTTTTCGCGATGCTACTTGGACCTACCAAGTAGCACGGATTGCTAATCCTGCTCGTGCTATTCGATGGCCTTCCAACTTCGGACGGTCTACGCCTGCCTTGATTTCTGAACCGGTGTTCCCTAGGACCGCGTATGGTTCGCAGGAAAATCCGCCCCTCCATCGCCCCCCACACCAACGAAGTGCAAGCATACCTTTAGTTTATGGATCCTCCCGTCTCTATAATGAAAAGGGAAACATGTAGGCTGGACTCAGGAGAGAGTAGGATACATCTAGCTGGTATCTCGTACATGGCGGGAACTCCATGTGGGATAAGACCTCGTCCTAGAGAAAGAGAGAGAGAGAGAGAGATCCTTAGGGTTAGCACCATCAAGCACAATTCTAGTAAAAAGTGGCACCACCAGACTAACAGCACTTGCGCATTGGTATCCATTGAAGTCCACAAGCACGTGCTGTTAGGTACCTAAAGTTGTCGTAGCCTGACATTACCAATCAGGCCATTCTTAATGGGCGGCCTGGTTACCCCGCCGCAAAGTACCCCTCCTTTGGGACTTGAGCGTGGGACAGGGATTGTTGGGCGAGGCAGTACGGAGTACTGTGTAAGGCCATGTCCACCGCTTCCCCACCTCCATAGTAGTACTTGAAATCATCGTCAATTGAGGAGAAGATCTGATGCGTGGGTCAACTCTCACCAAAAGACCAAAGATCCGCCCCAAACCTTCGTGCTCGTTTTCCGGGCCTTGTCTCAGCTACTATCTAGTACTACCCACTTTGACCCCGTGTGTGTCTCTTTTCCCGTTTCTTGCTGGTTAGGCCATACGTAACCATGTTCCGCGGTCGATCTATTCGCCTACCCACTCAATCTTGTCTCTTACTCCACCCCGATGCAGTGACCCCTCACCATTTACTTACTACCTCCTCGAGACCCCGCCGCCTATGCACCCCCCTACTTGAGCTTTAGAATGACAAATGTTTGATCGTTGGTTGGCTCGCGCAATAGACCAAGCCACCATTCCGTGCCTTTGTGGCAGCAGGCAGGTTGGGTACCTGGGCAGGCTACATGGATAGGTATACCTTCTACTCCTTCACCTCGAATCAGAAGCAATACTTGGAAGATGAGAAGGACTATAGCTGCAAGACACTACATCCCTTCATCTCTATGGCATTGTCTAACTGCCTTAGGTCTATATAGACCCTTGATTGCTTTGGTCTGAACAAATGGCGTAAGAACTGTTTCCGCTCCCTCAATCTTACTTATAATGCCTGATTCCTGACTGGCCATGGCCCCGCACGACAGATCGTTTCCCCCATTCCTAACCTTCCACCATTGCGGTGATAGCCATCGTCTTGTTCAAGTGGATGTAGCTTGATGACTCCACAACGGCCTGGACATTTTCCTGAAGCGAATCTATCGTTGTGCTTGCTCGGTTACTCATGGCGAGTATCCTTGTTCGCGCTTAAGCAGGTAATCAATAAGAACGAATCCATCATCGAAGACTCTTAATCTTTATCACATCGGACCCGGGGCACAATGACACTGGCAGCTCTATTGGTACCGACTGAGTGATACATGTCGTGGTTCATCAAAGCATATGCATTCGATCAGTTTCCTTCGACTCGCTAATGGATGTCCTTATGTTGGTCCCCTTATGCAGGGGCTGACGAACCCAATACTGTCCAACATAATCTACAAGTTGCATTACTATCGGAGCCATGCCATTGACCTTCCGGGATATGCTCGGTAGACAAGACAGACCCTAGCGTCTGGGGAGCGTGGCTATAGTGATGAAGTTGCTCGAAGTGATGAGGTCTAGTGGTTCTCGCCCAGGCAGGCCCAACACTTTCAGTCGCATATAAGGATGGTCCCACATTTAATTGTCTACAATATGCCCTAGGTTTCCATAAATAGTTCAGTATCACTATCTAGTGTACCTATTACAGCTAGGTGACCACCTCAGAAGCCTCAGTAAAGCATTCGCGAGTTCGTCAGGGGCGTGTAACAACTACAGATTCCCTGCACAACGATACTACCATGAGATCGCAGCCAACAGTTCGTTGGGTAAAGGTGGTGGCGAATCTCGCGGATCAAGTGATTGGGCCAACCATTGCTCATACTATTCTGCTAAGGGTTGTAAATGATGCCCATAAATATTATAATGTAAGCGTTTGGATACCTGATGAGTGTATTTTCGATGGGCGATGAGCTTTGCTCGGGTGCTAGAAACATTCAACCGTATTAAACGTCCCCGATTAGAATGAAGTGGGAACAAGATGGATCCATGTTATACAAAGAGGTATGGAGTACAATACAAAGGAAAGAGTCAAGTGACCTCGCTTGCCTCTAGGGAAGCGGGGGAGTGAAAGCGGCCTCGGCATCACCTCCAGAACAATCACTCAAAAAGGCTGCATATTGCAGGGTTGTTGCAGGCCGAAGGATATTGACAGGGCACCGTTTCTTAATCCCATCAAGGTATATCCCCGAGCACCCTTTACCCCGGGTCCTCCTGTGTTGCGGGTGGAATCTACGGCCGGCTGGATGATACATGCACTCGCAAAGCGCATGTAGTCCCTTGCTGCGTACTGTTTCTCTTCTCGCGACTGATATCTGGTGTTTATGTCCTAACGATCTGCGAAAGATAGCCCATAAAGGCATCTATCGACACCTTTGTCTTTCTACATGGGGTAGGTGGATGATTTGGAAGTAGCGGAGCATTATCTTGGTAGCTCCCAGCTTGTTGCCAGAGCTGAAATGGATGAGGTGTTTTGATGCTCTACATTCATAGTACACCCTTTTTCATGCACCCTATACTTCTGAAATGCATACAACCTTGTACAGATCAGGTGGTACTATTATAGGCAATCACGTTGACATCTCGACCTCCGTGACGTATAAAGAGATGATGTGTTCACCTACCGATGAAAAGAAGTTATTGCGGAAGAGATATCTCAGAGTATGTGCGGCAATGGAGGACTTCCTCATGTTAATCGGGCCACATCAATGGTCACAGCTCGGTTCATAACGTATCGACAATCGAGGTGATCATGAGGTACAATATTTGGTCTCTATTCAATTGACATCACCCCTTATCCGGGATAAAATACATGAGGTGCTCAAGTCGGTGCTAAGCAGTGACAGCCTATGGAAGTCTGTCGTCGCTATGAAACCACTTGCCGGGAACCCTCATGCCACCATACATCTTTGATATTGTCCCTTCGCAAATCGAAACACAATCGTTTAATACTTCTCAAGGTGGCCAGCAAGGTCTGGCCTAGCCTAGATAAGTGCAGCCGCATGGAGTCTGGTAAGTAGACATGACGGTCACAGGGCGGACTATCGTTGGAATAGGTGTCCTTCTAGATTGAGCTCCTGGGACTTGGGGCAATGCTCAATACGGCGGCAGTCATCCCGAAAAGGCCAGAAAGCCGTTTCACAGCTACTGAGTACGTACAGATCTCCACAATGTCTCACAGATGCCCGAGTTGAGTAAACGCATCGATGCTGGATGGGGATCTATGGCAGCCCACTTTTCATACAGTCCAAGCCACGGAAGTCTTTCGAAGATCAGGGTGGCTGAAAGGACATTTCCCGGTAAGCGACCAATGCTAGTGGACATCCCGTGCAGCAGAGTCTCGAGTGGCACAGCCTCGGATACTGATGGGACATGTCACATTTTGCCAACAAGAGGCGCGGCTATGCAAAACAAGAACAGCAAGATTAGATTTAGGGTATCCGGACAGGAAGATCAGCTGACTACCGTCTTAGTTGAAGAAGATGCGAACGGGCCACGCCAATAACGGCCGAATTGGCTGCAGAAGAGATTAAAGGTGTGGCGTAAGGGATGGACTTAATGCATGCATTATCTCTGAACCGAACAGTATTGCCTGTTTGGTTAGGGCAGGGCAAGCCGTGCTGAGTAATGCCGATTGGGTTTCGAGGGATGGATGGTTTCCCAATAAATCGAATCAAGGGTTGGACCAATAGCCTGGATCGGCTCAATTATTGCCCAGGGAGTCATTAGCAAACTGGTGCACAAGGCAAAGCTTACTGAGGGCTGGCTACAAGGATCTGGCTTCGATATAGACCCCTTGTGTTTATTGCTCAATGGGTGACTATATATATATATACCGGTGTTTAATGAATCCCAGACTCTGCGCCTCAATAGACACTGGTCATCGACTTGATTCAGCAGTCTCCGAGCCAAGAGAGAGAGAGAGAGAGAGAGAGAGAGAAAGAGACTATGGACAGAGGTGGACAACCAAGCTTCACAGTTGCTATCCCAACGTACACACATGATGATCACCATAGCATCGACCTCCAATTGCCTGAGGCAACAAGACCGTTTCATTCTTTCGGGCGCTAGAGTTCGGAAGCGGACGATCTAGAGGGAGATCGTGTGGGAGATAGGCTGTGTCTTGAGAAAAATGATGTTATCCATCATATTCGGGGTGCATCAACTATCAAGGCTATTGACCGAGTACCCGATGACGTATGGTGCCAAGGGGGAGGGAGCTGTTGGTATGTATCATACAGGGGGCTGTATGAGGAAAACGGGTTATCTAAGAATCTATGATCTATGACGGAGGATCTCCTACGTCAAAGATACTCGATCTGGACACGTCGACAATGAGGGATGACACGTGGAGCTGAGGGGTTTGTAGGGTTGAGGTCGGGCATCGGCGTTGGCACTATCGACTCCGTACGGAGTACTAGCTGACACGGAGTGCCTGAGACATCGGTTACCCTGGTATCTAGGGTAAGGCTGGCATGTTTACTCCGTATGTCACTTTGACTACGAAGTTGTGACTGACTCGTTAGCTACAGCCTACAGGGTCTACGGTGTACCTACCCAGTAAGCGGTTGAGGGGCTACTAGAAGGATTATGGAAGCATGAAAAGATGGGGCGTCGGAACCCCAAAAACATGCCCGAGCCTGGTGCCTGACCAAAGCGTCAAATTAGAGGGAGGGGAAAATAAAATAGAAAATCTCGTTAAATAAACGAATTATTTCAGCCTCGATCTTTGCCACCGCCATCACTTTCACTTTCTTGATTACAAAAATTAAATAGTAGCAAGACCAGAAACAGGCTGAACTGTGGCAAGGATTCAGGGAACAGTAGCAGTGATGTAGCCTCGAAACTTAAGCCTCTCCTAGTTGGCGGGATGAACCAGGTAATTATTTTGGTGCACATGCAAGGGCGCAGGATAATGAGTTGATCCGGCTTCCCCCGCGTGTCCTTATCAACATTATCGATATGATATTGTGTTGGCGATTGGGGAGGGGCGACGGGAGACGGGAACCGAAATCGCGTACTCCGTATGGAGGGTGTCTGTCAATACCGATGATTAATCTGTCGGAGTCATCATCATCATGATCATTATCGCCACGTTCATTGAGTCATCCTGTATACCCACCACCCTAGGTATCATGATGGCCGATGATCATGATTATCCCGGAGAGAAATACTACCATCCTGGATGGCGACATGCCAACTGATTGGCAAAAGTGGCTGCTCAGTAAACGTACAGGGCGTGTATGGAAGCGCGGTACGGAGTGGTATCGTATGATCCACGGGGGAACCCTGGGGGGGCGCGGCGGGCGGACTGAGGAGGAGGAGGGGGGGATCCTTACGACTTGCACCTTACGCGTGACGCTCCCGGCACTAAACCCAAAAGGAGCGGGGCAAACAACAACAAAGCGACGCGAGAGTCGCGCGTGCGACAGAAACATCGAGGCCCACGCTCGCGGATTGGCGGCGAGAGGGCCGTCGACGCCCTCCAACTGGCTGGGTACCTGGACCTGAACCACTCAAGGCCTGCCGATAGAATCCTGAACCCAGTAGACTAGCAGGCCTTAGTAGCAGTAGTCGTGACTACTACGGAGTACCTATGGACCTACTGACCACTATGTTCACTCGCTTCTTTTTTTTCCTGCCTGCCTGCCTGCCTGTCTCCCAGCATCTCTCCATCATCGCCGCTCTTCCTCCAGCCATCGACTATCCATCCACACCCCTCCCCCCAACCTTAACCGTCGAAACTCTCCTCCCGTAAGGGAAATCCCTCGGGCGATTGATCCATCATTATTGAAGGCTGGCTCTGCATACCGCAACTTCCGTCCCATCGCCAGCCCCTCCGCCCTCCGGCTGCCGCCCATCCTATCTCCCACCATCTCCACCACTATCCACCACGTCCCATCCCTTTCTTCGTCTCGACTCCCCTCCTTCGCGTGGCTGTCTGGTGCTTTTTTTGGGGTCCCATCGCGTCACCCCTTGCGCTGCCGGTCGCTCTGCCGGAGGAGCCCAGTCACTCAGGTTTTAAAGGAAGAAAGGGAGACGGAAGGGAGGCGAATCTTGCTGCTGCCGGTGTCCTTCTATCAAATCAAAATCATCCCTCTTGCGTCCCTCTCTGCAACCCGATCCCTCCTTCTGCGCATCGCTTGCAGGTAGTCGCTGTCTTGGAATTTCTCGCGTCGCCCTTGTCACGCCCCGGCTCCTCGTTCCTGTCGCCGCTGCATTGTCGCGCGTCGCGCCTGCTTGTTTTGACGCCTGTGTTGTCACTCTGAAACATTCTTCCTTATCGATCGGTATCGCCTTAGGCGCCGAGCGACACGGCGAAGGCCCGGAAAGACATTGCGTGTTTCAGGCGCGTGGCCCCGTGCCTCAGAGCGCGAAGAGTGCCGCTTGCGCTGGCCCTTTCCCACCCTCTCGTGAGGTGTATGGAGGCTTCACGAAGCGCATTCGAAGCCCCCCGTGGTCTCGGAATAGGCTGGTGATGTGCAGTCATCGTTCGTTTCGCATTACCGACTTGTTTTGGCTGGACCCTACCACCGGCGCGGAGCCTTACTTTCCTAGCATTCCACTGCGGTCAATAACAACTTCCGACTTCGTTACTGGCTAGAGCGACAGGAGGAAAACACCGCCACACGCATACTCGCTTTGTCTGTTGTTTTGTACGACCATCGCCAGCTGAGGTCATTGTTGTACCGCCTCCCACCTTGTCTACCCGACCTCACCAGTGACCGGTCCAGTGAGCCCGGCCTCATAACAACAACTTCGAGACCTTCAACCCTAGTGTTCTTTCTACAGACTGGCTCCGACCATGGTTGCGACGTTTTCGCCGCACCGCGATGCGGGTGGCACACTACACCTGCCTTCGCACACGGGCATTCACCATATGGATGCTAACTCGGCCATCCGACAACTGCGTCGGTCATTATCCCGTTCACCTTCGAAGAGTTCCAACTTCTCATTGCTTGCTTCCCGAAGCCACTCGCCTTCTAAAACAACACCGTACATCTCGTCTCCCTTATCGCCTTCACGGAGATCCACCCAGAGCAACTTCGTGCTTTTCCCCAGCTCCTCTCATCAGTCTCCATTCGCAGTCCCATATCACCCAAGTGGCAAAATCACAAGGCCGACGATGCGCCGTGTGCGGACGTCTCCGAGGAGCCCCGTGAAGCGTGCTCTAAACATTTCCACGGATCAAGGCAACGCAAAGCCTGCACAGTCAACCCCAACAATACCGGGCGTGGAGAACACACCCACAACGCCTGGGCTTGTTCAATCCGACAACACGGCTGGAGAGACTTGTCCAAGTGACACACCCGCCTGCACGGAACCCACCCTAGGGCCCCGACCAGCCCTCTCTCGAATCGAGAAGCGGCGGAGTGGAACGTTCGGCTCCTATGCCACAGTTAGCCCGCTAAAACGGAGCGATGGGATTATGAATCTAGATCGAGTGTCTCGGGGTAGTCCATCGGCGAAGAGGCGAAGTGTCCATACGGCAAACTTGTCGGGCGAGTTCAGCATATTTGACAACGAGGTCGCACTGAACAGTGCCGAGGAGTCTCCAGTCGAGACTTCCCCCGAGACTACCACGCCCTCCTTCCCTATCACCACCACCCCGTTCAGCCCGTTTGCCACCATTCCCAAACGATCCTCTTCTCTACGACGGTCCACTCTTCAGCAGCGCCAGAGTGATCGCTCTCTTTTTGCCCGGGCGAAGGCCATGGACGATCCGTCCGAGACTCCAGACAGCGGGACCCCCTTCACGACTGGACCTCGCATGTCTCTGGACCACAGTCTTTTCCAGCCAAGCCGGGACAGCCCATTTGTATCACGTCCATCGCCTGGCAGTCCTCTGTTTGCGTCGACATTGAACAATGCCGAATACTCCCGCCCTGCTGCTCATCCCCTGTCCAGAACAATCACGCAGTCCTCTTCCAGTTCGAGTCTTGCAGATGACTCTCCTACCCATGAACCTATCCACAAAGGTGATCGTCCCAGAGGGATCTTTAACTTTTCCAAGTCTCTTCCTGCGGGGACCGCTCGGCCTGCTCCGGTGCGGCATCTCAACCGCGAGGATTCGACATCTTCTATCGACTCCTTCGCCACTCCAGAGAACTACAAGCTAGTCAAGCCTCTTCCAGCGGCATTCATGTCGACTGGTCTCATATCCAAAAAGAATCGTAACGCCGAAGATTCTCAGAACACGCTGGGATTTAGCAAGAATATGCCCGATACCCCATGCAAACGGCCCATCAACCTCTTCCCCACGGCCGGAAGAATTCCGCCAGAGAGGCCTTTGGAAATGTCAGGCTTAGTTCGACAGTCGGACATGGTACCCCCCTCCCCCTTTAACCCTCCTAGTACGCGCCCCAAATCTGGACCGTTCGCACGAGGCATGGGCATCTTTGGAAGCTCTTTCAACAGGCCCGAGGTCTCACGACGCGGCAGTTTTGCCAGTATTGATGGCGACGACTTGCTACCCTCGCAATCGCCCTGTGGTCGACACAATAGTCAACCACTGAGCGAGTGTGACTTCCCACCGACACCCACGAAGCAGACCTTTTTCCCTTCCCGAACTTATCCGCCGCAAGTTTCGCAGATTGCTTCCCTCGAGAGATTAGCGGAGGCCAAAGGCACCAACTCCAGCCCTTTGCACGACAGGTTCCAACGTGGCTCTCCACGCACGCCTCAGGATCATCTCTTTCCTGACCCGAGCGGCCTTTCGATCTCCAACGACCAGCATTCGATCAAGCCCGATTTCAATTCCAACCTGCCAGCAACTCCCACTGGTCCCCGTGACTCTTTCCAGTCCGGAAAACGGCACAGCCTTCCGTTGGCCGGATATCATGCGTCCGATGTCGATCCCAGTTTGACCTCACGATTTGAACGGGTCGAGCTTGTTGGCACTGGGGAATTTTCTCAAGTCTACCGTGTTGCTGAGCCCCATGACACATCAATGTCGTCTCTGTTTTCCGGCGATATGTATCCCCCCAGAGTGCAGCAGCCTGAACGGGTTTGGGCTGTCAAAAAATCAAAGCAGCCGTATTCAGGGCTCAAGGACCGCGAGCGCCGCATTCGTGAGGTGGATATACTCAAGTCGTTGACCAACTCGGATCATGTCATAACTTTCATGAACAGTTGGGAGGACAATGGCCACCTCTACATTCAGACGGAATTTTGCGAAGAAGGTAGTCTGGATGTCTTTCTTGCACAAGTTGGGCTCAAGGCAAGATTGGACGATTTTCGGATCTGGAAGACATTGTTGGAGCTATCAATGGTAGGTTCTAACTCTTGATGAAATCTGGCCTTCATGACAGATCCAGGGTAGTGCTAACCGCCATGGCAGGGTTTGAAACATATCCATGACATGGGCTTCATCCATCTCGACCTCAAGCCAGCCAATATTCTAATCACATTCGAGGGTGTGCTCAAGATTGCCGATTTTGGCATGGCCGCGCGTTGGCCCGCAGAAGACGGCATCGAAGGCGAAGGAGACCGGGAATATATTGGACCCGAGATCTTGATGGGCCGCTTTGACAAACCAGCGGATATCTTCTCGCTCGGCCTCATCATGTTCGAGATTGCCGGAAATGTTGAGCTGCCCGACAATGGTCTTTCATGGCAAAAGCTCCGCAATGGAGACATGAGCGATGTTCCCAGCCTGACTTGGAGCTTCGAGACCAGCATTTTCCGCGATGCGTCCGGGAACCCCGTTTCGGAAGAACCCTCGTTTGAAGAGCTATGTGCCTCGGACTTCGGAGAGGATGATTTCGGGACGGATAGTTTCCTTGGAGGTCGCTCATTAAGCAAGCGGAACACGACCTCCCTGGCCCAGATGGGCGAGCTCGTCGATCCTCCTAGCTTCATGGTCGACGCGGGCCACGAGCAGGCCTTGGACAAGATCGTGCGATGGATGATCTCACCCGAGCCGCTCGATCGACCCACTGCGGACCAAGTGCTAGAAACGTTCGGGGTCCAGTTTGTGGCCCGTCGACGTCGAGCCGGGGCCACCGTTTATGAAGGCAACTGGGGCCCGGCCGACGAGGTCCTCGCGGAAGACGCCGAGATGATCGATGTTTAATCACCCACGACTTACCATATCTAGTGCATTTGGACGGAGTTGGCGCTTTCCTTTACAATACCATCTAATGACGGCGTTTATGCGGAGATCCGAACTTTTGATATTAATGTTCTTTTTCTCTCGATGACCTTGATGTGATCGGGATGTTTTACCGACCATCCTTCATGACTCGGACGATGTTGATACGACCGATGAGACGATGCTAGTCCCATGGAGGGGTGGTTGTCCACTCATTCCTCAGAAGATTTCTTTTGTTACCACGACCCGTTGATTTAGCGATGATGATAGGCTTTCTTTTGCGTCCCAGTCGCGTTTCCTTCCTTTCTCCATGTATCTATGTCTTGTTCCTGACTGAGTCCTTGCGGCTCGGGATGACTTGAGGCGACATGTCGTTTATGCCTGCCATCTCTGCTCGCCAGTGATTCCCCCTCTTCGTTTCTCACGATCTCCACCTTGTTTTATTGATGTTTGATTTCCTTTGTTGGAGTATGCCTCGAGGAACTGGAGTAGTTCTTGCTCATGCACCCGGGGCATTTGATGACCACTACTACCCTATCTCTAGATGTCTATGTATTAAATATCCTTGGCGTGAGCCTTTCTCTTCAACCCTGTGTTCTTGTCCCACTTTTTTTTCCCTCCCCCCTTCTGCCTGTGCTGTTGCCTTTTCCTATTGTGCCCCCTACCTACCCTTCTCTATATGTCCCGGGCAGACCAGAAACCGCCTCGAAGTGATCAAGCCGGCTTGAGAACAGGATAATGCTGTGAATTAGATCTTGAAATGTACATTTGAATTGGACGGGCATGAATGACCCCATGAGCCGAGAATGGAAGACTACCAGTAGTACCTTAATGCGTGTGGTTTCGACTGGTCGATAGATACAAAGTAGAAGACGGCTCGCCACCGGCCGACGGTCTTGGCAGAAGCCGCTGCGTCTTCGTCTCCGCAACCTTGCGATTCCTCCGTCCTCCAACGCTCTCTCTCTCACATCTCACACCACGCCTCCGGTAGCGTTTCTTGCTTCGTTCCATTCGAAAACTTCCGTCCCCTGCTCTCATTGGATTTTGCTCCGGCCCGTGGCGACGATGTGCGATTCAATTTGAGAGCCTCATCACGGAAGTTCACCAGCTGGGAGTCTCACGCCGAGTACTAGAACCTCGAAATCCGCTGAAATACAATCAACCCCGCATATACAGCTGCCTTTACTACCCCCGACCGAGAGATCCTGACCGATCACTTCATCTTACAATATGGATCATAGAACCTTCGTGTCGGATTCTCTCCTCCGCCTGACGAACGCGTCGGACCCTACCGTCGTCGACTTCGTGCTCGCCACCGCCAGCTCTGCCAAATCGGCCACCTCCTTACAAGATAAACTACTTCCTTTCTTGGACGGCAGCTCGGGTGACATTGGTTCGTTCTGCGGGGAACTCTACAGGCGGGTTGGCGCGGGCGCGAAGACCGCGCCCAGTGCCAGCAGCTCCAATGTGCCAGGCAAGGAGCGTAGCGATGGCGGGTCCAAGAAGAAATATCGGCTGCTGGAGATGGAGGATGACGTTTCAGAGGCTCGAGGCTCGCTAGGCCCTGTGAATGTCGAGGCCGAACGGGAGCGACGGAGACGCAGAGATAAAGATCGGAGTAACGGGCGAAGCACCAAAGATGCGGAGAGCGGTCGCAGCCGCTGGGAGAAAGATGAGAGCCGCAAACGCGATCGTAGTCGCGAGGAGGAGGCGCGCGACCGTCCCCGGACCAAAAAGCTGCGTCGACGAGACATGGATGACTTTGATGATCGCTGGGGGGATGAGGATATCCCCGAGGACGAGCTGTACGAGGAGGACGAGCAGGCGGGTGAGTTTGAGGAGTCACCATCGAAGCGGACCCGGCTGGAAGATGGGTCTGCGTCGCCTCGGTCGAATGCCTCCGCAGACCTGGATCCCGAGACGAAGAAGGAGCTGGACCGGAGACGAGACCTCGAGGAACGAGATGAGTTTGCAAAACGGCTTGCTAAGAAGGATGATAGCAAGACTAAGAAGATCGTCGAGGACCGGACGAAGGCTGGTGAGGCCGCGCGTCGACGAGAGTTGGCCGATAACGCTTCAGCTCGAGCAGCTGTCATGCCCGACCTTCGATTGCGTTCTCGACAGGAGTATCTTAAGAAACGAGAGACCGAACGGTTGGCCCTCTTGCGCAGACAGGTTGCAGAGGAGGCGGCGGAGTTGCGCGACAACCCCAATTTGACTCGCAGGGAGAAGGAGGAGTTTGCTCGGAACAGAGAAGTGCTGCGGATTGCGGAGGAGCGACTACGGATTGATGATCATCGCGATGGTTATATGATGCCCGAGGACTACATTACCGAGAAGGGCAAGATTGATCGGAAGAAGAAGGAAGACGCCCTCTACAAGCGTTACGTGGATCGCGATGACCGTGGCCAGGAGCGGTTCGTTACGGAGCACGAAGAATGGGAGTTGGAACAGACTGCCAAGGCAAAGGCACAGATCAATCGGGCCGAGTTTGTCGACGAAGGCGACTACGAGTACGTGTTCGATGACTCGCAGAAGATCAACTTCGTCATGGACGCCAAGATGGAAGGCACTCGAAAGCCCATGACCCAGGAACAGCGGAGGCTTCAGGAGCAGATTGATGCAGCGGAGAAGAAAGCACAGTCGATGGAGGACACGCGAAAGAGCCTGCCCATCTATCAGTTCCGGGACCAGATCATCCAGGCGGTGCACGATCATCAAGTCTTGATCATCGTGGGAGAGACTGGCTCAGGTAAGACGACGCAGATTCCTCAGTACCTTCATGAGGCCGGATTTACCAAGGGCGGGTTGAAGGTTGGGTGTACGCAGCCGCGGCGAGTCGCTGCCATGAGTGTGGCCTCTCGCGTGGCGGAAGAAATGGGAGTGAAACTGGGAAACGAGGTTGGATACGCCATTCGATTCGAGGACAACACCAGCGATAAGACGGTGCTGAAGTACATGACGGATGGTATGCTGCTCCGTGAGCTCTTGACCGAGCCCGACCTCGGCCAGTATTCTGCATTGATGATTGACGAGGCGCACGAGCGGACGGTGCCCACGGACATTGCTTGTGGTCTTCTGAAGGATATTGCAAAGGCCCGACCTGACCTCAAATTGCTCATCTCCTCCGCCACAATGGACGCTCAGAAGTTCCAGCAGTATTTCGATGATGCGCCCATCTTCAACATCCCGGGTCGTCGGTACCCCGTCGACATCCATTACACATCCCAACCCGAGGCGAATTACCTGGCTGCAGCTATCACGACTGTCTTCCAGATCCATGTCAGTCAGGGTCCCGGTGATATCCTCGTCTTCTTGACCGGTCAAGAAGAAATTGAGGCGGCAGAGCAGAGTCTCCAGGAGACTGCACGAAAATTAGGGAGCAAGATACCGGAGATGATCATCTGTCCAATCTACGCCAATCTTCCGTCCGAGCTTCAGACTAAGATCTTCGAACCGACGCCGCCAAAGGCGCGGAAGGTGGTGCTAGCGACGAACATCGCTGAGACCAGTCTGACCATCGACGGCATTGTCTACGTGATTGACCCGGGCTTTGTAAAGGAGAACGTGTTCAACCCGCGGACGGGCATGGAAAGCTTGGTGGTGACCCCCTGCTCGCGAGCGTCTGCTAACCAAAGAGCCGGACGTGCTGGGCGTGTCGGTCCGGGCAAGTGTTTCCGACTCTATACCAAGTGGGCGTACCACAACGAGTTGGAGGAAAGCACCACACCCGAGATTCAGCGGACCAATCTGAACAGTGTCATCCTGATGCTGAAGTCGTTAGGAATCGACCAGCTGCTTGATTTTGACTTCATGGACCCTCCACCGGCCGAGACGATTATCCGTGCGCTGGAGCAGCTCTATGCGTTGGGAGCGCTGAATGATCGAGGCGAGCTCACCAAGATCGGGCGACAGATGGCCGAGTTCCCGACGGATCCCATGCTGGCCAAGGCGATTCTGGCGGCCGACAAGTATGGTTGCGTGGAAGAGGTGTTGTCGATCGTGTCGATGCTGGGCGAGGCGAGCGCGCTGTTCTTCCGGCCCAAGGACAAGAAGATCCACGCGGACAGCGCGCGGAATCGCTTCACCATCAAGGACGGGGGTGACCACCTCACACTGCTCAACATCTGGAACCAGTGGGTCGACTCAGACTTTAGCTTTGTGTGGGCCAAGGAGAACTTCCTGCAGCAGCGGAGTCTGACGCGGGCGCGTGATGTTCGCGACCAGCTGGCGAAGCTATGTGACCGGGTCGAGGTGACGGTCAGCACTTGCGGCTCGAACAATCTGGTGCCGATTCAGAAGGCCATCACGGCCGGGTTCTTCCCGAATGCCGCGCGGCTGCAGCGAGGCGGCGACAGCTATCGCACGGTGAAGAACGGACAGACGGTGTATCTCCATCCGTCCAGCACGCTGTTCGAGGTGAACCCGCGGTGGGTTATCTACTTCGAGCTGGTTCTCACCAGCAAAGAGTACATGCGCAGCAACATGCCGTTACAAGCGGAGTGGCTGGTCGAGGTGGCGCCGCATTATTACAAGAAGAAGGACCTGGAGACGCTGGGACTGGAGAAGAAGATGGCGAAGGGCCAGGGAGCGGCGGGCGAAAAGAGCCGGAACTGATCGATCCCTGGGACCGTCATAGAGTCGTTCTATGTTGTGTACATTTCCATGTACTATGCCTTATCAACGAACATATCTACTCGTGTAGTAGACACTGAGACTTTTGTACTTGTCCTGTACCAATGATTTAGTCCCACTATGGAGTAGTTACTCCGTACATAGTAGTAGGGCACCACCACCCAATCACAACCCCCGGATTGCAACGCGCCCGTCCCCGTTCCTCGACCGCGGCTCCAACCAGTGGAAACAACCTCGGCAAGTCGCGCCATCAACTCCGCCCGCCAACTTAAACCAACCGACCCCGGATTCCGGATTCCATCGTCTGCCACTTATCTATCCTATCCTATCCTATCCTATCCATCCACTCACCGACCCACGACCACACCACCCCAACCCCCTCAACCAAACCCAAAAACCAAACACAAACACAACCCCAAACCCACAAAGACGAAAATCAGAATGTCCAAATCCTTCACCCCCACCGACATCGCCGCCCACAACACCCCCGACAAGGGCCTCTACATCATCATCGATAACAGCGTCTACGACGTCACCACCTTCGTGGATGAGCATCCGGGGGGCGCGAAGATCCTGAAACGAGTGGCCGGGAAAGATGCCTCGAAACAGTTTTGGAAGGTTAGTTGGGGTACTTTTCTTTTCTTCAAGCTGGTTCTTTTATTCTTGGTGTCGGTCTTGAGTTTTCTTTTCGGTTCGGTTTGGTTCGGTTCGGTTCGGTTCTGGTTGGGTTGGTTGGTTTGTGTGATTATTGACTAGACATTTGTTTCGCCTTTGGGAGATGGGCATACAGCATAGCTAATGGGTCTCGGTAGTATCACAATGAAGGGGTGCTGAAAAAGTACACGTCCAAGTTGAAGATCGGCGAGGTGAAGGAGGAGGCCAAGTTGTGATGAGGGTATTAGAATTAAGACTACGAGGATGATCGGGCTGCTGGAGATTTAGAAATGCTTTGGGAGGCATCAGCTGGGACCGAAATTTGATGAGGCATGATCCAATGTGAGACTAGACCTTCGCCAATTACTAATAACATTAAACAATACTATCCGCCAAATATAACGAGCGAGAGGTGGTATCCGCGTCGGCGCAGGTAAATCGCAACAAACAAAGCAGGTGTACAACATTTCCAGAAAAGCAGGCACGTCGTCATGGGAAGCGGTGCCGGCCCGGTCAGAATTCCCCGAATGGATCATCACGGCGAAAATACCCGCCCTCTTCGTACGGAGAGTCCAGCTCTTGATTCGCACTCCATGCGCTCGACGCCTTCCGCTCGTGTCGCGCAGACCGCGTGCCCTTGTATCCGTTGGTTTGGTCAATGAAGGCCTCCATGCGAACGGTACCGATCGCGTCAAAAAAGTTGCTTGTCCCCACACTGGCCTCGGACGTGCGGCGGCTAACGCTGCCTACGCTGCTGGTGAGCCCTTGGCCATACACGGCCGGACCATACGTGTCCGAGGAGCCGCGCGTCGGGGCTACCGAGGGCACTGTGCCCTGGCTGGAGAAGCTGCGGATGATAGGGACCCGGGGAGTCGTGTTACTGCGCTTACGGGCATGGTTCGAGAACCGGGGCACCGTTGGCGGGTCGGCGGCGTCCATCAACTCGTCGGCTTCTAAACCGGCGGGTAGTTCAGGAACGGGCTCGGGTTGACTGAGAAGGGATCGCTTGCCTTTGGGGCGCGGGCGCGGGCGACCCTTGGCAATTCGAATCGAGTCCCGGATTGGATTACGGCGCAAAGTGGCCGTGGGCGCCGGGGATGTGAATTCCTCCTGCGGGACCGGAGGAAGGGTGTCTAGGTCATGGAGACCCATGGATGAGTGGCTCAAGAACGACAATGCAGTCAGCCAGACATAATGCCGCTCAATGCTGGAGGCCGTGAATTTGAGGGCGCGCTGCGGGGTCAAGATCAAAATCGACCGATTGAACTGGTTCTGCGCATTGAAGCCTTTGGGAAGCGGGTTGTCATCTTTGACATCGAGAACGGACTGGATGATCACTGCGCCAGGGTCAGCACGGGGGTGACTGAGGTCAGATAACGCAGTAAGGTAGACCTACACTTTCGACCGCTCTTACCCAGGAGGGCTGGCCCGCTGGTCGGTTGTTTGCTGCTCCACATGACGGCGCGCTCGTATGGCGCCAGCCAGACCCATCGCTTGTGTCTCGCACCGCTGTTGGCGATATTGGCAGACACCTCGTCGGCATTCCGGCCCTCCCAGTTGTCCTTCGGCTCGCTGACCCCACCAAACGATCTCCGTCTCCGGATGTACTTGTACATCCACTCCCCGACCATGGTTTGCGCGATGGCGTCGACCACGCTGGTGGGTTGGACTATTGTGGCCGTCGAGTCATGTCGTGCATGCGCAAAGGGGCGCGGTGCGGCTGCCGGGTGAGCCGATGTTCGCTTTTGCATGGCCCGTTTCCCCGAGGGCGCCGTGATCTCGTCATAGGGCAGTGGAGGATGTTGGGGACTGTCCGGTCCACAGGACGAGGAGGACATGGTGGGCGATGAGCGGCTGTCGGGGCGGCCATGCTGCTCTATGTGCGACATGGCAGCTGCGGAGCGGACGCGCCGTAGAGTCGGGCGTCGAATAATCGCGGGTCGGGCGCGATCAGCGAAGTGGCGAGGGTTGGATGGCGTTGGACTCTGCCGACCGTCACTCCCACCGGGGAATTTTCTTGAACTGAACCGCATCGGCACTGGGATGGGAGGTGCAATCCCAGATACACCGCTCCCACTACTGGGTTCGCTGGGACTCCGCGGGCGCATATCCTGATGTGCTGCTGCTCCGTTGGAGATCATAGCTGATTTACGCATATCCTGCTGCCGCGCCCCAGGAACCCCAAAGCCTAACCGCTGACTCCACGACGAAGGTCCAACCAGTTCTTTAGAGCCTTGGTCGGTAGGTGTCTCGGATGAGTGGGCATCGGATTCTCGCAGATGCTCATCAATTTCCGGAAGGGGCGCATCGTCCAAGCTAGGATGACCTCGGGTGGAAACTAGTTTGCCTCGCTTCAGGGTGTACGACGCAAATGGCCGATTCAGAAGCTCATCATCGGTGAAGATGTCCTTAGTCTGCCCAGAGGTCTCTTCATCACTCGCCTGATCAAATCCAGCAAAGAGGCTGCTTGATCGTAGAGGGCGCCTGAGCTCGGACTTGGATTCCTCGGACAGCGGACCGTTGTCATTGTTTCCCGGGTAGGCTTGTACCGGCTCAAGTGGCTTGGTGTCTGACGAGGCCCTACTCTCTCGTTTCTTCGACCTTGGAGGAGGGGCACGATAAGGCTGAATGGGATGGTCCGGGGGCGTCTCGCGCAGGGGAAGGTCAGGAATCGCTGATGGGAGTAGGCTGGCCGGTAGCTTGACAGGCCTTGTGTCAATCGGGATTTCTTCTGTTTGCACGCCAACCGTCCGGCTCTCAATGCTCGGGCCGAGGTTGACCTGGCAGGAAACACTCTTGGTTTGAGGCGGGAGAACCACGCTCCCTCGGGGCGAAGGGGGTTCCGAACAAGGCGGGTGGATCGCAATCATGGGGATCTCTAGTTCGGATGACTCCATCTCGGTGGGCGAGGCATTGACTCCCTTGTCATCCGTTTCGGCGACTGGGGCTTGTATAGTCTGTACAGACACTGAGACCATCGCCGTCTCTTCTGGAACTGGCGGTGGTATCTCATCGACCTTGGGGGTCCAAGGAGGAGTGGGAAGATCCTCCACGGTTTGGCAAGACGCCGAGACCATGTCAATCGTCAGGGTTGGGGTAAGTGTTGACGTGCTGCTGTCTTTGCGTTGAAAGAAACCGGTGTCCTCGCCACCAGGGCACTCGGCGGTCTGGTGGCAGGATGGAGGCTCCGGCTTGGATGGTGACAAGGGGGACGGAGGAGGCGAATACTGGATCCCCGTGTCACGGTACACAAATTCGGTCGAGGACATCTTCAACGGGCTCCCGGGCGGCGAGTTTCCTTCGGCCTTGAACCCGTAACCGTCGGCACTTCCCAGAGAAAGCCCGAGGATCTTTCTCGCCTTTGCACCCATGCTCATTGAACGAGAAAGCTGCGAGTGGACGGAGGCCGGACGCTCTTCGGGCAGTGCCTCGGGTGACTCGGGCACAAAGTCAGTGTCGAAGGACTCGAACTCGTCTTCCTCGTCGAATGCCAGCTCTTGTGCTAGACTTAGGCCTTCGCTCTTCAAACCAGGGACGTTGGCGACACTCGCCATGGAGTATCGCACATTGTGATAGTCGGCCTCATCACCGCTGTCAGCGCTCACACTTGTGATACTAGTCCGGCGATGGCCTTGACTGCTCGAGACAACACTCGCCGAGTCACTATCTTTCGCTGCTGCAGATCTGCCGGTCAGGTCAATCTCCATTCCACCAACGTCCTGGAGTGGTTGAAACGAGCCGACTGCTTGAGCAGCCACTACCTCCTTCAAGACAACTTTCAGGCGCCCTTCCACCACGTGGACCTTCCGTTCTAGGTTCCTGCGCTCGCCCTCCCAGGCGTCTTTGTCGCGGTCCCATAGTTGTATGGTCCGCTCTACTTCCTCCTCCCGGCTCCGCGCCTTCTTTTGCGCTTGCTCTAGCTTCTTGCGGACATCTGCGATGTTTTCTAACGCTTCGTCTCGCTCCCGTGCTAGCTCAGTGAGAGCTGATGAAGCGCCACCTTCCAGCAGCTGCAATTGATGCTTGAACGACCGTGTCTCCTTAGTACTCTTGGATAGACGCTCACTGAGACCTTCATTCTCCGTGCGTGATTCGTCAAGGCTCCGCTCGAGGATATCAATGGCCTTCGATTTACTCTCTACATCCCGCCGTAGAGAAAGAATTTCGGAGACGAGGGAGGCATGGAGCGTGGGAGTAAAGCGCCGCGGGTCTAGCGGTGATAGATTATCCTCCTCCGCAGTGTCATCGTAGTCACTGCGTCCGTCGGGCGAAAAGTTCAAGATAGGCAGGGAGTTGGGCGACGACGATAGACCGGGGGAGGAATCTGCCCGGATATGTATTGAGGGTGGTCGTTGAGGTGTCGTGGAAGGCGTCGGAAATGCCCTCGCCGCTGGAGGGCTTGAATAGAGGGTATCAGTAGCCATCGCGTACTCGCTCAATATCGATGGACGTCAATGGCTTAGACCATCCCCTTGAGTGCAATAGAGCGATCAAAAGTCGTCGCGTTCCGTCATGCGCTTTCCATGGACTTTACATATGCCGTGCTGCTCAACACCCCCAGTAATGATGAGCACGACTGGCCGAGGGAGAAATGTGCTAGCCAGCAGCCGGGATCGATTGGGGATCGCGACGACTAGGCTTTTGCAAAAGGCTCATGACGCCGGTCAGCACATTGTGCTTGCTTGGAGTGCCAAGGAACGCGGCTGGAAGTAGGGCTGGAGGCAAGAAATCGTATGCAGATTCAAGGGAGCTCACCTACAATCGAATCAGAGTTCGGCACTTGCCTCCTCCCAGTGTTTACAGGCTGGTTCGAGCCTGGTGGGCGCGTCAATGCGGGCGTGAGTTGCGCAGAGGAAAGACCAGTGAGGGGAGGGAGGGGGGCGCAAAGTATGAATTGATTCTCGTTGGTGACGCGGGGACGGGAAGGGGGCAGGATGTATGGACTATGGAGGAACAGGATCGGATGACGATCAAAAAGGCAGCGGCGTCGCGAAATCGGACAGCAAATATTATTATCTCCCAGTGCCACCGGAAGCCTAGACAAAAGATCTGAGGGGAAAGGGGAGATTGTTTGCCGGGGCCCTCGTTAGCTCACACCGGACCCAGAGCTAAACTGGGCCTTGCACAAGAACCTTGTCCATATATCGGACGAGGGACGGCGACCTAGCTAGTAGCTAGCCATGGGCAATGAGGCATAGGCAGAGGCATTCAGCAGCGGAGCAACTGTCTGCCAGCGCAGGCTAGAGCCTTAGCTTTGTCCAGGGGTGTTCGTTAGGGGGAGGATGGGGAATCGAGTCCACCTCCACGCACCCAATTACTAGTGAGGAGAAATCACCGAACTACTCCACTCGAGCTTGCCACAGCTGGCTTGGGGATCCCGATCCAATAGGCAAATGATAACAGATGTGTCCGACAGGAGGCACGGATCGGCTGCAGCCGCAGGGCGCAGGCGAATGGCTGGTAGGTAACCGGCGGACTGGTACCAGAGCCCAAACATCGTCGATTGAAGATCGTAGCCAATCGAAGAACAAAGCCCAAGGGGGGGAGGAGGTGTTGGTAGGAAAGGGACTCGAATCTGAAACAAGACGACAGACACAGGCAGTGTCCCCAGCACACCGCGGGAACCGGAGAGCACAGAGGCAAAAAAAAAAAAAAAAAAAAAAAAAAAGGAGGTCGTATGTTCGACTGAAGATCGTCCCTGCCTACGGAGTACTGCGTCCGTCCAGTACTTCTGGCGCGAATCAGATGGGAGGGGCAGGGGAGACGATAGTAGCAATAACAATAACAATAACAACAATAATAAGAAGAAATATATAATACAGCTCATAACCCAATTAAAAACAGCGAGCCAGGAAACCCCGATAGATAACGAAAATAGCACCCGGACAAACCAAAAGGATGACCGGCACAAAGGCGGCCGGTGGAGGATGGTCGTTAAACACCTGTTGACGGCAGTTCGTGTCAACGACTAGTTGGGTCCCACTGGTCGACTAAATTGGATCGTCGCCTCTAGACTTTGTTGGACTTGGACGGGGAGATTGCCTGGACTCGGGATGTGACTTCTCCCAGACCTTCCAGGTACGCGGTACGGAGTACCTACAGTCGATTCCCTATTGCATGCCGAACAGCCACCGGCAGACATGGGCCAACCTGCAGGGATGGATGGATCTGGGATACGTTAGGCTTTTCCGATCGTATGATTGAGAGGCGGGCGGGAAAGCTTCAGAAACCAGAAGTCTCATGCCCCAGAGTTGCCAATGGATTTCCCATCAGCCCGTGGTCCGTGTTTCAGAACCCATGAACTTATAATCAGGAAACCCTCTTTAGTCTTTCTCGACGGTGTTCATAAGGATTATCATATTATGGGGAGCGTGTTACGCCGCTACGCGCGATCCGCTGCCATCGACGGAGTATGATCGGAGTTTCCCCTCATCGACACGGCCGCCAGCGTGAAGTTGGTCCCAACCAAGTGCAGCCGGTCGGCTCAGGATGGGATGGGACATAATCACATGTGAGGCTTTAATCTCCGCACTCTGGACCATCGCCATTGCATTCCATGGGTTGGCCAGGTCGGTCGCAACCCAATTCCAACCAGAAGCAGGTGCACGAGAGGAACAGCCGGGAAGGATCCTTGGATGCTTCCGTTCAGCTAGCTCCCCACTTATCATTTCCACCGTCCCCTGGTTCAGGACCAGCGAGGGAGGCGGCCCGGCGCTCAACTTTTGGGTAGTGTCCCCAGTTCGGAAATTAGAGGCGGGGATGCTGGCCCTTTCCCAGACTTCCTTGCTGTTGGCAGTTGGCACGGCGAAGAATCCCCCTGGTGCACGTCCACGGCAAAGAAGATAGTTAGGGATTAGGTAGTGACGGGATACCTCGACAGACGTTGACCCCTCCTCACATTGGGTGGGTATTAATATCAGATTCATTTATGGTATTGGCGGCGGGCGTGGTTTGCTGGTCTGTGATCAGCTTCAGGCGGTCCGTGATGCAAGGCGATGATGTGCGTTAGATCGTAGTGAATGGCGTCGGTAGTCGCTGGCTATCCCTCCGCGGTGTCCGTCAAATCGCCGTCCGACAAGACCCCATATCTATCTAGTATCTAGTATGGTTTCTGGCGGGCTCAATTAAAAGAACGTGAGCAGTTACGTACCAAGGCCAAATTGGCTTGCAGGCTAATCGGCCGGAGTCAGCGCCGGCGTCAACCTTGGCGACCCACGCGGCAAGACGGACTGGATTTTGCGCCTTCCGGCCTTTGCCTCAGGGGCAACTGACAGGTCACCGTGCGTTCCAATATAGTAATAGTAATAATAATGATAATAATAATCACATAGTATGAACAGGGATCTGTCGGTCGTTGCTACTGCCGCGACGGAGAATATCCGCGGCTGGTCTGGGCTGGTCCAGGTGTTGTCTCGGATCCAGCACCAGGATTCAACTATTATGATGCTAACCACGCATTCCGACTCCCGAGGGAGGTGATCTCACGATAGCGTCTTCCTGACTGGGCTAGAAGAGGCATAAGGTCTCTGAAACCTGAGTGCAAACGAAAGAGAGTCCGTTGTCGGGTCCTAGACAGACCGAGATCACGCCGTTGGAGAGGATCATCGGGCTGCAGCTGTCACTGTCCAGAACAGGGGAACTAAAGACACCCTGGTCAGTCAATGCCAACGGGGGACGTTGAGTTAATGCAGGGCGAGCGCTGCGCGGGCCTCCAGTGAGACGTAACCCCGTACCTTGGGGCCATCAACCTGAAGCAGCGATCGAGTGTGATAATGTGATAGATCCAGGGATCACCGCAGCTTGTGCGGGACATCAACTAATGCTTTGCCTCTCCCCTATCACAAAGGAATACCGTCAGTACTCCGTTGCTCGGTCCGAGATGAGTCTAATACGAAGCCTGGAGACCTGAGCAGCCAAAAGCTGTGAAAGAAGCCGTACTCGAACGGAGCGGGGGAGGGAGGCAGCTGAGAAAGAGGAAGACGCTCTTGGCGACGGACGGTCTGCTGCGCTTCGCCCTCTCGCGGTCGCCATTACTCATCCCTCGCCCATTCGGGGGATTCCCCCTCCAAAATCCATGAATTGAATCCATCTACTGCGTAGAGCCAGCCAAAGCATCTAAGATAACACTATCAGCACCATTCTGATATACGACAGTGTCAGCCGCCTCTGTACATGTCAAGTCTACTATCTACTCCCTACTAACTAACTTACACACTCCTCAGCATCCACGGCTGGATTTACGTCACAGCAGCCCGACGCCTCCGCCAGCGTTGTGCAACACGCAACACGGCATACGGACGGTGACCCCCCGAACCTTGCGTCAGCTGGATAGGTACGCCACACGAGTCAAATCTTACCTGCCGTCATGTCGATCAACCCGCTTCCGAAAGTGTTGTTCTTTGACGTCTTCGGCACCGTCGTGGAATGGCGCTCCTGTGTCACTAGGGCCCTGATGAAAGCGGCCACGCGCGCCCTTTTGGACTCGGAAAAGCAGCTGTCAGTGGACGTCCGCATACGGGCAGAGGCCATGACCACTGAAGATTGGCAGGCCATTGCAGTTGAATGGCGCGCGTCCTACGGCCATTTTACCGCCAGCTTCGACCCGTCCTCAGCATTCGTCTCCGTCGACGAGCATCATTACACTTATATCCAGAAGTTGCTCCAGCAGAGAGGTCTCGGTGGCCTGTTCACCGATAAGGAGCGATGGGATATTGCACTCTGTTGGCATCGTCTCGAACCCTGGTCGGACACAGTGGAAGGTCTAAGGCTGTTGAACCGCCAGTTCCGTACCTGCACCCTGTCTAATGGCAATGTGGCTCTCCTAGAAGATCTTCGGGACTATGGCTCTCTACCCTTTACGGACGTGGCAAGCGCGGAGCACTTCGGAGCGTATAAGCCCTCCCCTCAGGTATATCATGGAGCAGCCAAGCGGTTCGGCTTGGAACCCAGTGAATGCGGTATGGTGGCGGCGCACTTATACGACCTCAAAGCGGCAAAGGCATTGGGTTTCATGACGATCTATGTTGAACGGCCCCAGGAAGAGAATCTAAGTGCTGAACAGGCTGCCGAAGCTAGAGAAGAGGGCTTCGTCGACCAATGGTTCGGTCTTGGCTGCGGTGGCTTGGTTGAAGTAGCCAAGCGTTTTGGCATTCCGACACAAATGAGCTCGTAGTGCCCCTGCCCAGGGGGTCTGAAATTGCTCTTGTACATTTCCGGTGCAGCGAGAGCTGATGCGCCCTGGTCTCCAGCATCTGTCGGAATTGAGATGTGTACTTCTTCACTGATGCAATCTTGCCGTCGTATCAAAAACCTAAGAATTAATAGAAGAAGACGGACGTCCATTGTCCTTCTGCCTGATTCTCGAACCCATTCATTCCCCCGCATGCTGAGACTCGTCGATTTGTCAGCAGTGGGTGACATAGATATGGCGCAATACGCTTGATCAACCCGAACTTGTGTATATATGTGTCTAGCGATTTCGACAGCGCAACGTAAGAAGTATCCCTTGCCCTCTGATGGATTCAAAGGTATCGATTACTTTGGTGGCTTCTGACCGATCGGTTTGTCAACAGGATGGTGGAACAGGTATATAGCCCACCTCTGTTGAGCCTCGGCAAAGCAGGGATCGCTAAGGTCACAGGGATCCCAAGTGCATCGCCATGCTGATGCAGACGGTCACTTCCGGCGCAAGGACTCTGCTTTCCGCTCGTTCATTTCGGGGGATCCTAATGCAGAATTCCCTGCTGAAAAGGATCGCTATGTCCTATACTTGAATTACGGATGTCCGTGGGCGCACCGGACCAACTTGGTTCGGTCACTTAAGGGCCTGGAAGACATCATCCAGCTGGTCGTTCTGGACCCCGAACTGGGGCCCGAGGGTTGGTTTTTCTCTGGTCGATATGGATCCGCAGAGAAGGATCCTCTGTACGGGTTCACAAAGTTGAGCCAATTCTATTTCAAGGCGGATCCGAATTATGAGGGCCGGTACACTGTCCCGATGCTCTGGGATAAGAAAAAGGCAACAATCGTGAACAACGAGAGCAGTGAAGTCATCCGGATGTTCTACACCGGGTTCGACCATCTTCTCCCGGAGGAGCTGCGTGAGGCCAACCGGCCTGGCGGGGGATTTTACCCTGCTCACCTGAGGTCAGAGATTGACGCAATGAACGAGTGGGTGTATCACAAGATTAACAATGGGGTATACAAAACCGGATTTGCCACAACGCAAAAGGCCTATGATGAAAATGTGTACCCACTGTTTGAGGCCCTGGACCGTGTCGAGCAGCACCTGGCCGAGCCGGGGCATCAGCCATACCTGTTTGGAGAGAACATCACCGAGGCGGACATCCGACTCTACACAACGATTTGCCGGTTCGATGTGGCCTACTACCTGATCTTCCGCTGTAACCTGAAGATGATCCGGCATGATTATCCGCTGATCGACCGTTGGTATCGACGACTGTATTATGACGAGACGCAACGCACCCGAGTTGGAGCGTTCAAGAAGACCACCTTTTTTGACATTGTAAGTGAGTTGCCGACTCTGAAGGTGGTGATCGCTAACAGCCTTGGGCAGTACAAGTTCAACTACCAGAAGGCGCTAGGGAAACGATCGGGCAGCACCCAGACGATCCTCCCGGCCGGTCCATCTCCGGACATCCTGCCCTTAGAAGTGTAGTGAATAGCAATGATCACCAGTGGCGTGTGGGTAGATGCGCACTGAGACCAGACATCTCTTTCTGTATCGATCACTTGGGGTTGGGATGTGGTCTCCACGTCATCGTCGGCGAAAAGTGGCAGGCAACCGTTTTGTACACAGCGCATGTCTTGTTCTCTTTTCCCTGTTCTTGTCTTCCATTATCATTTTTTGTTTTTTTGTTTTTCAGTGCTCAATCTCACAAAGTCATGCAGTAAAGGACCCCCAAGGCTTTGGCAACAATAATCAAATCAAACCCGACCGTTAGACTAAGAATGTTACTCACCAGGGATGACCAGGAAGAGGGCCGCGGTCCTGCTTGCCGACAGGCTTGTTAGACTTCGAGAGACCGTAATTAGGCTTTACTAGTCAGAACGATGGCAGTCGCAGTGGCTCAGGGACTAACGAGGAGAGGCAATCGAAGCCGGGGGGGTGGGAAGGGGAACCTCGAGGAGGGAGGCCCAGCAAAATTACCCGCTTCTCCCGAGGGACAAGCCCGACTAGACTGTTATTAACTTCCTAGATTGCCTTGGCGAGGCCTCATGTCTAAGATCGGTCAGTAGTCAAGTGCTCTCTGACCAGAGACCATGTCCCTCGTGATGGTCGGGGTCACAAGTCGGTGAAGACTGAAGAGGGCTGAGGGGGGCTGAGGAGGACTAAGGAGGACTAAGGAGGCGAACCGATCCGGATCTATCTAGAAGATGGGTGGAAGAACTTAGAACTGCCGGCGACCTTCTTTCCTTCGGCGGAGCTTCGGTTTCAGGGGTTTCGAACCACTATATTACACACTGGTATGAAGCCAGGATGGATGGCCGATTTCACTCATTCCACTCACCATGGATGGGGCCTTGGTGGAATGAGATGGACACTGGAGTGACTGGACACGTGTTTCCGGAGTACACCTCCTTGTCGTCCACAGGGCATCCGATCAACCCTGCTGGTCCTGGGTACTAGGAACAAGGAAGAAGCTGTCAGGATGCACGGGGATCCAAAGCCATGTGCAAAGTGGGCAGTCACCCAGGTCTGGTGTCTAGTAGTTAACCCAGGACAGTGGGACGCCCCCCTCTCATATCCGCGCCCACCCCCCCTGACCCATTCGCGTGTGTTTGGCCCTGAACGGTGTCAGTTTCTCGGGCAACAGGCACCACTGCGACCGAGCTGCATGCGCTGGATCCTGGGCCTGCATGGTCGGTGGATGATGCACGTACCGATCGCTGCATTTGCATGCAAGTCATGCAGCCAGGGACGCGCGCTGCGTTGATAGATATCTGAGGATCGAGGCAATGACTTGATTATCCATTACCCAACGCTCTACATGACTGGAGCCTTTCCGGGAGGGTGATCCGGACCCGATTCCGCCGTTGAGGGCGTGCGAGTCAGTTTGATTGTGATGGGACAGAGGCTAAGCCGGTAGCGTCGCCTAAGGCGAAGGGGCATCCCGTCGGGGTCAGAATTTTCTTCGAGATTACCTCTGGTGAAGAGGAGGATGGCCACGATTGCCATGAACGATTCTGGACCACGGACCGCCGTCCAGTACCGACTTGGATCCTCTCTAGTAGTCATCTAGTTTCCGAAGACTAGCCACCCACGTGGAAGGAAACGGGGCCGGGATATTACTCGAATATAAGGGAGCCCGGGTGGCAGATACTAAATGGATTAATGCGCATAGGTTCGCGCTCCTGGTGGATTCTATGTTGATTAATTCATATTAACCCAGGTGTCAACGGCGGCCTGGACCCCCAACAAGGAAGGTCGTTAAGGGAGCTTCTGCTGACTGAGTGCGGAGTCCTGGTACTATTACTCTGAGTGAGCTGGAGTGATCCAGGGGATGGTCGGAATCTCTCTAAACCTGTCATTCTCGGTTACCCCAAACAGGGGAAAGGAAAGAGAAGGGAAAGAAAAAGAAAACCGCAAGAACCTGCCACGATGTCCTTCCCTGGGGCATCGTGCCTATAATGTGGCTTGATAAGAGGTTCGCTTGGTCCCAGCTCGGTCAAACGCCAAACGGTGGTAGCCGGTGAGGTGCTGACTGGCGAGGTTTCTGTCCTGGCCCAGCGAACCTTCTTATCCGATGGGATGGGACAACTAGAAATGGAGGTGCGTCGCTGTACGCAGGAAGCTCTAGGTAGATAGGTAGCACCTGCGACCGGAAGTCCGGTGAGCCAACTCGCGCTATGGACCGGCCCGATACTGATCTGTTCCTCCCACGTCCCAACAATAGAAGGTCATCGAACAGTAAAGGAGTCCGGAAGTACATGTCTCTATCTTGGCCATGCTGAGAACTCTACCACTTTGGGATGAGCGGCGACCCAAGACTGACGGACATACATCATTCTGCCATCGTCACGGTTGGTCTTGGTTACAAGGTGACTTCGGCTTTCCAGCAGTCTGTCTCCCTGTGATGCCGATGCAAAAAAGGGGAAAGCGTCTCCACCGGGGTGTCTTTATGGAGTCCAGGGATTTCCCTCCCTCAAACTAATTCTGACCGGGAGAGAATTTGTCAAACGTCATATACCCACGATGGAGCCTTTGTTGTGCCTGGCCCCTTTTTGGTCTTCGAGAACACCAGGGGATGCTGTGTACTCGACTCTGTGCTGGCGAACATCAAGGTTCACCTCCAATAGCGTGCAAATAATAACTAATAGAATAGTCGTATCCTCGGGATAGTTGAGTCTCTAAGGCGGCGCCTGCCAGACAGTCTTCTACAATGGAACCTGAGAAAGTCAATCAGGAAGATAGGTGGTTTTAGTCCGGTTCCCCAAGGGGCGCGGAATGTTCTTTCCTTCTCCCCGTCGCGCTCGAGTGGAACTTGCGACTCTTAGGGCATCATCAACCGTGAAAATCCTCCTGCTGCACGGGATGGATGGGTCCTCATGGACCTCCATCGGTCCATACAGACGAATGCGTTGCTCCATAAGGCGTCATGTCTAACACTACCACCCAGGTCCCTTGGTAGAACCTCGGGTAGTCACCAGGTGGCGCCAGGTTCTTAACCAACTGCTCGCCTGCGGAAAGTGTGGGTGTAGACGTGGACGTGGTCTGGCTGCCTTTCAGCCATGGCTGGTCAAAAATGACACCACCGGAGAGTTGGCCTATCTGCACGAGAAATACCCCAGTACCTGGGTGGTGGTGCTAAGTACCAAGAGTTAGATAGAGTATTGTACACGACTCCTGATCCAACCTGCAATCGGACCAATACGATTCGTTACCACGCCTTTTCTGTCTGTGGGGAGCAGCCTTGAACTTAGTGTTCCCATGCACCCACTTCGTGTCTACCCGAAACCATCTCGGGACTGAACTTCAACCTGGAAGGGGAACTTCTGGCCTCTTAGGGGGACAAAGGAGTCGAGGTGGGACAGGGACCGATGATGATGATGATGATGATGATGATGATGATGATGATGATGATGATGATGATGATGATGATGTAAAGCACGAGGTGTCGCAGGCAGCAACCGAAGGCCTGTGGAAAGACCTGGACTGGTTGTTCGTTGGAAAGGTGGCTAATAGTAATAATATCATGATCGTTGCAATGGTCTAGATTTTCAATCTAGTCTCGGTTCGACAGATGGTTTCCAACTTTCGCTCGTTCCAAGTGAAGTGGCCTTGGTAATGGCAGCGTATACCGGGAGTATCGGCTGAACAGCACCTCCTTCCTCATGTTTCGAGGAAGTCGATCAACACTGTACATCAGGTGCCCAAGTTTCGTCGATAATACGAGCAGGAGGAGCAGCAGAAGAAGTGTACCTGAACTGAAGGAACCTGGTACCCACCGGAGACCATCCAGCAATACCAGGATGACCATACGGTACGGTACGGAGAGGGGACCCCCTCCTTCCCTCCTCCCGTGGGTCTCGTTGCAGCATTGTCCAGCTCCAGATTGCTACCTTCAGTTGACTGGCCCGCCGCCACTGACTGACTGGACTCTTGACTGACCTCTTGACTCTCGCTCTTCTACCAACGGAGTACCACTACAGAGTCTCTCTCCTCCTCTTACCACTTCTTTCCCCCTCCTTCGGTCGGATTACTTCCACCCCCTCCTCCTACTTCCTCTTCCTCCCTCATTCACTACATCGTACTCTCTCTCTCTCTCTCTCTCTCTCTCTCTCTCTCTCTTTCTTGCTTGTTCTCTAATAGCATCCATCCTATGACCCTTCGTTCCAGTTTCAATCGTATCGGTCCAGTCAGATCGATCCAAGCGAATCCTTGACCCAAACTAGCCCATTGATTGATTCCCTCACCACGAAACTAAACCGCGGCTGCTGGTCTCCAGCAGGGATCATCGTCTCCGCCGCTTCATTATCTATTCTCCCTCTACTCCGTATCCTGGTCGTCCTTTTTTTTTATTTTTTTATTTTTATTTTTATTTTATTTTTTCACTCGCTTTCTCCTGTCCTTCTCAAACCCTTCTCTCTCAATTCCATCCTCCTCCTCTTTCTCTGCGACTTCATTTCTTCTTTCTGACGTCTTTCCCAACCGATTTGATTTCCCTAATCATCTCCCATCGGATTCTGGGCACTCGACATTTCCGGGACCGTTCCATCAAAAAATTGAGGGTTGCCCCTCTTCCGTTGTTTCTTTCCGGCCAAGCCTCTTTTGACCTCCTTGGACCTGCACCTCTTCCCCTCCCCCTCCACCTCTCGCCAAACAAACCCATATCACAAAAGTCACCTTTGCAGCCTGCGGATACTTTCAGTACATCCGCTGCTGGCGATCATTGTCTGCGTCGCGCCCCTCACGTGGCAGAATTACCTTGAGGCAAACCTTCTGTGTGTCTCGAAGCTCGGGCGAGCCCCGTTCATCTTATTTTGTTGCGTTCGCGCGGAGTTACGGGCCAGCTCACTAATTGAACTCCGCCCGCTTGTGCCATTCTGCAGCTGTGGGTGGCCGCTTATTTGAGATCCCTCGAGTCAAATCAAGAGGTTCTCGTTGAACTTGTTTTTCTTCCCTTCTTTGATTGCTTTTTCCACATTATTGGTTTAAAGGTCGCAGTAACGCAAATCCGGCGACTTCTCCATCGCTCTCCTCCCAGGCCTTTCTTTCCCCTTGGACTCTCCACCCCGCGGCGCTTCAGGTACGTGAGTTTCCGCCTCTGGTTGCTCCTGTCGCTTCCGGTGTGGATTTGTGAGCTTGGACTGGTCGAAAGGCAATGGATTCCGGTGGCTAATCGCACTACCCAAATAGCCGTACTTCTTAGGACCCCCAGCGTTTCGCAAATCGCAACGCTCCGTTCCCGCGTCCGTGCTCACCGTGGAGCCCTCATAGATCTCTTTGCTTTTCTTTTCTTTCCCTCCCTCCTTCCCGTACCCTTGTGGTCTTCTCCCACACCGGTCATTCTCAGTTGCACACCGACTACCCTAGAATTCCTCACCCTACCTTCGGGTACGATCATCAATCGCCATGTCGGGAAAAATGACGTTGTACAAATTGGTGGTGTTGGGGGATGGTGGTGTTGGGAAAACAGCCCTCACAATTCAGGTTAGCCCTTTTGTGTTCCCGCCCGCGGTGATGTTCCGGCAACTGATCTTTGGACCTTGGTCTTGCCCAACAGCTTTGTCTAAACCACTTCGTCGAGACTTACGACCCGACCATTGAAGATTCATATCGTAAACAAGTCGTCATTGATCAACAGTCATGCATGTTGGAAGTGCTGGATACAGCAGGCCAAGAGGAATATACAGCCTTGAGAGACCAATGGATTCGTGACGGTGAAGGGTTCGTTCTCGTCTACAGCATTACCTCGAGGGCCTCTTTTTCCCGCATACAGAAGTTCTACAACCAGATTAAGATGGTCAAGGAATCGGCCAATTCAGGGTCCCCCTCTGGCGCCAGTTACTTAGGATCTCCGATCCACGCGCCCTCGGCCCCCCCGCTCCCAGTGCCAGTCATGTTGGTGGGTAACAAGAGCGATAAAGCTGTTGAGCGCGCTGTGTCGGCACAGGAGGGGCAGGCGCTTGCGAAAGATCTCGGCTGTGAATTCGTCGAGGCCTCGGCAAAGAACTGCATCAACGTCGAAAAGGCCTTTTACGACGTGGTTCGAATGCTCCGACAACAGCGCCAACAACAGCAGGGGCGGCCTCAAGACAGACGAACGACTGGCTTGGGTCCCATGCGTGATCCTGGTCCGGAGTATCCTAGATCGTTTCGGCCCGACCGTACGGGAAGCCATCGCCGCCCGTTCAAGTGCACGATTCTGTGAATAGGTGGCTCTGCATGGCCCATTCAGCTGGCTGATTGATTCCATTCCTGGTTCCTTGCTGACCCCTGCGGCTGCAAGGAGCGCAAGGATATGCCTATGTTCCTCGATCAGTCGGGGGTCCGATTGTCGCTTCACGTTATTCTTTCCGTCTCACGTCTGCCCCGACCTTCTCATCTCTTACTCTTCCTATATGATTCCATGCGGGTCGGCCCCGGGGCAATATCCTCCTTTTGTCAACATCGGCAGTTCGACGCGTCGCCGCTCCTCAAGCTCTCTAGTCAGAGTACAGCTTTCGACCTATTCTTTCCTTTTGTTTTTCATCTCTCCCTCTCGATTTCCCTTTACTCGCCGGCGCCCAATTTGCACGGATGCCGAGTTGGGTAACAGGGTGTGCTTGATGCATGAACCATGCTTGTTTATTAATAGTATTATATGTGCGGGAGGTGATTTTTTTCGCGTCCATGGCAGGGTGTTTCGGCTACATTGGGGATTTTACATTTTCAGGGGGCTGGGAATTCAGGAGCTGCTGGGACCATAGAACGATGCGCAATCTTTGTTCTCTCGTATTTGGCTTTGTTTGTTCGGCGCCCCCTTGGCCCACCCCCCGAACCTTCTGGATATTAATCGCGCTTCCATGGTTGTTCCCCTTGGGGGTTTTGAGAGACGTCAGCGCGAGGATTGCGTGTAAAGGCTCGGAGGTAGGCAGGGCCGACCGGCGGGGCGATGGTGGATAGTCGGCGGGCACGAGGAGGGGCCGCGATGGCAGTCGACCGTTTAGCAGGCATTGCGATATGATACCCTACGGCTGAGCTTTTGAGTTGTGATTTTCGATGCATTTGCCCTCCCACAAAAGAACCAACGAAGGAAAGGGATCCGACTAGTATAATTTCTAAGTGACCGATTTGATTGATTTTGTCTCGTCCATCATCCGTAACGCAGGCCGACAGGCACGCAAATGATCTGATCCGCTCGGCTCCGCGTGCGGGGAAGCGAAAGCTACTTGTCCGAGTATCTACTTAGTCCTATCTACTTGTCCATGGTCCATCCTCTTGTTCCAATCCCCACTATCGCTCGCTGCTCCTCTCCCCTCTTCTTCTCTTACCCCCCTTCGGTAATCAACCCCCTCCTGTCATCGGAGATCCCTGTCGATACCATGTTGGCGCCGGACGGTCGGGTCGCCACAGTACCCTCTGAACTGCCCCTCGCCACTCATGCAAAGCCGACGGTGCTGAACGTGAACGACCGGTCCTTTGGCCTCTTCGGCGGCGCGTTGATCTAGTCCAGGTCAGCGCAACCTCCGAGCCTGCAGGTCTAACACCGGCGTGGCTGCTAGCACACTTAGCCTCACCATACCTCGCCGCGGCCCAGGATATCCGCGGAATGTGACTTGGACTAACCGCCGAGTATCTGCAGGAGGACCCTCACCCTCCCAACCGGACACCGCTCCAATCTGCTGGCCATGTGGACTGGTTGATTGGCGACCATTCTTCAGGTCGTCGGCCTTCATTAGCCCTGGGTTAATTACCTGCGGTTTCTCTCCAGTCCCCCCGGAAGTCAAACACTACCTCATACCTCCCCTCCTTCCAGCATCCCTCTCAAGCCAGGATGTCACCCCATCCACAACAATTGGTACACAGTGCCTCCCTACGAGACCCCGAGGGTTTCTGGTTTCGCCAGGCTGAACAACTGCACTGGCATAAAAGACCATCGCGTGCCATCAGCCACCAGTCTAAGACGGTGCCTAGCGGCGCCCGCCATGATCATTGGACGTGGTTCCCAGATGGAGAGATCTCTACAACCTACAATTGTGTGGATCGGCACGTCCATAACGGGAATGGCGATAATGTTGCCATCATCTGGGACTCCCCCGTGACGGGGACTAAGGAGAAATACACCTATAGACAATTGTTGGACGAGGTTGAGGTTTTAGCCGGGGTGCTGAGGGAAGAAGGCGTACGAAAGGGCGACGTTGTCATCATCTACAGTAAGGCTGGCTTTTGGACTGTCCTTTGTTAGAACCGAAGGGACAAGAGACTGACGAACAGTAGTGCCCATGATTCCTGCGGCGCTCATTGCCGCTTTGGCGATTACTCGCTTAGGAGCTATACATGCGGCTGTTTTTGGCGGATTCGCAGCTAAGTCACTTGCGCAGCGCATCGAAGCGGCCAAGCCACGCGTCGTCATGACGGCGTCGTGTGGTATCGAAGGATCGAAAGGCCCCATCGCTTACCGGCCGTTGGTTGAGGGAGCTATTGAACTGAGCTGCTTCAAGCCGGAGAAAGTAATCATCTGGCAGAGGGATCAGTTGCGGTGGAAGAACCCTGACAAGTTGAGCGGACAGCGCAACTGGCAACGGTTGGTGAAGAGCGCGCGGATGCGTGGCATCAGGGCTGATCCGGTGCCTGTGAAAAGCACGGATGGGTTATATATTATCTATACTAGCGGTACAGTCCCACTGTGAGAGCGTGGCTCTTGACTACGACTAACACCAAGGACAATTCCAGGCACTACGGGGTCGCCCAAAGGAGTGTTTCGGGAGGCAGGCGGGCATGCGGTCGGGCTCCAGCTGTCGATTAAATACCTGTTCGACATCCAAGGGCCAGGGGATGTCATCTTCTGTGCCTCCGACATTGGATGGGTGGTCGGCCATTCATACATTTTGTATGGGCCTCTGTTGGTTGGGGCAACGACTGTCCTCTTCGAAGGCAAACCAGTGGGGACGCCAGATGCAGGCACCTTCTGGCGCGTCATCGAAGAGCATAAGGCCCATGTGCTGTTCACGGCACCCACGGCCATGCGGGCCATCCGCAAGGATGATCCGGATAATCGCTGCTTTGAAGAGGTGGCTCGTCGTGGCGGTCTCCGACACTTTCGCGCATTGTTTCTGGCCGGTGAGCGGAGCGAGCCCAGCATTGTTCAAACCTATCAGGCGCTTCTGGACCGATATGCTGCACCTGGTGCAGTCGTCGTGGACAATTGGTGGTCGTCAGAGTCAGGATCTCCCATTTCTGGGCTGGCGCTGAGAAGCGCTGCTGCAAGGGTGTTGTCACCGCACAGCAGCGACAGAGTGAAGCCATTGGCCATACGACCAGGATCGGCAGGTCTGGCCATGCCTGGCTTCGATGTGCGCGTTGTGGACGACGAGGGAAGGGAGGTGGCTCGAGGCACGATGGGCAACATTGTGTTAGGCATTCCACTGGCGCCCACAGCATTCACCCAACTCTTCAACGACGATGAGCGATTTTACCGGGGCTACCTACGTAGATTCCGAGGACAATGGATCGACACGGGAGACGCCGGTTTGATCGATAATGATGGATATATACATATCATGGCACGGTCGGACGACATCATCAACGTTGCTGCACATCGCTTCAGCACGGGTACGTCTCGTCAATACCGCGTCACAGAACATATTCCGAAACTATGCTGACTCGTACCCAGGCGCCATTGAGCAAGCGATCCTCTCACATCCACAAATTGGAGAGGCCAGCGTGGTTGGCATACCGGACCCCCTCAAGGGCCATCTCCCGTTTGCGTTCATCCAGCCACGAATAGCAACCGGACCCCTGTTCGCAACGCCAGAAGCGAAACTGTTCCAGGAGGTGAACCAGCTGGTGCGAGATCAGATTGGGGCGATCGCGTCCCTCGGAGGTATGATCCAAGGGCGGGGAATGATCCCTAAGACGCGCAGTGGGAAGACGCTACGACGGGTGCTGCGCGAGCTGGTCGAGCATGCGGTGCGTGGGGAATACGAGACGCCCGTCAACGTTCCGCCCACTATCGAAGACGCGGAGGTAGTGGACGAGGCGCGACGACGGGTGCGTGAGTACTTTGAGCGACGGGAGCGGGCGAAGCTCTAAGATTGTCATTTACTGCATGCAGTTATCAAGTGGGATGTATGAGATGTCTATCTACGCAAGTCGTTGGGATGCACTGGTTTACGTAAGTAGTAGGTAGGTAGGAATAAGAATCTGGGATTGCTCCCTAGACGTGACTCAAACATTAAAGTTATAAACAGGGAAAGAGAAGCCATCAACCGGAAGCCAAGCAAATGCAAAGCCGTAGACGAATATAGATAACGAAACGTAAAGGAAACAAACAAACATAGACGTCAGAAGCTCCAGGAAGGTATAAGGCACACACGGTCAAAAAGTAAGTTATTTGTCAGTCGTAAAAAGATTAATATCGACACAAACAAAGGAAATCACCAATCCGATTCTCAATCATCTTATCACCACCACCGCCATCACCAGTGTGGAGGAATCTCACACGGGATACAAAGCCCTAGAAGTAGGAAACTTGGACGTCTCTAGAAGGCCATCGCTTGATCTAGGAATCCCATGATATCCGACTCGAGTCCATTAACTCATTTACAGGAGGAAAGCGACGAGAGCGAAGACAGAGGCCAGTCCGGCTCCGGCACCGACTGCGGCGCGGGAAGCAGCGCCAGTGTAGACAGGGGCGGAGGGGGTGGTGGCGGAACCAGTGCCGGCAGCGGAAACACCCTCGGGGGAGGTGCCGGAGGAACCGGTGCTGGTGCTGGAGGAGCTGGAGCCGGTGCTGGAGGAGCTGGAAGAGCTGACGGCAGAGCTGGAGGGGACGGCGCTGGAGGAAGCAACCGGCTTAGAGGAGACGGGCTTGCTGGAGATCAGAGGGCGAGAAGAGTGGAAGCCACTGGGGGCGGGGGTGGCGAAAGAAACGATCGGGGTGGTGGTGGCACCGAAGCCAATGGCAGCAGCTCCGCTGGGGTTGGACGAACCGGCGGCACCAGCTCCGGAGCCAGCGGCAGCGCCGCTGGGGGAAGCACCCGAGCCAGAGCCGGAACCAGAGGCACCTTCGCTGGGGGAGGCGCCAGTGCCGACAGCAGCGGCTCCACTGGGGGAAGCACCCGAGCCGGAACCAGAGCTGGCAGCCTCGCTGGGAGAGGCACCAGTGCCGACAGCAGCGGTGCCACTAGGGGAAGCACCGGAGCCAGAGCCGGCAGCCTCGCTGGGGGAGGGGCCGGTACCGATAGCAGCGGCACCGCTGGGAGAAGCACCCGAGCTAGAACCAGCGCCAGCGCCCTCGCTAGGAGAGGCACCGGAGCCAGAGCCAGAGCCAGAAGCACCGGAGCTGGGGGAAGCACCGGAGCCAGAGCCGGAGCTAGAGCCGGAGCTGGGAGAAGCACCAGAACCGGAGCCAGTACCTTCACTGGGGGAAGCAGAGCCGGAGCCGGAGCCAGCAGCCTCACTGGGAGAGGGACCGGTACCGACGGCAGCGGCACCGCTGGGGGAGGAGCCAGAGGCGGTAGGGACGGCGGTAGCGGAGCTGCTGATATCATGTCAGTTGGAGGATGGTCGGGCAGTGATTTCGAGATCGAGACGGGGACATACCACTTGTCACAGTGGGTCACAGTAGAGGTGACCAGAGGAGTGGAGTAGGTGTACTGGGTACCGGAGATGGTGACAGTGGTAGGCTATATGACCGGATCAGCGGGTGTACATCATACATACGGGATTGCGGAGAGATCTGGGATCTAGGTTCCGGAATCTGGGGGAAAAGCATACCTGAGCAGCAGCAGGGCTGGTCTCGGCACTGACACCGCTACCGTTGCCAGCAGCCAGAGTACTAGTAGCCTTGGGGCAGAAGGTGGTGTATTCGGTGACGACGACGGTCTTATACTCGGTAGCAATGGCACCGGCAGCCAGGGAGGCAACGACAGCAGCGGAAGAGACACGCATTGTGATTTGTTGGATGTGATTGTTTGTTTGTTTATTTGATTGGATTGTTGGGATGACGTCGAACGACTGACGGAAGGGAGTGTTTTGAGAGGTCTCTTTTCTGGATTTGCGGTCTAAAGAGTGACTTGACTGAGGGACTGACTGACTGAGTCGGGGCAAAGAATGTACTCGGTTGAAGAACCGGAAGAGCTGAAACAGCGAGTGAATGAGGGGAAGAAAAGAGAGGGTGAGGAAGAGAGAGAGAGAAGGAGAAAAGGAGGCGAGCGGGCGGGCCGATCAGAATTAATATAACTGATGAAGTGGAGGGCCGTCGATGGAGTCGCTCTAACCTGCAACCATCCTAGGCCCGTTACCAGTTACCACTTTACGGGCCAGGTACTTCGCCCCCAGCGCCCTGGCCGCCCAGCAGAAGGTACTCGGTAGGGGTCTGGCCCGTCATTACGGGGCCCATACCAGCCAGCAATCTCGGGTTCTCCCCACGTTCAATCTCGCGCGCTGCAGGAACAACCGGGCAACTGGCAATGGTGAAACACCGCCAATTAATGAGTCCATCGCAGTCCCCAATGACTCTCTTGGGGAGTCCGTAGAGCAGTCCGGAGTCTGAAGATGGTCGCATAGGCACTTGGCACTTGTTCCTGGTTGTTACTATGTTCCTATCTTCAGGGTCCCTCCCCCGTTAAGGTTTCTCGACTCCTGAGAATCCCTGCCGTGTTGAGCATCGAACCCGGCCTGGATTCCTTCATCGCCCACCACAGTTTCTATTCATAAATCGGCTACGGAGTACTAGGTACTGGAGATCTTCCTCCCAAAGAGGAAGTCTGCCTCCTGCTACTTAAGATCAGGGATCATCATGACAGCTCGCATCGCATTTCTTAGCTAATCCCATCGTCCTCGCGACCTACCGAGTTGCCGAATAGTAACTCCATCCGCCGTAATTCCGTACGGAGTACCCCATGCCAGTAAGTACGCCGTATCGCAGCTCTCGCGTAAGACTCACATCCAAGCCCTATACCGAGAGCCAACCACACAAACCAGAAAACTCCAATCGGATGGTTCAAATTGTCCCTTATGGATGGTTGGAGGCGGGGACATGTCAGCATCGCCCGGGATAGCCCGCCGAGGCCGGCCATCCACGAGAACTGCCAAGCTAAACGCCCTTCTTCATCTTGGATTTAGTTGTGTGATGAAGAAGAAAGGAAAAAGAAAGAGGAAGGGAGCTTTTCCGCGACGCCCAAGAAAAACCCGCCCAAGCGAGCGGAACCGGATCTTCTATCTTTTCCGGCTGCACGGGCCACTCGGAGATGCTAGTCCTGAACGGGACTAGGGGCGCCCGCTTCCCGCGGGCAACTGGCAGCCAACGGGCAACCTCTCGCTATCAGCCCCGGGGAGCCGATACCATCACCGCGCATTCCTGCCTGCCTCTCTCGCTTTGTCCGTCCATTCCTCCTTCCTTCCTTTTTATTTCTCTTCTTTATCTCCCCCTCCTCATTCTTCACCACATTCACCGCACTCTCACCACACCATCCTCCATCATCATCATCATGTTGGGTCGTTGTGGACGTCAGGCCTCGCGCCTGCTCCCGCGCACTGCAAGCTCCGGCATTCGCTCCACCATCCCTCTCCAGCTCCGTCCTGCCTCGGCCACTCCCCTCCGACTGTCACTGCAAGCCCGCAGTGTATCCTCCTCCTCGCCCGCTCGCGATGGCCAGCAAACGGTGTGTACTCCCTGATTTTGCGCAATCCGCGCATGCAGCAATCTTCCGGGTTGTCTGATGTCATTCCATATCTATCGTACCATACCAGCTAACCCGCGTCTCCAGCTGCTCTCCGCACCCCTCGAGGAGGCCGACTCCGCCATCTATGAAATCCTCCAGAAGGTAGGCCGCTAATTGCTAATCTCCAATCCTCATCGGCTCATTCAAGACAGGAGAAAAAACGCCAACAGCATTTCATCAACCTCATCCCCTCCGAGAACTTCACATCGCAAGCTGTCCTCGATGCCCTGGGCAGTGTTATGCAAAGTCAGTCGCTGGCTATTGACCGAAACTGAAGCAGCCATGCTGATGCGACAGTAGATAAATACTCGGAGGGATACCCCGGTGCCAGATACTACGGAGGAAACGAACACATTGACGCTTCCGAGCGGCTCTGTCAGCAGCGTGCGCTCGAGACCTTCGGCCTCAACCCCGAGGAATGGGGTGTGAACGTTCAACGTGAGCTCCCCGAATGAGGTGGCTTTTTGAGCCCGTACTAACTAGCGCAGCGCTGTCCGGCTCCCCCGCCAACCTGTATGCCATTTCCGCCCTCCTGAACACACACGATCGCCTGATGGGCCTTGACTTGCCCCACGGTGGCCACCTGTCCCACGGCTACCAGACCCCCACCAAGAAAATCTCCTTCATTTCGAAATACTTTGAGACGCTGCCCTACCGGCTGGATGAGTCCACGGGCCTCATTGACTACGACAGCCTGGAGAAGCAGGCTCTTCTCTACCGCCCCAAGCTCATCATCGCCGGTACCTCGGCCTACAGCCGCTTGATTGACTACCCCCGCATGCGCCAGATCGCCGACGCCGCCGGCGCATACCTGCTGAGCGATATGGCCCACATTTCAGGTCTAGTGGCTGCTGGCGTGCTTCCATCGCCCTTCGCCTACTCGGACGTGGTGACCACCACCACCCACAAGTCCCTCCGCGGTCCCCGTGGGGCGATGATCTTCTACCGCAAGGGTGTCCGTCGGACGGATAAGAAGGGCAACCCGGAGATGTATGACCTGGAGGGCCCGATCAACGCGTCCGTGTTCCCCGGTCACCAGGGCGGCCCTCACAATCACACCATCACCGCCCTGGCCGTGGCGCTGAAGCAGGCCCAGTCGCCCGAGTTCAGAACCTACCAGGAGACGGTCTTGTCCAACGCGAAGGCCTTGGCGGAGCGTTTGGGCAACCCGCTCAGTAACGGAGGCTTGGGATACAACATCGTCTCCGGTGGCACGGACAACCACCTGGTCCTGGTCGACCTGAAGAACCGTGGTGTGGACGGTGCGCGTGTGGAGCGCGTGTTGGAGCTGTGCGGCGTGGCCAGCAACAAGAACACGGTGCCGGGCGACAAGTCGGCGCTGAAGCCCGGTGGTCTGCGCCTGGGCACGCCCGCCATGACGACGCGGGGCTTCCAGCCCGAGGACTTCCGCCGGGTGGCCGACATTGTCGACCGGGCCGTGATCATTACGCAGAAGCTGGACAAGGCGGCGAAGGAGAGCGCGGCGGCCAAGGGGGGGAAGAACCCGAACACGGTCAAGGCCTTCCTGGACTATGTGCGCGAGGGGGAGGAAATCCCGGAGATTGTGCTGCTGCGGCAGGAGGTGGAAGACTGGGCGGGCACGTTTAGCTTACCCTGGGCCAAGGACGAATAGGCGTTGTGACTCCCTCATATGAATTATGGTGGTGGAGTTGGGGTTTTTATGAATGCATGTCTGTACAAAGGTTTACCACTGAACACACAGTAGATTTTCATTTCCATGTACTTCCCAATGTGCGTGTTGCCGACTGTGTAGATTCGATGCCCCGTGCGGGGAAAGACGGACCGATAAGGACTCCGTCCGATAGGCGATGGGGGGAGCTTCCCCGTCTTATCTCCGCACGGGATGTCGATAGCGGCCAGTTCCCCGACGGGCATCGTGTCCGCGACTCAGCCAGGCTCGAGCAATGTGTCTGCCTCCTCCTCCTTCACCATAGTGACCGCATACAAGCAGTGACCATGCAAATCAGCGAGGTACGTGCCTCCACTCCCCTCAACACGTCTCCCCCTACCAAGCTGTCTGACTCACCCTGCCAATGAATCCATCAGCTCTACACCTACCCCATCAAATCCCTTCAAGGGATCCCCCTCTCCACCGCTCGACTCACGGCCCGCGGCTTCCCCTACGACCGGCGCTTCATGCTCCTGAAGATCATCCACAATGAAGATGGCACCTCAACCCTGAAGAACATGCACGTCCCTCACTTCCCGGAAATGTCTCTCTTCTACACGGACCTCGTCTATCCCTCCGTGGATGGCACCGAGCGGGGCCGAATCATTGTCACGTATCGTCCGCCCGGCAATGCGGAGGGCCGCACCCTCGAGGTCCCACTGCAGCCGGATACCCGGGGTCTGGAGGAGTTGGCCATTGTGATGCATCAGAGCCCGACCAAGGGGTATAACATGGGAGAGCAGTATAATCATTGGTTCAGTGAGTGCTTCGGATACGGAGTCGTACTGGCGTATCTCGGACCGCATTCGAGGGAGGTGCTGGGGAGTTTTGCACCGGACAAAAGCGTTGCTCATATGTCGATGCACCATAGTTGGATTAGCATGCGGGCGGTGGGGGGTTTAGTGGTTGCGACCCTTCTGTTGAATTGGCTTGCTGGTCCGGAGGAGACTTCTGTAGTGGCAATGCTACCGAGTCTCGGGGCGACGGTGGTAGCAGTGCTGCTGTCGGTCTGGACGCGGTATGGAGGTGGATGGGCGCGCAAGAAGGAGGAGGAGGAGGAGGAACGGATCACCTTTGCTGATACGGCGCCGTATCTGCTCGTGTCGCGGACGTCAGTGGATAATGTGTCGGCGCGGTTGGCGGGTGACGAGGAAATGGATGTCACCAAGTTCCGGCCCAATATCGTGGTGGCCGGGGCGGACACGGCCTTTGAGGAGGACTTTTGGGCGGAGTTGACGGTGGACCAGGAACATGACCAGGATCAGAATCAGGATCAGGATCGAAGTGCAGAGGGATCAGCGAAGTTGTTGCTCACGGCCAACTGCGTACGATGCCAGAGTCTCAATGTTGACTATGCGACGGGGAAGATGGGCACGGGTGAGTCGGGCACGGTGCTCAAGAAGCTGATGAAGGATCGTCGAGTGGATAAGGGGGCCCGGTTCAGTCCCGTGTTTGGACGATATGCGTTTCTGGATGGGAGGTCAGATGGCCGGACGGTGCAAGTGGGCGATGCGGTGGTGGTGGCCAGACGGGTCGAGGAGCGTATGGTCTATGGTGAGTGCTGGATCCTCTCTATCGATTGATCTTGGGGGATGGTGTGACTAACCGACGAGTAGACTGGCCCGGGTTGACCAACTAGAGTAGATAGAGAAATGTCGGTACCGGGGCTGGTGTACCTATGGATATACTATCTACATAGTACTACTACTGCGTATGGATGTGGTGTTCGCTAGGGAACCCGATTGGCGAGGAGACCTCCTCCCAGAACCCCTCGGCTAGGACTCGTCTCTAAGTAATCACTGAGCAAGTAACCGTCATCATCATCATCATCATCACCACCACCATCAACCATTCTTGCATCCTCCCTCCCAGGTAGCAACACCATGAGTGAATTTCCCCCGGCCAGTCTCCGTCCTCTAATCGAGGAAGTCTTCGAGCTTCTTCGCGCCCGCGTGGAGACCGTCTCCGTTGCTGAGACGGTACGAGATATGACCCCTCATCGCCATTCATCGCCACGATACTAATAACCGTGACCAACACTAGGCAGCCGGCGGCCTCATCTCCGCCTGTCTCCTCTCCACCCCGGGCGCATCTGCCATCTACAAAGGCGGACTGACCGTACGTGCTGCAGTCCCCCTGCTCCTCCCAGAGACTCACAACGCAGGTCTACACCCTCGAATCCCGCGTCACCTACACCGGCTGGACTCTCCAGCACGTCGACGGCTACGCGGGCCCAACCCCCAGCATCGTGGCGGAGATCGCCCAGAACGTGCGGTCGACGCTGCAATCCACCTATACGATCTGCGAGAGCGGGACGGCCGGGCCAACGGGAGGAACGACTCGGAATCGGACCCCGTGAGTCGGCCTCGTCGTCGGGGGCGGGGGGCGCTCGTTGTTCATACATATGCTGATGTGATATAGCGGATATGTGGCAGTTGCGGTGGCGACGCCATCCGGGACGGTGACGCGGGAGGTTGAGACAGGCAGTGCGGAACGGGCGAACAATATGGTGCTGTTTGCTGGGGAGGGTTTGCGACTGTTGAGAGATGTGTTGGTTGGGGAGAATCGACCCAAGGTATAATTGGGTTGCTGATGATGCTGATTGCTGGAGATGAATGGATAGATGGATTCGAGGGTTTCCCACGATCCATGGTTCATGCGAGACTCCTGCTGGTTGCTTCTATTTCTGGAGGCCGTAGCTGATTACCTCCTTGGGTAGACATGCTTCCGATCGATGTCTCTCTATGTAACTATCTGCTGTTGCACGGGAAAGATTACTCGATCGGGTTCGAAAACATTAGCACTCGTATTTGGCTGCCCATTGAAACGTAATGCCTGAAGTTCTTTCACGGGGTTACCAATACACCGAGACTGGAAGGCAGAAGAGTCCAAAAGTGCCGAAATTACGTCAAAACGGGAAACACGGCACCGCCCCGGTGGGACACCGCCACATCTTATTTGAGTGTCAGCCAATGGGCGGTCAGCTGGTCTGCCCTACGCGGGCAGAATTATCTCATTGCGGATTCGACTGTGGCGCAGCGGACGGTCGCCGAGACAGGCAGTCACGACTCCGTCCAGTCCGTCCCGGGCTTTGCGGCCTCGCATTCCAGTGATCGATCGGCGGGCGCCTGCCGCAACGAAAGATCTGCTCGCTCGGCGCTTCTTCACTTCTTCCTCCCCATCATCACCACTCAGACCCCTTGACATCCCAGTCAGTCATTTCTTTCTACTCAAGCGCCTCGCCGGCTCACCCTTCGCCTTTCCGACATTGATTCCCCCCCTCTTCCCCCGTTCATCCGGTCCTCCGTTCCTCCTCGTCTGTCTCTGTGCTCCCCTCGCGGGGTCATGGATTACTCCGTCAACCTCCGCCGCAAGGATACCACCAAGGGTCCGCCCTTGAGGATCCTGTCGCTCGGTATGTTTCGCTCGTCGTCCTCCAGGGTCTCGACACTCCCATACTAATTTTAGGCTGAATCTAGATGGCGGCGGCGTGCGTGGGTACTCCATGCTTATCATCCTCCAAGAACTCATGTACCGCATCTACGTCGAATGCGAAGGCAAGGCCCCTCGTCGCGAAGAAATCCCCAAACCTTGCGATCACTTCGACCTCATCGTCGGCACCGGCACCGGCGGGCTGATCGCCCTCATGCTGGGTCGTCTTCGCCTCGACCTCGAGACCTGCAAGGATGTTTACGTCCGCATGACCCGCCGCGTGTTCGAAACCGACAAGACCTTTGCTGGCATCCCCTTCCACAAAACGCTGTTCAAGGCCTCCAAGCTGGAGGAGGCCATTCGGGAGTGTGTCCGCGAGCATACCGTCTTCGAAGCCGAGGGCAACGATCTGAGCCCGACGGCACACAATTCTCTGGCCAGCGCCCCCTTCAGTCCCAACTCCATGTCCATTCCCCAGCGCTCGGGCAGTCGGGCCAGCTTCAGCACCACCACCTCCCATTCCTCGGGACATGGCAGCCAGCGCAATTCGACCTTTGTGAATGGGTTGCGCTGGGGAAACCCGGATGCGCTGCTCTATGATAATCGCGAATATCGCACCAAAACGTATGTCTCTCTCTTAATTCGGTCAGGTTTCCGTCCATACTGACTGAGCAGTGCTGTTACCGCCCTCTACAAAGGTACTACGTCCCGCAACGGCTCGTCCGTCTTCCTCCGATCCTATGATTCACGCAAAGAACCCCCGCCCGAGTTCAACTGCACCATCTGGCAGGCCGGTCGAGCCACTTCCGCCACCGGTCTAGCCTTCAAGCCCATCCAGATCGGTCAACACGTCTTCGTTGACGAAGGCGCCGGCACCTACAACCCCGCGCCACAGGTCCTGGACGAAGCGACCGTGAATGAGTGGCCCGGCCGCGAGGTGGGCGCATTCATCAGTATCGGCACCGGCAAGCGCCCGCCCGGCACCAACAACCGACAGCACGAATGGTGGGAGGACTTCTTCGGGGATGCGCTCGGCATCTTTGCGGAGGCCCGTCGGCGCCTGATCGCCAAGATCGAGGGGTGCGAGGATATCCACCTGGCGATGCTGCGCGACCACCTGGCCAAGCGCAACGTCAGCAAGGACAACTACTACCGGCTGAATGTCGAGGTGGGAGTGGGCGAGTTTGGCATGAACGAATGGAACCGGCTGGCGGACATCAGCACCAACACGCGCCGCTATCTGACCCGACCGGAGGTGAAGCGACAGATCCTGGATGCGGGCGTCAAGTTCGCCAAGATTGAGCGCCAACACCGCCGGCTGGCCCAGCATGCCGCCGCGGGCCACGAGCAGTACGGCGGCGCGGGCGATGATGGCACCTCATCCATCATTCATAGTCCCGTGCTGTCGGTGCCGCCGCTGCCGCACCCGACCGCCGTGGAGCTGCCAGCAGAGCTCCCCGGCGACTTTGTTCCCTACATCACGACGGAGGATGCGCTCCCAGCACACCCTACGCCGCAGGACAGCCTGCTGCCATCCCCACGGTTATCGGGGGACCTGGGTAGTCCCGGTAGCGGGGAGGTTAGTCGCCCGAGCTCGCAGACGTACGGGTCGTCGCGACCCAGCATGGAGCATGGGCACGAGGGGATGCCGCCGCCGGTGCCCCCCAAGACACCCATTCCCTATCCGTCAGAGTATCCCAGCGAACTGGGCGGGATTCCGATGCCAATGCCAACGACGGCGAGCAGTCCGGGGCACCATGGGCGGAGTGAGAGTGGGAAGGTTCGACCACCGTACCCAGTGGATGAGCCGCCGGTGGTGAACAAGCACCGGAAACCGAGCTACCATGTGCGGTGATGGGGGGTGACTTATGTTTCTTCTTGTATCTTTTTTTTTTTATGATTCTCCTGTGTATGATGGAGGCGTCTACATTTGAGTCCATGGGGGACAGGGGCGAGCGTTTCCGGTAATGATTTGATGGATACCCTAATGATATGATTACTTGATGCGTATTTCCTTGTCATTGATCGTAAGATGGTAGATGGGGTGGAAATGGGAGCGGGAGTGGCTGCCTGGCTTGGGTGGCCCCCGTCGATAAGAACTGCGCCCCAGCAACCACCGTTTGGCCCGTCCCAGCCTCGCTTTTCTTTCACAGATCCTCCTGATTCTGTCGGTCTGACTTTCTCCTTTTCTCTTCCGATTGCTCTCTATTGCTCTCTATTGCTCCCTCTTGCTCCCTCTTGCTCCCTAGAGTTTGTCTTCGATACACGAGCCTTCCCCTTCTTCCGTGAAGATCTGGCACATTCCGATCCCCCCACGGGCCTGTCGATCCCACCACGCATTCCTCTCCCTACCCGCCGTCACACCTGTCAAATCACCGGCCACTCGTCCCTCCTGAAACTCTTGGAAGCTGACTGCGGCAGCTCCATGGCTGTCTAGCGCTGCCTAAATATATCTTGCGCTCGCTTATCTGGGGCCCCCATCTCCCCTATCCTTCGCGCCCTCGTCGACTCTCCCACGATCCCCTCCCTCCCTCCCGTCAGCGACTGCCCACTTAAGACACTGCAGGCAGTGTCCCAATGCCGTCCAGGTCCCCCGCAGCGCATCCCTCCCAATGACCACCATGGACACCATTTCCTCCACCATGCTGGACCCCGAGGCTCCGCTCCACCTCGCCCTGAACCACCTGGTCGGCCGCGCCGACACCTCCTCCCGCCCGGCCTCCTACAAAGCCATCGGCATCTCCCTCGCCGTCGCCTCGGGCTTCTTTATCGGCGTCTCCTTTGTGCTCAAGAAAAAGGGCCTCCTCCGCGCCAACGTCAAATACAACGAGGAAGCCGGCGAGGGCTACGGCTACCTCAAGAACCTCTACTGGTGGGGTGGGATGACGCTGATGATCATCGGGGAGCTGTGCAATTTCGTCGCCTATGCCTTTGTCGACGCCATCTTGGTCACGCCATTAGGGGCGCTGACGGTCGTGGTGACGACCATTCTGTCCGCCATCTTCCTGAAAGAGCGGCTGAGTTTTGTCGGCAAGGTGGGCTGTTTTTGCTGCATCTTGGGTAGTGTGGTGATTGCGTTGAATGCGCCGGAACAGTCGTCGGTCAGTGATATTCAGGAAATGAAGAAATATGTCCTGTCGCCGGGGTTTTTGGTCTACGCGGGCGTCATTATCGTGGGCTGTGTCGTGGTCGCGCTTTGGTTGGGCCCGCGCTATGGCAAGAAGAGCATGTTTGTGTATATCAGTATTTGCTCGTTGATTGGGGGCTTGAGTGTCGTGGCGACGCAGGGCTTGGGGTCGGCCATTTTGGCCCAGATTGATGGCGAGGCGCAGTTTAACCAGTGGTTCATGTATGTCTTGCTGGTGTTTGTCATTGCTACGCTGTTGACGGAGATTATTTATCTCAATGTGCGTATCTTCCTTCTGCTTCCCCGGGGGTAATTGGTGTGGTTCTAATATCGTTCGGTTTGTTCCTGCAGAAAGCCCTCAATCTCTTCAACGCCGCGCTCGTCACCCCCACTTACTACGTTTTCTTCACCAGCTCGACCATCGTCACCTCCGCCGTGCTGTTCCGCGGCTTTAAAGGGTCCGTCAGCTCCATCGTTACGGTCATCTTGGGCTTCTTGCAGATCTGCGCCGGTGTCGTCCTCCTGCAGCTGTCCAAGTCCGCCAAGGATGTCCCCGATGCGGCCGTCTTCAAGGGCGATCTCGACCAGGTCCGCGAGGTCGCTACCCAGGAGGAGCCCGAGAGCGAGCCCAAGGCCGACTCCATCCGTGGGGCCGCCGCCATCATCCGACGGATCTCGACCCGGCGACGCCAGGCGGAGGCCGAGGAGGCCCGGCGCTTCTACCACGATCGCCGTGAAGACCTGAAACCGCCGGCGGAGAACGAGATCATCGAGTGGGACGGGCTGCGCCGGCGCAAGACCGTCATCGGCGAGGGGCCGACCACGGCGCGCGCGCGCTCGGTGCGCAACCCGTCCGTCAACTACCCCATCCCGCCGCTGGGCATGTCGCGCGTGCCGGAGGAGATGCCGGCCGAGCGCGAGCACGACCACGAGCCCGAGCGGCCCAGCACGAAGCAGAGCAGCCATTCGTTCCTCGATGACCTCCAGTCCCGCGTCTCGAGCTTCTTCCACCCCTCCTGGCAGCCCATCGAGGACGAGCATCCGAACCAGGACCCCGTCTCGCTGACATCCATGGCAGCGCACAAGCCGCACCCCGACACCAGCTATCCCCACTCCATCCTGCCGGACGCATCGCGCAGCAACACACCCGGGACGGAGGATGACCACGGGCCGCCGTCCCCGCCGCCGCACGGCGCCCAGCGGCAGTTCTCCTTCAACACCATGTTACACCGGATGAAGACAGGCCACGAGCCGACCCCATCGCGCAGCTATCCCCGCCCGACCCATCACCATCACCGGTCTCGATCACGGTCGATCACCGAGGAGGAACGTCTGGGACTCGTGCGCGGCGACTCCCGGGGCGAGTCCGGGCCGGACGAGGTTGACGAGAAGGATATTCTGGACGACGGACCAGGCAATCTACCGTCAGGGCTGGCCCATTCCCCCGAGCAGAACCGGTTACATTCGAGCGGATCCCTGTACCCATCCCGGCTGCGCGTGAACCCGCTCCCGCCGCTCCCGGATGAGGAGCCGCTCGCGGATCCGTACGCGCCCGTGGAGATTCCCCATCAGCGCCATGAATCGCACAGCAGCGAAGGGTCGGTCACGTCGGGGCCCCGGAGCGCGGGATGGCGACGGCACGGATCGACGAGTAGCCGGGGGAGTCTCCCGGGACGACGGGGGGCGTTCATATAGATGACAATCTATATGTATGATATGACCGATACGAGCTATGAACCATAGGATAATGTATCTGATGTTATTGAATTGAGGTAGATGTTGATGTCGATGAGGCAGTCAAGTACCCAAATACACTCTTCTGATTCGACCTCAAATTCACCGCGTATTTCATCTCGGAGAGTCGTTTCCCGGCCGCGATACTATCAAGGACCCTAATCACCATCACCGTTAGCCATATTTTATACCCTCCTCCCCTCCCTATTCCATCCAATCAACCCCCACCCCCCCAAAAAAGCACAAAAGAAAACAAGGGGGAAAAACATACCACTCCACCCCCACAATCTTAATCCCCCTCCACCCAGCCCTCTGTATCTCCCTGTGTAATTTCCCCGCCGCGAGGCCTCCACCACTTCCGATACCTTTTCCGGGCGGCCCAGTGTTCGGTCGACAGATGATGACGTGGGTGACTTTGCGATGGAGGTGGAGGGCGAGGTGGGCGCCGTGGGTGATGAGGAGGTGTTTGAGTTTGTGGTCGGAGATGTGCGGGGTCGTTTGGCCGTTGATGTGGATTGTTAGGTTGGTGAGGATTGATGGAGGGGAGGGAGTTGTTGATGGGGAGGTTGAGAGGGGTGTTTGTTGGGTTGGTGTAGGTGGGGGTGGAGAGGGGCGTGTAGAGGTTGATGTAGAGGTTGATGTAGAGGCGGTTGTATGTAGGTGTGTAGATGTAGGTGTATGCGGAGGCATAGGTATAGGTAAAGACGTGGAAGTTGATGTAGCTGTAGCTGTAGATGTGAATGTAGACGGGGGCATGAGCGCATGTGCATATGTCTGTATATGTCCCCGCGCATCTCTCTCCGACGGAGACTGTCTTTGCGACTGCGCTTGCGATTGCAATTGCATCTTCGCAGAAAAAAAAAACACCCCCCCCCCCCCCCCCCCCCCCAGAAACCACCACCACCACCTACAAAATGTCCACTCCGCGCTTCTCCCCCGCCTCCACAACCGTCGTCTTCATCCTCGGCGGCCCCGGCAGCGGCAAAGGCACCCAATCCGCCAACCTCGTACGAGACTACGGCTTCACGCACCTCAGTGCCGGCGACCTCCTGCGCGCCGAACAGATCCGCACCGGCAGCCAATACGGCGACCTAATCAAGACCTACATCCGGGAAGGCAAGATCGTGCCCATGGAAATCACCGTGGCGTTGTTATCCAACGCCATGGCCGATGCTCTGGCCGCCAACTCCAACCCCACTCCCGGCGTCAAGCCCCGGTTTCTGATCGATGGGTTCCCGCGCAAACTCGACCAGGCCGTCTTCTTTGAGGATACCGTGTGTCCGTCGGAAATGACCCTGTTTTTGGATTGTCCTGAGGAGGTCATGGAGGCCAGGTTGTTGAAGCGCGGGGAGACGTCGGGTCGGGATGATGATAATGCCGAGAGTATTCGGAAGAGGTTCCGCACCTTTGTCGAGACCAGTATGCCCGTCGTCAAGGCGTTTGAGGAGCAGAATAAGGTGGTTTCGGTTACGGCGACGGGGTCCGTGGAGGAGGTGTATGAGCGCATTCGCGAGGGTTTCCAGGCCAAGGGCATCAATCCGTTGTAAGTTGGGTATGATGGATGGAGGACTTGTTGGGGTGTACGTATGTAGGAGTGATTATAGAGGATTGGATAGATGATTGGGTACATAGCTTGGAGGGATCATGATCTGGGTAGTGAATCTATCGGATTCGGGTGTATCTGACCAAGACCACCCACAGCAGAAGGGTGGCACGGTGGCTCGAATAGTATATCATTTAGCACACAAAGCAAACAATATATAAACTCATTCATAGTTACGCACTAAGGCATAACTCGTGTCATTGCCAGGCTCCCTTTCTCACAGTGAAACCTGTCTAGAATCCAATAGCTACCATGATGAAAAAGAAACCGTAAGTTGGAATAAAAAAAATAGCCACAGCACAACATTAACATAGAAGAACACCTCGTCCCAGGTCCCACACTGTTCCTTTTTTTCATCACTCCATGTACCTATGCGCTCGGTCTATCCATTACTCCGCAGTCACCGCCTCCACCGGAGCGCTGACGGGCGCCGCGGGCGCGGGCTGCTGGTTGTTGCCGTGACGGCGACGGTCGCCGCCCTTGTTCTTGTCGTTGCTCTTGCCCTGGGCTGCCTCCTCGGCCGCCTGGGCCGCCTGCAGCCCCTCGCGCACAAACCGCTCCCGCTCGCTGCGCACAACGCTCAGTACGTGCTCCAGGCTGCGGCGCCACACCATCAGACGACCCTGCACCTCAGCCCACTGCTTCTCTCCGAACACCCGGTACGTGGCCCGGTGCACCAGGAACTCCGACCGCAGCTGCGACAGCTTACCCTCAACCAGGCCGGCGCGGATGGTGTCAATAACCCACTTCTCGACGTCGGTGGCCGGCACACGCAGGGCCGTGGCGATGGTCTCGTAAGGCAGGGAGCGCGACGGGGTGGAGGCGGCCAGGGAGGCCAGGGTGAGCAGGCGCATCTTGTTCTGCAGGGCCTCGCCGGCCTCGGCCAGCACGCCGCCGGAGATGCCGGCCAGCGGGGTGGCGGTAATGAAGGCCTCGTAGGCATCGAGGGTGTCGGCGGTGAAGATCTCGAGCAGCTCGAAGAGAGTGTTGTCGCTGGCACGCAGGGCCTGCACGGCGTCGGAGGCGGTCAACGGGGTGAAGTCGAACACGGCCGGGTTGGTGAGGGCGGACGTCAGGGCGCGGACGGCCAGCTCGCGGGCCTCGGGGGCGCTGGCGTTAGCGGCGGGGATGGTCTGCAGGGCCTGAACGATATGGGTCTGAGCCAGCTCGGGGTCACCGGCGGCCTGGGCGGCATCGGCGATGGCGAGATGCAGGCGCTGGGCCTCGTCGGCGTCCAACTCCCAGGCGGCGAGCCAGCCGGGCAGCTGAGTCGACAGCTGAGTCTTGAGGGCGTCAAAGGCGACGGACGAGCCGGACTGGCGGATGACGGCGACGGTGGCCAGGAGGACGTGGTAGCGGCTGGAGTCGGAGGGGGCGAGGGTGTTGAAGATGGTGGACAGGATGGAGATGGCCAGGGAGGGGCCGAACTGAGGGGAGGAGGAGATGGGCTTAGCGAGGTAGGTGCAGATGCGAGAGAGGAACATGTCCGGGTCGGAGGCCTGGTGGACGAGGTGGACGAGGAGGTTGTAGGCGGAGATGATCTCTGTCAAGTTGTTCGTCAGTGCCGTTCCATGACTGTCACTTTGTGGGGGATAGCAAGCAAGCCATCTATCAAATGGATACGTACCCTTCTCCGGGGCGCCGTTCAGGACCACGGCCGCCGACACCAACTTCTTGAGGACCTCATCGCGCTGCTTGCGGTCGGGCTCGGCGTCGGACTGTTCCTGCTCACGGAGGGGCTGCAGAAGCGGGGAGATCTCGGTCTGGAGGCTGCTGGCGGCTTCGGGCTTGCGCAGAGCGTCGATGTACTGGGCGAACTCGTCGGCGAGCTCGGTGAAGGAACCCTCGATGAGGAGGGTGGTGGAAGGGGCGGGCATGATGGGGGGTGGGGTTGGTGGATGAGAGAGAGGGTGAGGGAGGGAGGGAGGGAGATCAAAGAGAGGGAGCGAAAGGGGAGCGAAGCGAGAAGTCGAGGAAAACGACGGGCGTGGATTGTGGCTTTGGATTGGATTCTCACCAGACAGATTGGGATTTGGCGGTGGAGAAAATTCAGTGTGGGAAAAACTCTTGGCGCCGCTGCCTGCATCGGGAGATCGTCTCCAGCTCTACAGAGTACAGTGTACATTTCTCCCCTCCCACTCTTCTACGCAGTCTCGACGCCAGTGCTCACAAATCGACAATCATGCATTATTACAAGAATAACTCCCAGGCGCTAGGGGGAATCGTACGAAACATCAAGTCGTAGAACATGCAACTGTAACACCCTCCGCGGCTGCCTCCCCGAACTCACATCCCCGCCATTACAACATCCATTACAGCCAAGCCGACCTCAACATGGTTACAAACAATCTTTCTTTTACTAATGCGCTCCCTTTCAGAGACCAGTCCCCGGTGCATTCCATTTACAGCACCAGGCGCAGTCCAATAAACAGCACGGTCGCCAACAGGCCCGTGGCGTGCTCCTGCGCCAGACGCACCGCCGCGTTGGAGGTGGACGAAGAGGAAGTGCTGCTGGTCGTGCTAGTCGCGGTCGTCGACTGGTCGCTCGAGCTGCTCGCCGTGCTGGTGGCCGTGGTCAACGAGGTGGCCGTCGTGGTGGTCGACGACTCCGTGGACACGGCCGACGCATTCAGGGTGCCACAGTCCTGGTCGCGGGTGGACTGGCACTCCTCCTGCTCATCAAGGGTGGAGGAGGCCTCAATGCACTGAGCGTAGGTTTCCTCGCAAACAAAGAACGGAATGGTCTGAGTGTACTCAGCCACATCGGCAGTCGAGCCATTGGAGCAAACGCAAGAGAAGTCCAAGGAGCTCTGCCAGACGGGTTAGCGGGGAAGGGCACACAGTCTTTGGTCGAGTGACACCTACCGGATCGCACGAGTTGCTAATGGCGACACCACCGCAGATTTCGGGGCAAGAATTGCGCTCGGCAGTACACCAGGAGCCTAAAGCGCTAGTCAGCGACGGAACACATTCCACCCTCCTTCAGGACAGTCGTACTTCTTTCAGTGTAGCTGACAGCGCTGAGGTTGAAATTGCTGGGGAGGGTGTAGTTGCTGGACGCGGTGGCCACAGCAGCCAGAGACATCAAGACGAGAGGAAGCATGGTGACAGAAGAGCTGGCGAATGCAAGACGTAAGATAGATGGGTATGAGATGGGATGGAATTGAATACAAGTCTGACAACCAGATAAGAGAGCAATGGATGGAGAGGTAAGGGAGTCAGTGGAAGAGAGGTGAGAGGATGGAGGAGAAAGAGGAGATCGAGAGGAAGAAGAGAGGAAGGAAGAAGAAGGAAGCGAAGGAGAAAGTGAAAGAAGGAGGAGACGATAAGGCCGACGAAACGGGAAGGTGCAGCAACTCGAAAGCCGGGCGAGCAAGAGCGACTGAGCGAGAGAGGAATTCCAGCTGTTTATTTATATTTAATTCTTCTTCCGGAGCGTGAATGAACCACTGGAGGAGAGGCGAGTGGTGCTCCGATTTGCTAGCGACTTTAGTGTCTCATTGAACGCTCAGAAGAGAGTCTGTGTGCATGACAAGCCCAGGACTTATCTACCAGAGACTTAGTCCGTTTCAATTTAGCTCGACGATACTAATGTTTATGATAATTAGGATGGCTAATATTATTATCCGTCTCAGTACCTCGCATCCAGCATCGCTCCCAATTTCCGGTTCCCTGTTTTGGGCCAGTGCCGGACACTCATGATTTGGCCGGCGATTTGTTTGTTGCCCTACGCGAGGGATGCCCATGGCGATATCCACCCTTTGAGACAGGCAGGCAGGCAGGCAGGCAGACAGGCCCCTCGAGGATGCATCTGCCAGGGAGAGAGACATGGGGACCCTCAGACACACCAAGGAGAAAGGAAAATTCTGATCGGATTCTGTCCGGGGCGTTGGAATGTGCAACCACCATGGCTCCCCTCACCCCAGCGCGGTGGCATGAATGCTGGCGGCTGGTGGTGGTCAGGTTGGTTCGGTGTGGTTCTGCCCGCTCGTTTCTGCTTTTCTCCTCTCTGTTATCGATTCATCCCCGGTAGCGCCGTGAGCTAAAGTCGCTGGCGGGGGTTGTGACTGGCTACTGGACTGCCGCCTAAAAAACTAGTCGAGCGTTAGTCGCGACGGGCTTCCATGGCATACGTAGGCAGGCATCGATGCTCCCAGAAATGTTTACCCAGCAACTCGACCAGTGGGGGAGTGCACTCGGGGGGAAGGGGAGTGCTGAGAGTGAGTGTCAGGGGTAATGATGATAATAATAATTATGGGAGCGCATCCGCAAATAATTGAGGAGGCGACTGGGGAGGAGAACATTTAGTCAAACACTAGGATACATGGATATACTCCGGCTGCTGCTGGGATCGCCCGGTCCAACCAAACAAACCAAACACAAAATGATATCAATCTCCATTTTTCTGCACTGGCTGTCGCCCCCAAAGCGGTAAGGTCTCTCTCGACGCCCTGTGGTAACTGGTTCCGGTATCATTACCGCCCTGAGCAGGTTCCGTACCGTCCGGAACTGCGTCATTTACCAGGCACCGTACCAGCGTATCCGCGGCACTGTTGGATGGATTGCCGACTGGCATCTGATTTCCCTCGGCTGATCGCTTCCAATCCCTCCATATCTCTCTCCGCTCCATTCGACGACTCACATCCGGAGTCTGCAGTACAGAGTACGGAGTACAGCTGCACTATCCATCTATCTATAGAGACTTCCTCCCCCCCCATCTCAAATCAGACATATCATATTCCATAATTCTCTACCACTACCATCATGTCGTCCTTCTCCATTCTCAACACCCCCCACCCCGCCTCCTTAACCCCCTTCCTGCATGCTCCGTCCCTCCAATCCCTCCTACACCATCCCGACTACCTCCCCATCCGCACCTATTCGCGCATCCCCAAACCCTCCTCCGGCGAGGACGGCTACTTCGCCAACACCTTAGCCACATCGCTCACCATCCCACACGTCCTCACCCTCCGTCGTCGTCCCCATCTCCTCTCCGCCCTGCCTGCCTCTCCGCCCCTCTGGCCCGCCCCCACCGGCTCCCCGACTCCCATCCACGCCCCGGACTTGTTCCTGCTGCTCGATCTCGCTACCCCGGGGGTGTCGGGTCATCCGTCTACTGCCCATGGTGGGGTCATTGCTACGGCTTTGGATGAGGCCATGTCTTATGCCGTGGCGCTGTATGCACCGGAGACGGGCCCGCAACTAGCAGCGGATGGAGAGGGTGATGATGTCCCGCCCACGCCACGCGGATTGCTCTATACAACTCAACTGGACATCCGCTACAAGAGTCCCGTCGCGGCGCCGGGTTACCTGGTCATTCGGGTGAAGGTTCTTGCTCGTGTCGGCCGCAAGTTCTGGGTGCGTGCGCAGGCGCTCCAGCCCGAAGAGGGGAAGACGCAGATGCGCCTCACGACTGATGCGATGGCCTTTTGGATGCAGACGGCGCCGTCGCTCTAGGTTGTCGCCGGTTCTATTGTTCTTCTATTGTATGTACATACTTAGATCGATCGGTAGATAAGATATAGTCGATCAGGGGTAGGGCCGGAGAGCGGATGGGAAAGGGAGGTGGAAGAGAGGAACAACTCTCACTCTTACAACTTCTGGCGGGTTCCGATGTTGCGACTCGCGCTCACCACCAAGCCTACCTGTGTACTCAGCGCCACCACCTCCCCTCGTTCGTTCACCAGTGTCACATCCAGATCCGTCCGGCCATCCTGCACCAGCTTCGAGTGCACCCGACTGTACAACCACTCCACCCCCTCCGCCGGCAACCGCCGCTTCAGATCAATATTCAGCGTCACCGTCGGGTACCAGTTCTGGACCTGTGCCCGATCTCCCGAGGCCTGCGCGGCCGCCTCATCGAACCCGGCCAGCGCCGTGGGAAACATATCCGTCAGATAGACGAGGGCCTCGTTCGTCCACCGCGCCGTGACATCCCCTTCGGGCCGGAATCGAGCCCATTGCTCCGTGATCATCCGCCCTGGTGCCGCGCCCAACTCCGGCCCAAAAAATTCCGTTTGTTTCGTCGCCCGACGGAACGTCAGAAACGCGGCATTAAGACGCATCCAGGCACCGTCCCGACCCGTGGCCGACAGCGCCACCAGATCCACCGCGCCATCGGGCTTCGAGCCCCGTGGCGGAGGCGGGGAGAGTTTCCACCCCGTAGCGGCGCTAATGCCGACTTCCGCCTGCGCCGGACTAACCGTAATATACCCAGCGACTTTGACCTCTAGCTCTTCTTCGCCGGCGCTGGAGGCCGTGGCCTTCTTGCGCTCGGGCGGCTGCAACAGCGTCACATGCACGGTACTAGTGCGCTTCCCGAGCTTGGTGTCCTGGACCAGTAAGACGGCAGGGCCGGTGGCCGTGCGTCGGAGGAAGGCCAGCTGCATCGAGATCGGGGTGGCGGGCTCATTGTAGAGCGTTGGATGCGTCTGCGCAAAGTGGGTGAGTACCAGCCGGTAGAGGATGGAGGAGGTGTAGCCGCCATGCGGAACTGTAGGGCACTTGGTTAGCGAGGGAGATTCGAGATAAGACCCCTCGGTCGTAGAGGACAAGAACACGCATCCTACCGGCCCCAATGCACCACTCCTCGCGGAGACAGGCGGAATACCGATGCGAAGTGACGGGCGTCACTTGGATGGCTGCCTCGAAGGCGGGCCCGTGGGCGGGACTGGCACTCATGGTTGATCGTAGGGTATAGGTAGATATTGGGGAAATTCCTCCTGTTGAGCGGTGGCCATCAGGAGAAGGAGAAAGAAGGGAGGAGGCAGGGGAGTGGCGGATCGACTTGGGGGCATGGCCGCGGATGGCCTGAAGATTGAGGAGCAGCGCCAGAAAGATGCCTCGGTTGATTTCCCCGCCGGCCGATCGGTGCTGACCAACCGGGCGTATCGCAGAGGATCTACGTTACGAGATAGGCAAAACACAAACACACGATAGGAATAGGAGAGTTTCTGGTGGTATTATGGCCTCGTCTATGTGCCCCCTCTTCTCTCTCTGCAATGACTTCCTCCGAACTCCCGCCGTTCTCTAAATCCATAAATCCAGTCCGCGCGCCAGTCTGCTTGCTTTTGGGGGTCATGTAACGGTGTAGTACGTATGCCGAAATTCACACTATGTAGAGATGCATTCATGCTTCATGTCCTCGTAGGATAGGCTTCTTCCGCCCAGTCTTGGTCATTCTTGTACGTCTCACGGGCCGCTGTGGGATGCAGCCAGCTTCTCCAGACACGACAGAACTCCTACCATCACGCGCCGGTTAGCCTCGTTCATCAATCCCTGCCGATGGAATGCCCCTGCGGGGCTCTTACCTGTCACTCCCTGGGTCAGGGTCGCCTTCGCCTCCGTACTCCGAGAACCGAGCGTGACGGTCATGGTGTAGTTGACGGCCCCCGCACTGGCCAGCTTGTTGGCCCACCGAAACACCGACTCGTCATCGCGACCATCCCCGATAGCCAGCAGGAAGTCCGGGCGTCCGACACTCTCATCTCGCTGGCTCTGTTTGAGACACGAGCGCCACGCCACTTCCGCCGCCGACGCCTTGTTGATGCCCGCCGGCTCCACCACCAGCGCCCGCTCCACGGGGACAGCATGCACCCCTTGGTTCATGCAGGCATCATTGATGTGTCCTGCACACTCCGATGCCAGCCGTGACGCCGCCACCTGGTCCTCGGCCGATTCGTAGTGGAACATGAGCGAGCAGTGCCGCTGTTCGACCCAGCTTCCCTCTGCACGCTCCTGATAGTACTCCAAGATGTGGAGCACCGCCGCCTTCCACGCATCCGTCTGGACCTTGTCCGTCAGCTTCAGCCAGGTCTCCGAGTGCGGCTCGCGCACAAAGCACCCGTTCTCAGCAATCAGGCCCAGGCCGCTGACCAGGCGGAACAGTCGCTCCATCTCCTCGGGCATCCTCGCGCTCATGACGTACACCACATTGTTCGGATCCTCGGTCAGTTCGGCCAGCGTGGTGATCGCGCGCTGCGGTGTCGTGACAATGATACTCTTCGGCGAGCCCCAGGAGGCGAGCGTGCCTTCGTAGTCCACGATGATCAGCCGACGCGACGATCGACGGTACATCTCCTCCAATTTGTTCACCTGCAGCCGGGGAACGGCCATGATTTCTCGCGATGACTGTTCGTTCCAGACCCGGCTCAAAGTCTCACTAAAGGACTTGACCCAGTTGTGGGTGGAATTTTGCAGCACCGCCTGGTGTAGTTTCATCCACACTTCCTGGCGCTCGTTTTCATCCCTCGACAACGCGGTATGGATGGCCTCGGCACATTGACGGTAGTCCCAGGGGTTGACCAGCAGCGCATGATCACCGAACACGGATGCGCTGCCCGTGAACTCGCTCAGAATAAGAGACCCGTACTTCTTGTTGCCCCATTTACCGTCTTGACAGTAGACAAACTCATGACTGGTCAGGTTCATGCCTTCACGCAAGCTGGTGATGATCAGAGCATCCGCCACGGAGATCAAGGCGAGGTACTGGGGGAAGGCCAAATCTTGCTTCAAGAAAACCAAGGGCTGATGAGCAAGTGTGGAGTGAGTGGAGTTAATCCGCATCGCGATGTCGGAGATTGTCGCCTCCAGCTCGGGCTGTTCAGTAGTGCTGGTCGCCACTTGAATCAACACCACCTGGTCCCGCCATTCGGGATATGTGTTCAGGAAAAGTTCGTAGCTCAGCAATTTCTGCCGGATTCCGCGCACCTGGTCGATCTTGTCCCGCGACACGATGAGCCGCTTCCCCTCGTAGCGATCCGAGATAGTCTTGATCCATCGTTCCACGTCGGCAGCCTGCCGGCGTTGGTCCCAGGATGTTGGATCGATGCCGATGGAGAACTTGCTCACGTTGACAAACCGATCCTCCAGTTGGAGCCCATCATTGGTGGCTTCCACGCAGAGGATCCGGCTACACGTCTGGAGAAAGTGGCGACAGTACTCGTCCGTCTGGAACCCTACCAGGTTGGCGCCCAGCATTCCTTCGAGAAGCTCCTTGCGAGGCGCCAGGCACCGGAACACTTCCGACGAAGGGAAGGCAATATGCAGGAAGAAGCCGATCTGCGCGTCCGGAAGCAGTTTCCGCAGCATGGCCGGCACGAGCAGCAGGTGGTAGTCCTGCACCCAAATGGAATCCCCACGCTTCCAGTTCCGCGCAATACGCTCGGCAAAAGCCTGGTTAGTCTTGACGTAGTAAATCCATGAATGATCTTCGTAAGCCTTGCTCTTGGGGTTATCCGGGATTTGGTAGTGGAACACCGGCCAGAGGATCGTCTTGCAAAAATGCGTGTAGTGACCATCAAAGTCACCGTCACTGACGTAAACGGTCAAAGATCCATATTCATCTTCCAGCTTCTCGGCGATCGCCTCCTTAGTGTGTTCTGGTAGGGCATCAGTGGGCATTCCCAAGGTACCCACCCAGGCCTTGTCTTCCAATTGTCCGGCGTCCGTAGCCGATCGCACGGCATTGCGCAGGCCTCCATTGCCCTGTTCGGCCGTCTCGATAGTCCATTCGGCGTACGAAAATGAGCTTTTGCGGCTGTGACCTCCCCAATGATCCTGAACATGCGCAATTGGCTGCTTGGGGACCGGCTTTGCCTTCTCCTTTGACGGCTCTACGCCTGGCGTAGTGAGGTCTTGGTGCCTGAGGATGGAGGGAGAGGCCGGAAATGCCGCGCGCGGTCGAGGTTGGTTTAAAGCTAACGTCGAGCCCCACGCTGGGGAGTGAGCCTCACTCTCCGTCAAGAGGTTCGCATCGCCATCTGCTTTGGGGGGGAACGGATACTCGGAGTGTTCTTGCTCCGCCTTAGAGATGTCTGCTGCGAAGATCCGTTCGTGTTCGGTGGTGGCGCCCGGCGTGAGGCCAACGTTTGGGTCGTTATTGTTTCTTTCGAACAAGCTCAGAGCCACATTGGGGGTAGGAGCAGTGGCAGTTTCGGCGGGGTTGGCTGATTGGGGGGTGGTCCCCTCCGCGCGACGTGTCTGGGGGTCGCTGACATGAAAGTTGACCGTGTAGGGCAGGAATCTGTTACCCGGGAAGTTCAGAACAGCTACAGGCAGCGAAAGGCGGAAGGAGGGGGGGGGGATGATCGTCACTTACAACGAAGCAATGTAGATGGTCATGGTGGCAGCGGGGTAGCTGGGACCCCGGGCGAGGCAAAACCAGCAAAGGGAGGTGAGGGAGGAGGAGAGGTAGAAGGAAGCAGTAGTGGGAGAGAAAGACCAAAGGTTGACCACCTAATTAGGGCGAAAAGAGAGATGGCGCCAGATGAATGGAGAAGAGCGAAGATGATGGGACGGGTTGGGGGGAGGAAGAAGAGAAAGGAAGGCCGATCGCCGCGGACACAAAAGTACAGGTTCTCATGGCTACGTCATGTGCAAGAAAGAGAGGGATGGAAGGAATGCTCATCACTCTTAGGTAATGAGGGGCCATCGTGTACAGCATGGTCGATAGTACTTTTCTACCTAACAGTCATGCCACATTCTAGGCTTTTCCCTTGTTTCCTGCTGGATCTTTTGCATCGTTCATGTAGTGGTACTCCTACGGTGGATGTATCATCGAGGTACGTACATACTACTCCGTACCTACCAGTAGTAGTGGTCCGTTAGTAGTGTTGGTTCTTCACGGGTCTCCACACCGCCTGCGGATTGGCTGACCCCAGCAAGCGGGTGATCACGTGCCCTTATCGGTCACCGCCATATCGGCCGTGTAGCCTCAGGCCTGCCTTGCGACGGCTGCGTCTCCCGCATTCTCCTCCAAACTAACTGATTCTCTCGTCATCTTCTTTCACCTTCTGTCCTTTCCTCCTCCTATCTCGGACCGAGCTGGCTTACGCACCCTGCCATGCCCTTGCGCGTTACATCCGCTCCCGTCTCTGGTGTTAAGAAGAACCGAAAGCCCGCTAACTCGAGGCCACGCGCCTCTCCCTTCGCCGCTCATGCTCGTCGCAAGGTTTCTGCGCCGTCATCGTCCGGCGCTTCCAAGCCCTACGACGAGCACGAGTATGATCAAGGCCCACTGCCAGACCTCGGGGCGTCGCGCTATATCCCCGAAACTGCCCCCGTGAAAGATGTGGTCCAGGCTCTCCAGTATATCCGCAGCAGCATGTTCGAGGACCTCCCTCGCCGGGCGGGGATGAACAGCACGCGCATCGTCGAAGTTCTCAATTTCCGTCGCTCTCTTCCTCCTCTCGCCTCCGTCGCACATGTTCATATGCTGCTAGATGCGCCTACCAAGGTAGAGAAGGAGATCGTGGAGCTGGTGCACACCGGTCGGGTCCGTCGCTTGATCGTTCCCGGGAGAGGGAACGATGCTGCTGGGCTAGGCGATTGCCTGGTCCTGACCGAGGAGTGGGAGCGGCTGGTGCAAGATAGTTCTGCTTTGGATGCGCCACTGAAAGGTATGGATCTTGTTTTCTCTCTGATTATTCGCACCTGGTGGACTGATCCGTAGCAGGCAAGTTTCTGGAACTGCTTGGTCGGATCGGAAACACATGCGCCATCCCTGGGGCGACCTTCTCTCCGCCGGAGACTATGGCCTTGGTCCGGGCTGGCTTTCTCGTTTCCTCTTCCTCCTTGGCCAAGGGATCGTCGAGCCTTGCTTCCCTCCCCGTCTTCCCTGCGACCTCCCCCACCCCAGCTTCCGTTTCCGCGAGCCGAAGTGACACTGACCATACCAGCGATGCCAACTCGAGCCCTCGTTCGCAATCCTATTCGGCGACACTCTTCCTCTCGCTTCCAAATACTGGACCCTACCTTCGTCTGCTGGGCGCTGGCCGGTCGCACCTACTCTCGCTCCTGAAAAGGTCGAGTGCAAGTGAGGTCCCTGCCTACCTCTTGCGTGACCGCTGGGACGGGGCAGTCGAGAGCGAAAAGAGTTTCAGCGTAGCGAAGAGAGCACGAGGCGAGTTTGCGGGGATCTTGCCCGGTCGAACGAAAAGGTGGAAGGAGCTTTATGGGATGAACTTCCGCTGGGTTTTGGAGGAGGCGCTCGGGGCTGGGTTGGTTGAAATCTTTGATACTGGCAGCGTTGGCCCTGGGGTGCGCTGCCTATGATCTGGGTAGATGCTCAGTCGGCGGACTGCTCTATACCAGGATGACCGTGAGGCGGGTAGTGACAACTCCCGCTGTTCAAGCTGCTGCTGCTGCTTCCCCAAAGTTGTCTGTCTCGAACACGATGCCGAAAGGCCTCGCTAGCCATCAGATGGCCTTCCAGGGATCCCAACTCTGTATATAGCCTAGTGCATACACTCAGATAGTATATAGTTCGTAGTGAGGAGGGCAACTGATCGAAAGTAAGTTACTAACACTCACTCAGCCGATTGACCCCAGCCCATACCAGTGTCACTTCCCCCAGTCCTGCTGGGCTTGATTCTACTATGTGAATGCGGGATTGCTCGATTGATCTTCGATTGTCTTTTCATCGGCAAGTCGAAGAAATGGAAAGAAAAGGAAAGAAAGCTGCTAGCTAGCACACATGAACCTAGTAGAATATTGTTTGGCGCGTCCGAAGAAACGGAGGGATGTTGACTCAAGCCACCAAGGGAACCGTATCCTCTGAGAGCTGTAGGGAATTAGCAGAGGGAAGATTCGGGGTTAGCCCCGAGATACCTCGACTGCCTCTTCCTCCTCTTCCTCCCCTCCCTCCTCCAGTGAAGTACTACTACTAGTACTACATCCTCCCTCCACCCATCATGTCCTCCAAATCCTATCTCCGTCTGCACCCCCATCCCTTTTCTTCCCTCCCCATCCACCCATCCCTTGACAACTCTTCTTCCTCCCGCCCGGCACTCCGCCCCTTCCTGCACGCCCTCCTCACCGAAGCCCAGACTCTGCTGACCTCCATCCCCTCCACCTTCCACCCGGACCGCAAACCCCGACGCTCGTCCCCCTCCACCGCCAAAGTCTATCTCTCCACCCGCTCCATCCCGCCGGACTACTGGGTATGTCGGCAGAGCGTGCACGAAGACGCGCCCGTGACTGGATCTGCCTCATGGGCCGAGTTTCGCGCCGGACTTAGGCACGATCATTCCAAGCATGAAATGGACTACACGCCGAGTGTGACCGCCGTGGAGCGGTTGATGGAATGGCCCTCCGAGATAGATGTAGATGGGGGGTGGTCGAGAGTGGATGTACATGGTGAGTTTTAGTTTTTGGTTTTTATTATGTTGCCCTCGCTTTGCCTACTAGACTATGTGTATGGATGGATGGATGTATCATGTATGCATGCATCTAACGATCTTATTTATACCGAATTCTATCTATGATTCACCCACCCATCGATGTATATTGGTACATATGCACTGCTAGATCACAGAGTATTGCAACTACTAATTAGATTACCTCTCCCAGTCAATATGATCACCCACACCTTCCACCCTACCGCCTTGATCGCGCCTCGCTCGTTCATTGTCCTGGTTGTGTCGGCGGATCGCGACCGCGATCAAGGATTTGTCACCGTTCAGATCCCCCTGACGGTGGATTCGAGCCCGCAGTCTGTCCGGCAGAAGATTGCGGCGTCGGCGCCGCGGAATGCCATCTTTGCCTCTTATGCGAGTGTGGAACAGGTGGTCGCTGCGCCGGAGGGACTGCAGTGGACGATGGCGACCACCTCGGATGCTGGCGGGGCCATTCCTCGGTGGATACAGCGGAGCTGGACCATGGGCGGAGTCCCTAAAGCCGTCGTGGCAGACGTAGGTTTGTTTCTCGGGTGGACCGCCCGTCGACGGGCCTAGCCTGTCCTCGTTCCTGACGAGCCACAGCACTGAGGGCTGTCTAACTAAGAGGGTAGTAGGATATGTGATTCCATTACTTCCTGCTATCGAACAAACATGTGGAACATTTCAGCCACTCTTTGACTGTGATCGCCCGAGCTAACAAATAGAAATTTTGCCCACCAGACTCCCGGCTCCTCTCACATGGCAATGGGATGTGGATGCATACAACACATGCGAGAATGATAACGCCCAAGAAGAGAATATAATATAAAACACAAGGGTTGCCGTCGCCTAATTAGAGTAGAGCAATGCCAGTGACTCGGGGCAGCGGGGAGCATCCCCCCTCCCTGTCCGGGTCCTCGTCACGGCCGGATGAGGGATAGGGGATATCCGCCGATGAATCAAGGAAGAATCGATAGCAGCAAAACACAATCATGAGGATCCCCCGAGGGGTGAAGGGCACCATGGAATCCCAGGATGGGAGTGATGAAACAAGGCGGGTCGAATGTGAAACACTATCATCAACGGCATCGATGTATTTAGAAAGGGAGAAAAGTGTAGAGAACAAGCAGAAGATGGGACTGACGGAAAGTATCGGGGGAAAGAAGAGATAGGAGATGGATAGTCATGACAGGTAAGTTATTCACTTGGCAATAGAAAGGGTATTATAGAGTCGCATCAGCGCGTTTGCAATCCATCGCAGAAGGGATGGGGAAGTACAAATATCTAATGTCTTAACAAAATGAAAAATGAGTGGGTTAAGATGGTTGACAGCAGTCGCCCCAGAAAGGGAACATCTGCTCACCGCTGGGAAGTACCGATAGTGCTTGTCTCTGTCTGCGCATGTGGTGCACTAGAATTCGACATTGCTAGCGCATTGACATTCGCGGACGCAATTTGAGCTCTCAGAGCGGCAACCTCCGTCCTCAGTCCATTTAATTCCTCATGCACCGAGCGAATGTACGTCCATAGCTTATCTTCCCGATCACGAAACTGGTCAACAAGGTTGGACTCATGAGGACCGGAAAGTTGGTTCCCATTGTTCGAAACCCCTTCCGGGCCTTGTTTGGACGATAATGAGCCACCGTGATTGTTTGAGTGGCTGTGAGACGGCGTGTGTTTCGTAGCAGTCGAAGATGCTGGTGGCACAGATCCCTGCGAATGAAGCGCAAACCGAGAGTCGGCAGAGCTCATCCCAGGCGGTGGAGGGAGCTGAGGAGCGCCCGGTTGCGGTGGGGGCAGGCCCAAACCCGAAGCAGCATGATTTCCAACGGAGGCTGAAGAGGGCCCTGCCCTGCTGAATGGCTGCTGTTGAAACGACTGCGCCAAACCGGGTGAATGAGCACGGTGGTGGGCATTATTCTCCGGTCCATGGCCGAGTTGATGTGATGACAGAGCATTTGGCGACAACGGTTTTGGGCTCCCTGTGATATTCGTGGAAAAAACGGATGACCCTGAAGTTTGGCCAGGCGGTGGGAATGTCATGTTTCCGGACTGTGAAATGGGCGACGTCGACGCGCTAGAGCCAGCATGACTTGGTGGAGGGAAAAGGCCCCCGGGGGACGGCCTGCTTGAGGCGATTGGGGGATAGGTGCTGGGCTGGCGCGTTTGATAGCTCGGCGCAGTGTTCGACCGTGAAATGGAGTCCGTCGACACGTCGTGCTTCTTGATACTAGGCATCAATCGTCGTTCCTCCTCCTCATCCATGCGCTCCGGCTCAGCGGTGTAGACGAGTCCATCCATAGTATCATCGGCGCCCCCGGGAGCAGGAGCGTCGCCGTATTCATCCTCGGGAACGTAGCTCCCCATGCTCGCTCTGCGCCCTGCGCATCCGCCTTGACCTTTATTATGGCGAGCTAAAGCGTCGCCGCGGGCGAACCTGCGTCCACATTTGGGGCAAATATGCGGCCGTTCACCGGTGTGCAGCTTCGTGTGTCTTTTCAAATCATGCAACCGACGGAAGCGTGATTGGCATGTTGAGCAAACATATGGCTTCTCCTGACTGTGGGTAAGCAGATGGCTCTTTAGATTGTGGTGCCGTGTGAATTCAGTGGCACAGTAAGGGCAACGGTGCTTTTTCGCCGTCGGTGACCGTGGGCCTCTGTGGAATCCAGAACCGGGCAGACTTAGACCCCGCCGGGGATCATTAAAACCGGCCGTGGGCATCGGATACGAGAAGGCTTTGTTGCCCGTTTCTTGCGGCATGTCTCCTTCATCATGGTGGCGAGAACCGCCATCCGGAGAACCAGTGTCCTCGATGGGGCCGGGACTAGCCACGGTCGAGGCGTCTATAAGCGTGGCGTTGTTGTCGGCCGCCCCAAACGCATCAGCCGAATTCCCGGGCCCTGAATGAGAATCGACCTGCATTTGGTCGGATGAGGTTTGCAGACTCTCATCCACGGGATTAGCCTGCTTCTCGCTAGCGCCAAGGGCCTCTCTCGCAACTTGCGAGCTGTGTTGTTCCGATTCCTTCTCATGTTCGAGGGGCCGATCTGTTTGACCAGCTGTGGCCGGCGGTGCAGTCGTCGTCATTGGTGGCAGCGAATCTCCGGAGCGCGACACGTTCAGTCCGGCACTGGCAATAGAAGTCAGGCTTGAATCAGGCTTCGACTGCTTCAAGAAAACGAGAGGTTCCGACGGGGCTGATATTATCGAGGTCGACGGCCCAGACAATGGCTTAGAGATGGTAACAGGTTCGTTGTTCGATTGCATCAACGCAGCCATGGATAATGGATGATTCGCGCCAGCCTGGAAGGGTTGGCGAAGGTACGGGAAAGCTAGATAGACGGAGCCCATGTCAGTTGATAAGGGTCTTCAGTGATGGGTGGGTGCAGAGTCATGGGTGCGGGACCGATCAAGGACAGACAGGAAGGAATAAAAGGCTCAAGATGTACCAGTGTATTCTCAGCAGACAAAAAGGCAGTTAGGTAGGACAAGGGAATGAGTGGTATCCATCAGAGGCACTGTCGCGTGGGGCGCTCACCTAGGACCGAGTGTGGCGCAAGCTGACGGGAGGTTCAGCCTTCGCGCGACGTCTTGTCAGACGATCAGGTCCCACAGAAACAGACACGGGACTCGCAGGAGGTAAAAATAGCGGTCAGCCTTGCAAGCAGATGGAGGAGGTTGAGTCTAGCGCCCGCTCGATCTGGATCTGGAACTGGTGGGAGGGGGAGGGGGAGGGGACTCTAGTAGTCCATCTGGTGGAAAGCCGTATGAGACCGGGGTTGTACGGCGGGAAATGACAATGCTTGGTTAGGCTGCACAGAGGAAGCTGGAACCCGCGATTGTCAAAGCAACGAGGCGAGGAGAATTATGCAGAGCTATGTCGTTGGAAGCTGGTCAATGTACAGGCGACATGAAACCCAAGCAAGCCCTGGAGTATCAAGAAAGGTAAGGGGGGGGGGAGTGGGTGGTTGGGTGTGGGTTTGAGGAAATATGGAGAGCTTCGGGACACGGAGACTGTTGACCGAAAGATGTAGAAATGAATGAGAAGGACCCCGGGAAGTAGGGATACTATTGGACGATAATGAGGCGGAAGAGGAAAAGAAAAGGGGAGAGGGGTGGAAAGGGAAGATTGAATTATTACGGAAAGCAGTAAATAAAGAGAGACACGACAGGTGAAGACGACGTAGGTGAGCAGAGAAGCATGAATCCTGATGCAGAGGGTGGCAGAATGGGATACAGGAGGAAGGCAGGAGGAATAACGGAGTAGTAAGCAGCCCAGGCCGCCCAGGCGAGGAGAGTTGATGGAAGTGAGAGAGTGAGGAGCCTTGGAGTCGACAGAGTTCGGGTCGCCTAGGAAGCCGCCGCGGGAATCGTTCCTGATTGGGTCACGCGGTCCAAGCGAAACAGGCTTGGTCGACCAGGGCAGGTCCAGAGAGGATGGGGCTTGGATCCGAATCGCAGAGGCGCAGGGGTTCCAATAAGAGACAACCTGGTGTTCTGAGTCGGGGAGGATGCACCAGCGAGAAGCAAAAGCAGTGGAAGGGCCGGCGAAAGAGAGAGAGAGAGAGAGAGAGAGAGAGAGAGAGAAAGAGAGACGGAGGACGAACACGAGGAAGGCAGTGGCTGGAGCAGTGGCCCGTACCAGCCGTGACCAAGGTTACGGGCGGCTCTGCCGGGCGGGCGCTGGTCAGAAACCGGAAAGTTTACCTTCAATGCGTCGTGTAAATTATAACTGTAATGGTCCCAAACACCGCACGGGCTGAGGCCGGCTGAGATTGATTGAGCTTGGTGGATATTGAATAAATGCCCACTGGGCAACCACCTTGAAGTTCTGAATATTTGATCCCGTGCGTCATACCAAGAGAGGGGAGGAGGAGTAGTAGAACCTTCCCCTCAGCTTGGGCCTTTTGGGGCTGAGTAAAGACGATCTACTTTTAGTAGTTACTGCAGAGCACGGTGTACCGAGTACCTGCCTTTACTGTATCCACTGAAGCTGTTACTATGTAGGTTCGATACTGAGAAGCAGGTTACTAATAGGTCCATATGGAGAGATGTCATGAGAGTATGATCTGAAGACTTTATATACCTCTTGGCACCCAGGGAGAGAGAAATGTATTTGATTTCTCATTAACATACTCAGGCTTTCTTGTTGTTCATCTATGTATGCTTCGTGCGAACGAGAAACAATGACCATAGATTAGTGGGATCATGACTTTTTTCTGCCACTGTACGTAATATCGAGTTGTGGAGCATGGTATCATCTACTACAGGTATACTACTGCAGGGTACATAGTGCATTGCGTCAATGGGGGTTAGTGATTTGAAGGCAACAGACCCAAAGCTGGCACTTATTCAATCGAATTTGTCAGCTGATGCCTGATGTCTTGCCACCGTTAGAGGACATTCCAGAGAATGGTGGAGGAAGGCGTAAAATATGATACCCAGCAATGGCATAGCGGTGGCTGGTATGTACTGAGGGACAACAGTGTACTATGGCGGTTACACGCGAAAGCGGGACAGGGAGACAAGCTGAGGTGCCAATAGAGTACGGCGTTCTCCGGATGAAGGACAGTGGAACTACCGCGGAACTTCTACATTGGGAGGACTATACTACTTCCAGCCGGTTCCTGTCTGTAGTGATACCGGGGATCTTCCGTAAACCGTACAGACTACATAACATACTCCATACAGCAGCGAATGCGAAAGGGAGAGCCGGAAGGAGAAATGAGGCTGTGTGGCTAGGCTGAAACTTCATTGTGGCTGGCCACCAGCTGCGGAGAAAGCTGGTGGCTCTGCCCGCCTGACCAGTTGGACGCCGTTTCTAGAACCGAGGGGGATCCACCGGGTGGCTGTGTACGCTGTACAGTCCCACCGCCTGCTCGACATGAGGTTGGACGCCTCTGATTTGCCCCTCAAGCTGCCATGTGTGGCCGTACTACTAGTAGTATTTCACCATCATTTCCTCCCTTGTGACCAACGAGGACCATGAATCAGGGTAAGGAGACAAGCATGTGCCTACATCTCCTCGGAAGGAACTTGCCAGATTCTATCAATCTTGGAAGTTGTTCGCTCCCCGTTTCCAAAGCACCTATCCAGTAGCGGGCTACTAGGCTGTGACCTCAATCTGGGCGCGCTGGTCGATCTTTGGCCTTGCTGTGCTGCTGTTCTCCGTGCGCCATCAACCCAACGCACATCTAGTTCACAGAAGCGTGGATTCGGCGAGAGGAGGCCAGGTACACCGTACTGCCAGAACCTAAGTAGTAGTACTGATCCCAGGGGCACTGACCACGGAGTACTCCGAGTCTATTGGGTGGCGTGGGCTTATAGCTCCGAGCCTTCATGCAGGTTTCGCAAACCTACACAATCGAACCCTCTTTCTTCCCTCTCTCTTAATCAAAAAGGGCTTCGGGGCTTCCTTAGTCTTGGTCATATTCTTCACCGCAGCGAGGAAAACTTTTCCTGATTTCCCGCATAGAAGATTCTGTAGCCGTTGGGTGGATTGTCAGCCCGTCACTCTAGGTTTTTTTAGGGAACGTCAGCTCTATTGCTTCCTGGGCTTAATTGAGGCACCCTCGGTGAGTTTAGACCTTGCCACCATACTCCGTATGTTGAGAATGATTGGCGAAACCCTGCTCGATGAAACTTTATCTGCGTCATTGTATGTACGTCTCCCCATCTTCTCCCATGCGCTTACGGCCCGACACCCCGGTAACGGACAATCGGCTTGGTGGTCTCTCAAGCATGGTAGGTACTATCTACTATACGGTGCTTCTACGGATCATGGTTCTACCTTCCAGTCAGCACCCGATCCAAGGACAGGACCATTGAGGGAGGCCTGCAACTGAAATGTTGTCCTGGGGAGCGCTTATTCGGAGATCAAAGTAAAGAGAGTATAGGGTTGAACTCGATCATTTTGGAGATTCACGCTGGCCTGATTTGCTGATGTCAAGCCCATCTCAATACATATGATGTTGACATTGATCAATACATTAATCTTTATCGCTAGTCACCCAACCGTGATGGCTTCTGAAACGTACAGCCTCTGGGCTCTCGAGGCTACGATTCTCATTGTTCATCAGCTAAGAATATCACACCACGGATCGCGTGTGTCATGACTAGGGCTTACCGGTCGACTACTGAATACTTTCAACCTTGGGTCTTTGAAAGCTTAATTTGCTCCATCAAGAGCTCCGATGATTCATGTATAGTTTGTTGACAGTCATATGTATACCTGGAGCTTAGGGCTATTCGCGCATCTTCGAGGCTACAACCACCCTTGGTATAACAAGATCTAAACCCTCGGCCGTGATAGGAGGTGCAGCTCCTCATTAGTGTTTGGGTTCAGGGCAAGATCGGTACATCTCTAGCTATCTATCCTGTATCGGTATCTACGATCCACCTGGCTTTGATCGTCCGCATCTGTTGTAGACCAGATCGACGTTTCATTTCCCCCAAAGGTGCCTCGAATACTTGACATATCGGGGGTGCCACAGAGGAGAGCATAGCTAAGATGAAAGCTTAGAATGTTGCCAGCTAACTGGGCAAGGATAAAGGAGCACTTCACATGTACATGGCATCGGAACAGGTTGTTGACCCTGAACTTCGAGCTGGACTCCGTGCTGCTGGCAAAGATCACCGACGACCCCCGTCTTTCCCGGCTACAAATCGAGACCCCTGTAACTAAGGTGGTCCTGGATTGGTGATTGATCTCTAGATCCTCGAGTTCCCTTCGTCCTAAGTGAGGAGAACCCAGGAAAACGGCAAACCCACTGGGTAGGGGGAGTCGAGAGAGGAGGAGAAAGGAGGGAGGAGGAGGGTGAAGAGAGAAAAGAATGTGCTTAAGCGCCGTGATGGGATGAGGATGTGATGGCACTGCAGCTGGTCGCGGGCTAGCCCCAACACGTGAGGGGGGACTCCCAACGGCCACCTGCCATCTTCCAACTCCCAACTTCCCTCTCATTCTCCCCCCAAACCATCACTGCTGCCAGTAATTAGTAGTACTCTGACGACCACAGACCGACCAGGGTGAGTGCTATCCCGTACTCAACCACCCCCCCAGCCATCCATCCATCCATCATCATGATGAATATATCACCCCATTCACTGACTTACTACTCCGTTATGGCCAGTAGATACCCCTCCTGGTCCCTCGAGCTACCCGGAACCTGCAGCAGGAATCCTGCCGGTGCCTCTCGCGGGCGTTGCTGGCCGGCGGTTCCAGAACGGCTATGGTTGGCTGGGCCCCGAGGCGATCAGCAGTTGGCGCCGGGAAGGGAACTCAGACCGGCTGATTGATCCTTTTCATTCGCTCCCCAGGTGACGGGTCGTGCATCTGGAGTCACAGCACGGGAACCTCGACGGCCTTTGCCCCGGCGTATCGCGACTTTCCCCACTGTGATAAGCCAGGCCGACTGCTCTAGTGAGGTCGGTCGGCATCCAGTCATCGCGTCGCTCGACCTTGTCCCCCGTCAGACTCCCCTAGAGGATGCCCCGACGGTCCAATCACCTTCGTCACCTGGGTTGTGCTACATGTTGCCGGGCGCTTATTTTCCCCTGCACATACAATCCATGCAATCCAGCTCGCGATGCCACCCCCGCCTGGTGAGAAGGGCGAGGCCAGGGCCCATCATTGATATTCAAAGCGCCCATGCTGCCCAGAAACTGTCCTGCTGTCGCGACTCCCTCATCTCTCTTCTGACCTTCAACGTATCATCCCTTCAGGCTTGCGCTGTGGCCTGCCACTTGGGTCTCAAACTGTGCAGGTTCCAAGGAGCAATCCTACCTGAGCCCAATTAGCCAAGACGTTGGACATCGGTTCGTTCTCCTCCTTGACCATTCCTTACCATATGCTTTCCCAAAAAAGATCAATGTACGACTGACTTCTCTCACAGCAAAGGCTTGCTTGCCGGCCTTTTCCTCCTCCTGTATTTGGTATGCGCCTTCCTATCTCCTCGGGTTCCTCTTCGTGATGACATAGCTCTACCGACCCCCTGTGAACTGTCTTGTCTTGCTATATGGTTAACAAAAAGGTCCTTATAGTGCATGTGGAGCTGTGCTGCCACGAGTGCCTGTTTAGCCTCTGTTCAGCAAGCCATTCCGGTGCTCTTCCTGCTTTTACGCTTCCTCTCGGATTGCCCGCCAGCCAAGCTCTCAAGGGCACAGTTGGTAATCCACTTGCCAAAGGTCGAGAGCTGGTCCTCTTTACGCCTTTGCGCTCAACCTCACTGCTGTCTGGATGTCTGCGGTGGCAGATAGCCACAACAGCTCCCCTATATCTGGTGAAGCAGTGTCTCCTGTGGATATAATTCGCGGTCACAACTACGGGGCAATGGCGCTACCATCGCAGCCTGTCCTAACTTCAGAGGAGCGGAACTCGTCCGAGACGTCATCCTCCTCGCTGAAGGGTTCCAGAACAACTCGTTTCGCGGAAGCAACTATGGTTCACTCTCCTTCCGGACTTGAAGATCCTGGAAAGTCCCCCTTCGCAGATCCTCCCACCCAATCGCAGAATGCCCCTGATGTGTCTGATGTCGGCTTCGGGTATGTAGCTGCAAGTGACCCTGCACAGCATGCATCACATCATGATCTTCCGACACCTGGCCCAAAAAGCGCTCTCAAAGTCCCCGGGACCCCAGGACGCACTTTGAATCCTCTGAGCCCAACTTTTCGAGAGGAGTTTTACGTGGAAAAGCAGGAGAAGGTGGCGGAGAAGGAAAATGCGAGAGATCTGGTGAGTGAATGTCGGTGTGTCATGGCCATTTTTCGAATACTTATACGATCTACCACAGCGTATCAAACTGCGTGTCCGGGTAGCCAAGGTGTTCCTCCGCTTCATCAATCTCGGTTGCAGTCTCATTGTCCTCACGATTCTGGGAACGACGTTAACAGTCTTCAACACAACAAAATCGCTCCCTGAGCGGAACAGCTCGCCTCCCTGGGAATTCGGTACAAACCCCTGGCCGCAGTACCTGCTTCTAGTTGTTTCATGTCTCTCCCTGGTTGCTTGCCTTGGCGTCTTCTGGGGCTACTGGAGAGGCGGCCGCAAGCGCGCTCAAAAATATGCTGCTTACTACTCACTCTTATCGATTGGTATCTTCATTTTCGATCTGGTGATGTGGATTGTCGCTGCGGCGATTTTCGAACACTCGAAGGCTAACGGAGATGACAAAGATCTATGGGGCTGGTCCTGTGTTCATAACGAGAGAGAAGAGCTTTTTGGTGATCAGATCGACTACGCACTTCTTTGCCGGCTGCAGGTAAGCCAGCTATCTACGTTTTTATCCTTCCGAGCTAACGGAAATTTCCCAGGATTGGGGGTTGGTCTGTGCTGTGATTGAGATTGTCCTCGAAGTTTTAGTCCTGTTGGTCTATGCGGCCATTTTCTACCGGTTTTGGACCAAAAGAAAGCTTGCCAGGTCGATGGACCGTCGAGACAGAGCTAGGACGGACTTGTACATGGCCCAGCTCCATCAGCAGACAGGGCCGAATACGCCAGGATTTCCTCCCATGCCTAAGGCCCCCTTCGTGTCAACATCACTTCCCCAAGACCCTTACTCTGCCGCTGAGAATGGGGAGATGTGTGCCCCCCAGTTTGCTACTCCACAGAGCCAGGCAAAATCCCAACCTGCGTTCCAGCTCCAGCCACCGCCAATTCGGGTGCAGAACGCAACTCCGCAGCTAGCACAAACAGAGTTTCCTCCACCTGTGTCGGCCCCAAGTGCCTCGAACCAGCATATGGGCGCGGCACCTGGCGAGCGAACCTATGAAACTGTGCCTATTCCCGACGCCTACGCAAGTCCAATGAACCCTAGCTTCACTCACGGAGTTCATCAATAAATGGCGTATCCGCACTGCTTGACTCAACGCTTTAGGATTTGATTCCTGTATCAACCATTTGTTCAAACATATGCCAAGTCGATGTATCCTTGAGCAATTGCTTTTGGATGAGAAGATGCTTTCCCCTGTCTGGTTGATATGCTATCAATATGGCGTGGGCCATTCTTCGTCCCATTAGCTTATGGACTACCTCACGGCCGTTCCCTCTATATGACAAACACTGTTTTGCGATACAAGTTGGTTTTCTTTCTCTATTTCTTTTCTTCTTATACCATTGATACACTCGAGTATGCTGTCTTTTCTCCATCCTCGTTGCCTCATCCCTAGTTTTGCCTTGCCTTGCGCAAGTATGGCATGGCCTTTAATCGTGGGGAAACGAACACAGGAAGTTAATTCGATTGTCATTGCTGTCGGTTTCAAGCACCGAGATGGTTCCATGCTTTGGACAGATAAGAGCGTCCCTGAGCTGTAGGAAAGGCTTGAATTCTATGGGGGTGAACAGGGAACTGGAATGGTATTCAAGATATATGCGGCAACACACGAATGTAGAAACGCAGAGCCATTAAAGTAATAGTCCCCGACATGGAGACCTGGTGTCTACCCAAGGCAACGCGAAGAACCAAGTCGATTTAAGAACACACCAACCGCCCAACCACCAAACATACAGAAGAGATGCCCAGTCCACCAACTCCCACGCAATAGAAACCCAAGCCTATATCCAACCCGAAGACATCCCTCATATCACATATTTTGGCATGCCGCATGTGCATATTGACTGTACAATCGTCCATGTATGTAATGAAAAGACAAACCATCACTGAGCTCCATGTCACATAGCTCCTTCTTCCAGGACAGCATTTGCATCCTTGGACACAAAAATCTCTTCTAGCCTGCCAGCACCAAAACCGCTAGAGGCATCATCGTTTCGTAGGACTAGACCCTGCTCGTTGGCTAAGTGAAGCAAGCAAATGAACCCAAAGGATGTGCTTATGTCGCGTAGTGTGTCTCGGGGGTAAACGGTTTTCAGGGAGTTCATGATCTGCGTAAACCGGAGGCTCTCGTTTGCCTGTCCCTCATCTTGGGCGCCGGGCTCCGGATTGCTATCCACTGGTGGTGGCACCGCCTGCGCCTCGGCTTCAGTTGCTTGTTGCTCTACTTCCCGGGCGGAAATAGCTGCATCCTCGGCCTGAGGCACAGGATCGAAATGGGTCGATGAGATCAAGCGCTCACCCATGCCCTTCCACATTTCCACTTTCAGTCGCCGGACATCCACCTTCTTTGCAACTCGGGCATATGCCACGTAGTCAGGGCGTGCCCTACGACCGCCCTGTGTTACCAGCTGGGAACCAAATCCTCCACCGTTCTGGGTCGAACCAGGTGCTGCGCCTACCATATTGAGGAGGGCAGTGAGACCGGATGCCCCGGCAGCGTCTCCCGCGGATGTGCCTGGGGGGCCATCGGCGGGTGGCGACAGCATTTCTCTGGCATCCGCGAAAGGGAGATTGTCGTCATCGTCATCGCCCAAGCCGAAGCCGTTGGGGAATGCTAGACCATCATCGTCTGCAAAGAAATTGGCGTCGTACGCACCCTGGGCGCGCTCATCAGACGCTGCAACATCTTCCGCTTTGTGATTAGCCCAGAATGCTTCATCCATTTCGCCATTTCCTGAGGTTTGGTCATGTCGCCGGTGGTTGAATTGCCGGGGACCAGTCAGTTTCTTAGAACCCATCCTGGCCTTCGGTTTGAGGAAAAGACGGAGTAACTGGCGGGAATTGAAGTGCTTGTCATCCGGAAGAAGGTTGCGCCCTTTGGTCTTCCACTGTGTCTTCGGCAGAGATATGGTAGAGTTAGAGCTGGCGGGGGTGTATATCAGCTCGGCAACAGTCGGATCCAAAGGCGCAGTGAAATCGATCTCAAAAGGCTCCTTCTCCTTGCGTTGTTTGGGTGCCAGATTGGCCGTGCTGGTGGCGGTTTGCTCCTTAATGCGCCGGATCTTCCAGTGCTCAGGGCCAGCCCAGTTCTTCTGCAGGGCATTATCGAAATAACTGAGTATATTTTCATGGTCCCGGTTGTCTGGCTGGTGGGTTAGAGAGATGCTATACGGATCATCATTATCGAGCGCTTCGCCATCAGCATTCTCATCACCCTCCATCTCTACGCGATGCACCTTGAGCATCGGCTCAAGGGCAGCTTCACGTGCCCACGCTTCACCACCATCACCAAACCCTGCGTCTCCGCCCAGGTCGAACCCGGCTAACGTGGCGTCGTCATCATCGAACCCAACAGCATTATCGTCATCGAGCATGATGCCTGATGCATCATTCGGGTGTTGTCCTTCCTCTTGATCCCTGTCCTGACGCCAGTCTTCGGGCGCCTTGAGAAAGGGTATATCCAGCGAACCACTTGGATCTCCCAGGTCGAAGTTCTTTAGAGAGGGACAAATATCCTGATTCTCGAGGCGGTCCAAATCCGGGAAAAACTTGCTCGCTAGCGGGGCGATGTCGATTTCCGTAATTTCATCGAAAGCATTGTCCGCTGATTGTCTGGGGTCCGACGGAGAGCCCGGATGCGGCGGATCTTCGGATTCTTGGGTATCTTCTGCCTCCTTGGAGGTTTCATCAGCGGCATCATCACTGCTATCAAATACAATGCGTCCTTGGCCATCGATTGACAAGTGATTGAGGAGCAGGCCTTTGGCGCCGCCTTCATCGAAATCCGCAGACGCCTTTTTGAAAAGAGGATCAACCGAAAATTCCAGCTCAAACTTCTTCAGCTGCAGCGAAGCGAAGGAGGGAGCGAGTGTAGCTTCATGCGTCCGTTGTGCCTGGGAGCGCCAAGTCAGTGATCCTGAAATGATGTCCGTCTCCGACGCGCTCACGAACCTTTCTCCGCGACTTTCTGGCCGCCCCTTCATCACCGTCCTCGTCATCCTCGGCATCTTCGCCTTCTGCACCGGTTTCACGGGCTCGCTTATCCCGGCTATCCGCCAAGCCGCTCAGAAGCTTGCCCGTCTCCGTTGCCACACTGTCGACTCTACTCGTGTAGATCTTCACACATCCATCCAACGTGCAACTGGCCTTTTGAAAATTCACGCCATCTCCTTCCTTGAGTAGGGACATGTCATGGAAATAGTCGATCAGGGCGAAGTTCCAAGAGTTATTGGCATTGATCTTATTGTCGGTCGCCATCTTCATCCATTCCTCGAAGTTGGCCAGGATAGGCACGCGCTTCATAGGTGTGACAGCCCTACGTCCATGAACATCGCTTTCGCGTCGTCCCCGATGGCCTGAGCCCCGCGGCGTCGCGGGGCTCCCATTATCGTAGCCTGTATATCGTCGAGGTGGCATGGGGGTCTTGACGGCTGCCTTGATCTGGTCCATCTGACGGTCATGTCGAGCCTGCCTCGCCTCCATGCGGGCCGCCTTCTCTCCCATATCATCATTGAGTGGAATCCTAGCGCGATCAGTAACATGGTCGGGACTTGGGGATGGCTTTTCAAACGGGACGTACTTCATGGGTGAATTCTTATGGGGGGTGGATGCGCCGCCGGTGGAGCGGCGATTCTTGGAATTCGCCACGCGGGGCATGATGAATAGCTCCCCTGAGGGTCGGGGGAGGGAATACTGATACTGAAAAGGATGAGTATCGTTGATTGTTGATGGTTGATTGTAAATAAGGAGGACCCAAGTCGACGGGGAGGGGGCAGCGTGGGTGTGGGGAGGGCTGAGGAGGGAGAGGGTCGGGATCAAAAGTCAGGAAGAGCCAAGGGGTACGAAAGTCAAGTGAGGACCGCCCTGATCCTCGCCTCGCGTTCTGTCGCGACGATGGAGGGGGGGAGGGGCCGAGGGGAAAGCAGCACGAACGAGGGGAAGGAGGAGGAAGCGGAACAAACAATCAATCAATCAACAAAAACATACGCCGCGCCACAGCAACCCACCGCGCACTTCTCCGCGCCTAACCCAGCTGGGCCTGGCGTCGCCCCGAGTTCCGGCGCCCGACGTCATCGGATCAGCTCTGCTCTTCTGCGTCCTCTTCTCCACGAGGCTCGTATCGATTATCTACATACTACATACTATTATGCGGATGTCTCCATCAGCCATCTACGCTACTCCCCAGATCTGCGGCAAGTAACGCCCTCCCCTCATGTCTGGAGGAAAGACAGGTTGAGGAAGATGTGCTGCGCACCACCGCCTCCCCGATTCGGCCGGCCCCCTCTGCTCTCGTTCTCCGCCTTTCTTCGGCCTGCTGACTGACAATCAAGGCAGCTCTTATCTAGTTACTACTGAGTTGGTCCCTACGGAGTCCAGGTACTCACTCCATGGTCCATACACTACCGACTGGCTGTGAAACCACCGTTTCTTTACCCCCCTTGCCTGCCCTTCCCTCTTGCTCCAATTGCTTCCGCATCCTTCCCTCCTCCTCCTCTGTCTCTTCTCTTGTTCTCTATCCCTTCGGCTCTCTCGTCATAGTGTGACTCTCCACGGATCCGATCGCCCAGGATGCCGCAATCCCAACCACCATGTATCCATTACTGATGCCCGATCTTCGTCGCCGACTTTCGGCTTCCCAAAAACGTGTCTATTCCGCCCGACCATTCTGGGCATGTCTGCTGGCTTTCTCCTGCCTGGCCGCTCTCAGCTGGGCTTCCGGACGTCTGGATCATGGTGCTACCGCTCCACTGGCTCGGCCAGCCGGGCAGGTCTCGGTTGAGTCGGTCAGCGGCGTCCATGGTCTTCTTAGACGGGACAACGCTGTGGAGGTATAGTACCCTACGCGATCTGCCGAATCATAAAATGCTAAGGTTTCTGGTCCTCACTTAGTGCCGTCTAGTCCGTCAAGCCAAAGATCAATGTGCCTTCGTCCTCTCGAATTGCGCAGATCACGAGGATGGTCTCTTCTCGTATCTCCAGTTCTACTACTGTACTGCCGCAAATGTCAAACCAATCGGATTCATTGTCATCGTCCTGTGGTTATCGCTACTCTTTAGCACCATTGGAATCGCTGCTAGTGATTTTCTCTGTGTTGATCTGAGCACCTTGGCCAGCGTTCTCGGTTTGAGCGAAAGCTTAACTGGGGTCACCTTTCTCGCGTTCGGGAATGGGAGCCCGGATGTATTTTCTACCTTCGCCGCCATGCGGTCCAACAGTGGTAGTCTGGCTATCGGAGAGCTGCTCGGAGCGGCAAGTTTCATAACATCCGTCGTTGCTGGCTCGATGGCGCTGGTCCGCCCATTCAAGGTCGCCCGGAGAAGTTTTGTTCGTGACGTGGGATATTTCGTCTTAGCTGTCGCCTTTAGCATGTTCCTAGTGGGGGATGGCCGCCTCCATGTCTGGGAGTCGGCCATGATGGTAGCCCTCTATTGTTTCTACGTCGTGTTGGTGGTGACATGGCATTGGTATTTGACTCGACAGCGTCGCGCATACGAGCGGAATATAGCCGCCCGATCTCACTTCCACATTCCGGACAACCAGGAGCTTGATCTTGAGGAAGAGGAAGACGACGACCCCGGGGTCGCATCGGAGGCTACAAGTCTCCTTCGCGGCGAGGATTTTGACGCTCTCGAGAGGTCCGGTATGCCAGCTTGGCAGGAAGGGGAGGAAGACGACGAAACCCGCAATCGGTATCTCGCCGAAATTCGCGACAACATGCATATTTATCGCCCTTCCACTCGCAGGCGCAATACGTTGAACCCCATCAGGCCCAGTCTCGTGGGCGCTCTAGAATTCCAATCGGTACTGTCCTCTCTCCAGAGGTCGAGGAATTTCCATCATCATCATGAGCCAATCGACCTCGCGAGGTGCTCCGATGACGAACGGTCGCCTTCTCATTCGCAACAGTCGGACAATACCTCGGTCATGTCCCATCCGTGTGCCGGCCGTGCCTCTGCGGGTGACCGCTTATCGCCCAATCGAGCCATCGGTTCTCTTCGCACTCGAGCGGTGTCTGCCAATGCTGCCACGGATCTGATATTAGATACGAGCATGTTCGCTCCCAACTTCCAACAGCCCCGCGTCACTGTTAGCCGACCCTCTGCCGACACTCATACCTCGGGAACGACGGGCGCCTTGCCGTCTGACCAAGGCCCAGCACCAAACCTATCGCCTCAACTGGCCCCGTCCCGAACAGCGAGTCCTCAGTCAAGCACGCGTCTCCAGAGCCCTAACCTGCTTGCGCCTCCGGATGCTTTCCACTCTCCAACCTATCAGGTGACAAGTTCGCGCCCTCGTTCCCCTCTTCCGCTATCTCCCCGCGAGACATCCCGCTCCCCTCGTCTTGCCGAGACCTTTCCAGAGAGCCCGATCAGCCCATTCCCGCTCTTTCAAGATGCAGCAAGCCCTGCTTCCTCTAAGGCACCGAGCTTACGCCTCCCAGCCGCTTCCAGCCCCACGGAGCTGCTACAGATTCATGATAGCGTCGTCGATGGTGGAAGTAATCGGACGGCAACGCCGACGTGGTGGCCAACTCTAGCGCTCACTTCTCAGCCGATCCTCCCAACCCTATTTCCGACATTAGCTGGCTGGAAATCGAAGTCATTCTTGGAAAGGCTACTGGGAATTGTTGCAGCCCCCAGTGTGCTACTCCTGACAATCACTCTTCCTGTGGTTGAACCTGTGCCACTTGACACTGGTGCAAATGCTGTCTCCGTCATCGTGACTTCAGCAGACGGTGAACATGCGCCATCACCTGCGGTAAGACTGCCAGAGGATAGCCCGCTTCTTCGTGCCCTCGATCCCGAGTCCGTTATACAAAGCCCAGTAGAGCAAAATGGCAAGCCTCAACCGGGACCTAGACATTCTCGTTTCGATTCCGAGTTACCAGCCATCCAAACAAACATGGACTCCCCCTCGCCATCTTCACGAGAATGGTGCGTTTGGCTAATCTGGACACAACTTTTTATGGGCCCCTTCTTCGTGGCTTTGATGTACTGGACGACTGTGGACTCTGAGTTGGATGCCCGGAATCTTCTATTGCCCTCAATGGCCTCCCTTCTCTTTTCCTTGATGTCCATCACTTGTCTGATGATCAGCACGCGACACGACCTATCCTCGCAGCCTCCAAGTGCCTGGCGTCCGGTTTTGGCTTTCCTAGGCTTTATTGTCGCGATCTGCTGGATAGCAACCATTGCCACGGAGGTGGTCAACCTCCTCAAGACCCTGGGTGTCATCTTGAACATCAGCGACTCGCTTCTGGGCCTGACAGTGTTTGCCGTGGGAAACTCCTTGGGCGACCTGGTTGCGGATATTACAGTCGCACGCCTAGGTTATCCTGTCATGGCTCTGAGTGCCTGTTTCGGAGGACCCATGCTCAATATTCTTCTCGGTATTGGCCTGGGCGGGCTCTATATGACCGTGAACGCAAAACCAGAAGCAGTAGCCAGGACTGGCGGTTCGTACGAGATCGAACTTTCCAAGGTCCTCGTTATCAGCGGTGCTACGTTATTGGTCACCTTGATCGGCTTGTTAATCGTGGTTCCCTTGAACAATTGGAGAATGGATCAGAAGATTGGTTGGGGCCTGGTCATCCTTTGGGTCATCAGCACGATTGGCAATGTCCTTGCCGAACTTCTGATCTAAACCAAGGGCCTACTGCCTTTCGTTGCTCTGGAGTTCCGACGTGCTCTTACTTCAGTGTTGCCTGCGGGCGTTTTCCTACGTACCCTTCAGTCGCGTTATACATATGTGTGCGTATAAATATGTGTATGTAAATTATGATGTTTTGGATTTACGAATGAAGTGACCATCTTACGAGACGAAACGGTAGTTATTATCGTTTTTAACGCCGTATAAATCAAGATTACAGGCTGAAAACACAGGAGTATCCATGCCAACTTACAATGAAAGGCCAACGGAAGAAGACAAAAAGACTAAGCACTCGCCACGCGCGCTTCCCATCTGCTCCATCGCGACTTGCAAACTGCCTCACAACCCATCCTGGCCGCCTATGTAAGTGTGTGATAGAGAGAGGATGCGTGTCCGATGTGGCGTGCCCTTCAGCCTCAATCCAGAACACGGCCTGCGGTAGAGCTAGTACTCCGATCATTTGTCTGGACCTTTCTGAGGCCCTTGCCGGCCTGGATCGACGCCAACAAAGCACCTCTACCCCCTCCCATGGGAGCGGCCGGAGGCGCGGGTGGTGGGGGCACCCCTGGAGGCGGGACTGGGGGTGCCATGGACGGAGCAGGGGGCGGCGGGGGCGGCGCGCCAGCTTCAGCACTGAAGCCGGGCATTGCTGGCGGTGCTGGGGCTGGTGGGGGAGGCGGGGGAAGGGGAATAGCGGCCGGAACAGAGAGTGCTTCGGTTGTCTCAGCCGCTGGTTCTGGGATTACTGGGCTATCCTGGACCGGCGTGCACGACTTTGACGGGGACTTGTCGTCCATGGCACTCAGAGGCCGTGGAGGAGCCATGGTGCCGAATAAGATGCTTGCCAGCTGCTTCGCGCTACCGCCACCCGGCCGGTCATCATCATCATCATCGTCGGACGAATCGAAGTCCGACCCTGCCGCAGACCAGTCATCATCTGCTTCTGGGCGCACTCGGGATTTGCGCTCCAGTGGTCCAGAAACAGTAAAGGCAGGCTTGGCGCTCTCTTGCTGTTGTGCCAGCCTATGGAAAGGGTTGGTCGACTGAGATTCGGCTTTCGGAGCCGTGGGCTGGGGTGCAGGGGGCGGCGGCGGAACCTGGTTGTCAGACTGGCTGATTCTCTTGAAGTAAGGATTCTTGGACTCGGCTTCCGGGCTGAGACTGGCGGGTGCGGCGTGGCTGCTTGGAGGAGAGCCAGCGGGGCTAGTCACGGCTTCTGGCTCCGGCGCAAGAGCCGGAGGTGTCGATACGGTGTCTGCCACAGGAAGAACCTGACTTTGAGTCGGAGTACTATCCTGAGGTGTGATATTGAGAGGGCCTTCGTCATCCGACGAGCTCTCCTGCTCCAAGCCTTCCAGTTCCAACTGAAGCTGACGCTCACGTTCTTTGGCCATTTCAAGTTCAGCGCGCTGAGTTGCGAGTCTTGCTTCCTGTTCTTTCGCCACTCGGGCTGCCTCGTCCTTGCGACGCTTCTCTTCCTGCTTCTTGATCTTGCCCTGTCTCACCTGTTCTTGAAGCGCGGCAAGGCGGGCCTCCTGAGCCTGCTTCTCCCTCTCATATTCTGTTTCGCGTTCTCTGGCCTCGATCCTGATAATGTGTTAGTGTAAGCGCTATGCCACAGGACGAACAATTAATGTTAACAAAGGTTACATACCCAAGACGGATCGTCTCTTCTTCCTGCGCCTGCTGTTCCTCTCTAATAGCCTGCTCCCGGGCAGCTTGCTCTACTCTGGCTGCTTCTTCTGCTGCCTTCTTTGCGTCGGCTTGGCCTGCACTGTCGGTGCGACCCTTCCGCGAAGGCGGTGCCGGCGGAGGTTTCTTGCCCGCTGGCTTAGCAGACTGCGTCGTAGGCCCGCGTTGTTCTTCGGCCAAACGGCGTTGTCTCTCTTGCTCTCGCTTAGCATCTTCTTCTTCTGCCCGTTTCAACCGCTCTTCGCGTTCTTTTCTCTCACGCTCCTGTCGTTGGAGCAGAGTCTCCGCTGAATCGCTGTGGGGTTTGAGTCCAGCAGCTGCCATTCTTTCAGCGATGCGCTTCTGCGCACGTTCCCTCGCAGCTGCAACACGGTCCTCATGCGTAGAACCCGCCACTGATCCGGCAGAGCCAGTTGGCGTTGGGGAAGACCGCACTGTGGTGGCACTTCCCAGCGTTGGTTCGTCATAACGAGACCGCTGCTCTCTGGTGTCTGCTGCTCTCAGTTGCCTGCGACCAATGGTTAGCCCATGCTTTAGGGAGTAACTCTACGTCTCATCTATAGGAGAATATGCGCTTACTCTTCCTTCCGGACATGCGCAGTGCGACTGCTTCTCTTCAAATCGTAAATCAAGTCCCGGATCACATCCTCAACTCCTAAGGCATCCTCCCACCGTCGCCGTTCATGCTCACGCGTTGAACTCTCGCCATCGTCCCTTAGACTATCCTCTAGACTCCGCGCAAATTCCCGAACACTGTCCTCCACGTCGCGGGTCATGGTCTCGTTCCTCTCTCGTTCAGACTTGACATTGGCACTCTCAGCCTCGAGCCGACGAGCTGCAGCCCCATCGTCGTCCTGGGTGGCAGGAACGGGCCTTCCAGCAAGTTCAGCGGCGCGGGCTTGCATCCTGGCACGAGCACGTGCTTTGATACGATCGGCCTCTGTGACTGTACCCCCAGGGCCCGTACCCACGATGGAAGACGCGCTATTAGGATGATCTTTTGCGTCCTTCAGACGGAATAACTCAAGTTTGACCTCAGCAATCTCTCGCTCAACGCGTCTCACTTCCGATGCCACCTGCGGGACTTGATCCTCGTAAGCCTGCAGTTGGCGACGGAGCGACCTCCGTTCAGCCCCGGTGTCAAGATTGCGGAAAGAAGCATCGGGATGGGTGTCAATGTCATCCTGTACCCGCCGTATCCGGTCCATAAGGCTCTCCGCTTCTCTCCGATCTCTCCGGTCCAACGCATCGTCCTCCTCCGCTTGATTCTCATCCTGAAAATCCACGGCATCTAACATAATTTGAGCTTCACGGATCTTTTTCTTTAGCTGCTCGACGGAGAGCTCTTCCTCGGATGCCTGAGAAGCAGCAGGAGATGGTGTTCGGCCGTTGTTTCCAACACGACGGCGAGCACTGGAGCGATACCCAGCAGCCGCCTCGTCGTTGTTCTTGAATAGCGTAGCATCTTTGCGACCGACACCTGGAGACACTGCACCACCACGGAAAGAATGATCTTTGAGGTAGCTCACTCCGGTCTTCTGCGGTTGCAAGAAGGCGCCAGAAGCCTTACGGGACTCTGCATCTTGAGAGAGCATAGACTTGATCGTGCCTATCGAATCGTTCAGATTCCTCGTGGATGGAGGGACAAGCTCTGGAGGTAAGCGATTCGGAACTGGGTACCCGTTGAGTTTCCTATAGATTAGATGCATCGCGACGGCGAATTCATCCATGTTCAGGCGCCCTCTATTATTTGGATCGGCTAGCGTCCAAATGCGTTCCAGATCTGACCGATCCAAGCCACTCTGTCCCATGATTTCGATGGCAGTATCACCTCCAATAAAGCCCTTGTGGAATCCATCCCAAGCTCGAAAGAGATCATCATAGATCTTTTTCTCTTCCTTGGTGATAGCCCAGGGGATATGGGCATTTCCAGACAAACCAACCGCAGAAAAGCCACCTTCACGGCCCGGCTGCGGCATCAGTTGCTGTTTGAGAGCTTCAATGTTAGGCAAGCCAGATGATGGGGCATTCACAAACCCCCATTGACCCGGAGCCCCCGTAGGCTGCGCAGTCAGCGCAGTCATTCCCCCGGTTTGCGCAGGACTCAGGGTTGATCCAAAGCCAGTAGGCATTGGGGGCATCGGAGGACGAGGCCCGCTGTACCCTGTTGGTTGGGGGTTATTCATGAACCCGGTTGGTTGAGACTGTAGGAGTTGTTGATGAGACTGTCCAGGAAACCCAGTAGCTTGTGGGCCAAGGGCAGAGTTCTGACCCGAGAAAGAGGATTGGTTCTGCTGGAAGCCGGTTGCCTGGAGATATCCTGTCGGCTGTGCTGTGAGCTGTGTGAGAAGCTGGGCATTACTCGGCTGCTGTGGCTGCGGCTGCTGGGGGGCCGGAGGAGCAGATTTATTTTCCAGTAAAGGAGCATCAAAGCTCGGAACGTTAGTTCTAATAGCTGGTTCCGGCTGGGTGTCAGGAACCTGGAAAGAGATGATGTCCACCATGCTGGAAACCTCGTTCTTGATCTTCTCCGGGAGTGAGTCCGGTAGATCCCTACCGGTGATCCTGAGATTGCACAAGTACATAGCCAAGGCGAATTCAGGAAAGAAAAGCTGACCAGATTTGGTGGAATCCGAAAGGACCCTATGATGATTAACAACCCATCTCCAACGAACAAATATAACCATCTACATACCATATCTTGGACAAATCACCCCCGGGGAGCTTGGACCGCAGCAAAAGCTCTTTTGCTTTATCTCCTGTTGAGGGCATGTCAGGATACACCTTCTGACCACCACATCTACCAAGGAGGTCATTACTAACCACTCATTGTCTGGTTATCCCCAACCGCAGACTTGAAGAGCTGTTCAAATTTGGCCTGGTCCTGCGCGGTGATGAACGAGAGTCGTATACTGGGTATCTTATTGCCGGCTGACTTAGGCGGTGGTGGTGGAGCTATGCCGGCACCATCCTGGAACGAGTCCGCTATTTCCGACGATGTCCGTGGCGCCGAACGAACAGGAAGGCCAGTGCTTGAGGGGACTTGGAACTGCGGAGACTGCGTCTGAGCGGGGTATCCAGTGAACTGCGACTGCTGGACCGGAGTCTGAAAGCCAGGTTGCTGCGATTGTGGCACTGCACCAGGGAAGCCGGTGAACTGATGTTGGAGTTGACCAGCCGGGAACCCCGTGGGTTGAGGCTGCAACTGAGAGGCTCCGAAACTGGACAGTTGGGGGGCATACCCGGTCGCCTGGGCAGCAAACCCAGTCTGCTGCGGCGGTTGTTGCTGCTGGCCGGGAGCAAATTGCGAGTATGAGGGCTGCTGCATGTACGGCTGTCCTGGACGAGCGCTGCTGGCGCCGCCCAGGAAGGAATTCGATGAAGAGTACATTACCGAACTAGCGCTTGCATCCAAGACTGGAGAGACATTAAAGACAGACTAACGAAAAGAAGATCGAGGATGCCGAGGAAGCAAAAGAAAACCAGAACGAATTGGCGCGCAACAACTGAAAGGAGAAGCGCGAAGGTGGACAGGCAACAACGGAGGGGAATCAGGAGCATCAGGAGCCATCAGGAGCCAGCCGCTGGTGACGCTCATGACAGTTACATAATCAGGGACGCCGAGAGGGGGAAAACCACGCCGCGGAGCAGCCCCGGGAGCCACTAGGCCCGATTGGGAGGCCTTCGCCGGTGGGTCACCTTTCACCACATCGACTAGATTATATGTACGGAGTACGACAGGCATCTACAGGAGCTAGAGGCGATCCAACATAGCAGGAGTAGCAGAGGACAAGTTGCAGAACCCGCACAGTAGCAGATACCATCAGTCCCGACGGCATATTGGAGCGTAGAGCTTGGTCCCACTATCACAGGAGGCAATGGGAACAGGAATAAAATAAGGGGTATGACCATGAAACAAAGACACGCATGACCAGCTGCGTAGATCCGAAGCAAAAGCATGTCTGTGACCGCCGACCGAGCTCTCCTTTCCTAGCAGCCTCCGACGATAGCTAAATACCATCCTGGACACCATTCTGCTGCTGGGCAGTAGCTCCCACCATCTTGCGGAGTTCATACTCCTTGGTGAATTCACGAGAGAGAATGCCCAAGTCTCGGACAAGCTCATGACAGGCCGCAATCACGGCGTCCTTGGGGGTGATGTCGCCATCCGTCTGAACTCGAAGCAAGAACTTGGGAACAAGTGGATGGGGAACCTAGGACAGTGAGGTCAGACGCATACATCAACTAGCCCAAAAGATTCGAGAGAGGCATATCCAGAAGCACCGGGTGTGTCATGAAACATGAGTAGGCGTTAAGTTCCGTGGGAAACATACCTTGTACGCAGCAAAGAGAACATGAGAGCTCTGCAAAAGTCGAGCGCGAATCAGGTTTCCGAGGGTGTGGTCTTCTTTATTGAAAGTGAAAATGGCCGACGATGGAATGCCTAGCAAAAGCAACCAAAATTAGCAGCTAACGCCAGTCGATCAGGAATGAATTAGACTGCATACGAGTATCAATCTCCATCTCAACTTTGTTCTCGCCATTCGCGAGAACGAATGACTCGTATCTGGGTTTCATATCGAATCAGTGGTCTGCTTCAGAGGAAAGAAACTGGACTGAAGGCAGAAATAAAAGGAAAGAAAGAAACAAGAGATCAACAGAGAAGGGGGAAAACGAGGTATCTGGAGCAGACCTCGGCTGCTGGTCATGAGAAACATTGATAGTGGACTGGCAGCCGCCGCGAGATCCACCGCTGCCATTCTTCCAGCGGGCATAAACCAATTCTGCGGGCATTATGTACTCCTTATTGGAACTCATGGCGTCTGAACACTATTCACAATGTAACAAGATGCGTCTGAGGGGAGGCAAAAAAACGCGGAACAGAAAATAGAGGCATTCAGTGAAAAAACTGGAGAGACATTGGAGGGGTTTGGAAGGGAACTATGGCATAGTCCCAAATTCTGGGGCAGTGAATGCAGGGGAAAGGCAAGAGCCCGGGTTGAATGGGCTTGTTGCGGAGCCCCATCTTCATGTCACTCCAGGAAACACAAGCGACCCTCAAGTCTAGAATTCGCAAAATAAGGTAGATACGCGACAGAATTGGAGCCAGGAAAGTGGCTAGAAGCAGGTTACACTTACCGGTCTGGTGCGTTCATCGTGTACTGGCTGTAATGATATCCAAGAAAGAGTACTTATCCAAAGAGAGTGAAATAGTCAAAAGAGCTATGCAACCAGGTATATGTGACACCCCAGAGGCAAATGAGAAACAGAAATGAGGAAGCGGTCAAGGAGAATACAGTATCCAACTGTGATGAATCTGTCTAATTCCTCTCCGGCTTCTTGTCTTTCTCTCTCGCCTTGTCCCTATCTTTCTTGCTCAATTAAGACTATGGCATCATCAGTGAGAGTCAGGAAAAGCTAAAAAGAAGAAGAAGTCCGACGAAGGTTACCTGAGAGAACAATCAAAGATGTGCCACGGGGATAGATGAATGTATGGTAGATAAATATGATGCAGCAGTTCTGTGATATGGAAGGAATGGTTGGTAATGATGAGCTCCAATAAGGTTAGCAATCCCGTGACACCGGTCACGTGATAGTCCACCAACTCCGTGCGCCTCACCCATCTTGCTTGCTAACCGACATTCCACGTGGGCTAGCAACACAGCCAGGGCCATTCACAAAGCAAAATGGCTATGATCGCGATGTTGTCTTCTTAATCTGCTGCTGACTCGTGACCCTGCTACCGGAGAAGTTGTTTTAAACCCTCCACCAACGACCACTGTCTTTTGAATAGGGGTATTGGTTCCCCGGAAGATGACCTACGTGTATACTAGTGTAGAGAAGTTCCGGACTTGCAACCTTCTGCCCATTGCCATTCTTACTCCGGTGCCTGCCAGAGCTAATAGGCTGGGTCCAAGGCTGGAGGCTACGCTTCGAAGCCATGCCCAGTTGCACGGCTGTAGATAGATGATGCCTGCAATGGCGTGCAAGTTGCAAGGAATTCCTGCCACGGAATGCCTGTGACCATTGTGGACAATTAATCTCTGATTTTGGAACCGTTCCGAGGCATGTCTCGTACAAAGATGGCTGCGTACCAGTTGTCGAGGGACTAGCCAAGTGGATAATGTGGACCCGGGCTGATGTTACTGCCACTCTGCCAGAGACACGGCTGAGAAATGAGACAAGTTTTACTTACCCAGAAGGCATCTAGGTAGCATTGAAGCGAGGCATCACAACATTGAGATATTCACATAATGTAGTCTAAGCTATGTTGGCTCCCAGAACGTTGCCATGTATTATATGCTATGGTTATCAATCCACACTGAGTATACAAGAGAGGAAAGCAACTTGCTCGAGAGCAACCCAATTACAACCCCCCACTGGGTTAAAGAATCGTCAATCCGTGAAAACGCCTGTCATAATCCCGTACCCTGCTTGAATAATGATTAAGAGATAAGGCAACTGGAGGGAAAGACCCTCTTATAAACGTCAGAAAGATCAGGTCATGTCCAAGAAGATATGAGGGCAAAGGACACGCAAGAAAAGAGAATGTCAACAATAACGGGGAGTATTGAAAATCGCTGCTCACACATGCACACATGAGGTATAACTCCGTAAAAGTCACTCGGGGGAGTACTGGGGTTTAATATGTAACAACACAACCGGACGAAACTGCAGAAGTAAAACAGGCATGGGTCACGATATCCCCTGCCGAGGGAAATCTAGATCAATGACCGCGTGTATCAATGCACAGCATTTAGCAGGTCTCCGAAGCTCGACGTTTCCTTCTTCATCTTCCAGTTGTTGCGTTTGTTTTCTCGTTTCTTCATCATTTCGGCCCAGCCTTCATCATCATCCTCGTCGTCCAGCTCGGCACCATTATTCGGTTTGCTGGCGTCGATTGTTTTGTCATCACTCGTCGTTGGGCGAACTGTCATTCGAGACATGTGTGACCCAGCTGGAGCAATGTTCGAGAAGGAAGATTTCCGGTTTTCATCATTCCAAGGCTTTGACATGGACGGGGAACTGACAGTCCCAAACTCAGGTTGTATCGTAGAGACTGGCCTATAACGAGGCGCCAAGCCAACGTTGCTTCGCTCCGATGGAGCTATGGATGGCGCATAGCCTTGGCCTGCCGGCGTGCTGGGTCTAAGACCCCCAGATACATATGGCATAGGCCCGCTATTGAGACGAGAAGAGACATTGGGATCCAGCATGCTCAGCGTCCGCTGGTCACCCTGGTAACCAGTAGGTGCGTTGTTCATGTTGCCAGCCGAGGGCATTGACGATGGCCGCACGTTTATGCCGGCACTCAGCGTGGGCGGAGGCCCTCCAGGCGGCATTAGTTGGGTACCCTGTCCGCCCTGCATGTGGATCATCTGCTGCATCCATTGCATCTGCATCTGCACCATTTGCGTCATCTGTTGGGACAGCTCAATTTGCGCCTGTTCGGTTGCCGAGACCGCAGCTGAGTTATTGGCCATATTGCCCGAAGTCAAATTCATCATCGTGTAGGGTCTCGGGACGCCGCCAGGGTGAACAGGTGGTACAGACATTCCAGCCTGGTAGTCATACATGGCTTGTGTGTTGGGACTTCCTCTCCTCATAGCTCTCGCCCGCTCTTCTGTAGCAATAACGCCAACTAACCCTCCAGGGGGCAATGCGGGTGAAGGTCCACCATGAACTGATCCTCCCCCTCCCAAGCCCCCTCCCAAGGCCAGAGACTCTCTGTTGGAAGAGTTGACCAAGCTTGCCCCGAAGTAAGGGTCCCGCGGTAAGTTCCGCGCAAAGATAGGCAGACTCCCGCGATTGTTGGGATCACGTTCTGCAACAGATGCAGGAGACGACAGGTACGGCTGCTGGAAAGAAGCCCGAAGGTTTGGGATAGAGCTGGAGGGTGTCAGGCGGCTCGGGGGCCGATTCCTGTTGGGGAAACCATGAGCCGCCAAGATCCCCAAAGGAATCTCCTCGTCCTCGTCCCCATCACTGCTCTTTCCACTCCCTGAGATATTACCGGGTTGTAATAGATTCGGTGCGCTCTTGCTGGCTTGATCCATTTCTGGTCTCGGAGCCGGCGCGGGAGATTCCTGGCCGGTCACTTTCATCATTTGCTGGCGATAAACCGATAGGTGAGCCTCTTGCTTGCGCCGTTGTCTCTCTGCTTCGCGGTCTTTTTCCACTTCATCATCCTCGTCGTAATCGCTTTCGGCAGAATTTTCACTCTTCGAGGCATCGCTGTTTGATCGTCTAAGCTCTTGTTGCTGACGATAATGTTCGAACTGGGAGGGAGTCATAATCTTATTCGAGGAAGAGGTCGATACCGGCTGAGCTTTCTCATACTGTGCCGCCAAACGAGCATGAGCGGCAATCGAAGGATCAAGATGATGCTCTGATAGCCCCGGAGAGCTCAACGAATCTTTCGGGATAGATTCCCGACGAGTAGGACCGGCCGTGTTAACGCCCCCGTGACCAAAAAGGGGGGCATCGTTTTCGGCGTCTGATTCGTTATCAGACATGAATGGTACCTGAGAGCCTCTTTTGCTTGTATACAGAGACTCCATTATTAACTTCGCGTCTTCGTCTTCAACGGGGACAGAGTCCCGTGAGTTAGAATATATTCCACTTCTCCTCAAGCCCTTATCCACTGTCGTCCTAGGTTTTTCCAAAGAACGATGAGAAGTGGTGGCCAGAGACGTGACATTGGAGAGAGGTATAGACTTGCGGCGGTCCCCAGCGGAGAGTGTGTCGGGATTGCGCTGATGCAACTGGGTTATTGGCTGTTCACTGGGTGAATCGAGCGTGGTCAGAAGCCCATCCTCGGAGTGCCGACTATCCCAGGAATACGGTGATGGCTCGACTTCCTTTGATCTGTCAGTATCAATAGGTGCTGGACGAGAGACCCTTTCATCCTTCCGGAGCAGGGCATCTGGTCTGTTCGGGGGTCCGGAAGAATCCTATAATAAAATCTCAGCATCGATCTACGTCACTTCGCGAGATAGCTAGTTCGACAAGGCTAGGGCTTGAACTTGAGGGAGCGCAGGAACAGGAGATATCTCTTACCGGATCTACAATTCGATCGCGAGGAATGTCCTTCGGGACATTATAACGAGTTCCAATGTCACCGAACATGTTTTGGAAATCGTCTTCGATTTTACCAACCTGTAATTCTGTATCGGGGAGTCTTGGTGGAGTTGCAGTGCTCGATGTGCTGGTTGTCATTCCTCTGCTCCTCGAGGGACCAGGTGTCGACGGCTGAGGCGGAGGGGTCGGCGCAGACGCCTTTGAGAACCTCCCGCCGAATGAAAAGGTGCGACCAGCTGCGCGAATCGCACCTGACAGAGGAGGGATCGGTATATCGTAGAGGTTCCGAGTGTGTGGCGATTGGGGCTCGGGTTGGGGCCCGTCCGTTGAACGGCGCGTTGAGGGGCGAGCTCGCGCAGATGATGTACCTTCGAACGTACTTTCATTATCACATATGGTCAGCCACCTTGCACTGGGGGAAAGCATTGAGCGAAGGAGGTCCATACAGATTTCTCGCAGGCTGGGGACGATTATGCGAAGCGAATATGTTATTGTCATCCTCCGAGGCTGAGTACAAAGGCTGGCCTTCGCTTAACCTCTTCGACACTAGGTTGCCGTCACTGAATGATTTCTTGTCGCCGGATGGTCGCTCGAAAACTCGAAACGATGACTGAGGAGGATTTTGCACTTCCTCCAGAGCGTTGCTAGACGACTTTCGCCGGGCGAAGCCCTTGGGAAGCTTGATTGGCATTGGGCTGAAACCGAGGCGACCACTAGTGACGCCGGAACCACTTCCAGAGAAATTGAGCGAGCTGCCACCAGCTTCCGAAGTCCGCAAAAATTCCAGCCCTTTCTCGGCAACACTATTCAATTCCCATAAACCGGGATTCCGCGACGGGTGGAGGAGGGAGGGGTATGCTTGGGGAGATTCTGGGCCTGTCCAATCCGCACGAATTTCGGTCGTAGCGGGGGCCTTTGCGTCAAGAGGGCGTCGGGAAATGAAGCAAATGACGTGAATGGGCGAAAATAGCGTCAAGGAAGCCCTGTGGTGGATAAGGATGCGTTGAGCTCACTCAGGGGTCTCAGGAGAAGATTGTGAGAAATGAGAATAGGCGAGGTGGCCAAAAGGAAGGTTTCTGATACACCGTATAATCGATCAAGAGCGGCCAGGACCCTCCCATTCACATATGGCCAGCGGGGCTTAGGGACTAACGATTATGATAAATTAAAAAAGGCCGTACTCCGAAGTGGATTTGGGTGGTGGTCGGCGACGACGATGGGACCTCCGATCGGGTTTAGAAAGGTAAATAAAACAAACCCACCTGGGAGACCTGAAGAGGGAAGAGGAGGCGGGGGGGGGGGGACAGAATGTTTGGATGACAAAGGCGAAACCTCTTGAAGAACGCCAAACGAAACAGCAACCAGAGGGATAACAACAACCGAACAAGACGAGGAAGAGAAGGAACAAAAGAAATTAGTGGGAAACCAATAGTAGTGGACAGAATCAGAACACCAGGACGAGGAAGGAAAAGGGGGGAGGGGAAGGGAAAGAAAAAAGGGCGCAGATCAGTGAGGTAGAGACGATGGGGAAGACTAAGGACACTACTAGACTACTAGTACGGAGTAGATAGTCGTCAGAAGGAATCGTCGTACGTCCCTAAGCATGATGAGAATTTGCAAACTGAATCTGGATAATAATATCATAAGATTTGAGACAGTCATACCTAGCCTCCGAGGAATAATAATAATCATCATCATAACAATAATAATAATCATAATACGAGTACTAATATGATAATCATGCTACTAACAATAAAAATGAAAATCGAACCAAAATAGTGGGAGAAGGCAAGGTCATCCAGTCCCAAGGCCTCCAGCAGGCCCTGGATGTGGAGGGTGGAGCCACGGCGCGCTAGTCCGGCGGCGAGCACCCCCAAATATAGTAATGCGAAACTCGGTCGGCGCCTCGGGTTGGTTGACTTGGGTTGGGCCATCCCAGATTGAAACAGGGACGGAGGACGGAGGACTAGGCACCGGGTCAGAAACTAATAATACCCGTGGAACGTCCAGTGCTGGCCGGGCAGTGACAGTCGGTCTTGATAGGCGGTGCAATAAGTCCTACTACCAAGGTATGCTTCCTTACTCAACTTCCTCGACGGCGAAGAGGGAGGAGACACGCAAAGAGGGAACAGATGCCTCATAGTACAACTCACTCACTCATCTGTGAGAAGAGGGAGAGAGGAATCAATGAAAGGTGGGGGGAGAGCAGGGCAGGGCTGCTAGACGTCCTGTTTATTAGTGCTACTACGGGGAACATAATAATTCTCTCTAGTATCTAGTAGTATCTAGTATTTATCTAGGTAGTCCTCGTACTAAAGAGGTACCCTGTCCATTCCTCCATTCCAGTTCGACCATTCCACCACCATAAAGAATCATGTAAGGGGGTACTACCCGCCGGGGGAGGAGGCAGGTTCTCCGTAGCTAATCACTGATCACACCCGACCAGCCCACCCACCACCTGGCACCTGGAGACTACCTTACGAGGGCATTCCTCTCGTTTTCTCTTACCGCTCACTCTGACACTCAGGCATCATTAGGGTTTCGTTAAGAGCCGTGTTCACCGGATTATTTGTCAGATCTGTCAGATTGAACACCTCTCCCTCACTATCTACACTCCAGGAAGCCTCGACTCCACGTCAGGCCACCGCGGATGTTCATAGAGTAACCCTCGGCAGTCCTCCGTAGTCAGCATACTACAGATACTGTAATATACCACAAAGCCTGATATGTGTTCTCCATTCTCCATTGCTTGTGCTTCTCTGGGTGTGATCTCTAGATCCAAAGCACTGGCATGGTTGAGTTGTCTCGGTCCCGGTCACTTAATCCGCAGGACTCAAATTTCTTGCTAGTATCGACTCCATTGCTACCCTCGCGTCTTCCAATTACGCAAAGATCAACGATCATTTGTCACCATCATCATCACTGACTGATCATCTCCGTGATCCAGTGCAGTGATCCACCACTGGAGAACAATAGAAGCTGATAGGGGCACAGAGGAATTATATTTCCTCATTTAAATGCTCATCAAGGTCTGGCAGTCAACACTACACCCACAAGGCAACGATAATACTAGGATGGTTTGTTGGAAAGGCACATCTTGTAACGCAGGCGACAGTCCTTGTGTTGGCGGTAGCTGGTAAAGAAGCTACTCCGTACTTCTCATGGAACTCGACTACGCTCCGCTCCTTTTACACCGGGGGCATTTCACTCATCAACGCAAAAAAGCTCATCACACACGTTCAGTGTCTGCCTGGATTTACCCCGGGAAAACTCGTCCCAGATGGTATCTCCCTTTCGGCGTGATCGCGGATTGATACCTGTGAGAGGTGTAAAATGGGCTGAGCAACGTGGATCATGCCAACTGCCAATTCAGCCCATGCTGTCCTCTGCAGTTGATCTGAGAATGTCCGTGCTTAGATACAACATATGCGCGATTTCCCATCTGTGATCATATCCCAGAATTTCCTTGTCTTTGTTTTGACCAAGAACTGTAGTTTGGGTCAAGCCGACCCAACTAGAGATGCAACTTGCTAGTCCTTTTTACTATGGTGCTTGGTCTAGGAGGAAACTGGACGTGCTGACTTCGTCCTGATACATCGAAATGTGGCAAAGGACAGTCAAGAAAAGCACATCGCAAATGCATTAATACTACAAACAAGCTGGCACATCATCGTTCATGGTTGATATGTAGGCGGGGCACAAATCAAGGACACCTTGGAGGCCTAGTAGTTACCCTGAAGAACAATAGAGTCTTGCGCTTTCAACCCCCCGATCAAAGCAACTCCGGCTGGAACTTGAGCATCTCGCAAGTTGAAACAGGCAAAAGCGACCAACTTCTGAAGTTTAGGACAGCATTGGAAAATCCGACCCACCACATAGTCATCGACGACAGTATGGAATGAGACGTCTAATTCCTTGAGGTTAGGGTACGTTGTCCCAGCCGAAAATATCTCCTCGAAGGCTGAGTGTGACACGTGGCGGCAGGATGCTATATTCAGTTTTTGTAACTTGGAGCCTGAGTGGTTCATGAGTGCCACAAGGCCACGGGATGCGAGGCCAGTTGCATCTTTAGGGCCATCTGGGTTCGTATTATCAACATCCCGTGTAGAAGAGAGGTCGACATTCTCTAGTGGAGGGTTCGCCCAGCCTGTGAATAGATTGACGAAGCCCCTGTCAGTACATACTGCATTGTCAGAAAAGCGAAGTTTCGTCAGAGCCCGGCAATTGTCATGTATAATTCCTAGAAGACGATCATCCGCGTTAGAGAAACCTTCCAGCGACAACGTCTGCAAGCGCGGGCTAATTTTAGAGATTGTGCTAAGAAGAATCTCAATTTCTATCTCTTGGACGTAGTCCAGAGATAGGTGCTCTAAGGATGTGAGACCAGAAATTGCTTGAAGCGAACGATTACCAGCCTTCCAGCACTGCTTCAATTTCAGCCGCCGAAGTGGTGTACAATACAAACACATCACTTCTATGGTCTCATCGTCCAGAGAAAAATCAAGGTTGGATAGTTTGAGGGTTTCTAGCTGGGGACCTAGTTTTTGGAATAGTTGTTGCCAGTATGCATCGGACACCAGGTTCGCAGCGTCTAGCTGCAAACGCTTGACTTGCAAATTGCGGTCCAGCATATATTCAATTACCTTGTCCTTCAGTTGACCGGCAAACCGGATGTTGACATGCGACAAATTTGGCATGAGGGCAAAGATCTTTTCGAAATCATGTGTCTCGAGCCCTGTTTCAGGTCAGTACAGTGACAGGTTCTTCATGCTCTCGATTAGAAAGAATTAGAAACAGGCTTAAACCTATGTGTAGGACAAAAAGGGCAAACACAGGTGAGGTCCCAAAGGGCGAAGAAAGAAAGAAAGAAATAGAAAAAGAAGGTATAAGAACATACTCGCAGCATCGTAGATATCAATGGAGTCAAGGTCTGGCCGGAGAAACAGATTAAGGGTTCTCGGTGTCAAAACCCGCCTCTTACACAATATTTGACTGAGACGATGCAGCAACTGCGAGGGTAGATCCCCAAATTCTTCGATATCGTTAATGTTGTCGGCCACTTTCTAATTTAGCCAACAATTAGCTAGTCGTTGATATCACTAAGTATATACTGACGTACCTTCGTACACATCTCAGCTAAGCTTAGAGCGCCTTGGTGAGCCAGTCCATCGAGAAGATTACTTTGATTCTGGCGCCGACCACTCCTCGCTCCTCGCCTATTAGCTTTGGGTTTCTTCTCATCATCTGCTAATGCCTTTGAACACTTTGAGCAGAGAAGACCTCCCTGAGGACCAGCTTTACTGTAGGGGGTTACCGTAAAGCGTTTACCACATATCTCACAATTCTCAAGCTGGCCTGGCAAAGGCTGAGACCTCTGGTGCATCATCTCTCGAGCAATCTCATCGTCAGCATCGTCGGGCCCGCCCGTGCGTCGAGCTTTATGACGAGCGAACTCTTTGCTTTGCTTGATCTTCGCGAGAGCGACCGCCTCCTTCCGCTTCCGCTTTTTCCTGTCTTCTGCCGACTCACCAACATGTTGAAACTCATCATCGTCACTGTCATCGGGAGAACTTCCTTGTCTTTCCGCAGCTGACTGGCGCTCAAAGTCCCTTAGGCGACGTTGATGGTTCTGATGGATCTGGGCAGCAGAGATATTGTTGGACTAGAAGATTAATCGGTCAGTGAGGTTTCATAATAGATAAACTCCAAAGCAAACGAGAGCAAGAGGGTGCTAAAACAGATAGAAAGCTACGTACAGCCAAAAAGTCAGTCAGGGCTGAATGCCTAAAGACGGAATGTCAGTATGGTTCGTGAATGACTTTCTGATCTTGAAGAACATACGGGCCCCTGATCTGATTCCTCGTTTGCCTTCTCTCCGCCCTGAATTGCTATTGTCAGTGATATCTCTTCAGCCGCTTAGAAGACCAACCTGATACATACATTTGATGAAGCTAAGATACGATGAAGATGTAGTGAGGTGTAGCTGATAAAATAATTCTTCTGATGGGGGAGGCGTGAGGTGGCGGTACTTGCAGGTCACAGGAACCCGTGGTGATTTCGCGTTCCACTTAACGCGAGAGTCGGCGGGCGGCTTATCGCTACTGGGTTCGGTTCGTGACTTGTGTCCGGCCAAGTGGGAGAGTCAACGGAGAGCGCCACTCTGGTCCAAAAGCCAGGCTGAAGCCAGGAAGTAGGCAACAACGCCTCGATTCGGTGGCTAATGCCTCTTGACTGGATTGGTGGATCGACGCAGTGAAGTCTCTTTGGGGAGGAAGGAAAATTTTTCTCTGTCACCCAAAGTTCCCTCATTCTGGGCTTTATTCCGAACTCCACAGCCAAGCAAGGTACACACTCCCTGAGCTATCTACCCCCGGGTGGCGTTGCAACAATCATCTATCAGTTTCAGTCGTCCGATCCAAGCTTTGGCTTGTCATCTTCTGCGCCCATAATTATCTTGACTAATTCTCCTCTGCTCGCCAGAATGGGAAGAAAGCCATCGGCTGCACGCCCGGGGAACCCCTCGTTCGCTGGTGAGGTCTCTATGTCGTATCTTCCTCTGTCTATCTCGATTTTGAAGGTACAAAGGCGGCAGAAAGAGATGGGCGCACATATACACACTCTCCAGAGGCAATGACAATATCTATGGACCGTGACTGACACTTCAAGGATTACCAGATACCACCTCTTCCTTGCCTAGACGAACTTCTGCGAGATTGGCTAGAACCTCCTCACTATGTACCTCCGGGAAACCAAACAATCCAGAAAATGCAGATGGTACCAGTGAGCCGTTATACACCGGGATGACTGGGTATTCTCAGGGAACTAAATCGATCTCCATCGAAGTTGCAATCCCGGTGAAGAAACATCTGCCCTCGTCCCCCTCTGCTTCGTCTGTTCCAGGGGAAGATAATTATGAGGAAGATGGGACATGTTCTTACAGTACTCCAGCGACCAGCATCGCTGTCACTCCTGCGGAGTCAGACGTTAGTCGGCCGGGGAAGAGAGTCAGTGCCTCCACGCGTGCTCGGGAACTGCGATCTAGTGCCATGTCTTTACATGCGCCACGAGGGCTCAAGAGGTCTTCTACCGCACTGTCTGCAGGCCTCGTTGGATTTGAGGACTCTGACGCAGCTTTGGCCCGGTCTCTTCAGGCTCAGGAGTATCAGGAACCGCCTTATAAACTACTAAAGACCCTGAGTCGAGTCACTCAAGAAACAGAACACCCTAGCGAAGATGACGATGATTCTGATGACAATCAGAATCGGCTTGATGACTGGGTCCCTTCTCGCGGGGTCAGAAGGTCTCTTCGGTCAGCTAACAAGGGTAGCCTCCGCCAGCTATCAGTCAGCGATGTGCGTGATAGCGATCAAGAAGATGACTACCAAAGTGACACTGGTTCAGTTTCTTCTGCATCTTCCTCGGATGACGATGAACCTTTGGTCTCACGAAGGGTCTCGAGGATCAGTACACGCAATTCTGGAGCCCGCATTGTCACTCAAAGGGCCCCACGCAGAGCGGCTACCATCGTTCGGCGAGCTCCAGGAGAGACAGGGATGAGCCTTCGTGTACGTTTCTGGTTCTAAAATCATTTGCACTGTACTTCTAACTGATGTGCAGGCTATTCGTGAAAGAAGGAAGCTTGAGAAACAACATCCATACATCACAAAGATGTGGGATGATCTGAAAAACACCCCCCCGATAGAGCCGGTAATGGCAGAGCAGCCTCCAGGCATATCCAGGACACTCAAGTCATTCCAGCTTGAAGGTCTGAACTGGATGATGCAGCAAGAAAAGTCGCAGTATAAGGGAGGATTATTGGGCGACGAGATGGGCATGGGCAAAACTATCCAAGCAGTTTCACTCCTTATGTCTGATTACCCTGTTGGTAGGCCGTCGCTTGTGGTTGTTCCTCCTGTTGCTCTGATGCAATGGCAATCCGAGATTAAGGTTTGTGTGCTTTTTCTTCTGATCTGCGGTACCACTGACCATTTTTGGACTAGGAATATACAAACGGCCAGCTAAATGTACTTATCTATCACAATTCAAATCCTAAGGTCAAATTACTCTCAAAGGATGACCTCCAGGATTATGATGTGATAATGATATCCTGTATGTCCACTACCACTAACCGAGTCAAGGTATGGAGGGTTGACATGATTTTCCAGATTCTGGTCTTGAATCGATCCACCGCAAAGAATGGAAGGGATGGAACCGCCATGATGGGATTGTGAAGGAAGATAGTTCGTTAACAGTATCCTCAGTCGACATGAGTATGGATTCTAATTCAGGGCAGGTATCATCCATTCTATTCACTATCATCGCCTGATCCTGGATGAGGCACATAGTATCAAGGTTACACTGACCTCCATTAATCCTGCCCTTACGTTGGTTTTGAAAGCTCATTCACGTCTATAGCAACGTACAACTAGTGTCGCCCGCGCATGCTTTGCGCTGAACGCAAACTATAAGTGGTGCCTGTCAGGTACGCCTGTTCAGAATCGGATTGGAGAGTTCTTTTCTCTTCTTCGCTTTCTACAAGTCCGTCCGTTTGCCTGTTATTTCTGCAAGCAGTGCCAGTGCCAGCAGCTCCATTGGTCACAGGACGCAGAAAAACGATGCACCGAGTGCAAACATAGGTATAGTGTCCTTCCTTGGGCCCTTCGATCCGAATGTGCTGATCTCGTTATAGTGGATTCAGCCATGTCTCGGTCTTCAATCAAGAGATATTGAACCCTAGTAAGTTCTATCACCATTTGTGCCGAGCTTGTCTTGACACCTGGAAGTCACCGAGAGGGACAATGCCCATGCGCGAAAGGAGGCGTTGTCGAAGCTACGACTCATAACTGATCGAATTATGCTGAGACGAGTGAAACGAGACCATACGGCTTCGATGGAACTGCCACCAAAGCGGTCTGTACTACTCGGTGTAATTGCTGGAGCCGTGCTAACATTTTACTAGTGTTGTTCTCCATAATGAATTCTTCGGAGAAATTGAGCGTGACTTTTCACGAAGCATTATGACTAATTCCGCAAGGCAGTTTGACACATACGTGAGCCGTGGCGTCATGTTAAACAATTATGCCAACATCTTCGGCCTCATCATGCAAATGCGCCAAGTTGCAAACCACCCGGATCTGATCTTGAAAAAGCATGCAGAGACTGGGCAGAATGTGCTTGTCTGCAGCATTTGCGATGAGCCAGCAGAAGAAGCGATTCGCTCCCGTTGTCGCCATGAGTTTTGTCGTAGGTGCGTCAAAGACTATGTTAGGTCTTTCGATGCTAGGTCAACTGTCGACTGCCCTCGATGCCATATTCCTTTGTCAATTGATTTCGAACAACCTGACATCGAGCAAGAAGAAGAACAGATTAAGAAGAATTCGATTATTAACCGGATTCGGATGGAGGACTGGACATCGTCAACAAAGATTGAGATGCTTGTTTACGAGCTTTACAAGCTGAGAAGCAAGAAGCAGACATTGAAATCCATTGTGTTTTCTCAGTTTACCTCGATGCTACAGCTTGTGGAGTGGCGTTTACGTCGGGCTGGCTTCAACACTGTCATGCTTGATGGCACTATGACGCCGGCGCAGCGTCAAAAGTCCATCGAATACTTCATGAACAACGTGGATGTCGAAGTATTTTTAGTTTCTCTCAAGGCCGGCGGTGTGGCTTTGAATCTGACCGAGGCATCAAGGGTCTTTATAGTTGATCCGTAAGTGACTCTGACGGGTAGGAAAGACCGATTGACTAATCTAGTTGTCGCATAGCTGGTGGAACCCAGCTGCTGAATGGCAGAGTGCGGACCGATGCCATCGAATTGGTCAACGCCGACCTTGCGTCATCACCCGACTGTGCATTGAGGATTCAGTGGAGTCTCGAATTGTGTTGCTGCAGGAGAAGAAAGCTAATATGATCAACGGTACCATCAACAAAGATCAAGGAGAAGCTTTGGAGAAGCTTACCCCAGAAGACATGCAGTTCTTGTTCAGGGGTTCTTGATTGGACGGTCAGCGAAGAGGCGAGAGAAACATGGCGGGCGAATAGCGCGGTAGTAATCTTATCATGGATGGATGGCGTTTGCTACTAGGCCAATTTAGCTCCGGGATCCCTGAGGGTCAACCAAACAATCGTGCATGCGTCCTGTAATCCTCCATGCATACGTACGCACCGTCCTTGCCTACCTTGCACGGGCAACCTCGTACTAGATTTTTGGGATGATGTCAGACCCAACTACCAGGGCCCTTGAAATGGAGGGGTCCGACCCCCCTTGGTCCTCACTTAATTCCTTCCATGATCGATAGATTCATCGGTCTTCTCACTCCAGACTCCTTGCTCTGAATGTTGTTATTCTTCCTTCTCAACACCTCTGGGTCCGCGGGTTCCACCATCATCATAGCCGAGCCCGGGCCAAAGCTAAGACTTGCCTAAACTTTCAGTCTCCATCCGTGGGGATAGGGGAGGGCCAGGCCCCATCGTACCTCACCTTTCCCTTCGGGAATGAATGGTTTAACAAATTCTACAACTGTCGTCCATACCACTCGCATCAGTAGGAGGATCCCGGCCTCATCTTTCCATCGTCCGATATCCACTTCGCCTACTCCGTACACTGCCCCGCATCCGTCCACTGGTCGCAACCTCGTTCAGGCAGCAGCAATAAATACTTCAAGTGCGACCACTACCGTCGGCGTCGCCGCCCCCTTCCCCCTCCTCGCATGATGGAAGAAACTCAACCGCGGACACGGCGCCGGCGCCCGGTCGACAAATATGGCCCGAAGTTCTTTGACAAATCCGAGCACATGCAGGATCGGGCTGCTGTCATGAAGGCTGCTCTGAATGGCGATGAACCGTCTCGGTCAGAGCCCGCTGGGGGGTTTGATAGCAGTCCATATCCCTACGCGCCACCGGGCTACACGCTGAAATTTACCTTCCATCGCGGTGTCAATCTTCCTTGCGCGGACTTTGGCACGTTTTCTTCCGACCCCTATGTTATCGCCCAGTTAATTGTTGGCCTGCCTCAACGCCATAAGCAGGATCCTCTTCTTTCCTTCCGAACTCCGACTGTGCGCAAAAATCGAGATCCAGTATGGGACAGCGAATGGATAGTGGCCAACGTCCCTGCGTCGGGGTTTCAACTAAAATGCCATGTTTATGATGAAGATGCGGCAGACCACGACGACAAGCTCGGGAATGCATATGTCGAGGTGGATTCGGTCGGTGAACACTGGCCTGGCGTCAAAGAACAGAGCTTTCGCGTTAAGAAGCGCATGGGTAGCAAGCGGGTCTACTTGTTCGGTAACATTGCCGCTCTGGCGTCGCGACGTCTTGATGTGGGGTCACATATAGTAATCAGTGTGCAGTGCTTGGGGAAAACACAAGGCGATGAAGGTGCCCATATGTACACTGTTGGGCCCAACTACTGGTTCAAGCACTTTTCTCCACTCATTGGAAGAATAGCAGGGACCAAAGATGAGGTACAGAGTCAGGATGGTACGAAGAAGACCATTAGTCGATATAAGTACGCCCCCATCCTTTCCCAGAGTCTTTTTGGCCCGTATGAGATACTTACAGCATATCTTGCAGTTTCCAGGCCATTCAAATCCAACTCAAGGGTCCTGTACCTGCTGAGCTCTATCATCGTTACGTCGAATTCAAGCCGTTTGTGGCTGGAATGTTCACGTCACATAGTCTTCGTGGGAGGATACTCAACCGAGCTCTACATCATCAGCATGAGCGTATCTACAACTTCGACAAGACCACACTCAACGGACGGTTCCCTTCACCGTGCACTGCACTCACGCAGAAGTTTCTTGAGTTTGTCCACTACGCACAGGGCGGGAGGATCTTCACTTATGTCATCACCCTGGACGGGCAGTTTCGCTTTACAGAGACAGGGAAGGAATTCGGAATTGACTTACTGAGTAAACACACGATGCATAGTGATGTATCTATTTATATCGCATATTCTGGTGAGTTCTTCCTGCGCCGACTGAAGCATCGCCATCACCGACATTCGGAGACAACACGCTACTCGGGGACCAGTTACTCCGGTGATGAGCCGCTGGAGGAACCAGAATTATCAACTGATCCGGCCGATTACGAACTCTTCATCGACAACGATAGCGGTACCTATCGCCCCAATGGCCACTACTTGCCCCTGTTGAAGCGATTCATCTCGTCCAACTTCCCCGGTCTTCACGTGACCACGCTCGATTGCAGGGAGGACGCGGTGCAGATGGAGGCTCTGAAAAATGAACAAAGAGAATTCAAAAAGAACGAAGGCAATCACATGATCTTCCTCCAGCGCAGCAATGGCTCATCACTTTCCCTTTCAAGCTCAGATGAAGAGGAGCTGGATGAGCGCAGTGGATCACAGCCCAAAAGACGCGACAGCTTTGCGCAAAAGGTCCATGATATGCGTGACGTGAAAGGCCAAATGATGAAATGGGCACAAGGAGACAGTCATGACAGCCCCAATCATCATGGGGGCTCTTCTGAGCGCCAAACGGCAGCAGCGGCGAACAATGCAGGCTCCTCAAAACCTGCTGAAGAGCAGTGTGGGTGAAAGAGCAATTTATTTTTACTGACGGTTGGGTCTAGCGTGCCATCATGCTCAGCTTGGATGCTGATGGCTTCGATTGGTCATTCCGTGTCTTGTGCCAGCAATTTGTATCAACAGCCTGCCCACACGCTAAGTACCTAGGTCTCAGTCGGGTGCTGAAAAGTCCTCGTTGTACCGTGACATGCTTGATGAATGACCTTGATTATGCTTTTTTGCTCTACCCTTTGAGCAACCTACGGACATTATAATGTAATAAGCCACACTACCGCTTGTGAATAGGCTTGGTTTGTTTCGGTGTGCACCAGAAATGATCAGGCTATTACTCGTCTCCTATGAATTAATCCTGGTGAAAAATTGCACTCACCTTGCTGGTCTCTCTCAAGTTCCTCTTTGTCTCCTCTTGTTACCTGCATTCACCCTCAGAACCGAACCTAATAATTACACTCTTTCTACGATGCTCCGTTGCTAGACAAAGGGTGCCAAAATACTTTGACGAAAACCAGAGCAAGATGACTAGGCTGGGTATAAGTTTTAGACAAAGGGAAAAGGAAGAGATAGAAGACTGAAAGGCGGTGCCAGCAAGTCATCTATTCTTGACTGGAGGAATCATCACCCGGGGACACCATGGAGTTGAGAAATAAGCCCACGTCGTATAGTGGGTACCTGGGTAGTACAGTGACATATATCTATAGCGCCTACCTAGAGGGGAAGAGCTCACGAGTCGGATCACATAGACAGTACATAGTACCTGTACCTGTCCCCACAGCTGGGGAAGGAACACGAGCCAATGTCAGCCTCAGCGCATGTCACTCAGCTCCCACCCACCTAGTAGTATGTATGGTACATAGTACATGTATCTACCGCTTGCGAAGCCCAGGGCAGATACCCCGCTCGAGGCATGAGCCGAAGTATCTACCACCTATCTACTCTGTATGCCTCCCTCCCTCCGACTACGGCTCGGGTCAATGATCTTACCTCACTTTACCCCCTTCGCCTTAGCCCCGATTTTCAGCCCCGGCCCGTCTGTTTCATCGGTCTTACAAACACCACAAACCCGCCCTCTACCAAACAACAATCTTACTGCGGACACTGTAATTCTTGTACTTCCTTTTCCACTCCCTCGGTCTCCCTCTTCAGTCTCCATACTTAGAGTATCCTAATAGTATTCCCCCCTCCTTCATATCCTTCCTTCCCTCTTTCTCTCCTCGCCGTCTTCTTCCTTGACACTCGCTTCCACCCGCTCGTTCCTCCTTCCTCAGCAACCAGCCCGGGCTAATTACCGCCACGATACTCCCCCCCCCCGTTCCTGCCCCCTCCCCGCTTGTCGCCCTGCTTGATTTCCGCCCGCGACCACCTGATACTCCTCCTGACTCCCTCACCATCGGCTGAACTTCAATCCATTCACATTCAATCTGCGGCAAGCGCCTGGGTACAACCTCCCTTACGATCGGATCCGTGTCTGGATGACGACCAGGACACTGGGTGGTTTGTTTATCACCGCATTCACATCGAGCCGGCCTTTGATCCGACTGCGGACGCGCTGACTGTCGATGGTTACTTTCAACTGGTCCGGTCACGTCTCTGACCTCTCTTCTGTGTGGTGATCCAGACTCGATCATTAGCTCCAGCAACTTCACCATGGGTAATGTCGGAAGCCGTCTTGATGACACCGGAAGCTTGTACTTCAAGGATCAGACAAGGTGTAAGTTTCTAACCATCCGGCGACGGTGCCAGACGCTCGTACCCTTGACATCCCTCTCGTTCCTCTCCTCTCCTGTCTCTCCTATCTTGTTTCGGTTGGCTGGCCCTCTTGCTATGTTTGCCCCCGCCACTGTGATTTACTGTGATCGTTAATAAATTGTGTTCTTACCAGTCACGATCGCCTCCGTGACGATAACTAATTCTAGACGCCGTGTACTATTAAACCTTGTTCCGAACTCATTCCCCGCCACGAGATATGCTGCCAAGCGGGAGACTGGCGATGAAAGTCCAATAGAGTATATACAGGTAATCGGCAGAATCCGCCCTGTGGTTCAAGAGTCGCTTTGCGCCTAAGAACCTGTTTTCTTTTTCTTTTCTTCTTTTTGGCGACTAACTGGTGCTTTCCCCCGACTACTAGGAACCCGATCTTTCGCCGTCAGCCCCTGTGCCTACCTTCCTCCTGCGCTTAAACAACGAAGACGAGTTAAACTTTAATTTTACATTCATATTGAGACAGACACAGACTGGAAATGTTGCGAGTTCCACGGTCAATGGTGTCTCAACATCTTTGCCCGAAGTGGCCGACACGGTACTTACTGGTCTGACGTTTGCGCATGCGCCAAATTCCAAGGAACTGGACAACTTGATTACCAGGGAATTTCATGCCAACCCCAATTTGCAGAACAATTCGAACGTGCAGCTGGTAGGAGATTACTCCACTGGAGGCAGCCCATCAGTTCAATTTGACTGGTCTTGGAAATGGAAGCCTCCCAAAGTAGTAGAGGATAAAGGGGGTGGATGGAGGAACAGCTGCAGCTTCTTGGACTACGATCAAAGGGCCAATCGCTTGAATACGCTCGCGCATTTCTCATTCTGGGTACAGAATACTGTACGCTCGCTCCCAAGCCCACAGATTTCCTCGCCAAATCTGGAGATTAACGTCCCTTTCCGCAACCGCATCCCGTCGTCGCAATCCATCCTATCACACTCCAGCGATGCAGACGCAGCATCTAATCACCAGGTTATCCCTGTAACCCCCCCTGAAGCTGGTGACACGACTGCTATACCTCCCCATGCCTCTGCACCTCCCCCGCCTGTCAAAGTTGATCTTCCCCATTCGCGCCCAGGTGAAGACATGAGTATGGTTGAAGACGGTCCGTTGTTTCGGGCTACAATGAAAGCCTTGGAACAGAAGACGGGAAACATGCGCGCTAAGATCAAAAAGGTCCTCAAGAAAGCTGAAGCCGCTCAGCAAGCACAGATGGTCTGTAACGACGCCGTGGAAGCATTTCTCTCCGCATTGACTGAAGCCTCGACATCTAACGCGAACGCAATACAACCCGCACTTGATCATTACTTCGAGAAGACTGCGCGCCAAATATTGAACTATGAACGATTAAATACCGTTCAGCTCCAGAAGCTCGTCATTGATCCATTGGTTAAGCTGTATAACAATGATATCAAGCAGGCGGAGGCCAAGAAAAAAGAATTTGAGGAAGAGAGCAGAGATTACTATGCCTATGTTAGCCGCTACCTCGGTCAGCGGCAGGACTCTCTGAAAGAGAAAAAGCGAGTGGAAAGTGACTCCAAATACCAGGCAAAGCGACGCAACTTTGAGTTAAAGCGCTTCGATTACTCATCCTTTATGCAAGACCTCCACGGGGGACGTAAAGAGCAGGAGGTCCTTTCTCATCTCACTAAGTATGCTGATACCCAAGCGAAAAGTTTCCTTGCAGCTGCCAAGAATGTTGATGATATGATTCCCCAACTTGATGCCCTTATCCATGAGGTCAACCAGGCGGACAAGGAATTCCAGTTCCAGAGGACAGAGAGGGAAGAAAAACGGAGGAACTTGGAGAAAAGCAGCAACATATATATCGAGCCTGATTCTCTGACCAATGCGGGTGCGCCATCGACGCTTTTGGGGAATGGTGGTGGAAATCCAAAGTCGGAGATCGAATTAGGGCGTGCAGATAGCACAGGGTCTCAACTGCGAGGTGTCATCAGCAACACTTCTTCAATCTTGCCGCCAGCCAACTCTGCCAACCCTACAGCTGGTTCCTCAATGCTTGCCTCTGCCATCAATTCAACTAGTACGTGTCCCTGGGGCCGCCTGGGAGGGCGTGCTTAGCACTTAATCCTCCATAGTTGCAGCTTTTAACGGTGCTACAGGTCAGCAGAGGAAGGAAGGCTTGCTCTGGGCACTATCCCGGCCGGGATCTCATATTGATCCCAAGGGAATTAACAAGCAAGCTTGGCATAAGTAAGCTCGTGTCATACGCTGATCGGCTTGGACTTCGCAGCTGACTTTTCCGCAGGTTCTGGATTGTGTTAGACCAGGGCAAGCTTTCAGAGTATAGCAATTGGAAACAGAAGCTTGACTTGCACATGGACCCTATCGACTTGCGGATGGCTTCCGTGCGAGAGGCTCGAAATGCTGAACGCCGGTTCTGTTTTGAGGTGATCACACCACAATACAAGCGCATCTATCAAGCAACTTCTGAAGAAGACATGGCCAACTGGATCAGGGCAATCAATAACGCTCTACAGAGCGCTGTTGAGGGTCGCGGTATGTCCCCTCCGGTTTCGTCGGACAATGATGGCACGCCAATTGGCCGTGATATCGGCTCTGTGCTTACCGGAAAGAGCTCTTCGTATTCCGGTCAACACTCTTACTCCACAGGGTCAAACAACAGCGTTACCCGCCGCACTACAGTAGGTGCCAGGCCAAGCTACGTCCGCGGGGACGGCCTTGGCTTTGAGGAGAACCCCTCTAAATTACTCCAAACAATCCGGGAGGCGGATCAGGGCAATAATTGGTGTGCAGACTGTGGATCTACTTCCAAGGTCGAATGGGTGTCTATCAACCTGGGAATTGTCCTATGCATTGAGTGCAGTGGCATCCACCGGTCACTTGGAACCCATATCTCTAAAATCCGTTCGCTCACGCTGGATGTTAACTCCTTCTCGAATGATATTGTTGAAATCCTTTTGCAGATCGGTAACCGTGTCAGCAACATGATCTGGGAGGCGACTCTTGATCAGGCTCAAAAACCAATGGCAACCTCCACTCGTGAACAGCGGCTGAAGTTTATAACTGCCAAATACAGCGAGCGAGCATTTGTGGAACCGCTGCCCTCCCCGTTGTCACGTTTCGCCACTCCAGACGAGACTCTTTTGGCTGCAATCAAAAGGAATGATATTCAGGGTGTGCTTTATGGCATTGCCCTTCGCGCCAATGTGAATATTACCGATCGCTCTCGCAGTACTCATGCTATCTTCCTTGCTCTAGCTGCGGCAGATCCGGCATCACCTGGGGCAACCTCAAACCTGGCTGCTAAACCTAGTGGGGCGTCTTCTGTGAAAGCCATCCCATTCCCTATCGCAGAACTTCTAGTTCAGAATGGAGCCGAGATCCCGTCGCAACCTCCGCCTATCCCTCTTTCATCGGCCGCTCAGCTGTATTTAAGCCAGAGAACTGCCCGAGTGTCTGCATTTGGCACCCCTCCTCCGGCTATGCCAGCGCCCGGGAGAGCTACAGCCGATTCTCTCGGTTCACTGCCTACAATCCGGGGTGCTGGAAATGATAGTACCATTCCGTCATCTCAAGCGCCGAGCTCTCTGGATAGCAAAGAGCGCGAGAAGCTACATAAAAGGGGCAGCGCTGGCGCCAGGTTTGCTGGAAAGGTCGCCTCCCTTGGGATTGACCGCTAGCGAACCGTCCATTGTGCGTGATATTCTTACTTTGCTGTTCATGCTCGCGCTTGCTACTAGGCGTTTCGGTGGGGCTATTCCTTAATAGTAATTATAACGAAGCTCAAGTAGACACGATGTGATGTTGAAACTCAAGTTTGAAATGTTTACAGTCTGCATAGCTGTTGGCGCGACAGTCATGCTTTCGTCGGTATCGAATATACTACCTTGGCCTGTTGTCTCTTCACTGTTGATATTCTCTTTATCATATATTGGAACCGATCCCGGATTATTCCCCTGGGTGTCCTACCTATTCCCTTCTCTTGGCTTTGTATGTTGCGGGCTTGTCGTTTCTGTTTCGTTAGGTGATGCCCCATGTGGCGTCAGATTACTGCCTAGACTCGAGTCTAACCTGCTATAGTAGACGTCCGTGTCTGAGCCCTTCTCCCATTAGAACAGAGCCGGACCTTGTAATGATGTCAATCATTCGAAAGATGATAGTAAGATGATTGTAACCCTTGACCAGAGTAATAGAAAGGCAATTCCCCGACAGGCTATCGCTCAGATTGTCCTTATAATAGGCCCTGGTTCGGTATGCCGTTTGGTAGAAGTCCTCCTAAGAATCGAGGACAGTCCAGAAGCTTAGACTGAGGGCAACGAACGGGCGCTTTTCGGCGGCAAGGTTGCCAGGCACACGGGATGATTTTCCGTGCACGGTAGTATTCGCCATGCAGTCATACCGTCCTTGGACGTGAAGCTAGTGGTCCGCATCCCTTGGATGAGAAGAAAACTGGGCTGCACGCCATCGAAAACAGAGTGACACAGAGACGCGGCAAACCAGTGGGACACAGCGACCACATCCGCTGAAAACACACCTATAGCATCATGACTGCACATGGCGGCGGTGGAGCGTGGCTAGGAACTGCTTGCTCGATAAAGAATAGATCCCTATTCGATAGAAACCGTATCAGCTGGCGCAGCCTCTGCAGTGTCCTTTGCCACCGCAATGGACCTGTGTTCTGCGGTGTGACCAAGATCCGAAAGGATGAGGATGATCCTCTCGCCGGACACACGCCGCAGAAACGAGTTGATAAGCGCGCATGGTGTCGGCGGTAGGAATCATTATGTGCCCCCTCGTGCAAATTGCCAAAGCACCGTCGTCCCATTGGGCGATCGAAGTAGCTCTACATAAGCCACGACAGTGCCTGATACCGTAAAGGGGATGGGCTGGCGAGATGGCGTTTCCCGTTTGTGGAGACCGGCCTGGGACTTTCTAGAGAGTCCTCCTGCCTGCCATGTATGCGTATGATGGGGGGGGGGGGGGG